GCAAATGATATTTTCTGGTGCGTTTCCTTGGAGAAACAGTGCATCCAGAGAGATAGCAAGGGGAATAGAGAGAGAGCCCACGGAAAGATCAGCCATGGCCAGACTTGCGATCAGAATATTGGAACCTTTCTGTAACTCTTTCACTTTCTTTACTGCAACGATCACTAGCATGTTCAAAAATATGATCAGCGGGCAAACAGTGGCCGTGACAGCGATTCCAATCTGACGGTAAATAACGTGCTTTGAGTCCCAGGTGAACTGTGGCGTGGCTGGGCAAGAGAACCCTGAACAGGAAAAATTACCATACGAATGTACCGAGTAAGTTGCATTCATGTTGATGAATATCGAATGCTTGTGGTTGTGTACCATTAAGAGTGCCTTGGAGGATCCGTGGATGGTAGTGATACAGTTTCCTCTTGAAAAAAATTGAATTCCAAGACAAAAACCACAGCTTTTAAGGTGAATAATTCTCATGAAAATACTGGAAATGTTTTTAGATGCGAAAGATCGTGGTCTCATGCATGAAAAAATCCAGATCTATCCTCGCTGTAAGAAAATGTGTCGTGCTACTGGCGAAATATCGGAGAGTTTACCTCGAGATAAACTTCAGTAATCGAAGATGCAAAAAGGTTCTTGAACATGTGACATATGCATTGCCTTCTCGATTGTTCTGCGAACGCTCTGAGACGGTTCAATTACGGAACTTCCCTAAGGCAAATAGTTTTGACAAAAATTGGCAAAAATAAAAACCCAAAAACCTCCAATAATTGACCTTCCGTAGAGGAATAGATGCAGAATCAGTCACAAAACGTGAGAAGTAAACTGCATGTTTCTAAACAGCATGTTTACATCCTAACTGGCGCAGCTCGCGAAGAGAGTATTTAAAAAAAAATTATCTTTTAGCTCAATGAAACTAAATACTTATCTATTATCCCGGTGTAAATTGGAATATTAGAATCTGAATCGCAAAAAGGTACTGGTGGGAGTAGAAGTAGAAGTAGTAGTTTCTCGAAAACAGAATGCACAAAACGTGACTAGCGAACATCTGCTATTTAGACATTTCTCACAACAACCTTTGAAATTACTGTTTGAAAAATATTCCCACCTCTTCAAGGTCCCTCACTTAAGCCATTTTGTTTTGGTTTTTTTTTGGTTTAAAAACCGAATACTCTTAATTGAAACACTCCTATATATACCCATTGACCCGCAGGCTGCGAGAATTTCTCTTCACGTTTTTGGCTCTCGGACCAAAACCTTGGGGAGAAAATTGAAAAATAGAGAGAGGAAAAGGCAGCTGTCAACTCGTTTTATCTTTTTGCTTCCGGCTGTCTTTTTTTATCTTAATGAGTTCAAATTCTCTAAATTCAAAATCAGTTTCTAATCACTTGCTATTTTTCTCCATCTGAATTGAGTCAAAACATTCCCTCGTCTTCGACATAATCATTAAAAGGAATTTGCTTCTCTACAGAAGAAAAAAAAGGGAAATATTCGACTAGTAAGTCAATGAAATCCTCCTAAACTCTCTCGCAAAAATCTAATTGTTAAACTGTGCTGCTCAGAGTAGCTGCTAATGAGTTGAACAAAAAACAAAGAGAAGAAAAAATCAGACCTTCGCTACCATTGTCTGTGTTCTTATTTGTCTATCTTCTACTCAAGAAGTAAATGAAACAATTTGAAAACTGCTACAGAGCAATTAGGGACCTCAGGAAACGGCGACGGAAACAAGGACGTGGCAAAAACAAAAAGTTGGAAGGGTTAAACAATAGCTCGGCACGTGAATTGCGAAACTTTGTATTTTTCCAAGCCGTCCCCTAAAAAACAAACTCCCTTTCTTTTCGTAACGGCCTCCGGCCAAAAGTGATTTTGTAGAGAGACGCTTCAAACGGCCCATGAGGATGAAAAAATGACACAAATGCGTAGATTAACCTTTAATTCAACTTTATTGAGATATTCAGACCGAGATGTAGTGATGATATGCAATTTTCAGAGCTTTCTTCTAGATCCTCATTTACTTTGTTCGTCTTATGTCAACAATGATCAACCACAAACACAGAGTGTGGGCTGCCTGTGCTTGTGCGATGTTGCGCACGTTTGGCTGGCCCCTTCACAACATCTCACAAGACTAAATTAGTAATGAGAATTTGGTGTTAGATTAAGATAACAACTTCTACCTGATAAGTTTGAATATTCTGATTACCTATTTGCTGGATAATGCAAGGATATTATAGGGAGAAGTTTCATATTGATCACTTCTAGGAGTTCAAATGTTAGGGTAATGTTATTGTAATACCTGATCAGAACTTCTTGGCAGCAAGTAGCAATTCAAACCAATTTGTTTTGTTGCAACTGCAGCAGTCCAGTAATCCTACAATGATTGGAAGAGAGACCACCACATGTTATAACTGTGTCACACTTCTTATCTAAAGCATCAGCCAAGACAAACTCCAATTTACGAACCTATAACATAACAAAGCAATTAATTAAGTTATTTACGATCAATTCATCCTTAATTTTAATAATCAACCTCTTTAGCAAGACATACACCTACAAAAGCCAATATAATGTAGTTTGGTCACTTGAGAAAACTGTCAAAGGGAATAGGAGAGATAAACAGCAGTGTCACACGATATGGTGAAAAGAAGTTTATAAAAATATACAAAATCGATGGAAAGAAAAGCAAAAATAAGGAAAACTTGACACTTTTCAATGTTTTCTGTTCATTTGATTTTGGGCATCTGGTGCAGTGTAAATTTACCAATTTCTTTTTGAGCTCTGCTGTTAAACTTAAGTGTTTTAAAAACACCCTTATTTGCCGAGATTTGTGGCTGTCTTAAACTCAAGTGAGGCAGCTTGATTCTGACTGCCTGAAAGTATGATATTGGGGTTTCATTTTCAGGTCTCGACACTCGTAAATGCCCAAATATTGACCACTACATGTGCATATGTTCGTAACCATTTTTAGAAGTTCAAGCAATATTGTAAAATGGAGATGCCCTGAAGGGGGATGACCATTGATAACATCTTAAGAAAATTTTTCCCCTCACTTCATCCTAAAAAGTACCAGAAAGTTCAGTGTTACAGTTTGTGACATGACTGCCAAAAACGGCAGCAGGTTGACCGTGCATATGGTTGACAATGGTAATGATCAATGGTGTCTGACAATGATCACATTTACTGTAGGTACTGACTATGGTTCACAGTCAACCATGGTCACACCAAAAACATTCACTACCAAAACTGTCTGACCATATAATGTAAAGGCTTATATATTCAAGAAAAGTAAAATTTATTTAAGTAATTTGGCAACTTAGGGTGGGTTCACCAAAATATGTAAAAGCTGCTCACTATGGAATAAAAACCATGGACAGTGCGCCAATGGCACTGTAAAAACTCAATATGTCTGAAAGAGATAAAATTCTGAGTGAATTCTTATTAAGACACATAATTTTCATTGATTTGATATCGCATCAGGAACCTTCAATTCGTCAAAAAGAAAACTTTTAGAATCAGTTTTTCTTAACCTAACGGAGGAACGTGTTGGAACGTGATGTAACAACTTCAACAGTGTTACACTTTATGAAATTCTACACAGATATCCCAAAGTTGTTCTTTTAATTTTCGCACTCTTATATCTATGCACTCATCAGCTTGCAGAAATTTACAGCTCGTTTTACCTTGAAGAACGAAAAATTGAAACATATACGCAGATTGTAGGATTAAAAGGAGACGTTTATGTTCCTTTTTTGACATCTCTTCACGTCGCGTTCCATCATGCATAATTCGTGCAAGAAACTGGTAACACCCAGGAGCATGTTATGAAGTAGACTTTAATTGTCGGTAACTTTGATTTATACACGAAAATCAGATGAAGTCTGTAAAGCTTTGCTACATTACACACTACATTAGTGGATCATATTATATACACCAGTGGGGTGGTTCATGAACGATTCCCTGCGATTCTAATAGCCACAACAACTTACTTAAACATTTCGTATGAAAACTCAAAACAGCAAAATAGATACCTCTGGGTACGAAAGACTTATCTGGAGGTTTGAGTTGTTCCCGAACAGTCGTTAAATTTTTGGCTTACAAGTCCTACTGATGGTGACTCTCAATTACTCTATCGATGTGCAGCGCTTCTTAACCAGTCTATTGTCGCGAATGCCCTAGGGCCGAACTACACGATATCACAGTATAAACTTGGTTTTAGATGATTTAATTCACGGTTCACGGTTCTCAGGTACAGTACTCCCCCACTCTCTCCAGGCAACTAAACTACATCATACAATACAATGTAAAAACTAACGATCTGTCAACAATGGTCTCCTGTATCTAAGTTACTCGATCAAGCTGTCAATCAATACGAGATACTTGGCGCGTGTCCATCTTAGATTTCTGACTGTCATTGACATGTAATCTAAATATCCTATCATCGCATGTTTTAAAGGGTCTTGCTCGAAATAATTATCTTGAAATGTTTGTATTAGTCACGCAATCTCCGACACTATCTCCGAAAGGCGCCATTGCCTCTTTTGGATCTCAAATTCACCCTACACGTCAGGATGGCATTGATATTTGGGTTCATGTTGACCAAATATGTATACTTAGAGTGTTGGGTGGGTTCTGCTTACAATATTTTCAAAATAAGTTTCTTAAGAATATTCAATTATTCAAAATAAAGTTCCTTAAGAAACCGTGGTGCTGCGTCGGTGGGAGAGTATAACAGGTAATTTAGTGTTGACAATTGAGTTGATAACGTAAACTGACCACCGTAAAGAGTTCAAAGGCTGCTTGCTCGCGCAATTGAATTTGATTACACAAATTTACTAGCTGTTATAAAATTTTTTGTAACATAAAAAGAGCATAACTTTCAAACGGACGATAGTATCGCAATACTTCACCTTAAGAGAAAGACAAATACATAATTTGTTTGAACTCGCACAGGTTTTTTTGTGGTCTATTTTCTTTTATTAAATCTTCCAAAAATAAAATGCATCGGTGCCACCCTTCTTGTTGTCTCCCCTTGCAGCAGTGGTTTGGTCTCGTCACACAACGCCATCTATTCCCCGTTGGAGAGAGAGCTCGTTGCGTGATAAGACCGAATAACGGTTGCGAAAGAGACTACGCTTACTGCTGTTCCTCTAACAGACGGAAAATAAAAAATTTTCGTCTACAATTAGCTGCCTGAAATATATAATTTCACGTAATTTTACTATGAAAGGCATTTGAAACTCTGTTGTATCTCCAATAGACCCTAACCAAAGATATATTGCGATTTAAACAAGAGAAAAGGATAATAGCGGAGCTCGCAGAGCGTAGCCCCATAATTATACAAAATAGTAGTAACCCATCAAACCGAAAAAATTTGGATGTACGACTGTTAGAATTAATTTCTCTAACACTCGTTTGTGGTTTGGTTGATCCTTCTTTATTTGCTTTTCTTCTCAAGTTGTTACAATGGGGACTAGCTTCAATATATCAGGGAAAACTAGAGTCTCCGCTTATATAGGTGACACTGCGGATGACATTTCTAAGCCGTCAATCTTTTTGTGTCGTCATTGTACCATCTCAACTAGCGAATCACGCTTGACTACGTATTATAGTTCCCACATACTGAGTAAGCACCTTAGGGTTGTCTACGCAGTTACAAAATCAATTTCTTCCCTAATTTTCATATCCTTACGGTTGAGATCGGCCAGAACAGAAACGAGATCGACAATATAAAAATTACAAATAACCTTGGTGTTGAGTATTGTTTATACCTGAAAGTGTATCTTAAGAGAAAATCACCTTTAAAGATTGTTACATAACAACATCTTGGTCACAAGAGTTAAAGAAGAAAGGCGCTCACAAGTACCGCCTCCAAATTGCTTCTTGTTGCGAAACATGAGGGGCATCACCTGTTTACCCTTAAATTACCTCTGGGAACACGAAGGTGTCGAACGCGAGCTATTACCAGGGAGATTTACTCTTCCTGGACTAACAAATTAACTTATTTAAGAACATGGCTTATCACGAGTTCCATGTCAACCTCACGATCACAACGAAGAAAAGGTGATTAGACTCACTAGGAGAACGTGGCCAAACTCACAAGAAGAACGTGATCAAACTCGACCCTTAAGATAAGACCACCAAGAAGGAGTACGAAGTAATCAACCTGCCCTTTTTATAATTTACATTAAATGACTTAGAATAAAATAATATTTCCATTCCTTTTCTTTCCAACACCAATACAGGAAACCCTTACGATATTGTAGATTAACTATTTTATCATTTAACACGACCGTACGACCGTACAAGGTGATACTTTTAACATGCGTGATCAACTGTACCGCGGGTACGCCAACGCCACGGCTTTGTCCAATAGTCCAGTGGTCAGTGCACTGGGCTCCGGGCTCCAGTGGTCGGTGCACTGCGGTTCGAATACGTGACTAAATGCAGGTTGTTTACAAGGATGGAGTGAAGTCTAATTTGACAAGATAGAATTTAATTGCTGGAATACAATCCAAGCACATGAAAAATTGCCTAATGTTCATGTAGTGCCACGACTGGGTATGTTCTGATTGGACTTTGGACGTTGTTACCATGGTACGTGATGGAATGTAAGTTGTTTGGCGTGTAATTTGTGAGTTAAGGAGCGCAAAAAACACGCTTTAACTTAATAATGGCATAAATGATGCGAGCCTGACAATGAACCTAAACAATGTTTCTTACACTATTATCGGCCTAAAAATAGTTACTCTTAATTAGGAATGAAATTGACTACAAATTATATCCAATAAAAACCATATATCATGACGTAGAGCTTCTTTGATTAATTACAATCAGATCGGCAGAGGATCGTTGATGTCTCTCCAGGACAGAATCTCATTGATACATTGTGTGCCTCGTGAACTTGTCAGTAAAGATTCAACTCCTCCATTAAATAAACCAAAACATCCACCTTATTAACGAACAAAAAAAGAAAACATAATTGAAAATAGTAATACGACAGATTACCTCAGTCAATTAATTTGTTAATTAAAACTAGAACAAAATTTCGAGCGTGATTGGTTTTCACCAGCCCGATTTATAAACAATTATTGGATGAGGTTTTCAGGATTAGTGGTTGTTATTATGGTTATTGTGATCGGTGCTATGATTTAGCTGAGTGGACTTAGTATGATTGGCTGCTTTAACAGTCCGATTACCACTGTACAGCATGATTAGTGAAAAATAAAACAGCTAATGCACCAATCACATTTGAGGAAATTGTAACGGTTATGATTAAAGCACTAATATGGCAGTCTGCGCGTCATGCTTGTAATTGGACAGTGTAATAGGACAGTTATAGGAACAGTTAACACGTCATGTCTGTGTAAGTGGACAGAAAGCGTCATGTGCGCGCGCTGTTGTCTCGCATTTCGCCGAGGTAACTGTTTTTTATGAAAAACTATACATGATCTCTAGTTTCTTTCTCAAATTAATGTCACAGTTTTTATTAACTGGTAACAGGACTTCAGACATCTCCTCCAATTCTGTCTGTAATAATACTCGTGATTAAAATTCATCCTCCCGCTTCGCGGGATTACACTCCGAATAGGAGTCCACTCGGTCCTATTACCATTATAAATATGGTTTGTCGTTGACCAATCCATTCCCATTAACGTTACGGTTAGCTCCAATTAGCGCCTCAACTACAAAAATGTCCCTTCTATTGAGGTACTCATCATTGTAAATTGAAACAGGCAAATTGTCAAGGGAATCTGATCAAGGGATCTGAAAGGGAAGGGAGGAAGGAGGAGGGGAAACCTGTTATGGCCGCCCATCCAGGATAAAAAACAATAACTCCTCAAGTGGTCATTTCATGCTCCAGGAATCTGGAGAGGTTCTGGTAATCATTCATGGGCATCTGTAGTAAGTCTCACTACAGATGCAATTTGTTAAGATTGTTTAGGGCTATCATCAAACTCATAAAAAATGTCTCATACCAGTATGAATATAGAGTATCCTATTTCCTTGAAATCTCTTGGGATTGTTGGTCATTTCAGCCAGCATTCCTCTGACTGTCTTTATGTTGTACACTGGGTCAATCAACACTCCGGTAGAACTGGAAATCTCTAAAATGTATTCTGCAAGAAAAGATTATAAATATTGCATTTTCCACAAAAGGAAATATAAGAAATTGAAAATATTTACTTTGAGATAATGGCACAACGTTAATGCACTGAAATAGTACGAGTAACATGCAATGTACAGAGTACTTTAACATGGCCAAAGTTTTGAACTAGGTAGACTCCCTGGCCATTCTAAGTTGACCTTTTAGGCTGGCCACGATCTGGAGTCAATGTTAAGGGAGCTGGATTAAAACAGAGGAGATCAAGGTTTCATGCTAATCACTACTTCTTCAACAATGGTACTTTAAAGAGGAAGAGTAATTACCTAGATCTTCTTGTGAGGGTCTTCCATATCCTGGCAAATGATGTCCACCAATGACGTCAATTATTTCTTCTGCTTTCACAGAGAGCCCAGCTTCTTGAAGTTCTTCATTTATCTTGCTGTATACATATGCATCGTCATCATATACATTTATTGCATGGCATCTACATTCACATGGGAAAAGCAAAATTAAGCAAATTATAGTCTAGTGGATCAAAGAGCAGCAAAGTGTAGAACTCCCATAGACAGTATCAGCAGGATAATAATGCTGAAGGATTTTGATATCACTATATTATTACACCATCACTATCACCATCCTCCTTGTCATATTCACCGTTCTTAACCAGTAGGTACATGAACACTGATCTAATTAATTTACATAATATGGTAGACTTGATTAACTTTAAATTGATTTGGTGCACAAGTTTGGGTGCCCTTGAATCATAGAGCTAAAAACCAACACACTTATGATATGGAGGAAATATTTTCATGTTTTACCAGTCTATGATGAGATTGCACTCTCTGAAACAACATAATATGAAGACTACTCTTCTTTATTTGACTATTATTATCTATTTGACTATTATTATCTATTTGATCTGTATCTATAGTATCTCATGGATACTATAGCAGCTACAAGTGTACATCTTTCTTGAGAAAAATCACAGCTCACCTGAGTTTTGAACCTGTCAGATAATTAGCCATGGAAATTCCTGCTGCAGATCCTCCACTGCCAACTGTCATTACAATATCATCAAAATCTTCCAGCAGATTCTTTAAAGGATGAGAAAATGTGTTCACTTCCAGCAATCAAAATACTGGTAAGATCAGTTTACAAACAACCACATTATATTGATTAAAGATTCATTGCTACATAACAGTAGCTTCAGCTGCAAACTTCCTCAAGGATTTCAGCTTCTCAATCAATTGGCTTTCAAGGCGAAGTAATGAATGTTAATCAGCACCAGGGAGTAAAGGGTTTAATAACCTTTAAATATTTAATTTGACTGAGGGGTGATACTTGCCTAAATTCTGTAAAATATTGAGAGATATGAACAACAAGAATCATTTTAAGGAAATGAAAAAGCTTTTTGCCCATCAACTTGTTGATCAGTAGAAAGGCCTAAGACTGTGTACCTGCCTGATTAAAGTGAAACTGAATGATGAATAAAATCCTCTTCACACAAAAACTAATAATCAACTTTGGGTTATTAGCCTAGGTTACAAGCTTATAGATTAAAGTCCACAAATGAATAGAATTTGTTAAGCATTTGGATTATGGTCTGATTTAAATAATTAACTCACTTGGTCCATCATTTCTTGAAATGCTGTCAGGTAACCAAATGATCCTGTATATGAAGAACCTCCAGCCTCTATCAGGTATGGAACTGAACCTTGCTGACGTCTGGAAAGATTTGATCCAAGAGAAAATCATTTAAGAGTCTCTCCCTTGCGAAATGGCTTTTGGAATTCCTAGGAATTCCTAGGAAAATCCTAGGAATTCCTAGGAATTTATTCCTAGGAATTCCTAGGAATTCCTAGGAATAAAGGTGTGAATTTTCACGGTAAATTCGGACTGGGAATTCCTAGGAATTCCTAGGAATTCCCAACCATAACAACTCTGGTTCTAAAAACCTAGAAATTCCTAGAAATTCCCAGAAATTCCCAGAAATTCCCAGAAATTCCAAGTTTATAGCCAACAGGACTTGGAATTCCTAGGAATTCCTAGGAATTCCTAGGAATTCCTAGGAATTCCTAGGAATTCCAACTCAGAGAACCAATGACTTTCCCTGAAAAGCTGTAAATCTAAAAAATTCCTAGGAATTTCTGGGAATTTTTGGGAATTTTTAGGAATGTTTAAGAATTACTGGGAATTTTAAGCAAAAATTTGAGGCTTATGATATAAAATAAATACTTTAAATTAAAAAAAACCCAGCTAAAATTCAAGTATTCAATGAAATTTATTTAAAAGCTTGATTAAGGCGTACATGTAAAATATTTTTGATTAATTATTAACATCAATGTGTGGTAATATTGGGATGGAATTTGATTTATTTTTCTTTTCTTGAAAACTTCATACAGATTAATCCTCAATTACAGCTATTCATATAAAATAGTTCTAATCAATCATTAAATTTGGTTTGACACAAATTGTGAATAAAATCTGTTGATTCTTTTCCAAAAAATACAATATCCTAAGTTATATTTATATAGTTATATTCTTGGGAGTGAAGGGGCTAATTACAGACAAATAAAATTGATTTTTTGATTAAAATCTTGTTATAACTGTAATAATAAATTAGAATGAAGTTATCCTAAACTGCAAACTTAGCTGCTGTTTGTACTGTTTGTATTTTTTTTCCTGGACTCACAATGAGTTGGCCTTGAATGAGGTTGTCAACAAGAACCTTGACCATTTTGTAACTGGATTCCTTGACATCTGAATTTGAAAACAAAATAATATATTAAAATATGTATGTTTAAAGCTCAGACCAGGCTTTTAAGATGGCTATGAGGAAAAGGGCATTCATTGGATTCTCAAATTGAGAAATCTCTGTTATATTGAGTGACTTTTATATTGGAGTTAGTACATCTCTCTCATGGATTTTACTAAAAAAGGGCTGAATACATTATTTTGTTTTTACCAAGGAGGGTTTCTTTATGTACTAAGGTTTGTTATGAATCTTGAATGTTCCCAAACGTGACTAGAGGAATCTTGAAACCTTACTGATAGGTTTATTTCATTGTAAAGCATAAGCTTAAGAAACTGCGGCATGCAAGTGACCGATTCGATTCTCAGAATTATTCTAGTTTCAGTTGCGCCGAGCGTTATGTAAGCTTAATTCAACCCGCTACATCTATTCTTTTATAAGATTTTGATCACAACGAATATCGCAATTTTTACTCACCACAAACTTTCAAAATCGTAGCTTTACAGATGGCCACTCGACCCTTGTTTGTACCGGTCCATATGTCAACTGTTGTCCCTACTTTTAACTCCACGGCGCCAACGACTTTCTTCTCTTTTACAACACTCACGCTATTCTCGTTTTCCCATTGAACCAGAATAAAAGCTATCTTTAGAAATGTTATATTAAGCAAAACAGTTGAGAAAAGCGATCAACCGATGAAACGTACATTCAAAGATGAGCGCCAAATGGAGTCTTCTTTGTTTCCGATCACGGGCATGATCACGTGGATCTTTTAGGACTTGTCATTGGCTAGCAAAGTGAATCCGCTGGCTTGCCGATTGCAGTGTTAAGAGAAGCGCCCAACTTTATTTTGACTTCTCCGACCGGCTCTCTGCTTCTAGAAGATGGTAGCTTGGTGATATAAATAAAGATGTGAGCTCACTCTATGTAGAAATAATCGACAAGAATCGATCGTATTACAAATGCACGATTTGTGGCCGAAAGTTGTCGAGGAAACAAAGACTCGAAACTCACTTGAGTTGTGTTAATGGCAAAGGTGAGAAATAACACAAGCCAATCACAGTTTTGAATGCGACTACAAATCGTCTTTTACCCTCATATTTATAAAAGAAGGATACCACATTCGGAAGTGTAAGAGATACATAGATGATCCCAGTGTACCAGTACCTAAATCTACAAAGCTTGACCGTAGCAAGCGTTCAGCAACACGTTCCAACGCCGCCATCTCGATTCCTCAGTCAGTCGTTTCCACTGAACTTAAAGCAGTATTGACAACAGAGTAGAGTGCGTCTTACAAAGGAGAAACATTTGTACAAGAGACAGGAGTAGCTATATGCGATTACAGAGGTGCGTTGGAACTCTGGTCCACAAATAGTTATGCACTGCCCGAAGTATAAAACAATTTTGTTGATAGCTGACAGACAGAGAAGAACAACAAGTAAACTTAAGAGCTGTTATTACTGAAGTGTGACTAGCACTTTTCATTTTTATATAAAGAAGGACTTGTAATTTGCACCAAAAATAAAAAGATGTAATATTTTTTTGGGAGATCCAGTGATTGGGACATTTAAGAAATTAAGTTATGAAAGGAAACTTGGTTGGTACTTCTCACTACTAACAAGTCTTGTTGACAAATATTTTCAGATCAGAGTTTCAAATAAAGTAAATTGAAGACGTCATATAAAAGGTGTTTTTCCTCAAAGGGTACATTGACTACCTCTGTCTTGTCTGCATGCCAAATGTTTGCAAAGTGTGTGGATGATCCACAAGTATTGGAACTCTTACAAAAATGTTTTGTAAGAATAAAAACAGCAAAACAAATTACAGCAATTAGTCATGAAAATAGAGCAAAAAACTGAAAAAAAGCAGCAACAACAATCATGAAAAAAGAAAGATTAATTAGGTGTTGAATTTGTTTGTCTAAGGCATGAAATTTCTACTAAAAGTATTGTCAACAAAAAGTCTCTGACAGCGTTTGAGGCAACTGAGCTTGACTGTTCCAAGGTTTTCTAACAAAGGCAACCAGTAATGTAGGTTAGGGAAGTAAGATAACAATGTAATTATTGTTAATTATTGTGGAAGTTGGCAATTTCCATTTAACATAACTGACAGCTGGTTCATGAGAAAATCCATATTAATGTAAAGATTTACTAAAACTTAGTTTGAGTAGTAAATTTCATGATCTTTAAGTTATAAACATGTACATGAATGTATATCTCTTGGTAAGTTTTGTATAGCATACCTTTTATTGAGCCAAAGTTTTAAGCCTCTGAAATTACTCTTTTTCTTAAAACCTTCACATTCAAGGTATTGAGAATTTCTTAGAATTTATGTGGACCTCAGGGTATTAAAATTGCCTCAAATTCAATTCCCAGCAATTCCCAAGAGTTCCACACTTCTTAAATTATAAGTAGTTTGTAAAGCTGAGAATTCTTAGGAATTCCTAGGGATTCCAAGTCCTCACAAAACTGGAGTCTTCCTAATTCCCAGAAATTCCCAGTAATTCCAAGCTTTTTAAATCAGAGTTAATTTGCATAGATGGGAATTTTTGAGAATTCCTAGGAATTCCTAGGAATTCCTAGGAATTCCCAGAAATTCCCAGAAAACTGGGAATTCAGTTTGCAAGGGTCATTTGCATAATTGGGAATTTTTGAGAATTCCTAGGAATTCCCAGAAAACTGGGAATTCAGTTCGCAAGGGCTACTCTGCTGTGAACTGTTGAACTCCCAAGGTGTGACTGTTAATTCTCCTGACTTTAGCTGCCACACATTTCCTTCTAAACTAGTTATGAGAATGACTGTAAATTTATGAAAATCATATATTTGAACGGCGGTTGAAGAAACAAATATGGACGCAATCCTTGCAGTTATGAACACTACTTAAGTAGTGGTGAAAATAAGACCTAAAAAAAATTCAGGTCTGTACAGGATTTGAACCCGTGACCTTTGCGATACCTGTGCAGCACTCTACCAACTAAGCTAAAATGCCAACTGGGAGCTGGTCATTATTTTAGTCACAAATAAACCCATAACGTGGTGAATAAATGGTTACCGGTTACCTCGCCACCAGGGAGACTCGCCACCAGCGAACTCGCCACCAAGGAACGATTTCGCCACCAACGTACTCGCCACCAAGCGAAGTCTTCTCGCCACCAACCACCAATAAAGAGATAAGAGAGTAGGATGTTCGAACGACAACATACGTTTATAAAGTTTGAGTACAGACAAGCGAACAAACTTATCGGTTTCGAACGTGCTTTCGACAACATACGTACGTTTATAAAGTTTGAGTACAGACAAGCGAACAAACTTATCAGCCGAACATCCTACTCTCCTCGACTAATCTCTTTATTGGTGGTTGGTGGCGAGAAGACTTCGCTTGGTGGCGAGTACGTTGGTGGCGAGATCGTTCCTTGGTGGCGAGTTCGCTGGTGGCGAGTCTGCTTGGTGGCGAGGTAACTGGATACCGAATAAATGACTGTAAATATATGAAAATTATCATGTAAACTATGGTTGAAGAAACGAATATGGAAGTGATCCTTGCAGTTATGCAGTAGTGAAAGTTTATGCCTGAAGTGCCGTAAAGGCCTGAATTTTTTCACTATTACTTAAGTAGTGTTCATAACTGTGAGGGTCACTTCCATATTCCTTTTGTTCAACTGCAGTTCACATATATGATTTTCATATATTTACAGTTATTTAGTAACCACTTCACAGGATTGATTTGATATTCATTTAGTTTGAAAATTAATGTTGTAAGATCAAGATAATAGCTTCTACCTGATAAGTTAGAGTACTCTCACTATCTGTTTGCTGGATAAGATATGGATATCATAAGGAGAAATTACATGTTAATCACTTGTGGGAGTTAAAGTTTCTCTGGGAATGAAAGGTGGGACTGGGATACAAAAACTCCCAATCCCTTGGGTACACCAGCCACATTATACCTATGGATAAAAAATTTGATTAAAATAATACACTTAGTTCACACCTACACAGGCCCAAACATTAATTTTCATCTCTCTTGAAAAACACATCTTGTGAAAAAAGCAAAGAATATAATGTAACAATAAGAAAGGATAAGCAAAGCTTTGTATTTTGTCAGTGATCCTACTTCCATGAGACTTCCATTGTTGAAGGAAGTCAGTGAAGAGTAGGTTTTGTTAGTTATATGGCCTTCAATTTAAGGCATCTAATACTATCTATAATTGGAACAATCTCTTAGATCTTTTGGTTTAATTAATTCAAAATGATTGGATTCTCTCTTAAAGTCTTGCACCTTTGACTCAAAACAGCTATCAAAAGTTGTCAAAATAATCTGAACAAATCAGCTACCTACAATTTTTCTGCCATTTTCTCCATCATTGGTTGAAGGCCAGCCTTATATTTCAACTTTGGAACAAGAATAATATTACTTCCAGCCATCCGACTTAATAGCAGATTCCCTTTACATCCAACATTGACTGTCTCCTACAAGGAAAAGAAAACAAAAGGTTAACTGCAGTCATAGAATTAGCAATAACACAGATATTGTTGTTGCTCATGTAAAAAAGACACTTTGTAACAACAAGTGGTGCTTGAGCTACAAAATGTTAGGGAAAGGTATAATTGTCGTATTACCTGATCAGAACTTCTTAGCAGCAAGTAACAATCCAAACCAAGTTGTTTTGCTGCAACTGCAGTAGTCCTACAATGATTGGAAGGGAGACCACCACATGTTATCACTGTGTCACACTTCTTCTCTAAAGCATCAGCCAAGACAAACTCCAATTTACGAACCTATAACATAACAAAGCAATTAAGTTGCTTACAACCAATTCATACTTGATTGAAATAATTAACCTCTTTAGCAAGACATTCATATACAAAAGCCTATATAATGTCGTGTGATCACTTGTGCAAACTCAAAGGGAAAATATGAAATAAACAGCAGTGTCACACGATATGGTAAAAAGAAGTAAAAAGTTCATAAAAATGTGCAAATGGAAACAAAAGCAGAGATAAGGAAAACTTGACAATTTTCAAGGTTTTCTGTTTATTTGATTTTGGGCATCCATTGCAGCATTAATTTATCAATTTTCCATGAGTTCTACAGTTAAACTTCAATGTTTTGTAAAAACAGCCTGACTTACTGACATTTGTGGCTGTCTCAAACTGAAGTGAGGCAGCTTGATTCTGACTGCCTGAAAGCATGATATTGGGATGGTATTTTCAGGTCTCCACATTTGTAAATGCCTTAATATTTGACCACTACATTTGCATGTGTTGGCAACTGTTTTGGGAAATTCAAGGAACATTGTAAAATGCAGACAACCTCAAAGTGGATGACCATTGATAACATCTTAAGAAAAGTTTTCACCTCACTTCATCCTAAAAAGTACCTGCAAGTTAAGTGTTACAGTTTGTGACATGACTTCCAAACACAGGTAGACAATTTGCCAACTTTTAATTTTAATTTGGTTGCAAATTCATTTCAACTTTCCAAGGAAAGCATTAGGTTAACTAGGCTGAAAATATATTCATTTGGTAAATCACACCTTATTTCCAGACAGAGCACATCCGGTCAGGTCATCCCTTTTGATGGATATTGAAAACTCCTTTGGGGCATTGGGAATATTCCATGGATGGATTGGAGTATTACGTTGAGCAAGCTACAAAATGGCAAAACTTTTCATTAGCGTGAGAGTTATACACCAAAACACTTTCATATTTCGATTGTACAATTTGATTTATAACATAGCTAGTAAATTTGTCTAATCAAATTCAATTGCGGGAGCGTGCTTCATATTCCTATTGTGCATGGACATGACGTCAGCAAGCAAATCCCTCGCGAAAACAAATTTTCCATCAGGTTGAAAATGTTATAAAACAATTGGTTCATACATCAGCTGTGCGTTCATCGAGATATGAAGCACTTGGGAAGTTTGGAGAGCATTCAAGAAGCTAGAGTTACTTGAGCACCTTTCGTGCTCTCCAAACTTTTGCGTGCTTCATATCTCGATGAACGCACGCTGATGTATGAATCAATTGTTAATTGTATCATATTGTCTTACCTTGAGGAAATACTTTGGAATGTTCTTCAGGGATGAAGCCCACTTCGGTGGTTCATACTTATGAAGCCGTGCAAGATTATTTGCGTTCATTTCCGAGGAACTGAGAGAAAGTTGACAAAATATATATTGTACGTGTCTTCTGTCTATCAATACCTTACACTATCACTTCAAAGTTCAAGTTCAAGTATGTTTATGTTGTGTCTAGTGCGAGGCACGTAGTCACTATCATGAATTGAAATAATTATTTCAGTCTGCCGCAGTTTTCGAAGTTGGATTCAATTTGACCAAATAAAAGGCTGTTAAAGATTCCTTCCGCCTTCAGGTCTATTGGATTTTATATGATAGGCTCAGTCATGCACGCATTCTGATTAGTTCTCACTTCTGATCTAGTAGAGGACAGACTTATCGATGACGTCATCATTAAAACTTTTTATTATATAAAACAAATAGATTCCAAGTTGCCGCGCGTCTGTTAGGTAACATTAGTGACACACTCGGCTGCGCCTTGAGTGCCACTTTCTTGTTCTTACCACATTCTGACGTCCTTTGTGACCTATTATTGAAAAGACGCACAGCAACTTGGAATATAAAATAATGATAAATAAAAAAATAAGAGTAAGAATATAAAATGTTAAATTAGAAATGTTGCGTGATAGGCCAAAATAACGTATGCGTGACATAATGAAGTGCACGCACCACTGGAAGTTTCTCAGCCCCAAAACGTCGTGTAGACCCTTGGTAGCGGCCGACACAAGCGAAGCAAATTTCAACCACAACTATGAGTTTCGCTAGTGAAGACTCACTATGAAGCGAAGATATATTGTACGGAAAAGACTTGAATCGTTTTATTAGCGTAGTCGACGTATCCAAGTACTTATCTTAAACTGAAATATGAAATTATAAGGAAGAAGCTGAGCTAAATTCTAAGATATGGACCAACATTCCAATCATTCCGATATAAAAGCAAGATCCCAAAAGACTAGCTAAAACTCTAAAACAAACTCACAAAAGACTATCTTCAAGGATAAAGGAGAACCGCTTGCTAACGAATTCTAACAAAACTAATAACCGAGTGGGAAATTGTACGGAAAAGACTTGAATCGGTTTATTAGCGTAGTCGACGTATCCAAGTACTTATCTTAAACTGAAATATGAAATTATAAGGAAGAAGCTGAGCTAAATTCTAAGATACGGACCAACATTCCAATCATTCCGATATAAAAGCAAGATCCCAAAAGACTAGCTAAAACTCTAAAACAAACTCACAAAAGACTATCTTCAAGGATAAAGGAGAACCGCTTGTAAACGAATTCTAACAAAAGTAATAACCGAGTGGGAAAAACGAGCAGCTTACTAACAAAGCATGAACAACGTAAGCCACGTGTTACAAAGTTGCAAAGAAACTGGTATAAAAAACTGGGCGAAACTACCGAAAGACTAGATGTTTAAACAAGTACGAAGAGAAGGAACATAAGCACTTACTGTTTAACTTGCGAAGCTTGGAATCACTACCAATAAGCATAGCTTTGGTTTTATCAACATTAAGAGTAAGTTTGTTATCATTTAACCAGCTGGCAATAGCATGCAAGTCGGCATTTAGGGCGCACTCCAGACCAGCTTGGTTTGAGTTATAGCAATAAAGCACTGCGTTATCAGCATATAGGGCTACCTCCGAATGCTTGATGACAGTGGGCAAATCATTTATATAGATAAGAAATAACAAAGGGCCCAATATGCTGCCCTGAGGCACGCCATGCGTAACAGGTAACAAATCAGACAATTCCGGACCGCAAGATGTACATTGCATTCGTCCATTAAGATATGACTCAAACTATTTAGCCGTGTCAGAAGTCACCCCAAAAGATGACAACTTTCGTAGCAAAATTGTGTGGTCGACCGTATCAAAGGCCTTAGATAGGTCCAAGAATACGGCTCCACACAGTTTACCCTTTTCCATATTAAATAAAATTTCATCGGCAAAACTAGAAACAGCGTTAACTGTTGAATGTTTAGGCCAAGATCCGAATTGCTTTTCATTGAGTAGGTTATGTTGGTTAAGGTATTGATAAAATTGATAATGCACAGCTCTCTCTTGGATTTTACTAAGAGTTGGTAAAATAGAAATAGGGCGATAATCAGACGGGCTAGTACGGTTCCCGGCTTTGAAAAGTGCTGTGACTTTAGCGCATTTCCAGATGTTAGAAAACTCGTTGGTTGCAATTGATAGATTTAAAAATTTCGTAATTGATGGAGTTATAGTTCAAGAGGCACATTTCAGTAAACGGGCACTGATTCTGTCTAACCTGATGGCCTTATTGCGCTTAAGGGCACAAATCTGTTGTAAAACAAAGGAATGGCTTGCGGTTCTTAACTCAAAAGAAACCGTCGCTGGTTCAGCAACATTGAGTTTCGCAGGATTTACATAATTAAGAGATTGAGAGAATTTTTCTGCCAACAATCTTCCAACAGAAGCAAAGTAATCATTCAGGGCTGTAACAATGGATTTGGGGTCGTTATATTGTACTCCACTTGCAATTATATACTGCGCAATGGATGAGCTAAAGTTGCTTGAGAAAGCATCATTCACTGCTTTCCAAACCATGCTGGAATCGCCTTTACTTTCTTCAATTAGGTTGCAAGAGTAATTTGACTTCGAGGACTTAATTTCGCGATTCAAAAAATTTCGCTGCTTTCTATTCATTTCCCGGTGGTATGTAGAGTTTGATGTCTGCTTTCCGAAGATGATAATTGCGATCGCGCATCGCTTCAGCGATTTTATTATTCATCCAAGGAGCTGTCGTGCCCTAAATTACTCGGCGCTTTTTAAGCGGTGCATGAGAATCCGCAACTGCGGTAAATTATTTGTTCCAAGTCAAGACTGCGTCGTTGACATTGCTCTCATCGTCGACAATGTGCCACGGAACATTTTTTAAGTCCTGGATGAAGGCATTTTACACAATACCCCTGTGTCGAGGGGTATTGTGTAATGTCGCCATGGACAAAGGTAAGCGAGAAGAAAGAATTATTTCATCAATCATTTGTTATTTCTTTTTTTAAAATAAACATTTCACGTGCTACTTTTCCTTAATACAATGTCATCTACTTCGCTTAAAACAGTAATTATAATAACCTCCTCTCTCCATCTTTCGTTTCGACGCTACTTCTGGTTATCATTTGCGCTGCTTGCTTTTATATTAGTTAATTTAGCTTTAGACTTGTGACAGCATGGTAATTGTACCTTTTAGCTCAATCCAACTAAGTTTTGTAAACTTTGTCCTGTTTACTAGGGATAGAATTCTAACGAACGAGACTCAATCAAACTGTTTTATTCCGCTCTCCCATTCGCTTATTTACATCGGGTGTGTAAAAAGCTACTCTCGCAAAATTTGTAAGAAATCACTCTCTTATACGATATTCTCTACATTGTGATTGGTTGTTGCCAAGTACTGATTTAAAAGGTCATTCAAGGTTGCGTTGATTATGTAAACCAATCAATGTCCATAATGTTCACACTCATCATCTGACATGTGTCACGCACGAATCAAAGTCTCCGACATAAGTACGTGTTTATTACACCATGATATACCCGGGTTGTGTACATTAAAATATTAGAATCTGTGTCGCAAAGAAGTAGTAGTAGAAGTTTCTCGTGAAAAGCGAACATCTGCGATTTTAAACATTTAGCACCTTCGGGATGAATATCTGTTACAACAACTTTTGAAAATACTGGTTGAAATAAATACCACTACTTCGAGGTCGCTTACTTAAGCCATTTTTTATTTGGTCTAAAAACCCAATACTCTTATTTGAATCACTCCCACATATACCCATTGACCCGCAGGCTGCGAAAATTCTTCTTTGCGTTTTTGGTTCTCGAACCAAAACCTTGTGTGGAGAGAAAATGGAAACTAAAGAGAAGAAAGGGCTGCTGTCAACTCTTCTGTTTTCTCTTTTTGCTTCTGGTTGTCTGTTTTTATCTTAATGAGTTCAAATTCTCCAATTCAAAATCTGTTTTTAATCACCCATTATTTTTCTCCATCAGAATTGAGTCAAAACATTTCCTCGTCTTCGACATAATTATCAAAGTGAATTTGCTTCACTACAGAAAAACATAGGAATGCATAGTATACAAGAGTTATTTTGTTTGGCTGGGCGGGTTAAAATTGGGCTCTTCGTGTACCTAATTTTTTCATTTTTGTAACAGGAAAAGAGCATAACTTTCAAACGGACGAAAGTATCGCAATACTTCACCATAAGGGAAAGACAAACACATAATTTGTTTGAACTCACACAGGTACTTTGTGCTCTATTTTCTTTATTGTCTAAATTCTTCTCAGCAAAAATAAAATACATCAGTGCCACTCTTCCTGTTGTCTCCCCTTGCAGCAGTGGTTTGGTCTCGTCACACAACGCCATCTATTCCCCGTTGGAGAGAGAGCTCGTTGCGTGATGGGACCTAATAACGGTTGCGAAAGAGACTACGCTTACTGCTATTCCGCTAACAGACAGAAAATAAGGAATTTTCGTCTAATGACAATTAGTTACCTGAAATATATAATTCCACGTAATTTTACTACGAAAGATATTTGAAACTCTGTTGTATCTCCAATAGACCCTAACCAAAGATATATTGCGATCTCGAATAAATGAAGATACATTTAACAAGAGAAAGGATAATATTTCAAAGAGGGCTCCTTGATTGGTTGTTGCCCATCTGGACTCTGCCATCTGTGTGTGAAATACGTGATAGAATGTAGGTTGTTTACAAGTGATTAACACGCGATAAGATTAAATCCAAGGTAGCTAAAAGCCAATTTTATTCGTAGAAAAAGTCCAAATGCGGGAGAATTGCCTGAAAAATTCATTATTAGTAGCAGTTAGTCTCATTTGAATTTTTCTCAGTAGAGTTGGACAATGCGGTTTGAATACGTGACTAAATGCAGGTTGTTTACAAGGAAATGGTACGTGATGGAGCGAAGTCTTATTTGATTGGTGGAATACAATCCAAGCACATGAAAAATTGCCTAATGTTCATGTAGTACCATGATTGGGTTTTTCTTATTGGACTTCGGACGTTGTTTTCATGGTACAGATGATGGAATGCAAGTTGTTTGGCGTGTAAGTGGTGAGTAAAGGAGCGGAAAAAACACGCTTTAACTTAAAAATGGTACAAATGATGCGAACCTTTCATAGCCCGATAAATCTCTACCTTAATCGACGAGGTTCCCGCAAAAGCCACAAACCATTACACTTATCAAATGAGCCCAAAATTCATGGTTTATGTCATTCTTTGTACACAGCCCCCTGATGCTATCGGATGTCATTTGCAAGAAAACAATTCCCAAACGCTGTGATTGGTGCGATACATACCCTAATGCGGAAAACTGATTGGTGCGATATACCTACCCTAAACGCTGTGATTGGTGCAAGATATCCAAATGCTGTGATATGATTGGTGCGAGATACGTACCCATATGCGGCAATCTGATTGGTGCGAGATAAATACCCAAATGCGGCGAACTGATTGGTGCGAGCTACATATCACTCTAAACTGACGCTATTAGAGAGCTATTTTTTTAACCAAAAAAAAAAAAACTCAAAAAGGAAATCTTTGACTCCCTAGTTAACGAAATCCTCCCAAGCTCTTTCGCAAAAAAATTAATTGTTAAACTGTGTGCTCAGCGGAGCTGCTAATAAGTTAAACAAAAAGAAGAAATAAAAAGACCTTCTCTGTTATTGTCTGTCTTCAACCTCAAGCAAACCACGACGGCGACGGAAACAAGGATGTGGAAAACAAAAGGAAGGAGGGGTTGAATAATAGCTCGACACGTACATTACAAACTTTGTGTTTATTTAAGCGGTCCTCTGAAACGGCAAACTCGCTTCCTTCTCGTAACGGCCTCCGGCCAAAAGTGATTTTGTAGAAAGGCGCTTCAAACGGCCCATGAGGGTGAAAAAACACCACAAATGCGTCGATTAACATTTCATTTAACTTTATTGAGATATTCAGACTAAGATGTAATGTAGATATGCAATTTTCAGAGCTTTGTTCACGAACCTCATAGCTTTTGTTCGTCTCATGTCAACAATTATCAACCACGAAGATATATTGTGGTTTGCCTGTGGTTGTACGATGTTGCACGCGTTTGCCTGGCTCTTTCACAACATCTCGCAACACGATCCAACAATTTTGCAGGATGCTGCCTTGAAATGCTGTGCAGCTTTGCCTGGTCTTCACTTCGTTCTGTGATTGCAAGCTAAAACAATTAATCAATTGGTCGCCCGCGTTTTCCCGCGCTTAAAGCAGTTTGGTTGTTTGCTGTGAGCTCTCATTGTCCATCTTATACAAAAAACGAGAAAATAAATCACTGCTCGCCGCGAACATTACAAATTTAGACCAACAAGGGTGGTGAGGGGTCTTAACAAAAAAAAAGGAACAATTAACGTTCCTCCACTTGAATCTCTACTGGTAATTCTCGTAACTGACCGCCCCACTTCATCTACTCCGTTGCCATATAATCTATCTTTTCGTGTGTATCTTTGACAAATATCTACTGTATTTTTTACCAAACCTATGTCAAGAAATAGCATTGCATACAAGTTTTACAGCGCTGTGACACGAAACTGTTTCTTACACTATTATCGGCCTAAAAATAGTTACTCTTAACTAGGAATGAAATTCACCGCAAACTATATCCAATGAAAACCATATATCAAGACTCAAAGCTTCTTTTATTAATTACAATCAGATCGGCAGAGGATCGTTGATGTCTCTCCAGGACAGAATCTCATTGATACATTGTGTGCCTCGTGAACTTGTCAGTAAAGATTCAACTCCTCCATCAAATAAACCAAAACATCCACCTTATTAAAGAACAAAAAAAACATAATTGAAAATAGTAATACGACAAGTTACCTCAGCCAATTAATTTGTTAATCAAAACTAAAAAAAAATTTCGAGCGTGATTGGTTTTCACCAGCCCGATTTATAAACAATTATTGGATGAGGTTTTTGTGATATTCAGAATAATCAAGGTTGACGTAGGGGTTATCAGCCTCAGCCTTCGACTTCGGTTGATAACCCTTACCTTGAACGAAAAAAAAGATGGTCACGACAGTAAGTGGAATTAATTTATTTGTTTCTACAAATCAGCAACCACCACAAAGCGCGCGAACTTGACACATTATCCTTAGAAAAAATCATGCACGGCGGTCATACATGACATTACCTGTGACCTTGAGTGTTCTTGACATGAGTATTGTAATCACCAAATATTATAACATAGCTAATAAATTTGTCTAATTAAATTCAATTGCGCGAGCGTGCTTCATATCCCTATTATGCATGACGTCAGCAAACAAATCCCTCGAGAAAAAAATTTTCCATCGGGTTGTTATAAATGTTATAAAACAATTGGTTCATACGTCAGCGTGCGTTCTTCGAGATATGAAGCACTTGGGAAGTTGGGGAGCACTCAAGAAACTAGAGTTACTTACGCATCTTTCGTGCTCTCCAAACTTCCCGCGTGCTTCATATCTCGATGAACGCACGCTGACTTATGAACCAATTGTTAAATGGTAATAGGACCGAGTGGATTCCGATTCGGAGTGACTACCAAAATCGGACGAGCGCGAAGCGGGAGTCCGATTTGTCAATCGCGAGTATGATTACAAATAGAATTGGACGATATAAAGTCCTGTTACCCGGTTAATCATAACTGTTGCAATTTCCGAAAAGAAAAAAATACAGTTAGGACGAACATCTCCGGTAGAGACAATGTCTAAAGTAAAATTGCCCTATCTTTTTTAGGATTAGTGGTTGTTGCGATCAATTCTATTATTGGTGGATTTAGCTGAATGGACTCAGTATAACAGTTGGCTGCTTTAACTGTCCGATTACAACTGTACAGAATAATTAGTGAAAAATAAAGCAGCTAATGCACCAATCACATTTGAGGAAATTGTAACGGTTGTGACTAAAGCACGAATAGGGTAGTCTACGCGTTATGCTTGTAATTGGACAGTTATAAGAACAGTTAACACGTCATGTTTGTGTAAGTAGACAGAAAGCATCTTTTGCGCGCGCTGTTGTCTCGCATTTCGCCGAGTTAACTGTTTTTTATGAAAAACTTTACCTAATGTCTAGTTTCTTTCTCAAATTTATGTCATAGTTTTTATTAACCGGTAACAGGACTTTATCTCGTCCAATTCTGTCTGTAATAATACTCGTGATTAATAAATCGGATTCCCCATTCGTGGGATTACTCCCCAAACAGGAGTCCACTCGGTCCTATTACCATTATAAATATGGTTTGTCGTTGACCAATCCATTCCCATTAACGTTACGGTTAGCTCCAACTAGCGCCTCCACTACAGAACTTTCCCTTCTATTGAGGTACTCATCATTGTAAATTGAAACAGGCAAATTGTCAAGGGAATCTGATCAAGGGATCTGGAAAGGAAGGGAGGAAGGGAGGAAGGAGGAGGGGAAACCTGTTATGGCAGCCCATCCAGGATAAAAAACAATAACTCCTCAAGTGGTCATTTCATGCTCCAGGAATCTAGAGAGGTTCTGGCAATCATTCATGGGCATCTGTAGTAAGTCTCACTACAGATGCAATCTGTTGAGACTGTTTAGGGCTATCATCAAACTCATAAAAAATGTCTCATACCAGTATGAATATAGAGTATCCTATTTCCTCGAAATCTCTTGGGATTGTTGGTCATTTCAGCCAGCATTCCTCTGACTGTCTTTATGTTGTACACTGGGTCAATCAACACTCCGGTAGAACTGGAAATCTCTAAAATGTATTCTGCAAGAAAAGTTTTTAAATATTGCATTTTACAAAAAAGGAAATATAAGAAATTGAAAATATAAGTTACTTTGTGATAATGGCACAACGGTATTGCACTGAAATAGTACGATTTACAATGTACAGAGTACTTTAACATGGCCAAAGTTTTGAGCCAGGTAGATTCCCTGGCCATTCTAAGTTGGCCTTTTAGGCTGGCCATGATCTGGAGTCAATGTTAAGGGAGCTGGATTGGAATAGAGGAGATCAAGGTTTCATGGTAATCGCTTCTTCTTTAACAATGGTACACTAAAGAGGACGAGTAATTACCTAGATCTTCTTGTGAGGGTCTACCATATCCTGGCAAATGATATCCGCCAATGACATCAATTATTTCTTCTGCTTGCACAGAGAGCCCAGCTGCTTGAAGTTCTTCATTTATCTTGCTGTATACATATGCATCGTCATCACGTACATTTACTGCATGGCATCTACATTCACATGGGAAAAGCAAAATTAAGCAAATTATAGTCTAGTGGATCAAAGAGCAGCAAAGTGTAGAACTCCCATAGACAGTATCAGCAGGATAATAATGCTGAAGGATTTTGATATCACCATATCATCACACCATCACTATCATCATCCTCCTCGTCATATTTACAATTCTTAACCGGTAGGTACATGAACACTCTAATTAATTTACATAATATGATAGGCTTGATTAATTTCAAAATTGATTTGGTGCACAAGTTTGGGTGCCCTTGAATCATAGAGCTAAAAACCAACACACTAAATACAATATGGAGGAAGTATTTTCATGTTTTACTTGTCTATGATGAGATTGCACTCTCTGAAAAAACTTAATATGAAGACTACTCTTCTTTATTCGACTATTATTATCTATTTGGTCAATATCTAAAACAAATCAACAGTTCTCATGGATACTATAGCTGAGCTACAAGTTTAAATCTTTCATGAGAAAATTCATAGCTCACTTGAGTTTTGAACCTGTCAGATAATTAGCAATGGAAATTCCTGCTGCAGATCCTCCTGTGGCAGCTGCCATTACAATATCATCAAAATCTTCCAGCAGATTCTTTAAAGGATGAGAAAATGTGTTCACTTCCAGCAATCAAAATACTGGTAAGATGAGTTTACAAACAACCACATTATATTGATCAAAGATTCATTAATTGCTAAGCCTCAGCTGCAGACTTCGAATTTCCTCAAGTATTTCAGCTTCTCAACCAATTGGCTTCCAGGGCAAGGTTGAATGTTAATCATGCAGTACCAGGGAATAAAGGGTTTAATAACCTTTAAATTTGAATTTGACTGAGGGGTGATACATGCCTAAATTCTGTAAAATATTGAGAGATATGAATGACAGGAATCATTTTAAGGAAATGAAAAACCTTTTTGCCCATTGACTTGTTGATCAGTAAAAAGGCCTAAGACTGCAGTGTACCTTCCTGAATGATTAGTGAAACTGAATGATTAATAAAATCCTCTTCACACAAAACTTTGGGTTACTAGCCTTGGTTACAAGCTTATAGATTAAAGTCCACAAATGAGCAGAATTTGTTGAGCAATGGATCATGTTCTAATTTAAATTATTAACTCACTTGATCCATCATTTCTTGAAATGCTGTCAGGTAACCAAACAATCCTGTATATGAAGAACCTCCAGCCTCTATCAGATATGGGACTGAACCTTGCTGACGTCTGAAAAGATTTTATCCAAGAGAAAATCATTTAAGAGTATCTACTCTACTGTGAACTGTTCAACTCCCAAGATGTGATTGTTAACCCTTTAACTCTCAAGATCTTATTAGTAATTCTCTTTTCTGAGTGCCAAATGATTCTTATTATATTAGTTTGGAGAATTTGGTATCGGATCAATTATTAATCCCATAACTGATATTTTTCTTTATTCTCATCACTAATTGTCTGCATGATATTGTATAAATGAAGAAATTAATATGAAAGCAATCCTTGCAGTTTAGTAGTAATGAAAATTCATGCTTGAACTGCCGTACAAGCCTGAATTTTTTCAGACCTTATTTTCATTATTACTCAAGTGGTGTTCATAACTGCAAGGATCGCTTCCATATTCATTTCTTCAAATGCAGTTCACATATATGAATTTCATATATTTACAGTCATTTATTCACCACTTCACAGGTTTATTTGGAACCAACATTATGACCAGCTCCCAGTTGGCTTGTTAGCTCAGTTGGTAGAGTGCGGCACTGGTATTGCAGAGGTCATGGGTTCAAATTTCGTACAGGCCTGAATTTTTTCTGGCTTTATTTTCACTATTTCTTAAGTAGTGTTCATAACTGTGAGAATCGCTTCAATATTTGTTTATTTATGAGAATTTGTGGTAAGATCAAGATAACAGCTTCTACCTGATAAGTTAGAGTATTCTCATTATCTGTTTGCTAGATAAGATATGGATATCATAAGGAGAAGTTACATGTTAATCACTTGTGGGAGTTAAAGTTTCTCTGGGAATGAAAGGTGGGACTGGGATACAAAAACTCCCAATCCCTTGGGCACACCAGTCTCATTATGCCTTAGGATAAAAAAATTTGATGAAAATAATACAATTTAAGTTCACACCTACACAAGAACAAACATTAATTTTTATCTCTGACGAAAAACACGTCTTATAAAAAAAGCAAAGAAATGATGTAACGATAAGAAAAGATAAAACCAAAGCTTTGTATTTTGTCAGTGATCCTAACTTCCTTGAGGCTTCCATTGTTGAAGGAAGTCAGTGAAGAGGAGGTCTTGTTAGTTAACTGGCCTTTTAGGGCATCTTACTAAGTTTTTCAGGATTTCTAAACTATTTCTAATTGGAATAATCTCATAGATCTTTTGGTTTAATTAATTCAAAATGATTGGATTCTCTCTTAAAGTCTTGCACCTTTGACTCAAAACAGCTATCAAAAGTTGTCAAAATAATTTGAACAAATCAGCTACCTACAATTTTTCTGCCATTTTCTCCATCATTGGTTGAAGGCCAGCCTCATATTTCAACTCTGGAACAAGAATAATATTACTTCCAGCCATCCTATTTAAAAGAAGATTCCCTTTACATCCAACATTGACTGTCTTCTACAAGGAAAAGAAAACAAAAGGTTGGCTGTGGTCAGAGAGTTAGCAATAACACAGATATTGTTGTTGCTCATGTAAAAAAGACACTTTGTAACAACAAGTGGTGCTTGAGCTACAAAATGTTAGGGAAAGGTATAATTGTTGTATTACCTGATCAGAACAACTTAGCAGCAAGTAACAATTCAAACCAAGTTGCTTCGTTGCAACTGCAGTAGTCCTACAATGATTGGAAAAGAGACCACCACATGTTATCACTGTGTCAGACTTCTTCTCTAGAGCATCAGCCAAAACAAACTCCAATTTACGAACCTATAACATAACAAAGCAACTAAGTTACTTACGATCAATTCATACTTAATTGAAATAATTAACCTCTTTAGCGAGACATACATATACAAAAGCCTATATAATGTCGTGTGATCACTTGTGCAAACTCAAAGGGAATATAAGAAATAAACAGCAGTGTCACACGATATGGTAAAAAGAAGTAAAAAGTTCATAAAAATGTACAAATAGAAACAAAAGCAGAGATAAGGGAAACTTGACAATTTTCAAGGTTTTCTGTTCATTTGATTCTGGATATCCAGTACAGTGTTAATTTATCAATTTTCCATAAGCTCTACTGTTAAACTTAAATGTTTTATAAAAACAGCCTGACTACTGACGTTTGTGGCTGTCTCAAACTCAAGTGAGGCAGCTTGATTCTGACTGCGTGAAAGCATGATATTGGGATGGCATTTTCAGGTCTTCACATTTGTAAATGTTTAGATATTTGACCACTACATTTTCATGTGTTGGCAACTGTTTGTGGAAATTCAAGTAACATTGTTAAATACAGACAGCCTGAAGGGGGATGACCATTGATAACATCTTAAGAAAAGTTTTCACCTCACTTCATCCTAAAAAGTACCTTTAAGTTAAGTTTTACAGTTTGTGACATGACTTCCAAACACAGGTAGACAATTTGCCAACTTTTAATTTTAATTTGGTTGCAAATTTATTTGAACTTTCCAAGAAAAGCATTAAGTTAACTAGGCTGAATATATATTTATTTGGTAAATCACACCTTATTTCCAGACAGAGCACATCCAGTCAGGTCATCCCTTTTGATGAATATTGAAAACTCCTTTGGGGCATTGGGAATATTCCATGGGTGGATTGGAGTGTTACGTTGAGCGAGCTACAAAATGGCAAAACTTATAGTTAGCATGGGAGTTATAAAGCATCTTGCTGGGAAGAATACAGCACAATTAATTTCACCCAGCACTCATCTGCAACCACTTAATTAATAAACAAAGTCATCAAATGTCGACCAAATGTCAGTCAACAGCTAGCTATAGCCAAGTGTAGCATGTAGGAATATGAACCATGGCCATGCAGGCCTGAATCAATGATCTGGATGTTTACTTAGACTATATATTAATCCTCTCAACCTATTAGATGCAAAACCTAATCATAAGCAGTTAACTCCAAGTGTCGTTGTGGTATAGCCCCACTCATTCAACGAGTTATTTAGCATTCCCTCGTAAAGTTGCCTTTCCTATCTGGTCATTGAAAATCAAACAGAAATCATAAAATAAAGTATTGGTAGTGTTGTTACTTGATCGCGTGCTAATGTAACCAACCTTCGTCTTACATGCGATTATCCTGGTAGCATGTTTGACATACAGGATAATTTGAAACGTAATAAGACTGCACTAAACTACCATATTCAATTACTGATATACAAAAACACTTTCATACTTCGATTGTACGATTTGATCTGCATTCATGTTGTTTTACCTTGAGGGAATGCTTTGGAATGTTCTTCAGGGATGAAGCCCACTTAGGTGGTACATACTTATGAAGCTGTGCAAGATTATTTGCGTTCATTTCCGAGGAACTGAGAGAAAAGTTGACAAGATATATATTGTACGTGTCTAGTCTAGAAGGGGAAAAGATTAATTGAAAAGTCATCCAAATCCTTATATCGTGCGTTAAACAAAACGGAAATTGGAGAGGGACCTTTTAGAGGTTAGTCATCTCATTCCCCACTTTAAAATAAAAAATAAACTTTTGAGACTATATTTGGATGTTATCTTTTCCCAATATTTGTATTAGCCTTCCCTTGAAAACTTATTCTGACTACCTTACATAGCTATCTTGTTGTAGTTCTGTGGGAAGATTGTAGCTATAAACAACACGACTTGAGTGTTGAGTGAAACAGGATTAGAACTAGGAGAATCTTATAAAGTTTTGTACTCTTTTGCAATAATTAGTTGTAGAAGGAATAACCTGATGACTAGTGATGTAAAACTCAGGGAAAGAACAGACAGGACACATGAGATTAATGGTTTATGATAAAAAGCGAGATGAAGTGGCTTTTAGTAAGTAGTCCTTTGTTCCTTTATCTTAAAGCAAAGGCGTGCGAGAAAAGCGCCATCTGTTAAATCTTTTCCTTGGGCAAATACGTGACTCTGACAAAAAAGGAATATGTCCTGCCGTAAGAGAACGACTTTTAAAATTTGGAGGCGAACTGGTAATGGTTAGGCGAACTTTCGTCAGGGACTGAATTCGTAAAGGTGGTAGGTGGCGAGAATCCAATGGAGCGAAGCCTCCAGATGCCAAAAATGGCCTAACCCGGCGCTACATCTGACGTCATGCAATTTACCATAGCGACCAACTTCATGTTTTGATTCATGTTCATTTCAAGAGCTTCGATAAGACCTTTACATCTGTTTCCAGCTCACTCAAACTCACGGTAAAAGAATCTAATCTATGCATTCGCCAACGACTGCTGTCAAAGAGGAACTTGATTGATTTACTATTGCGAAGTAAAAACATCTGGATCGTCTTCCAAGTCTTTGACCAATATTCCAGCCGTTCTGTCATTTTCCAGACCAACGCCTGTTTCCCGAATTCTTCTCTGGAAATCTACGGAGTCGTACGCATTGTTTGTGGCTGCGACATCTTCAACTGCAATTCGCTTTCGAAACGTTCCTTCCAATAAGGTTTTAGCGACCAAACGAATTTTTCTAATGCGCCAAAAACATAGCAGTGGGTTTACCGTTGAATTGATTAACACCATGAGTAATCCTAATTCTGTAGCGTTTTGCAGTATTTTAGTAGTGTGGCCGTAAATAATCCTTATTAAAAGTGCGATCCATACCGGAAAATAAGCAAACAAAAGAGCACAGTAAATGTATAACATATTCGTTACAGATTTTCTGTAAGAGAAAATGTTCATTGAATCCTTGCGCGAATAGGTCATGCACCAGTTTTGTTGCCTGTGAAGAACAGTGTAAATTTGAATAAAAACAACTAATGTTGCCAGAAAGCTTAAAGGGATGATAATCATCACCAACAGAAAATAAACTTTTGAGTGGAGAAGAAACGCTGCTGACCACGGAAAAGATATCGTCCATATTATTATCACCACAATGAGCACTCGTTTGAATGTGACTACCCTACGGTATCGTAGTTTTAAATACAACGCCAGAAATTTATCTAGGCTTATGAACACCATGGTCAGTAGCGAAACAAGAGAGAGATGCCCGGAAGAGAAATCGTAGATAAAGCCGACGACACATGCAGCAAGTTCGTTCTGAAGTAACTTGTGCAGTGCAAAAGAAGGTTGAACAATGAATCCCACAAAAAAATCCGACAATGCTAAGCTGCACAGAAGTATCTTAGATGGCCGACCCATCGAAGGTGCTCGTTTAATAGAGAGTAAAACCAAAGCGTTTCCAAAAATTGCAGTTAAACAGAATGCCCAGTTTAAACTCGCGGTTATAAGTCCAAAAATGTCTAAAACATCTGTGACGTGGTAAAAATCGCAGATGTGAAAATTGTGCTCCATGTTTTGGGCCGGCGCTGTTGTTGAATTTTCCATACCTGATAGCGGAAGTACAAAGCTTGCGCGAATATCTCTTTGATAAACTTATCACAATCAGTTCGCGATGTAAGTCTTCCTTTGTTGCCGCAAGGAGGGAAAATTAATGAGAATATTGTGCAGCTAGAGGTGTATTTTCCGCTCGCTCATCTTGTTTAAAGAACGTGACAGGAATTCATATTGCTTTGACACGGTTTTGCTTCCCACACTGATTTGTTTCAGATTCACTTGCCGCTGCACCTGGATAAGTATTTACTATGCGGCGTTTGCAAGCAAACAAAAATGATTTTTTTCTGCACACTTTTTAATTATCAGTGATAGATACACATGGCAGTATCCCTCGTGAAACCATGAATGCCTTTTATTTATTTAAGTCAGTTACCTCTTGAACAGTCAGTGGTTTCTTCGCACAAAATACCCTCAATAGACGAAAAGAGATTATTGTAACAATTTGGAATGAACAAGAAAAACAAATCTTTGTTTCTAAAGTAATTATTAATGTGCTTTTTTTTTCATTATTTTTTCGCCCCCAGCTAAGATTACCCTTGCTAGCGATCGTCACGCATAAAGGACGGTAGTTCGCATATTCTCTGTTCTGCCATAGCTAAGGATTCGAATAAGGGCCAACCGGAATTTGAAATGAGCGCTTTGCATACAGCTATAGGATTATAAAATTCCGAAATCGTTTAATGTAGAGTTAAGTTTATGCACTTTATAGCTTTTCAAACCATTGATTTCCCAAGAAAGACAATATAAAACACAAATCATTTTTGGGAAATAAATTCCTTGATTAAGACTATTGGAGGAAAGAACGAACCAAAAGGGGCACGTGCTGTACTTTATTTTATTTCAATATTGCAATATTTCATCTAAGTATTACACAGTTCAAATCAAGCCTCCATGCAAAGTACTTTAAACCGCAACTGAAAATGTATTCCGCCATTTTGGTCCTGTACCCCATTGACACCGAAGCTTAAACATTTTTTCGAGCTGTTTTGTTAGATACGGTTTACAATTTTTTTTCTACACAGAGGCTGCTTAAACGGATGTTTGTCGACTTCAAATTTAGCATTAAAAATACAAGTTAGCGATTACTTGAATCCTATCAAAAGTTTTCTTTTTTCAGTTCTCTGTTTATGATTTTCATACAGTTAAACCCAGTTTAACTAAATATGGTTTTTTGGTGTGATTGGGGTATAAGATTCATAGAAATTCTTGTTTTTCTACATATTTCATTATCATCGCGAATGGGTAAAACGGTCGAGTAAACTTCTTGAATTAATCAGCTAAGTGATTTATTTCCCAAAATTTCCATCATTTTCAGCTCAAAGTCAATTCACTCTAGAGGAAAAAATTGTTTGCTTAAGGAAGGTCGCGATCCATAATTATATTCAGTTTGTTGTGCACTAGGCAATTAAAACTCGTTTTTCATTGGAATGTTCTCACCATAAATTACATTTTTACTGCTTTTATTTACGATCGTGCACTTGAAGTAAACTTTAAAGACTGTCAGAAAGCTGTATCGAGTACTCATCAAGTCTTGCGCATTCACCGAAAGCTATCAGCATTCCATTCTTTGCATGGCACTTAGTACACTTAGTTAAAGTGTATCTTGATCAGTAATGAAGCTGGAGGGTATTTACCCTCTATGTATATCGAGATTACTGTAATTTTAAGATTGGAGAAAGCTGAAATTTCCGGCCAAATTTCAAAACTTTCCTCGGTAATTTTCTACCGCAAAAGACATGTTATGTACTCTTAACTTCTCATTGCGGGCTCTCTCTATTTCCTGTTTCACTTTCAGCTGGCCCAAGGACTTCCACAAATGTCGTTGTTCTTACATGGTGCATTGTATCTTCACTTGGGGTCGGTGCTCCGTTTTCAACTCTAATCGGTCTTAAACACTTAAAAATTAACGGTAGCACTTCACATGCGGCTGACCGAAGCTCCTTTATCCTCCACAAATACACCACAGGATTCACAGTCGAATTCAGGAAAATAAAAGTTAGTGTTAATTGTGTAGCTTTTCGGATCGCTATTGTAGAATCTCCAGTTGTTACTCTTATCAGCATCACGAGCCAGGCCGGAAAATAGGCGATAACTTGAGCACAATACACATATAACATGCTGCGAACTGAGTTCTTGTATCGTAAGATGTGAACTTGCCCCTCAGCCTGGACCGATGGTTTTGTGTAGGCTGTTCGTGTTCGCTGCCGTTGAAGAACGAAGCGGATTTTTGCAAAAGCAAAAAAAGAGCATAAAAAACACACGGGTATAACAATCAACACAGACACGCAATAAGTCGGGAGGCTCACAAAGAAAGAAATCGCCCACGGAATAGCAAGAACCCAGATAAATGCCACAACACGGATTGAGCGTTTCTCTGTCACCACGATGCGGTATCTCAGCTTGAGTTGAGCGGCCATGCATTTGTCAATGCTTATCGCCATCATAGTGAGAAAGGAAGCGATAGAAAGGTGTCCCGAAACCACATCGAATAGAACGCCAACAACACAACGTACTAATCTACCTTCAAGAAGAATTTTCATCGCAAATAGCGGTTCCGCCAACAAGCCAACGCCCAGATCTGCAAATGCGAGGCTGCTAAGGAGAATTTTGGTCGGGAGCCATAGAGCTGTTGTCCTCCGAATCGCAACAAGGACCAAGGTGTTCCCGAGCATTGCCGACACTGACAGAACCATGTTGATGGCAACGGTGAAAACATCAACAATGTCGACCTCAACTTTGACATAAAAATCACAAACATGAAGAGATTGTGAATTGATAGAATTGGTAGTATTGTTCATAGCAAGAGAAAACAGTTTTAGTGCTTTTTTTCTTGTTTCCTTTACATTGAAGTTGAACTGCTGGTGGTTGGGTCGCTTTTCACAAAAAATATTCCGCTCTGGAGCGCAGTGTTTACAAGAGGCTGCGAAATAAAGGGGAGATGCCAGACGATAAATGCGATATTACAAATATTGCCTAAAGTGCACTTGGCTCCAATGGAGGTAAAACGCAAACGAAATTTATTTGCGCAAACGGAAAAAAAAAACTCCTCAGACTGCAAAAGAGGAAGTCAATTTTAAAATTGTTGATGATTGGAGCGGTCTTTGTTCGTAATTGCAAAAGAGGTGTTGGGCTGTTAGTGGGTCTAGCACCTTTTTTAATATACAGTCGGAAGCACCTGAGTTTGGGACAACAGTATTCATTACCGAGAAAACTGAAATATCGAGTGTCGGCGAATCTTTACGCGAACTGAGAGCAAAAAATAGTGCGCTCGCCGGCAATCGCTCGCTTGAGGGAATTGAAGGGATAAAGTGCATGGATGTCGTCTTCATTTCCTTCGCCCACTCAATTCGTTCTAAGAGTACCTAATTCTCTTCCCTGATAACGTTTGTTTAACAACTGGCCCGTTGCAATTGCTGGTCTAACCAACTAAAAGTGAGGACTACTAACCATAATACATGACATTTTATTTCAAAATTCTGAAGTAGGCTGTTCACAGTCATTTTACAAAAAATTTTACTCTATTTGACTCTCTATACCCGTGTTTTTCTACATGTTAACTTTTAATTCGCATACAAAAATAGCCTCATCTTAGGTAATTCATGACCGGAAAGTTGCTAAATCTGGAGCAGATTAAGTGTCAGGCGGTTTGTTTAGTGAGGTTGAATGAACGAACAGAATGAGAAAACCGCCCGGAGAAAGACCGGAGCCAAACCAACGGCGGTTTGGTAGGAACGATAAGTAATGAGGCTTCTTGCCGCTTTCGGTTAGGATCACTTCTATTTAATGAGATTCGTGCGGCCTCTTATGAGATCTCAAAGAATAACACCATCAACTCTTTTGGAAATGGATCATTTTATATTTGTAAACTGGTAACAAACGTGTGAAAAAAATTCAGACCAATTTTTTTCTTTCATGCTTTAAGTCCGTCGTGTGAACATTCTTTCTCTCACTTCAGTGATCCATTTTTTTTTTCTTGCAAACAAACTGCAGGAAGCTGAAAATTTTCCATCATTCCCAAATAAACAGAGCCACTATCTTCTTTTACAAAACCAAGCGCACAGTAGGTCAAGTGGTTCTCATCCAATGATTTGCAATAAAAAGATCAAACTAAAAATTTCAGCAGGAACTTTTTATCAGCATGCCAGAATTCATGGTTTTTCTATAGGACAGCAAAATCACTGCAAAGAATCCAAAAAGGCCACACGAACAATGTACGAAATAATTATTCTTCCCTTTCATAGGCTTAATTATCAAAGATAAATCCCTACAAATTATTTAGTCCAACCCTTTACGTGTAAACCATCGATCAGCTACAATTAATTTCAAAGAAAAGTAGCTTTGAATAACATGTATTCTATGGCGATATCACAACGAGGCTTAAGAAATAAAAACTAGAAACATAAAAGGAAAAGTTTAAAACAATAATATATCAAACTAATTAAAGATATGCTTAAAATAGTTTTTGCATTTACCCTCTCCACAACAATGTTAAATTTAGCTAATTACAATCTTAAAACAGCAGACGGTTGCTTTGATTCACATTTGGAAGTGTCATTTTGAATGTCTAAAAAATAAGTACACGCTATTGTCTACAGGTAACAACTTATCCATGAATAAATAAAATAACAATTCAGTGGGATCCTGGCGAAAGCGAATTCTGTGAAATACTTTGAGTGAAAACAACTCTTCTTGTGTTGACTTGCACCAGATCACTCGTTAAATCCGGCCATAATTAACTGAAACGAATAATAATAATAATAATAATAATAAAAAATATTAAAACAAATGCAAACTTAATGGCCAACATGGCTGATGGTTTATCTGATGCCCGATGAAAATAATAGCACTGAAGCCGCGAAAACGGAAAATGGAGCTTCGCCGAGTGACAACCTGCGTGAAGCCGAACAAATACGAGAGTGCCTCTACAAAGAGCAGGGCAAGTTTTAGAAGCTCGCTATTTCAAGCCTTACACTCCAGAGATTTAAATATAAATTCTCCCTACAGTCCTTCATGTATTTCTCGTGATTTAAGGTCTGAGAATTTGGTTTAAAATCAAGCAATATCCCCTTGATGATAATCCTTTTTCTTCTGGTCACCCCTCTTTATTACAATTTTCTGATGTAAAGGGAAGCTCCTTTTTGTTCTCTCCTAGAAGCGAAAGAGTAAACCAACCATACCGAAATCTTTACATCAGCCACACAAGTTTAGCACCCTTGTGGAAAGATCTGGATCAATTTCAGTATCTGAGCACCAGGCCCCTATACCAAGTTAGGGTTAACGCTGGGTCAGGGGCTAGGTAGGGGCGCAGTTGCTCAGATACTGACGTTGATCAAAACATATAAAGTCAAGAAAACTTCACCTGGTTGACTAAAACACGTGAAATCTCTGCGATTAAAAATCTTTAAACGGCTCCAGAAGCTTGCCACTAAGAGGTGGGGCTGATCTCCAGTTTTCCTCTGGGTAATCATCAAAATTTCTAGTGTCCCCTGGATGAGATAGCTTAGGTATAATGGGAGCCTAGGTGAAAACCAAAGGAAGTCTGTTAGATCACCGTACAAGTTTCACCACGAAGAATACTTTGCGTCACTTAGAGATAAGTAAACAGTAGGTTGAAAGCCAGTAAATCAGTGATGGATCCATAGCTTGAAGTGCGGGGAGGTAAGGAAACGGGTCTCAAAAATAAAGTACCCGGGGGAATTTAAGGCTCTCCGGCATTCCGCGCATTTGATTCGTCAATAACAGCATTTAATCTCCAATGTGATTGGATATAACAAAACAACTATCTCAGACAAATTTTAGGTGTATAAGGTTTTCTTTGTTTGCCAGTTACTACAACCAAATCTTTACTCACCTTGAGCTTTCTTTGATAAACTAAATTCCAATCTATCACTTTGAACCATTTGTGACTCTTCACATCTTCTGTTCCATTCTGAAACAAACCACCATTATTCAGGGTTTAAAGTTGTTTAATTAATAATCATCGTGCATATTACGCTATTTTAGTACTAAACTCTGTTGACACAATTAATAGGTCATAAAAATGACTTGTTATCTGTAGAGGACAGTAAAGGGGCCAAAGTAAGCTAAAAATTAGAAGATTGAAAAATTGCATAATGATAAACTTGAAAAAAAAACACAAATAAAAAAAACACAAATAGAGCACAAGACGTTTAGTTTCCGTTCAATATGGAAGAAGAATTAAAGGCAGAAAGAGAATAATGCAGTCAATCATTCATCAATCACACAACTCAATCAATTAATTTATCAATATTTTATGTTGTGTCCTGGGATGAGAGACTGTGACCAGATTGTGCCTGGCCCAGCCCTCCTTGTTCAAAAGTCAATATATGCACTCACTTTTCGTTCACAATCGTAAGACCGTACGAGGAAAACAAATACAGACAGTCTAAAAGAGTCAGCCTGACTTTTTTTTTTCATGTTATCATTTAAAGCAGTTGATATTATTGTTTTTCATTGTATGGCTGAATTTTGCTACAGTTAACATTGTTGCAACATCTCTAATGAAACAGATCAACCTACAATAGGTATCTGAGGTATTGCTATGAGAATTTTAAGATTGCACAAAGGTAATTTACTTTCACCTCTAGCCAAACATTAAATCATAATGTACCTTCATACTTCCCAATCTTCTTGTTCTGTCATGGACTAATAACTTTTTAATCAAGTCTCTGTATAAGCCCAAAGAAAAACAGAAAATATTCAATTAGACATAACATTCATAGCAATTGTTACTATCAGGACAATGAGAAAAAAAAATGAAAGGTTGAAATTAAACCCCATCTTAACCCTCTCACTCCCAAGATCTTATTGGTAATTCTCCTTTGTGTCTGCCATACAATTCTTATGACGTCAGTTCAGAGAATTTGGTCTTGGATCAACTAATAATCCCATAATTGATATTTTCTTCATTCTCATCACCTGCCTGCTTGATATTGTATTATTGTCGGGAGAAATACTGTCTTGATCACATGCGGGAGTGAAAGGGTCAAACATGCAAATTCTAGAAATAAACCTCAGTCACCACTTTAGCGTAATAAACTTAACCCTTTAACTCCCAAGATCTCTTTAGTAATTCTCCTTACCGTCTGCCATATAATTCATATGGTGCTAGTTTGGAGAATTTGGAATTGGATCAACCAATAATCCTCTAATTGGTACTTTTCTTGATTCTCATTACTTGTCTGCTTGATATTGTATTGATTGTGTGAGGAAAAATTCTGTCGAGGTCACTAGTGGGACTTAAAGGGTTAATCTAACTTGTGACCTGCTCCCTTCCCCTGTTTCCCATCCACATGCATGTTAGCAATTCAAACGCTGATCTCCCTTGCACTTCTTTCTAGCGTGTCCCAAAGGAGGATTAAAGAGAACTATATTTAAAATCAAACACCGCAGGAAAATCTCTCTCCATGTGTTGAATTCCTGAGGTCATGGATTAAGTTTAATCTTGTAACAATTTTAGCATCTTTCAGTCTAAATCTGTGGGTGTGCAAGGCGTGCACGCATACAGCTGGGATGACAAAATTTTTCTTTAAGAAGGAAATATATCTTACTTTGCCGCCGTAGTTTCCATGTGTTTTGGCCATTCTACCTTTCCTGATAGTATCTTCTCATAGATGCCAAATGGGTTGTCATCGAAAAATGGGGGATACCTGAAACCAATCAGATTTTTATTAACAGTCATGTCAGTCTTGTTCAATAATTTAACCTAAAAAATACTAAAATACCCACACTCACAGATGGCTCCAGACAATTTTATGTTAGATTTGTGAAGCAGATTGGAATTCCCTTTAAAGATGTTAAAGTATGTGCATATTATTTATACAGTGCTGAATTAAGATGAATTCCCTGTAACATTTTGTGAAAGTCAGCTTTATGAAATATATTCATACAGGAGGGAATGTACTCCATGTACCTAATTGGGTTTGAAGCAAGGTGTCACTGCAGGAGATCCAAATCTGTTTCAAATTTTTCGTGTTCATTTTTCTTAAGGATTCTGCACCTATTTATTTCCAAAATAGAATCAATTAAGACCACCCCTGAGACATACATGTCACAACATGCAAGATTTAAAAAAAAACTAACAATACACAAAAATAAACAGATTTAAAATATCTTGACCTTCATTGTGTAAAATCCTGCATAGACAGTTTTTTAAGTCTGGAAAGTTAAGACCCTGGCACCTAATGGGACTTAATTTTGAGTCTGAGCTCCAGTTGTGTACAAGGACAGCTGTCAGCCAATTTGCTCTTTATTCCTTAACAGTCTCCTGCAGTTCTTAAATTAGTTTTGTAAATGTGAAAAACCTAACAGAATCTTGACTACACCAATGATGAAGGCTTTTTTCTATCACCCTTTAACCCCAATGAGATTGAAACTAGCATTGATTTTCTCCATATATGGTCCCTCTTGAAATAAAAAATGGAGGTTGTGAGAATACAGGAAATGATCAACCACTCCTAAAGCTCTTGATTGTTAAACAAATTCTCCTTGTCAATGCCATAGGAAATGTATATAGAAAAGAACAGAGAATATGCATACTGATCTTAGTTAACAGAAAGGGTTAAGTTTTGAATTAATAGTGACTGCATGTTTCCAATAAGTAGACCATGTGGCGTATCAAATTTTCATAGACTTTGCCCAACACATGACGGGAGGGTTTTTTAATCTCAAACCATCTGAACTGTTTGAAATTTTTCTTAGAATTAAGATTAAATTTATTAATCAGTGACAAAGGTAAACCAAGATAAAAGAAATTTCAACAGGTGTGGATTAACTTATGACCTTGAAAAAAGTATTTCAGCGGCTAACTACTAAGCTTGAGGAGGTTACACAGATAGCAGGGCTAAATTAAATATTTTTGTTTCATTGCACAAAACAAGCAACAAACTCTGGCATACCCCCTCCATAGTTTATATAAATACAGTTTTGTGCAATGTATAACACAAAGGAAGATGGCAGGTTTAAACCAAAGTTTTCACATGAATGACCAATTTTTCCTCTGTGAAGCAGAAGCCACCATACTTGAAAAACTGTAATTCTCAGACAGAGCATCAAACAGAAATTGCTCTTTTTGGGCATGACCATCTTTTAATCCGCATTTAATTGGATGTTCTCCCACTGTGCTGGATGCATGTGCAGGCCTTGTTGTAGTGACAGATACCCATTTCTTTCAAATCACCAGGCTTGGAACCAATTGTTTCAGTCATTATTTACTTGCTCCTACTTTGCTCTAATGAAGGACTAACACTTGAAGTATCAGTTTTAGAAACTCTTTAAGGTGGCCAATTTACATTCTCAACTCAGTTGATAAAACTAATTAAAAATATCTTCTAATTCATCGAAGGCTCAGTTCCTACTTTACTCCTACTTCACTGCTCAAAATGACAGCTTTAGAAACTCTTCATGATGGCCAATTTACATCATCAACTCAGTAAATAAAACTAAAAGATCCTACAATTCATTAAAGCAACAGGTCCCTCTTACCCAACAAGCATTTCATAAATGAGAATTCCTAAGGCCCACCAATCAACTGCTTTGTTGTGTCCTTTGCTCTGAATTATTTCTGGAGCAAGATATTCTGGGGTACCACAAAGAGTCCAAGTCCTGAAAAAAAAAAAAATTGCGACACATGAAATATTTTATTACTATTACTAGTATGTATCAAAACAGTGGATGGCATTTAAGGCATGCTGTTGGCTACTCAAACTCCCAATATCCTTTTCTGTTCACTTGGAGAATACTTTAATTGTTGCAAGATTAAATGAGTTAAAATCAACTTTTTTGCCCAATATATTTTCTAACTGTTTTAGTATATACTAAGCACAACTATTCATCTCACTGGTAGTGGCTAGCGATATTAACCTCACAACTTTGCCATTTCCAAATTTTAATCCTTTACTCTTTAACATCAGTATGCATATTCTCCATACTGTTCTTTATACATTTCCTAAGCTGCTGACAAGGAGAATTTGTTTACTGATCAAAAGCTTCTTTTGTTGGTGATCATTTCCTTTACTCTCATGACCTTAATGTGTGATTCAGTGCTGGTATTTTGAGGAGAAATTAGATGATAATCACTCTTTGGAGTTAAAGGATTAATTATGGTTGCATCATACTATTGTGTTTCAACCACAACTTCACTGATGGGGCGACACATCAACCACAAACCCACCTTGCTTTTTATAAAAAAAAAACATTTGGGGAGATATATTTGCACTAGTGAAAAAGCATATTTTTGCGGCTTTTGGGTTTTTATGTAATTTTGTTATTTATTCTCAGGAAAACAAAATAGCAATTTTAGTAGTGTTGATGCGCTACCAGCAGGCTTTATAGGGGTAGCACCTGTTTTAATAGGACAGAGACTCCAAGTGGATAGAGGTTATTTCAGGCCACAATTTTAACCAGACTGTCTGGCATAATATAACAAAAGAAAAAAAAATCGTTTGTTTTGCCAACATAGGGAGTCTCCGAGACAGAACTTTGGACTTTGGAAAATAAGCAAAATTTTAGAAATTCATAAAATGTTGGCATGTTTTTTCAACTGGGGGTTGCACTTAGTTTGTTGACAGATTTTAATCTTAAACAAACAAAAATGAGCTCTAGCCAGACCTGGCTCTTAATTAATGGTACCCAAGTGTCTTACTATTGATCAATTAATTTAAATTGATCTAAAGTGAGAAAAGGAAAACATGCCTGGTTAAAAATATCCTTTTTTTCCCAGATTCATTGAATCTTCTCTTTCCCCCCCCCCAACTGTCCCAAAGTTGAGTTTTCTTTGGGCATTAAAATATTCTTGTTCCCAAAATTGACATGGAGGAAACAAGGAAAATGTTTCAACAATTGTGATAAGGCTTGTAAGCAATAAATATTTATGATCAATAGTTAGTTGCACAGTATGTGCTTATCTTTAAAGGGGACAGGGGCTCTTCGGCAAGTTGAAAGGAAGGAAAGGTCATGGGAAATTCTGAAACTAACATATCCTCTTAACTGATCAGAATATTAAATGTCTAGTTTGGCAAACATTTATCTGAAAGGGATAAAATCAATTCTTGCTACTTCTTACTTTCCATCTATATCCTGAAATGGGACAATAGATGAGTTTCATTCTACCCATAGTTACAAATCAGCAGATTGCACCTCAGGAAAGAACCGGTATTATGAGTACTACAAACAAAGCTAGATGTTTTTTTGTTTTTGCTGTTGTTGTTGTTTTTTTTAAATAAAAAGCTTAAGTTAAAGCTTAAGTCAAAGATATGCAGCTTCACATATCCTGACCATTTACCATTACAATAGAAAACATTCAGATTAAAATAACTTACTTGTCATGAACCTCTTTTGCAAAGCCAAAATCTGTAAGTTTGACATGTCCTTCTCTATCTAGGAGAATATTTTCTGGCTTGAGATCACGATACACTATGCTATTTTGGTGGAGATAGTCTAGGGCAGAGACTATTTCTGCTCCAAAGAATAACCCTGTGCCATTATTAAACCTTCCTGCTGTACGCAAATATGTGAAAAGTTCTCCACCACAAGCATACTCCAGGAGCATGTACAAGAATGTGTTGTCATGATATGTCCATAATCTGCAGAGAGAAAAAAAAAGGTTACTCTGACTGTTCTATTGAGGAAATAAAAGGTAATAAAGGTCCTTGTGAGAATAAAGTAACAGAAAGACAAGATAAGATAAGCTAAGCATATAAACCTTTCTATTTTGTTCCCTGATTGAGTCCCACACATAATTGCTAGTTCACTACATGACACAAGCACTAGTGAATTTTTCAAAGACTACAAATTGCACTCGCCCTGCTGGCTTGTACCATTTTGTTGCCTTTGAAAAAATTATATATTCTTATTAACACCAAATTGCACTCAAAATCATGTTGTAACTCGCTCTTATAAAACAACATATATTAGATTCAAAACATGTATGGTTAAAAGAGACATACTAAGTTCACAACATGTAAACAAACATAATCCAAGTATACTGTACACCATGACAAAACTTCAAATACCAGTTCCCCTGTATATAAATATATCCAGGCAGGTCAGTGAACTGAACATCTTACCGAAACATAACATATTAGATTCACAATATAAATCCTAACATGTAAATATTAATGTACAGTACAACATAACAATGAGATTTGGAGGTGAAAAACAAACTTTGTTCCCTGATTGAGTCCCACACATTATCGCAAGTTCACCACTTGACACTCACTTTCAGTAGTAGCTGAGTTGCCTTTACTAAGTGCCTGTTTTTTTATTCCCAAAGAAATTTTTTTCTTGTCATGTGCATGGTACAAAGGATAAATTCAGAGTATACCAATGAGGAATCAAACCTCAGACCTTTGGATTCCATGCTTTGATACTCTATCACTGAGTCACACAGACCCTTTGGTGAGCCAGGCCTTTAGAGGGTTCACATGTGGCACACATCCCTGATACTGCTAGCATCAGCACTTTTGCTAAGATCAGCTGCAGTTTTTTAATGGTTAACAGGAAAAGGGAGGACTAATGGTTGACAAACTGGAGAAAAACTCATTACAAATCGACCAGGTTCAAGTCTCAGCTGAGTTTTAATCCCCTTAACTCCCAAGAGTGAACAAGAAAGAATTCCTCCTTTCAATATCAATGCAATATCAAGCAGACAAGTGATAAAGGTAAAGAAAAATATCAATTAGGGGATTAGTAGTTGTTTTAATGACTAATTCTCCAGCCTAACATCATAAGAATTGTATGGCAGACAGTTAGGAGAATTACTAATAAGATCTTGAGAATGAAAGGCTTAAAGGAAGAAACTTATGCTCATACAGTATCTCTGTCCCACTCATGAGTATAACTGTGAGTCACAACAAACTGTCCGTGTAGGAAACCTGATAAAATTCTGGGAGGCATTCTGCAAATTATTAACATCCCATGCAAAAGCAGGCTCTTACTCACATATAAATTCTGATATCACTGAAAAAAAAAGCGCAAGAGTGCATTTATTATTTTTCCCATACCGAGCCAACTTTATGTGTACATAACCATACACATATACTTGAACATGTTTGTAACAAGTACACCATACCAAAACTCTGTATTTTAGATTCATAATTTGTATTAACATGTCAATACAAAGTGCAATTTGCCAAGATATAACATACAAGGATCACAACATGTATACAAACGTTCAAATGCTGTACAAAATACCAAAACATATGACATATTACAGAATATATACAAACAAGCTAATATATGGTACACCATCAAAAAACGTAATATTGTAGGTTCACCTTATATTTACTTGCATTATACATGTATAATTTACATCATAATAAGATTCATGAAAAATAATCATGTGTGTCTGATTGGCTGAAAATGTGTGCATTTTTCATGTAACATAAGTGCAAATTACAAATAACAAAAGTGTGCTGCTAAAATTTTGTCCATCTTGACTTTCTGTGATACTTTTTTATGAAAATCATTCACATCTAACAAAATGGTTTCTCATGCAATTTAATGTAAATAAGCACTTGTGAAATTTTTCAAAGACTACAAATTGCACTCGCCCTGCTGGCTTGTGCCATTTTGTTGCATTTGAAAAAATTATTTATTCTTATTAACACCAAATTGCATTCAAAATCATGTTGTAACCCACTCTTATAAAACGAAATATACCAGATTCAAAACATGTATGCCACTTTATTAATAACCAGTCTACCGACCTGGTTAAAAGATGACATACTAAGTTCACAACATGTAAACAAACATAACCCAAATACACTGTACACCATCACAAAACTTTAAATACCAGCTCCCTTGTACGTAGATATATCCCGGCAGGTCAGTGAACTGAACATCTTACCGAAACATAACATATTAGATTCACAATATAAATCCTAACATGTAAATGTTTATGTACAGTACAACTTAACAATGAGATTTGGAGGTGAAAAACAAACTTAATAACCAATAAGAAGGAGGTGTGGTTTGTGTTAGCTTCTTAATGTGAAGTGCACTTAATTGGATTTATGGTTATTCAACCAAATCTGAACACCCAAATTTGGCAGGAAACTGTATAACACCAACTGAAGCTCAGAGAAACATTCCAATTTAAGAGTTTAGGAGACATCAGCATACCATAGCTGCTTTGTACAACTCTGTAGTTAGTAGTGATAGAGTAAAAACAGTGTCATGTGTCACAACTTGAGGTTAACCTTATCCATTCATTTCAATAGTTTAACAGCAAGATATTAAATTTTTTAACTAATTTCTCCATTTACTCCTTGTTTTTTTTGTTTACAGATTAGACTTTTAAATTAAATTCTAAATAAGAAGCAATTGACTTAAGTATGTGGTATGCATCTGGATTTTCTTGGGCAATTAAGGTTACAAATCTAGGATGTACTCAGGTCGTATTTAATGAAGACTAGCCACTTAGCTCGACCTCAAGAAAATACTTATAATAAGCGATGCTCTACTAAAACCATCCTTCAACAACAAAGAGACCACGAACAACTGCTCTTTCTACTCCTTCCCAAGGATAAGTCCAAAAGATTATTAAATGCATGTTTGTTTGGCTGACTTAATAGTGCTTTAAAGAAAAAATAGCCCTTAGCAAAAACAAGAGAATTTGGGTTGAATTTAAAATTTGCAAATTCATATGCATACACATTCAAAATGAATACAAGTTTTTTCCTTCCACTGAAATTTCAGAGGTAGTGCATCATGTCGACTTCAACTCTCTTTATATTTTTATGCTTGTTCTCAGGTCGACCGCCACTTTGTGATCGAAAGCTCGATTCACTCAATTCACTTGCTCATGATCGAACGTTCGATTCACTTGACTGTGACGAATACGTGACGAACGAGACACAAAACCATGTCAATCCCATTCCTTTGTAAAACTTCCCGTAAGACACGACTCTTACAACGGCGCACTAGACACGTAATACGATAGAATTTCAACGACATCGGTAACAATCTGAACATTGTTAAACAATCAAAGACCAGCATTAACATTAATATGCAAACCAATTAGCCTTTGGAATTCAGTTTCACGTGGTGGAAAGAGTAAAATGGCTTCCTACTTAGAGACCCGTTAAGAGATCATGATCACTTCGATACTCAAGGGGAGCGACGTCGTGTAAGATACTTCTTCACTCTATCATTGGATGAACTGGCTTAATTCTCATTATATATACACAAAGCTAACATTGACGACATTTAAGTATCTGTACATAGACTTTTTAAGAACGAATCGAAGAAGCTTACTTTCGAAAGTAGCCTTGTATACATAACCCCACAGGTTCCGCGCGGAGGGAACCTCGCACGGATATTCTTTACAAATGAGCAGCAGAGCGCTGATTTTAAATGCGAAGCTTCGAAAAGGAAAAATTCCGGGAAACATTTCAGGGCCGTTTTTTTGTAAAGCGCAGCGCGAGAAAACTCCTCCATAGATATGTAATGAAGTTTGCTCATGCTCTAAGTGTTTACAAGTCATACTCACAAATTGACGATGAATGGGTGCTCGATCTTCGACAAAATATTCTTCTCGTTTTGGACGTGTTCAACTTGTTTAAGTCTGATCACTTCTCGTATATTCATTATCTTTAAGGCATGATACTCGCCAGACCTTCGGTCTCGGCAAAGTAACACTCTTCCAAACGTCCCCGTTCCTGTGCAAGAGAGAGAGACAGAGAGAGGGTTAGGCGATTTATTCAGCCTCCATAGTGCGAAGCGCTAACGACCTCATTAGAGGAAAGCTATTCTTAGCACTGTAAATAGATCACAAAGATACTTCTTCGCTGCTATGCATCCGTGTCTACTTACCTAAAGTTGTTGACAAGTCGAAGTCGAGCAGAGTCGTTCGTTTGTCTTTCTTCTTGGAAGCATTATTACTGCTTGCCATATTAGATTGCGACGAACGGCGCTAAATGTATTAAATAGACTGATCGTGGACGAAAGAACGCATTGATATCTTCGCACTTCACTCCTCTGATGAAAGTATGTCCCTCATTGCCAAGGAGAAACTGAAATTAAACGCGAACATCTTCGATCGAGAATGTGGAGGTGCGATTGTCGAAGGGCTGGCGGTCCGCCTGTGATGGAATGCTGATAGTCGACAGGGATCGCTCATCCGTGAAGAATCAGGCGAATAAACAAATCAAGCGCGTGTTATTTACTCGCACTGGGTTTGTTTATTGTGCTTGGTTGATTGACAGCTGATGGGTCTAAGTGTCTCTGAACGTTTCCTAAAGAATTGATCAAAAGTTAGCACGAAAGATTCTTTGTGCGATTGAAGAGTTTTCCTAATTGCGCATGTTGTTTTGCAGTTTTGTTTTTAAAAGGGAGAGATTATGATTCAACCAAAATAGCAAAACCACGCTCTCAACGGTAAATTAAACTTACGATTTATCTTTGTGACTGCCCACATACCTCTAAATTAGATAAAATAGATCGTTATCAAACTTCCCCCAGAGACCTCCTTTCTTTTGAGCGGTACCTCAATACAGAGAAGGCAAAAACGCTAAGTGAAATTTAAATTATCGAATGATAATTTGATATAATTCGTTATAAGCGGAAGCTGAACAAAATTTTAGCGCCCGTAATATTCCACGGTTCCGCAACGAAATCGGAAACGACAGGACTAATGCTACTTCCGGTCAGGTAATTACGTCACAAGTACGCGTTTCCGCTAAAGAACCCACGAATTGACGCTCGCATCCTAACAATGTCACGAATTAGTCAAACACAACAACAGCATCGGCCAAAACAACTTCACGTGGAAAAAAGGAGGCGTTTTTAAGACGTCATTCGAAATTGGTTTTTTGAGAGTCAACCGACTTAAAATACAGAGAATCGTGCCGATTTATTCGTTGGAAACACAGGTCACAAACTGATGAACCCACAAGGTTTGCGCAGGATATGTTTGAAGAGCAATCAATGAAATTCCTTGTCTTAAGTTCTCTTTTGAGATGTTCAATCATCAAATACTGACCGATCTTGTTTAGTCACGTTCAAACACTCGAAAATGTCTTCATATAAGTGATTTATCTACAATGAATTTTTGAATGGCATGTTTGTGGTGTAGAGATGTGTTGCGAATGGCGAGAGCAGGAGGTGAAAATTCGGGACAGTGCCTTGGAGTTTTTCAGAGAGACAAAGAGAGACTTATTCGTACATCCCTTTATTATTTTTTTGTGATATGTGCCAGTCTATTTTGTTTTGTTTGGTTGTTTCATCCTGTTTGGTATTGATAATTCTCTTTACGGGTTACCCTGTAGTCTTCTTTGTTGTTCCTTTTTTCTTGATCACGACAACAAAGGAAGAGGTATTTGCGTCTTCAAGTTTAATCCCCCACTTTGTTTTCCTAATGGACTATATATAAACGCTAAATAATACGTGGGCTGTACTTGAGCGGAAAAGCCGCAGTTTGGCAAGGTCCTTGTTATTCAGTGATCTATTTCGGCGCGTTTTCACGCTTTTGGAAAAATTTGAATTTAACACTTAGTCGGAGTTAGTGCGTGCGAATGAAATTTGCTATTGAGAACTTTGCACTGTGAAAACTTGCCTCCGGCGGGAGACAACTTTGTTCTCCAATCAGAACAGAAAGAAAAAATAAATCCGTTCCTATCCTGTGTCTAAATTCCTGTCCTCTGGGTCTTTGCGGTACTACGGACCGATGCCAAGATGGGGTTTACAGTCCCAGACTGGCTCACCAGCTTGGTCGAAGGAAACCTTGAAAGTATCGGCCTAACTAAACATTTTAATGTTTTTCAAGGTAATCAAGCGTGGGTGGAGACGAAAAAATAGAGCTCTCGGGACTCATGATGCCGTCTACCTCGACAAACCAACCAAAAAACAAACAGACAGAAATGTCTGGTTGAAACGGTGAGTTAGGAAAAAAAAAACCACTTATGAAAATTTCTCGAAAGAAAGAACAACGAATTTTCGAATCTGTATCAACGAGTGGTTTATACAGAATGAGCGTGTCTCCTGTGCATATGTAGCTTTCACCCCATTGTGAGCTTGCCCCACTTGCTCGCCACACTTGCGAGTTCGCCCACTGAGGGAAAACAAGTTCGCCCCACCCCAAAATCCTTTAACTCTTTTCCTACCCCGAAACCCATTCCTTTTATGTCGACATTATAACATGCTGAAGCGCGCTAAAACGGCTCTGAAATGCTAGGCCCAACAACGCACCAGTGCAACTACACACCCTCATAACGTCAGCCAGAAATTCACGACATTCACATCGTATCAAGGCATCTTACTTAAAAATTTATTTCCGTAAATACTGATAATTTATTGCACTGAAACATGACATCATTTCTCTCAGATTTGTCATATATTACTGCGCTCAAATTATTACAAATCCATTGCAGACAAGATATATCACTTAGAGAGAAAAACCCCCTCAAATATATAGTAAATATCATAAAGAGCTGGGATGCTGTAAATAAGCTTTTACAGAGCAAAGACAAATATTTTACATCTTATTATGTACACTTGGTTCATAAATAAAATTCGATTTGACAAAAAAGATCCAGCTTTGGAAAGTTTCAGGGGAGGGAAAGGATAGTTAATTGAGGTATTTGCGACAGTGTTTTGAGTGGCACAAACAAGGTAACTTCTCGTCTTCGATAGGAAACTTGTAGTCATAAGTCAACTCTTCTCCTCTGGAAATACTGAAAGGAAGAAATTGAATAATCCAATTTAGTCGCGTACAGACGAGAGGACTTAACGTGGTAATGTTCGAAAAATTTGTGGGTGGGAAGCTATGTATCCAAAGTCGGAGTGTAAGCTTGGAAATATTTAAGTGCGTGTTGAAAATAATCCAGGATTGCTTTAGATTTGCTATACTTTGCTCTGTGATTGGCCTAGAAAACTTACGCCACCATCTCAACCAATCAGAAGAAAAATTAACAGCTTCTTAGTCACTCGCGTTTTCCCGCGCTTCCGGCAGTTCACTTGCTATCATACTTCGCTCTCACTGGCTGTCAAAATTACTTCAGTTTGGATTTTACGACGAGATATGCTCTTCAAATCAAAATACAATTACAAGATACTGTTTCAAAGCGGTTTAGCGTAAGTAAACAGGCCTCTTACTAATTTTAGCTTTCTCCGCCTGATAGAGGAAAAGCGATAACAAACTAAACGTGTGTCAGCCAACAATACCGATAACATAACCCTTGGAAAAAAATTCAACCTGACTAAACAACTTTTTTTTTATACATACCTTCTGGAAGCAAAGATAATAATTTTCTTTTGACCGTCCACAGTGATGACTCGAGAAAAGCAGTTTGACTAAAGTGTAAAGGAAACACATTACTTAATAAACATCGGGGAAAGTCTGTTCATTATATTGTATTTTCTCTTATATTATCGTTCAAAGTGAGAGCGAGATAGAAAGCGCGGTGATTTATACGTAGCTTGGCTTAAAAATTCAAATAACACTAGAGAAGTAGATCCTTGTTCACCCTTTACAACATCGAGTCAAGCAACTGGTCATACATATGGTTGAATAAGCGTTTCTACATCATTCCTGTACAATCAAAAGATACATTCTACACGCGTAATTGGCAGTACTGAGTACCGCGAAACTCCAGTTATCGCACCCACCCACCTAACCACCGCTTAGAGTCCCCTCCCCCCTCCCAGCCTCGAAACTAAACAAACCGGGTACTTAAAGCCAAAATTTCACAAGTCTTTTCAACTTGGGAACTCTTTTGCCTTACCACCTAAAACAACCCTTTGAACGAAATATAGTAAAAACAAAGAATTATATTTACGTCGCAAGAATGATTGATGAAACGAGCTGCGTTTCCGCACATCGTGGCGTCAACGACATATGTCCCGTCGACACGAAACATGTAACACCCGATACCCTGAAAAGATAGAGGTGAAAGAAGCTTTAGATCCTTAAGAAGGAATCAGTCTCTAACCAAAATTATCAAATCATAATCACCACTGTTCCTAGGATACTTCCTCTTTAAACCTTAAACTCCCAAGAGTGATCAAGACAGAATATCTCCTTACAACATCATTACTGTAAAATGTAGTCCAGTGACGAGAATTAAGAAAAATGTTCATTAGGGTGATGGTTGGTCGATCTAATAACAAATTCTCTGAACTGAAAGCATAAGAATTGTTTGACAGACAGTAAGTTGACAGACTGTAAGTATTAATTACCCATAATATAAGATTAGCCTATAATTATAACTAACCGCGCAGATGGTAATGTTAAGAACGTAACTCATGTCAGGTAAATGTGATTACCTACCTTGCTTTCGTAATACTTCTCTCTCTTGTCAGTGAGAACAGAACGAACCAGCATTCCAGAATACTCAATCACCATTTCACCAGCGGCGATATTACGGGTGCAGAATAATCCTCGACCATGAATTGGGGACCTTAGATTCAAGCGAAAAAAAACTTATGAGCGAAAAATATGAATAGAGTCGGCAGAGTTGAATAACGAAATGCCACGTCACAGGTATACAGTCAATAACGCGGGCTCAAACGCACGCGGTTTAAAATTCAGCGAACTTCGTGAAAAAAAGAAAAGGGGCTGGAATTCAAAACGGAGGCATTTTGCTGTCGTTGAAGGCATTTCACTATTTCCAATGTTTTTAAGGGAAAAAAAATCAATGTTTGAAAATATTTAGGGGGTTTACAAAGTTTTTGGAGGTTATTATGTAAAAGAAATGCGGCAGGGGAAACAACGCCTCGAAGCAACAGAATGGAAATTCAAACATGCAAACGATTCAACATCCGTTTTCCGCGCTTAAGGCTACCGCATGCGCAGACCTATTCAGCTCTGAAAAAGAAACTTTGAGTGACATGTGGTCGGGCAGCTCAGCCAGCGGTAGCTACCATTCGATTATCACAATTTTTAAGAGATGCACACGTACCTGTAAACAGCAACAGCGTCTTTGTTAAAGGAACACTGTTTAAGGTGGCGGTACCTCATGGCCATTGGTAGATCCAAACATGTCGGGCGCCTGTAAAATAATGGTTGAAATGAACTTTAAGTAAGTTAATAATAAAATCAATAATTTACTTGGGGATTCGGTCCCATTGCCAGGACATTACACTATGCGAGGTGGTTCTTTCTTTCCCTTTTACATATGAAAGCCTAGTAAGTGACCATCGCAATGGGAACTAGCGAGCAATACTCTCATCTGTTTGTGCTGGTATATACAGAAGTCCAAATTCAGTTCTTCTAATTTACGTTACAAAACCTAGTATGAGATGATTCAGTTTAAACCCCCAAGGAAGAGGTTTTCTTTAGCATCCGTAGAGTTCTAACGTACTTCACGGACAGAGGTCCATCACGCGCTTGTTCAGCGCTCTCCTGTTCCTCCGCACTTTCTTCTAATTGTGGAGCGACGCGGTGACTCGACGCTAGGAACGCGAACATATCATACTTTTTGTTTCTGTTGAAAAAAAGGAGAAACAAAATCAATGAAAGTGATTACTGCTGTCTCTATTACCAGAACGTAAAAGGTCCTTAGCATGTCGATATTACAGATATGTACGAGTCGCTTTCAACAAGTATAAACTCATTTGACTTGATAGTATAAATTATCCATTTATCCAAAAAAAGAGTTTTTAGGTTTCCAAACCTGTGGAACATTTCAGCTCTTGCACAGCCGTGTGGATTCTCTTTCAAAGCCTGTGGGAGAGTTGAGTTTAAGAGGTAAGGAAAAAATTCTTCTTTCTAGTGAACCCTTTAACTCCCAAGATCTAACTGTTAATTCTCCTTTGTAGCTACGATACATTTCCTCGTAAAGTGGTTACGAGAACTTGGTGTTGATCAAGATAATCACTTTAACCTGAAAATTTTGGGTATTCTCATTACCTGTTTACTGGATAATGTAAGAATATTACAGGGAGCAGTTATATATTAATCACTTCTGGGAGTTTAAGGGTTAAAAGAAAGTGCGCTTGTTTTAACAGACTTTGAAATATCGCAATTTCCTTTGAAGTACTCAAGACTTATCCATTTGCACTATTCTGAAGTATTTGATTGTAACATTACTTGAGCTTACGATACGTTAAAAAATTTAGCCTTGAAATCGAACCAGTAATTGACTTCCCATTACGGTCTTCCATTAAGGCCATGTGCACGACAGGTTAGATAAATTGAGCTAAGTGTTTTCACGAAGCGAACGTAACAAACGTTTTGCATTCACGCTTGTTCACACAGAAAACATTTTGCGCTCACACCGCGCCCGATCAGTTTGAAATGTACCATTCACCAGCGATGAAACCGCCGAACAGCTGGATTGCATTACCCAGCCGTATCAATAAAGTGGCCTTTTCAAATTTCTCCGCTTAAGTGTGGACGTAGCCTAATGCATCTTTGCAGACTTTACCTGCGTTTCTTCCAAATTGCTATTGTCAAATGGTGGATTATATTTGAAGGAATATTGCTTCAGTTGATGGGCTCCAGGTAGCTGCTCTAACATAGACACGACAGATTCCTGAGGGGATTAAGGATAAAAAATTAAAGATTTACCATCATTCTTCCCCCCCAACATTTACGACAATGCTGATCCTAGCAGTATGCAAGAAACCTGGCACGTGAGCCAGGGATTTCTACGTTCTGATTGGCCAGATGGAGTTACAGTTTGCAATAACCTCTCATGTACCTGCGAAAATGAGGAATATCCTGAAGCCGTAGAAAAAGGGCAAAAAAGAACAAATGAACTGTAACAAAACTTTCTCAGGTATGGGTTATCAACTCACCTGACGAACACCAAACATTGCTTTGCCATTTACACCTGAAGAACCAAAATCAAATACATCAGTTGCTTCGTTTAATGCATAAAAACGTAGGATCGCAAAAAGGATAACGAAAATCAGGCAGCACAGATGATAATGAATATGAAAAGGGCAGTTGACAGAACCTGCAAACGGAACCAGTTTCATGCGACGATCTATCCTGGCTTCCTGAACCTTTTCAAAGACTTGCTTCCAAGCAGCTAGAAACATGAAAAAAACAAAACAAAACAAAACAAAAGTAAACGAAAAAGCTCATCAGAAAAATGGTGAATATCAGAAGGAACGTTATCTTCAAATTGATTGACAGGGCACGAAATAACGGCCGGTTAACGGACACCAGTGTCCGAAATCAAGCACTACTATTCAATATCGGAAATTGGTGTCTAAAAACGGCCGCCAGTGCCTAAAATCGGACACTATCGTCTAGAATCGGACACTAGTGTCTAAAATCGGATATTAATGTCCAAAATCAGACACTTGTATCACAAAATCAGACGGTTGTGTCCAAAATTGTACACTAGTGCCCCAAATCGGACACAAGGGTCCAAAGTAAGACTCTATTGTCCAAAGGAGGAGTATCAAGTACGCTAGTGCCAAGCAATGTTGACAGAAATATCAACAACTAAACATACTTTCACATGTATTCGCCTCGACCTTCACTCCTTCATCACTTGTGATTTCAAAAGACACATGAGGTTGCTCGGATTGTGCAGAATTTTCTCTCTCCCGAAGCTTCACTAACCAAGACTTGGGAGATATTTCTTTTATGGGCGAATTTAATAGCTCTTCATCTCCTGCCTTAGCTACTACTTCGTGATCGCAGTTTATCTGCCTGACTGTTTGAGGAATCGACTCCTCAAAACTCATCGTCCTTTTCACGGATGGCGGTGTCTTTCTACATCTCTGAGGCGCGGCTTTCTGCGCAGGAGCACTTGGTAAGACGGGTGACGGAGATTTTTCCACACGAACAGGATTAAGAATGGATGGTAAATGGCTTGTTTGTCGATTTAAATGCTCGAGGAGTTTCCTTGGAGAATTCGTTGGTGAAGAAGGCAAAGGTTTTTGAGGAGCTGGTAGGATTCTTCTTAGCTTGGACAGGTGTGTTGTTTCATTAAACAGAACTCCCGGAAAAACAGAGTGATTCACAATCCCGGGTCCTGGATGAGGTGCTATTCTTTTCAGTTTCTTTCCATAAGAACTATTTAAGTAGTCGGTCGTTTTGTTATTTTGTCGAGGTTGTGCTGAGTTTTTGATATCTCCGTGAGATGCAGACGTGATTTTTGGCGTTTTGTCTTTCTTGTTTAATTCTTCGTGAGAAATAACTTTGTGTAAGTGTTCCTGATCTATCGACTCCTTAATTTCCTGTTGCCTTCTTTGCATTGATTCAAGTGTTTTCTCTTTCGTTGTGCAGTAATAACGGCATCTTTTAGTTGGATCCTTAACACTCCAGTACAACCGACTGATTCTACGTGAAAGATGAAAAGCAAAGTCAATATAAAAAAACATGGACCCAAGACATGATTGCCAAAGTCATACGTTTTTTAAATTCACTAACTTTTCAAAAACAAACGTAAAATTTCCCTGATCAACTGCGTTAACAATTTCACAAACGAGTCCTGGTGATGACCTCCAAAGTTGAACCTCCCCTCACAGCCATCCTGTCCACCCACAAAGTGATGCCTTCAGCAAGCGTCACCATCTTTCATCATGACAGGCTGAACCACTCCATATTTTATTTGACATTTCACTTTTCCATGCCCTTCTATTCTAGGACGTAAATTTTCCCTGACTCAAAATGAAATCCCCGGACTTTTCCCTGACCTTGAAGAAATTTATTTTTCCTGATCTACAGCAACCATGCAAGATGGAAAGATCCTGAATTGAAGACCGCTTGGGTCATTTTGTCGTGCTCTGAAACAAAACACTTCTATTCACAGTGCTTCTCTCCAACTTGGAGTATGTTTGGATATTGGCGAACCATTAGAGAAAACTAAGGGAAGGTTTGCGAAGAAAAAGCAACCCATGAATGAAACCATTCGAATCACTTCAAGCTACGGTAAAATTGTGATACATGACTTACAACTTGAGTTGGAAGGAGAGCGTAAAGGAGGCTACAGTACAGTGATAAGATTATACTACGTACCTGAAATTAATGGGATACAGAGTTTGTTTGGTGTCGGAATGTTCACTTAGTTTGCCCATGTCTTCCAGAGTAAGAGACCCTAAAAGAAAATCAAAAGTATTAAGAATCTAATATTTAAATGATTCATTTCCCTCAGCTGGCTTTTAATTGAATCTTCAAAATGTTGTAATTCCACATTTTAATCTCGTTTTATGTAAGCACGTTACCTTGTACAAGGGTGATGTTGTGAGGTTCAAATCCTCTTGACAATTTCTTTGTGGCTCGGATTTTGCCCATGTCCACACAAACTCGTCGTTCCACACAAAAGTCGTCATTTACCATCACCAACTGACAACAGGAATTATTATCATATTTAGTAAAATAAGGTATAATTCATCAGTTTACTCCATAAAATTTCCCAAATGAAATTCGAGAGTAATCCGCGTGGGAAATTGGCGTGCAGCCGGCCAAGATTGATCCCCTTGCGCATGCCTTATCGGTTTAACGCTGTTACTGCTAAGTGATACGTGCTTTGGGAGTAAAAAAAACGACTAACCTCCTTTTTGGTCCTGAAGGAATGTTGAGCACAGTACACCTTCTTGTCGTCTTGGAACTCGGCTTTAGCATTTCGTGCGCACATAAAATGATAATTCATTGGACAGCGAGGTTCACAACAGCCCACAGTGGCTCCAACCTCACCACAATGTTCACATTTCTACATAGGAAGATAAATCGATTGTTTGGGATGAGAATGCGGCAAGAACGTGACCGACAAAGTTTGTAAAATCGCGATAGTAAAGGAAAAAGGAAAAAAAAAAGTCCTTGTAAAAATCACAACAGTTGAATATCATCTCAAATATGCTGGAATCACTTTGTAGGAGTAAGTTAATTCATTTATTTCAAATTCACTTAAACACCACTGCAGGAAAACAATGGTTAAGCTCCAACAAATCCCGTTTTCTATCAGGCCTCAATTAATTCGACTTCTTCAGTCACACTTGACCTGTTAACATTAAGTCGTCACTTTGATAAATTTGCAATTACTTAGAAGATAAATGTGAAAACCAAATGAATGAAAAAACACGGCAAATACCATTTGTTTTCCACGTGATATCGCCACTTGAACATTCTGTAGGCGACCCTCGTCATCTTCAAATACTTCCGCTGACCACAGACCACAATTGACATGCACCCATTCATCCAAACCACTAGTGAGAAGCCGGCCTGCCTTGGAAGGTTCGGCATCACGCATCGAACCACACAGAAGACACTTTCTGGTATCCTCCTGAAAAAATTATCATACGCAAATTGAATTTTCCCTTTTCTCCAACACTTCGTTTTCGGGGCCGAGTCATTCAAAGTTAACTTAAACCATCCCGAGGAACGGGTCTTAATGAAATTTAAGTCTGCATACTAAGATGACTCGCACGTCGTAGAACTGTTAGATGCTAACACAGTCTCTACAGCATGAGGCGCTCAGAAGTTCTTTCTTACTCCATGGATGGATGCAAGTCCCCCGCCAGTCTAACACCCACCCACCCTACTCCCCCTCCCACTCCTCCAGCATTTCGTCAGGCTTCCCTGACAAAGCACTAGTATTCAGTTAAACCCCTGGGGAGGAGGCAGGGGGTGGGGCACCGTAAGAGTCAAGTTCCCCTCCCAAGAATCCGTGAACACAATGACCTGGCTGGTGCTCGAAGCCGGAATTTTCAAGCCAAATTCCAGCGCGCTTACCACTTGGACACCACGCCTCCATTCTAGCATCTTACACAAAAACCATACAATGAGTTATACCCTACCATGTCAGTTGCTTGCTGTGGTTGTTGGTGTTGCTTCAGTTGCAGGAATTGTTTTAGTTGTTGCTGTTCATCGTCATTGGTATCAATTTCCATAGGCTCCTCGTTCGTGACGTTTTCTTCCTGCAGATCGTTTTCCGTGTCTGGTTCCATCTTTTCAACTTCACCTACAAATTAACGACAGACAAATTCAGACAACTCCATCTTCAACGATGATATTAAGCAATGGACATTCCACGAGGTGACTCCTCTTGTCCACGGTAATCAGGCCGAACTGGAATTTTGCACGTTGGTTTTTGTGGAGGGAGGGAAACCGGAGGAAAACTCTTTGGATGGAAATAGGAGGAAAACTCTCTGAGTAGGGAAGAAAACCAACGACTCAAACTCAAGCAAGGTATGGCACATGTGACGCCGTGTATGGGAATCGAACCCAGGCCACAGCGGCGAGAGGCGAGCGCTCTAACCACTACACCATACCTGCTCTCTGATTCTTCTACCCTCGAGATCTAATTGTGGTAATTCTCTGTTTTAGACGCCACAAATTTTCTTGTATATCAGTTCACAAATTGGTGTTTCTGTATATCATGATAAATAAATTGTAAATAAAAAAAGACAGCCGTTCTTTCATGATTTGATTTGTTCGATGCCGCATTGAAATTGTGAGAATGTGTTAAATTATCATCACTTTTAATGATTTAAGGGCTAAATAAAAATGAAATATCCAATCAATGTTTCACCGGCATTCCCCCATCTAATTCGTTTACAACAGATGGCATAAATGTTCACAATTCAGCACGTTAGTAATATCTAAAAGTTTTCTACCACATATACTGTTTACAGTCTCCTAAGAGAGCAATGAGTTTTTTTCAAGACTTACAATTTTCGTTCTGTGATGAGTTCATCTGTAGAGCCTCTGAAGAAGAAGGCTGAGATTTTCCAACAAGTGTGGAATCAGACTTTTCTTGGTTGCTTTTTAAGGAAACGTATGAGTGATCCCAGACTTCGTAAGGAATAGCAGTTCCAATGATTCCACTGCAAGAAAGGTGTAAAACGATCGGTTGGGATTAACTAAGACTGTCGATTAAAATACAGAGCCCCTCTCCATAGAGTGTCGTCATACCAAACCCAAAGCAATTTCATCGGCCAATCAGAACAAAGGAAAATATCAGAAAAAGTAAATGACGGCTCAAACTAACGACACGTGACCCAGTGGCAAGTGGTTTCAGCTTTATATTTCAAAATTTGATTGGTTGAAAAAGTGACGTGGAATTTCTAGACTAATGATTAAACGTATCGAAAGGTAACCCAAGGAATCCCAGCAATGCAGTCGAGGGAAGGTGATGAAACATTGGAAGGGGATCACCCTGCCCCAAACTACCATTCTTTCCCCGCAGGGGGGGGGGGGTCTCTTTGTGCTCCTGAAACCGAGAAAAGCTGCGGTGCGATGGGCCGTTTGCCTCATGAACATATAATTGTTTCAGCCATCAGAATTCACCAATAAGTTCCATTGAAAAAAACAAATTTTTCGTTCCGGTTCTGCAGTATGCGTTATTATAAAAGCTTACTTTTTAAGACGTGGTTGTGCGATCTCCTCGTGTTCCTCGGAATTCACTGTACTTTTAAGCTTGTGCCAAGGAAACATTGCCACTAGTTCCTACAAAATGAAAAGGAAAATGGTGTTTTGATTTTGTAGATTCTGTATGGTTTGCAGCTACATGCCCAAGTCCTACTCCACAAACCCATTCTAAGTATCAAAATGTACGGTGCCTCCCCTCCAATGTAAGCCCGTGGGCGACTTTATACCTTTTAAAACGACTGAGAGCAGCAAAGAAATATTAGAATTGCAAAACAGGTTGTAAGTCACAAAACATTGATACCTTAACATATTTTTTAATTTGAAATGCTGCTATTCCTAACAGATTGCTATTTCGACCTGAATGCCGTGTTTAATTTATTGTGACGAAAAGGCTTACATGGGGGGAGGGGGGGAAAGAATCACGGGTACCCCAGGACAACCCCCCCCCAGCTACACCCTTGCTCTATCATGATTGGGTGGAAAATACACCCGCTTTTCCTTCCGGGCAATCTTAAAATACCCCTACAGTCCCACCCATTCTACAATACATGTAAACGCTAGACTGATGATAAACAAACCTTGCAAAAAGTATAGTAAAGAGAGGACCACTGTCTGGTCAAAACAGAGTCTGTTTCCACAAGTCTATAAACCCTGTCCAGAACTTTCGTAATGTCATCGCAAAAGCTTTCCTGTTGAAGAGGAACACAAGAAGGATGTCATTAACTCTTCATGGGTGTTGTCTTCCCTTCTATGAACCCTGTACACCCTTACATCAGTAAGCATATTCTCCATACTGTTCTCTATACATTCCCTAAGGTGCCGACAAGGAGAATTTGCTTAACAATCAAAAGCTGTTTTAATTGGTGAACATTTCTTTTATGCTCGTGACTTTCATGTCTGATTCAGGGGTGATATTGTAAGGAGAAATTGGAAGCTAGTCACTCTTAGGGTAAAGGGTTAAAACTTCTGCATAAAATAGCAGTTAGGATTGTCATTCTTATCCATCTGATGTTTCTCTACTGCAGAAGACTGTCAAGTCAAGGTTTTCACACATTTAGAGGAGACTTCCACAAATGACTTTTTTTGTAGTAAAAGTGACTCTAAACATTGTAATACAGCCCCTTGTTGACATGTAATACCATGGTTTTTCCTTCTAGTTCATCATAGGTGGAACTTCAAACATAATTCAACTGTCGTCTTTCAAATAAACACAATTTTTCAACAGGCACTCACCACACTGGTGTACTTCTTATCTTTCACTTTTGCTGAAATTACTTCAAAGTCCTTTGGATATCCATTATCTGCTTCAAGCTGTTGCATTAAGGAGGAGGAGAGAAGCTCAATGAAACTAAAGAGTAACTGCCCAAGTATACAAAATAATGAGCCTGGCTAAGGCTTGAACATGAACTCTGATACATTAACCATTGAGCCATTGAAACTTCAGGCATATTATGCATGAAATCACCTTATTGGTAGGCCTACAAATTGGATGATTCAGCAGGAGGGAGGCTGCACAAAATGTGCAAAGTGAGGACAAGAACCTGGTCTCAGACTTAATCCTCAGGAGGTCAGGTTTACAAATCAGACCTGCTGGACTATGTTGGCTAAAATTACAAGTATTCACTCAAAATTTCCATTGCTGTACTCGTTGTACCTGTTCAAAATGAGACTTGAATGGTTCATAAGCCTTGCAACTTTTGATTTCCTCCACAATCTGTGTAGATCAAAACAAAATGTCACTTTTCCTTAGCAATTTGCTAGTACTCAGAATCTTTATTACTGTGGGGGGGGGGGAAGAGTGGGAGGGAGGGTAGGGCAGAGTTGAAAGTGACCCCACCAGGGCTAGAATCTGCACCTTCAAATGCAGAGTCCACAAAGTTTGATGTTGGGCCACAATGGCGAGTCCACAATCTTCTACAGTCGTAACATGCAATGATAAAAACTCATCTACTGATTATAATTACCCTCTCATATCCTGCCTCCATTTCCTCCATCAGTTCTTTATACCAGGGAGAAGATACCTGATCTTCGTAACAGCGCCTACAAATGAACTGCACTTCCTCTGGTAAGTCTGTCAGACACTCATACTGATCAACTGTGATTCCTTGACATTCTGCATGCACCCAGTGATCACACTTGACACAGTGAACCATTTTAGATTCAAAGTCATCATCAGAGTAGCATTTATCACAGAGGGGACAAAAGTTATTCTGTTGTCTCTGCTTGCCACATTCTTGACAGTGTGTGAATTCTAGCATCCACATAGCTTCAGGATTCTACAAGAAAAACAGTTCCCAGTTCTCAGTAAGTAGCAATTTCAGATGACTACAATGCTTTATTGTACACTGGCTTAATATGTCTGGATTACTATACTTGAAGGTGAAACTAAGGTAAAATGTAGAGAGCTGGATTTCAATTTAAAACAAAATTAGAAACTTACATCTCCAGCAGTTCTTCTCCCACAATTTTTGCACTGTACACACCGACCACACACCTGAAAACAAATCAAGCAAAATTGATGACATTACTGTGTGATCATACAAGTGAGGGTGATCCTGAAAAGGGGTGTTGTCAGAGACTCACATTTTGTCAACCTGAACTGGAAGTCATCATCAACATCAAGAAGAAACGATATAGTAAAGTTCTCCTTTTTTACATTCTAAGCTACGTATTTATATCTAGAACCACTTCCAAGAACACACCACAAAAAGTTATAAAAAAAATATTCTGTGATCTTGACAGCAATACAGAAGATGGTTTAACCCTGTGAGTAGCATTTAATCATGTAGTCTGGTTGTCCGTGCGAGAGTAGTTCTGAGCAGAAATGTTCAACAGTCTTGATGGGAATCCTAATCAGAGTCCACAAAGGGTTGACTCTGATAATGACTTCCGTTAAGGTTGTCAAGGCGCTTGTCAGTACTACGCACAAAAGTCTTTAACAAGACTACTTTCATCCCCATGATCAGACTACACCATAAAATCATGACAGTACATTCCATCTCAGACCAACTGATGATTCCAGTAACTTAAATTTTACTCACCCAAACATCATCATCTCCCTCTGGCTCTGTGGGATAAAATGGACCTAAGCATTCAACATGATATCCACGCTGACAACGGTCGCACATCAGGAGCTGAAGCAAAACATCAAAAAGTGATTTAACAAAAAAAAAAAAAAAGTGATAGACTCTAAAAAATGATTAAATGCAAGGTAATCATTAAAAAATATATGAAAGCTGATTTTTTGTTTAAGGCCAGTTATCAAACCCATCCAAGAATTTTGATCTACATATACCAGGTTGAGCTCTTGTTCACCAATCAAAACCCCTCTTGCAATCAGTGCTATAATTCTCCTAGCAAACATCAACAGATCACCTCAGAGACTAGTGTGGAGACTACAAAAACTGATCAACTATCAGATATTGTCTTGATTCAAAATCAAATTCTTTGTATTAACATACAAATAAATATACATGCATAACAGTACACAGGGAGAATCAGTTCATTTTATAGTCACCTTATCTTGATATCCACAAACACTACAACTGCTGCAGTTGTCACAACACCATGTTGTCTCATCAATTGGTTCTTCATCAAGACAGAATCCATGGAAAGGCTCAGAACAAACTCTGCAGTAGAACATCTAGGGAAATAGACAATAACAAAAAAAGCTCTGCAGGTGAGTTGCAATAAAAGAAATTGCAGTAAAAGGAGCCCAAAAAATCCAAGCTCTTATGGACTTTGAACCTGTGCCTTCAGGATACTGCAGTTGAACCTGTATTAAGCTGTCATCCCCAGGAATGGCAGAGTGACTGCTAAATATAGGTATCATAGAATAGGGGTATTGAAAAAAATAGATAAAAATTGGTATTTTACAGGTTCTAAGGAATAGGGGTATTATATAGAAACAATAAAAAACATCATTTTTTATAAAATAATTCAAATAGTATGCATGCTCTGATTGGCCATAAAACCATTTTACATGAGTGTATGTAAACACGGTTTTCATTCCTCTTTCATAAGTTATTTTATAAAAGAAATGTAAAATGGTTTCTGTGTTTACATAGCCTGATGTAAACACTTGGGAGGTTGGGAGAACACTCGATAAGCTGGAAACCACTCTGCTTCGCGTCGTGGTTTCCTACACTTATCTCGTGTTCTCCCAACCTCCCGCGTGTTTACATCAGGCTATGTAAACATGGAAACCATTTTACATTTCTTCAATATCACAACTGATCACTTACTACACAAAAAGTTTGTCAAAATACTACTAACATTGATTTCAGGAGATAAACATGGATTAAATTTTGCTTAAAAAATTATTCTTAGTTAAATTTGAGTGGTTTATCTTTAAGTGACTGTTAAATACAGGCAGAAGACAATACAAACAGGCTGTCTGAACCCAGTAAAGGATGACCACGACTGCCTAGCCCTTTAACTCCCATGAGTGACCAAGACAGAATTTCTCCTTACAATATCAATACAACATCAAGCAGACAAGTGATGAGAACAAAAAAATATATAAATTAGGGGATTATTAGTTGATCTAAAACCCAATACTCTGAACTAACATCACAAGATTTATATGAGAGACAGTAAGGAGAATTACTAATAAGATCTTGGGAGTTAAAGGATAACAAAGGTGACTGTTTAATAGAGGTAAAAATTAAAGTACTACTACTACTACTACAAAAAAAATTGGGGAATTTTGGAAAACTCAGTGCTTAATACAGGGTGACCACTTGATACAGTGCTGCTTAATACAGGTTCAAACATGAATTGTTGATAGTTTATAAAAATAGATTTTTTTTCAGTAGTCTTCAAGATAATTCTGTTGACCAGTAATTTAACAATTGGTTCATATGTCATAGCGTCATAGCGTGCGTTCATCAAGATATGAAGCACGCAGGAAGTTTGGAGAGCATGAAAGATGTGTAAGAGTTGCTTGAGGTGTAGCCGAGAGCAACTCTAGCTTCTTGAGTGCTCTCTAAACTTCCCAAGTGCTTCATATCTTGATGAATGCACAGCTGACGTATGAACCAATTGTTTTATAACATTTTCAACTCAATGGAAAATTTTTTCCTCTAGGGATATGTTTGCTGATGTCATGAGTGTGCATAATAGGAATATGAAGCACACTTGCACAATTGAATTTGATTAGACAAATTTACTAGCTATGTTATAAAATGTTTCCATCAATAAAACTTCTTTTATAAGGTAACTGTATTTTCTTTGATTGCACTATGCCTGTGGTAGTCATTTCATTATTTATATATTACCTCCATTGCAAAACATTTTTTCCTTTTTTTATGTATAATTTTGAGCAGATTCCTTTATGAGAACCAAGAATCCCCTAAAATTTACATCACTCCCAACAAGTAACTTCATAAGTTAGTTGGTCCTCATTAAGGAATCTAGAAGAAATGATTGCCACAGGCATACTGCAATCAAAGAAAATACAGTAACCTTTAAAAGGAAGTGTTATTGATGAAAAAAATCATTACTGGTCAAAAGAATTATTTTGAAGACTACTGATAAAAAAAATCTATTTTTATAAACTATCAACAATTCATGTTTGAAAAATTCAGATGACAACAAAGCTGTGTGTAAAAGGGAACTTGAAATCCAACCTTTTCACTGCCCTTGCTACCACAGAGAAAACAGAGTTCCTTGACAATACTTGGAACACCAGCTGTAAAACAAACTGCAAAGCCTTCCTTCCAAATTTCTTCCTCTGTGCTGTTGTCCTAAATGTATGGAAACATTACACCCAATAATATTTAATCAAGTAAGGGACCTAACTTCCATTCAGTTTACTCGTACACATATATTAATCTGCATAGAATGTTGGGGGAGGGGGAACCCAGGAAATGTTCTGGTTTTATCAACAACATGACAGAACTTTTCTTTACATCACAAAAATTGAATTGACTCTTAGGAATATTGATGAAAATTGCTTCAATATAAAAAAAACAAAACTAAAATTTGTTTCATGAACAAGTCTCAAGATTAAAGAAAAATATAATTTGTCTTTTCAGGAGCACAAGACAAAAGAAAATCTGAATTCCCATCGGGAACCAGGCCTAAGACCTTGCTGTTAGGCGAGTTACAGTGTAGGCTATGACTACCTTCATATATGACACACATCCAGCATATTGCTAGGATCAGTACTGGTGCAAGTGTAAGTTTTGGGCTCAGCAGTGGAATAAAAAGCGGGTTATTTGTGTTTTTGCAAGAATGAGACAATGATAAAAGGTGAGTTCCATTCACAACTTAGATCTTGAGATTGACGTAAGACTCAAGATTTCCAGTAACTACAGTTTGAAGTAATTGTGTACTTACACTCCAAGGTAGTTTTACCAAAGGAATATCAGCCATTACTGCTTGTCTCTTGCCACAGGGTGGTGGTTTAACTGATGCCACAGGTTTCTTTGCAGTTGAAGATGACATCTGGTTTTGACCTTTCTTGGAGCCCTTGACTTTGAGGGCAGTGTCATTCTTTGAGGGTGGTCTCTTTTTCACTGTTGTATTAGAATCTGCATGTAAGATTATAAAAATATTACTTTAAAGAACTACACAAACTGAAGACATTTCCAGGGCTTCTAGCTAAAACTGTGGTGTGCAGACAAAAATTAGAAAAAGAAACTTAGCGCATTTTGAGTATGTGATCCCTTTACATTGATCACAAAAATAAACATTTAACCTTCTAACTTCCAGTAGTGATTAACATAAAACTTCTCCCTACAATATCCATACATTCTTCAGTAAACAAGTAATGAGAATATTCAAACTTAATCAATTTGGCTCAACTGAAATGCCAATAGTTATTAAAGGTATTAGTAAACCACCAAACTTTATTTAATACATGTACATGCAAAAAGAAAGTTTTTAATCTGACCCAATGATAATAGAACTTTACACAGATAATGTTCTGTCGTCTGACATACAATTATGTACCTTTGACTAGTCTCCTGTAAGGTACACCTTTGGGTTTTGGAGGCTGAGGATCAATACACTTGCGTTTCCTGAAATTCAGTAGAAAATGCTTCAATTAGTTTTAAATACTTGACTCAAAACAATTGCTTAGAAATTCACTCACAATGACAGCTACTTACCTACATATTTATACTCTTCAACTTCTGCCAGTATCATTTTTTATAGCAAAATTTTTAATAGGTATCTAATAAGTCAATAAATTTACCACAGCCAACATCGATACTCTCTATACCGACCTATTTTTATTATCTAACTGTACAAAGTAGAGTACAAAAAATGCCTGAATAGAGTACAAATATCTTGCAAAATTGTACAGTTGATTATTTTGTAATATAAAAAAACCTGTTTAACCAGTCAGCTGCATATGCTATACTTCTCTAGCTGCTTTACTTTTCCAGCCTTATGAGAAACGAGCATAGACACTTGGTACCGAAAAAAGGAGTTGGATAATAGATAACTTATTGGACATTTTGGTGTGTAGTATCACTTAGTATTTCTATATGCATTGTTTGTATTTCGACTCACCTTGAAGGCTTGTCAAAATACGACACAACTCACAAAAATCCTTAGCAATACTACACACCAAAACATTGAATAAGATATTCATAACTACATGTGCAATTTGGACTTGAAAGATTAGTTCAGTTTTTTTAATGATTATTTTAAGTAAGTAATATTAAGTCAAACACTTGAAATAATCAATGACTCGTGTAGAGCAAAAGTAAACATATACTTACACACACGACTGTTTGCTAGTACCCGGTCCCCCAAACTTCGGCTTGTCTCTGATGGGAAATACAGGAAATTGTAAAAAAAGGAAATAGAATAAGGGAGATGGTAAGTTTTGAGCTTGGTAATGAAATAGAGGAAAGATGTTTTTCGTCTTGTCAAGAGTGTGAGACATAGAGTCCCCATGAGGAATCAAACCTCAGACCTTTTGGATTCCATATCAGAGCATCAGAGTGCAGAATCCAAAGGGTCTGAGGTTCAATTCCTCATGGGGACTCAAAATTTTCTCTTTGTTCCACACTCATGACAAGATGAAAAACATCTTTCTCTAAAAATGAAATAGGTGCAAGGAAAGACTTTCATCATTACAATTTCTGAGACTTACATGCACCAGCGACATACACCACAATCATCTAGGACTTTGCATCCTACACATTGACCACAGCGAATCCTTCTTCTTCCTGGAACCAATGGAATGTTAGTGTCCCTCTCCTTTTTCCGAACACCAATTTTCTTAATTATTCTCACAACCTTTGTTTTTGTTTCTCCACTCTTTGTTCTTATTTTCCTAACAACTTTGATAACTTTCTTTACTACTCTTTCCTGGTTTTCTTCCCTCTGCTCTTTCTTAAGCTCTTTTTTGACCTGTGAAAGTGGCTTACTACTTTCCTCATCATCACTTGAACTAGGTAATTCACCATCCTCTCGCAAGGCTTGTAGTCTTGATAATTGTGTCTTTTTTGCACGTGGTTGTTTTTTCTTTGCTGGAACTGATTTTTCAGAAGCTGCTCCCTCATCTGCAGAACTCCTGCTTTCTTCTTGACTTGGGCGTCTTGATCTTGGTCTACTTTTTCTTTCTGCATCAGAGTCTACACCAACTTCATTTTGCTCTTTTGAATGTCTCCGTATTTCCCCTGCCCTACATGCAGTCTCTTCTGCCATGTTCATAAATGTATCTTCTCTTGTTTCACTCTCAATCTTTTCCTGCAACTCTTGCAATCGTTTTGATTTAAAAAAATGTTTGTGAGCCGAGCTGGGTGTTTTCCTACTTGAAACATCGCTGTGTGTGGATGAAACCTCTGAATGTGAAGATCCATTGCTAGCTTGATCTTCCATCTCTTCCTCACCATTTTTCACTGAAAAGAGTTCATCATTCTGTTTCTTTATTTTGATTCTCTCTGATCTCTTTCCGCAGGTTTCTTTATTACTCGACCGACCTTTGGTAGGTCTCTGCAATTTCAAAGTCTGTGATAAATTGGAAGTTCTAATAGTTTTCACTCTCTGTATACCTTGATTTGGGAATTTAGCAGGTTGATAATGAATTTTAGCGTTCTTTACATTTTTCATCCTTGCAGAATTTTTGATACGAACTTTCCTGCTGTATGAAGAATGCTGAGGTGCATTATTTGGCAATGATCCTTGAGATGGCACATCTGTAAATCCAAATCTAGAGCCCTGAGAAACCAAAGAGCATGGTATGAATGGAAGAAAAAAAATTCATTTCCTTATCAGAATACTTCCTACAGTTAGGTAATCCTTATCCCTCTATACTGCAACATCAGTATGCATATTCTCCATACTGTTCTCTATACATTTCCTATGGGGTCTAACAAGGAGAATTTGCTACACAATCAAGAGCTTTTTAAGGGTCAAAGGGTTAACTCCTTGAGATCAGGATCTAATTTCTCTCAACAGTGTCACCCCTGAATCAAATGTTAAGGTCACGAGAATTAAGGAAACGATTGCCAGCTCAAGAGGCTTGACTGTTAGCCAAGTTCTCCTTGGATGTATGGATCTACATTGCTTTGTGCTCATTAAAGGCCTGCTTATTTTCCATGGCTTTCTATGATTTTACAGAAGCCAAACCTAAATTTCATGACTTTCCAGGCCTGGAAAATGAAATTATAAAATTTCATAACTTTCCAGGTTTTCCACGGCCCATACCAACCCCATCATTGTTTAGTGCTTCCTATTTGTTTTGAAGAAAATCTAAGGTAATTTTCTTTTTTGATAAAATAATTATACCACAATCTTAATTCCAACAGCTGTGCAACTGTTTTTTCTTGACATACCTGCAAGTCAGCAGAACTCAATGTCTGGATTTCAAATCCAGTGGGTGAATCTGTAAAGAACAAATTTATATTTGTTAAGGTTCATTTTACAAGCTATAGTTATATAGATCCCTGTTATGTTCTTAAAAATGTAGCTTAACTGGAGGGCAATGATAACCAAACTAATTCCTTCTGGAAATAAAATTAACTTTACATCGTTTCTCCTTTGGTAGAAAATTATTTACCCAGACCTGAAATAAGGCTATTAAAGAACACAGCAAATTGGATCAACATGAAAACAAAGGTAAGAATGATCTTGTGATTTTTTTGTAATTGCATAAAGATCTCTAACCTTTTAACTCCCAGATCAAATTTTTTATTGTTCTTACTGTCAACCATACAATTCTTATAATGTTAGTTAAGAGATTTTAGTATTGGATCAACTAATTATCCCCAAATTGATATTTTTCTTTATTCTCATCATATATCTAGTTGATATAACATTGATATTGTAAGGAGAAATTCTGTCTTGGTCACTCATGGGAGTTAAAGGGTTAAAAACATCATGAGTTATGATTGGTCACAAAATGAATGAGCAGTTTATGCATTTTTTCCATTTGTTTTTACTATGCAAAATCTCCTTATGACATACTTTTTAAGCTCTGGGTAAACGTTACTAAAAACACCTTTCTATACTTTTAATTTTATTATTTTCCTTTCCAAGGGTCATTCCCCATAATAAAAGCAACTCTAGGACAACTTTTCTTTCAAGAGGTGTTTCCAAAATTAAACATGTCTTATTGATCTAAGAGGCTAAAATCTTGAGGGACTAGAGAACAGAAATTCAATATTTGGTCTTTAAATCTATTCATGGTTATCCTTGACAAAAAAGGAACCAGATATTTGATGAGTACATAATAAGAAGCAACACAATTTAGCTTTTAAGCTTATTATTTCACATAGCTGACCATTCAAGGGGTATTGCAATCCAGAGGTAGACAAATTACAAATATTACAGAACTGTGATTGAACAGAGGATATTATCATGGGACAGGAGTAGTATGCCGAAAGTTTCTAAAAAAAAATTACACACTTTCTTTGATTACAGAGATGTTTGGTTTGAATTTCCTGATCTTTCAGCAAATTTAAAACAAGTTCTCATTTTCAGAAGAGTTGTTGATGACCTAGTAGGTACAAATAATTTTTTGCAATCCTAAGGATCCTGTCACGGAAGAACAACTAACCGGCGCTCTATTGATTCTATTTCGTGCAATGACTGTGTTAACAAGTATATCAGAGAGACCAAATGTCAGTTTGGTACACATTAGAACATCAAAAAGCAGTCCTTTTTGGAAAAAAAGAAAATTCAGCTTTATTTGAGCACACACGCCTAACCAGCACCTTTGTTTGGAAGCCTAGCATATCAACTCCACCCGCGCTCCTTTAAATCGTGATGATGGCCGCCTGCTTCCTGACGCCTATTTACACCTCATCAGAAAAAAAGGGCAGCTAATTACTGAGTGTATGAAAGGACCTCTTGTTGCAGCATTTAGATCACCTCTGATGAAGGCACAAGACAGTCGAAACATTGGGTCTATGAATTGTAACTTCTTGGTCACATTCATTAAATCTTTCAACCAGAGTAGCATTAAACCATGTCTATATTTCCCTTTACTTATTTCATACAGGTTGTGAGAATTTCATGCACATCACCACCATAATTTTAAAAAATCTAGTCTTCATTCTGGCTCTTTTTTTTATATTGTATATTTAATCTTTCTGTATAACCCATTGATACGGCAAGGAGTAATATGATTTAATTTTGATGACTCTTTTGGGGATTGTAAGTCATTATCTTAAATCACTTATTTTGTTTCTTTAATGCTAAACATGCATGTAGGTTCCTCTGATCTTCAAACAAAACAAAAAAACCAAACTCATCATGATTAAGAATAAAACTACTTAACTAAAATAAACAAAGAAATATTTTCTAGCACTGCCTCACAAAATTTCAGATACCTGGATTATTCACGTAGACTCGTTGATCACCTGGTAACTCCACTTTTTCCAGTTTCACCTTCGCAGTTCGAAAAGCTTTGTTCGGAGGAACTTCGCCATCTTCCAAGCGTCTTTTCTGAGCGACTCGATTAACATAGTTTGACGATCCAGTTGTGCTCCTTTCATCTCCGCTGATTTTAAATTTCGGCGATGTGACATCGTCATAGTCTAACTTTTTACTTTTCACTACACGGCCAGACCGCGATCGTAATGGTTGGCCCTCTTTGTTTACTTCATCAAACTTTCTTTGCTTCCGAATTCTCTGGCCCTCCTTCGCTTTTGCAACCAATTGTTTCGCCAGAGGCACAGCCTTTTTCTTTAAATGGAAATTGATATTATGTGTGTTAGGCGATATATGGCGATTGATTCCTTCACCCATTGAAGGTTTCTGGACCCGCGGTACAAAATTCGCTCTGACTTGTGTTGTTGATTTCACGTTTGGTGACAGACAAGCCTTATCGAATTCTTTGGAGGGTCGCGCGAATCTTCTTTCGTACGAATCTCTCTTTCTGTACTGCTTCGCGTACACATTTTGGCTCGTTGATGCTGCGGAAGGTTTATTATCTGCTTCACTCGCGTTGTTCTTACGCTGAAGGGATTCAGCTGTGAGTGTTTTAGGCACATTACCACTTGAATGTCTTGATGGCCGGTCTCTGGCGCCATCTTTACGATAACTAACTCTTTCGCTGCCATCCAAATAATCTTTGACAGAGAAAGAGCGATAAGCTTTCAAACCTAAATCCTCAGAACGAAAACCATAAAATTCTTCTTCCTATAATCAAAATAAAAAATCAGAAGTTTACAAAACAATCAAGCTTGCTTTTCCAAAGAAGAGAACAGGCCTCATAAACAAAACTATGAAATAAGCATTCATTGGAAAATTGATGAAGCACCTCTTCATCGGAATCTCCGAAGATTTCACGGTATTTTCGAAGGCTGATACAAACTGGTTTCTTGACTGAGCTCTTAAGCTTTTCTCCAAGCTGCTCTTGTTTAATCAGTCTGGACATGGTAAAATTCTCCTTTTTCTCAGGAGCACATCGGGCCTTCTTAGTTCCAGGATATTTCATTCGCGCCATGTTTCCTCTTTGTGCGCATGAGTATGCGTCTCACACGTGCTGCCACGACCGCACACAATTATGGGTCAAAACAGAATAAACAAATATTTTTTTGACAAAATTGGCGTCTATTTTGCATCTTTTCCACCACTAGCGCTGATTCAGGGTGTCAGAATGTAAAGAGAAGTCCAATCAAAATCGAAAAAAATCTGGGCAGAAGCCCTATCGTGAGAGAAATCTACATCGCGCAAGCTGATTGAGTGACCAGGCCTCATGGGTATTCCCCAAACGTCCGGTTCGCCTCGACGCACGTTCCTTGTACGGTGGTTTAAAGACTTCATCGTTCGCTTTGCTGGATGACCACGCACGGAAATGAATCAAGTCTAAAAGCTGTCGCAAGAATTAAATTTTGTCGGATCAGACCATGCGTAAATGAGTTTAAAGCGAATGATCAAGATTTAAGACCTTAGCGTGATTAGTAGATTGCGCGTTGTGAAGATCGCACGATATCATCAATAAACCCACCCGATTTCTTTCCTTCGATATCGTCTACGTCCACGCCGTATGGAGATTGATATATATAGTGTTTTCAAGAGAGTGATCTGAAATTGCCTTAGCAGACATAATTGTTTAATTTAAGCGCATTGACAAGTTTGCGCGGGGTTTTCCCAGCGTGAGCCTTCCCACGCATAGGTCTCTAAGAGTCGCCGCGATACCGCAGTTTACCGCTTGCTTCCGCCTCTGACCTGCAGTCTTCTGACCCATTTAAAGAACAAATCTCGGTTGTCTTATAAAGGTTGAAAAAATCCCATGGTAAGCTTTAGACTATCATGTATCTTCAGTAGAATTCAGTAATCGCGTTTTGCCTCCTCTTTGTTAGTCAGCTATCAACTATTGTTTATCATGTATCCCAGTGAACTACAGTGCTGTCCTAAGACTCAAGTCGTCTTGACAGTACCTGGTGTGTATTGACTCTGTATTGAGAGAGGCTGGCTTAGAGTCCGGGTCTGAGTTGTTTCATCGTTAAGATGATACGAGGGAACTCAAACATCGAACACAGATTGGATGAAATCAGCACAAACCATCGTTAGATTCGAGCTACGTGTGCGAGAAATCAACAACCTGCTCTGTGCGGTTTCTGGCCAGCGCACAGATGGTAAACCAAACAAGTCTATGCGTTGAAGTGATTGCAGGCTGCTTGACAGGGTAGTTGGTTTTCCCCTTAGAAAGAAAATTGATCAAGATGGCGGTCTGCATTCCTTCTCACCTCAAAGAGTCTTACTGACTCAGAGGTAGAGCGTCAAAGCGAGATGCGAATGGCTGAGGTTCGACTCCTCATGGTTACTCTGAATATTTTTTCACACTCGCGAAAAGACGATAAAGCATCGTTCTCTATTTATTTTTTTCATGGGTTTTCGATAACAGTTATGATCCGATTAATCCTCAGTGGCAAACAATCCATCAAATTACTGAAATTGTGAACAAAACTGGCTATTCAACATACAAACTGCTTTTCTAAAGTGAGGAGGGAGAGGTGCTGGCGTATTCCAAAGCGGGCCTTTTCATGAAGACCTCAAAAAAAGCTCTTCAGCAACGTCCAAACAACTTGGATGCTGTCTGGCAAGCAGACTGTACAGCCTTAAGTTCTCGTCTGTTCTTCCCGTACAACAACTTAAGCGAAAGGTAAACTATTCAAGGCCGAGCAACAACTTTGGAAATGCAAAGAATTGCTTCGAGTTTATAAGCTATCTTCTCAACAGTTTATGTCTTTCCAAGAGGACATCTCTCTCTACTTTCTTCAACCATTTTTGGCGAGATATGTGGATTTTTTTCGCAGCGCTTTGCAATTGCACTACTACCGTACACACATAAACGACGCTGTGACTGAGGTTGTCCCTAAAAAATAGAAATCCTTATGTGGTCCCGTCCCGCCAAATTACTCTTTTAAAATGCATCCCTCGGGACGCACCTACAAAGCAAAGTTGAGTATGCAAAGCGATTTAGAAATTAAAAATAAAAAACGCAATGAGTAAATGTAGGGATCGCTATAGTATGGCGATGATAGCCGTAAAATATTGTTGTGCACCAGAACACCTGCATTTTTCTGCTTTCAGATTATAGGGCATCGCAGTAAATCTTTTAAGGTTAGAGATCGTTTAAATGATTGCAAAACTTATGAATTATTATCGCACATACACTATAAATCCACGATCTCGACGATTTAAATTCTCAGTTCGCGCTGATCGTTTCGATTCGATCAATCAAGGTTGTCTTTGCGCGGGTCCACTTTCTACTATAGTTTTGCAGGTTTGAACCAGTCAATTGAAGGTGCGTTGTCAACTTTTGTACGAATTTCCTCTCTTAAAAAAGTGACAGCGTTCTAATTACCAGGAAAATTACCGTGACAGGGTAATAGCTAACTAAGGTAAGATATTAGCGTAGTCCCAGTACCCAACGTGATTGAGGTCACTGAGGCACAAAACGACTGAGTACGTCGTGTATGTACACACAAGTCGTCAATACAATAACTATGAAGTGACGCCAACGAAGGACGCGCGGACTTGTTTCAAATCAATCAGAGTAATCCATGCTCCTTCCGTCCCCGAGTATATTTTACACTGTCGAGTTACAAAAAGATTACCATGATCTGGTCTTTCTAGCTCCATGCACCGGCGAGTGGATGATATCATAAAAGTTGTATCATAAAAGCGTGCGCCAACGAACACCCTTGTTGATGCTCTCTGTAAGGCCGGTTTACCACCTCTTCTTTACATGGACAAATGGACTCCGAGCTCGACTGAAAAAAGAAAATAATCCACAAGGGCTAATCTTAGCCTAGCCTCGCGTTGTAAAAGGTGAAGAACACACGCAAATTTAAAACGAAGATAACGATGGACAAAAACAACAGCTGTTTCCTTTTTGACTAAGAATTTTATTCTCGATATTTACAATGTGATATCTCCTCTTTTTCTGTACTTGTAAATTTTAGTCAAACTTCTAAAATGAGACGAGCGATGTAAAAGTGTTGAGAGCTGAGTCGTTTTAGTGGCTGGATAACAATTTAAGCCACCGGGGTGCAGTTTCAGACAAAGTGAGACATCTCGCGCATAACGGGTAAAAACGCGCGGAAGTAGTGGGTTTGGTTTTCGTTCCCGATTGGTTGAGAATACAGAACTTTTCTTTCGATTAACAGGGCTCATAGAAAGAAAGAGTTCTCCAAAGCTTAGTAAACTTAAACCGTAATACTTTAACAGAAATAACCATTACGTTCTAAATCTCATTAATATTGTTTCTCAGTTATACGTGAGGTTACGTCGTTGCGTATTGTTTGTGTCAGCTTAAAAGAGAATCTTTCTCGTTTTGTAAGAAAGCTTTGAGAAGTGGTTCAAAGCTTTCATCACTGCGACTGACTTGTCTCTCCATGGCGGCACGAAAGTCCTCTTTGGCTCCCTTGTTAACTCCTCGTGTCACTGCTCTACTGCAAAGTAAGTAACCGAAGTCAAATAAGTCAAGAAGAAGTAAACTAAGTAAAGCATAAGTAACAACGGATCTCTAAAAATTTTCTAAAGACATTAATTGACAGAGCTAGCATTTAACAGGGTAATTTTGAAATTATTGTAGAAAATAACTCAGTATTAAATTGGTTGCCCTACGACTCCGAGCACGCTCTGTGATTGGTTAAAGAAACAAGCATCACTCTTTCAACCAATCGGATGTTAACAAAAAAACAGTTGCGACTTGAACACTGAGATTTTCCCGCACTTTAGAGAAGTAGCCGCTCTGTGATTGGTTAAAGAAACAAGCATCACTCTTTCAACCAAACAAATGTTAACCAAAAACCAGTTGCGACTTGGACACTAAGGTTTTCCTGCACTTGAGACATGTTGACACTCTGTGACTGGTTAAGGAAACACACAGCCCTCTTTCCGCCAATCAGATGCTAACCAAAAACCAATTTCGACTTGGACACTCAAGTTTTCCCGCGCTTCACACAGTTTATTTATTGTAACTTTGAGCTGGAAGTGGGTCCTGTAAGTATATTGCTTTATTCTGATTATTCATTGAGATAGCTTTGGGGTCGTTTTAATGACACCAAATGGAGAAAAGAAACAAACTCTCCCAATAGCACACAAAAGACATATTGAAATAGCCTGGAAAAATTGACAGAGTTTGATTCGAAAGGGGTGAAAATAAATCACAAGACGCTCACTTTTACCTTCCTTTAAAATTCTAAATTTAGCAAACGGCATTTCGCGAAGGAACACGTCTCACATTGGAGTAGACGTTGGTGACATAACATGGGAAATAACCGCCATATTTAGGACTTACCCTGAACCAGATGTAGAGAGAGGAACTAGATCGAGGTTGTACGAATCATCACTGTAGAGGTGCGCGAACTCCTCCAGAATATCGATATCTGCCAACTATTAAGTAAACTTGGAGGACACTGTTTATCACCCGGTCTAAATCCACAAAGCGGCAAAGTAAACACATTAAAAAGAAACGCACGTGGCGTAAATTGTATTCTTATATCCCCAACGAGATCTTACATGTATTCCCGCTGGGAAAGCGCCAGGTCCCACCGGGATTCCCGCCAAGGTTCCCGTCGAGGTTGCAACGGGATCTAGCCGGGACTCCTTTAAGGAATCGTTCCAGGATCCGCAAGGATCCCCACCGGCACAGACTGTAATTAAAAACATTACTAAGAATTCGAATTAAAAAAGGATACTGTTCACGTAACTGAAAAACACCCTGTATCTCAGTCCTCCCTGATCACGGATCCTGTCCAGGAGCTCATAGAAGGCATCCTCTTCTCTTGGCCAACCAAACTGCACTAACACTACCACGTGACCAAGGAGTGTGTCATTTCGCCCTTCCGTCACCAGCCTTTGCTAGAAGTAAGAAAAATGTTTTTTCCTCTCATTCCCATGGCTTTAGTTTACTTCTCACCACTGTCTCTATATATTTCTCAAAATATGGTACTGTGTAACACAACATCGCTCAGTTGACTTTTCCCCCATCAATCTACTATTAGGCCATTTCACCATATTAGGGGAACGGAACGCGCGAAATATATATTACACAGTGAGGCAGGGCAAAAATACGAAGAGAAAACATGGAAACAAAATGGTTGCACTGGACGATCCAAACTTTGATTTTTTACGTTTCTTAAGCTTGACATTTTGAGGAAATAAACTTTAAGCGCATCATTTTTTATGGTTCTGGTTTCGTTTGTGTTGTTTTGTCTTTCGCTCGAGATTACTGCTTGAAAGACTTTTTGGGTACAACGTGTGACTAGAGAGGCTTTACATTATTCAGAAACACTACCTTCAGTGACGAAAGAAGTAAACGGACAGTAAAAGAAAGCACTTCTGTTTCACTGCACTGGATCAGTCTTAAACATCGACCTGAGGGTTCAATAGAAAAATTATCACAAAAAAAAATTTTTAAAGAAACAAACCAAAAACAGCAATACAACAATCCACACCACAACAATAAAAACAGCTGTTCACTCTTTGCCAGTTCTTAGAATAGACCTATTCACACGGTTCGTCAGTACCGAGCACCCAAGTTTGGGCAGCAACAATACTGGACCCTCCACCAGGCCGGATAACACGCGAAACAGGAGAATATTCTCTTGACACTAGGCCATTTCCGATGCTACCCCCCTCCACTGCAAATCTCCCTCCATTCGGCAAACACAAACACCTTCCCTGACACCTTCCCTAGGTATGCTTACGAAGCAGTCATTGAAAGGTGATTTTGTGTTACTATACCGCCAGTTGAGGAAGAACTTGACAAGGATGGTTCATTTCCACTCGCATCAAGTTTTCCTTGATGCATTGATGTTGATCTTTTCAGTGTCATGTTATCTCCAGCTGAACTTCTTGCCGAGAAGAATTGCAAACCATATAGTGCTTCTTCACATGCTCTCTGATGAAAACAAGAACAAACGAATGCGAGTTACACACGCCTAGCTCTTTCTAACCGAGATAAGGTTAGTATTGTAGGCAACGGACCGGGTTTTTGCCCTTCGATTTATGGCTGAAAGAATTGTCTTGCCCATAAACACAACACAAGGCAACGACTCCATCTCCGTTCCAAGATCTCACTTCTCTCCACCCCCCAGAGCCTTCTTCTGCTCGGGGTCTCTCCTCTTTTACACTCCTAGACCCCCTTCCGTTCTAAGGGAAGGGAGAGAGAGACCCTAGGATCAAGGTCGCGACTGATTCCAACCAAAACTCAACCCAGATCTCTTGAACCGCAATCCATAGAGCTAAACATAAGACCATAATGTAAAAAAGTAACGATTTTTTATCATAAAACAACTATCCATTTTCATTTCTAATTGGTTTGTTTATCACCTTGTGATCATCGAGGCGGAAGTAGCAACATGACAACTGAATGGCTCCTCTGATAAGTAACTAAGCCACAAGACAAAGAAAATACAAATTAGTAAAAACAAATAACACCTAAACGTTTTCATCTTAAGCGTGCGTCTGATGTAGATGAGCAGGCTGAGATTTGTTGCGAGGCTACGAACTGGATTCTACTTAAGTTACATTTTGGTCTAGCTTGAGCTTGTTTTTTTAGAGAAAAAAATGACAGATTGATCGAGAAGACTACTGATTCGGGAAGCTGTTTACAGTTGGTACGTCACTTTTGAGATATTTTCCTCTGTTAGTGAACACTTAACTACTTTGAGCAATTAACCTTTAGCTTTCCTCCGATATTCCATTATTTCTTGGCTTGCAATGTGATCAGAACGTCCTATGGGCAACACCTCATTACATCGCATCAAACTGTTCAAGCTTTCCTTCAAGCGCTCTTACCTCTTGATTTCCCGAAGTGTCCTGTTCCAATGCATTTCGTTGTTCCTGAAGAAACTCAACAGCTTTCTTGTATTTACCCTACATAACAGACATAATTCAAACGAATTCAAATCGAATCTAACAGAATCAACAATCCAAACTTAAATATCATCGAGAACCAGCTGAAAAAAAAAATCTAGGAAAGAAAACGTTTTCTTGGCCAAGTTCCTTGCACACACCAGAGCCGAAGCAACACGAGTATTGCGGCTATTATTGGAAATGATTTCCGCCAGTCACAGCATGTTCTGACCCCTCAGTATTTCATCAGGTTGTCTCTAATAGTTTTCCCTGATACTCAGGGATGCGTGGAAGGAGGAACTTCGTGAACAAATGATACAGAAACCAACTAGATGAACATCCGCGACTGCATGTCGTTTGTAGGCTAAAGAAGGGGCCCTTGAGTGAAAATTACCCTAAACTCCTATTTTCCACGCGACATCATAATTTTTTGATAATAATACAATTTGAAAAGCTCCCAAAAGTCTGTAAGCTGGTAATGTAGGGCTTACGTCTGCAAAACCCTCCCCATACCCCTGCTGGTTGTGTCACCTTGTAAATAAGTCGGTCCACTTTAAACGTTCCCATCCAGTTCCACTGGTCCACGCGCCACTCGTCTAATAGACGCAGAAAATCTGTAAACACCACAAATATATAATTAGAGTGAGTTCCTGGACTTCAAGCAGGCTTGAATGCATGATCCCTCAGCTTTAAAATCGCAGTTGTTAATTTAAGCCACGCCAACAGCTACTTGAGCTACAAAATTAAAACCCTTCTGATCAGGGAAACTAAATATCGAGTGAAATCGCCGACTCGGGTTACTACCGAAATGTGTGAGGAAAAATGACAAGTTCACGTGCAAACTTTTCGTACAATCTTGCCGAATGCCACACACCACAATCTTGATAACTTGATCTTAGTTCACTAAAACTTCCCACTGACATGAACTTAAAACCATTCTTCTATAAATAAAATTTTCAGCGTGGTTCTACTCCATCACAATGTCGTAACACCGGATGTTTATAAAAAGCATTTTCACACAGTGTTTTTGCACTGTTGACAAACCGTTTTTATAGTCAGGATATGTGTTGAGAAGGTGCCAAGCCTCTACAGATACAGCGAAGTCATCTGAGAGGTTTTGACTGACAGAACCACAGTCTACATAAAAAATAAGAACAATAAATGAACAATAGTTTAATAAATAAATGTATTAACAAATCTAACACAAGTTATAGATCCTACAAACAATTTACTATGGACTTGGATGTATTACCGATATTATCATAATTTCAAACCCGCCTTTCCCGAGTCTTTCTGTTCTCCAGTCCTATCTATGAACGAAAAAAAACCCAAAAAACGAAGTTTCGCTTTTTTTAAATAAATTGCTCACAGATGTTCAAAGTTTCCGTTTTTGCTGAAGTTACAATGTTTACATTTGCGAACGTTTCAATAAGATTTGGCAAAATAAGTTCAAGTCAGAAGGTAAGATGTCCAGAGACTCTCTGAAGTCTGTCTGATATTTTGTTACTCCCTAGCAGCTGGGCCATACAATACAATGTGTAGCTAGTCCTTTGCGGCCAATTTGTGTAGCCAGTACCTTACAAGGATTAATAAGAATTAGATAACTTTTACAGAGAACCCTTTATTTATCACATCTTCCAAAGCTGTCTTACTTTTATCAATTATGATGTGTGATGGTTGCTTTCCCTTACTGTCATCCTTTGCAGGAGAACCAGACCTGCCCTACAAAATGGTGTTGAACCAGAGTTAGTTTCAGCTGTCCAAATAAAAACCAATTTATCAGTGGTGTTGGAAAACAATAAGTCAGAGAGTACAGAGAGTATACTTACAGATGCCAATTTTCGCTTTTTCTTCTTTGGTGCTGGGCTGTCCATGGAAAAGATTTAAAAAGGCAACTGAGTATGATTTCAAAAAAACCCTTCCTCCAAAACATTTTTACAATGCTTTGTGTAAGTAAAGAAATGTTTTTTGGTTTAAAAAAAGCTTGCAAATATCTGAATGCTTAATACACAGAAAAAGAAAGATGGTAAATTTTGAGCACAATAAAGAAATAGAGACAGATGCTTTTTGGTCTTGCTATGAGTGTAGGACAAAGAAAAAAAGTTCAGAGTCCCCACAAGGAATCAAATCACAGACCCTCAAACTTCCAGGCTCTGATACTCTACCACTGAGCTACAGGGACTCTATGGTGAGCTAGGCCATTAGAAGGTTCATATTTCACATATATTTGTATGTCCTTTATACTGCTAGGACCAGTAATGTTGAATTGCTCAATCAAAAAAAGTTACCATTCTGCTTATTCTGCTGACACGCATTATGCTTTCGTCATTCCTAATCTGTGACCAAGTTAATAATTAACTGTTTTTCAAGTGTTCTACACTAATACTGATCGTCTTGTTTGTCATTCCCATTATTCATACCTGTCACTTGCTGCAGCGCTTGCAGAAGCACTGCCTGATAGCTGAGTGTTGACTTCAACACTGTCCTCAACTAAAACCAAAGGATACACCAAACCAGATGAAGCTGTTAAGAAATTAGAAAAACAAGTTAGGTAATCTTCATGTCATTCATGTCATTTGCTTGGACAAAGGGATAATGCTCCAAATGTCTGCTTTGAAACTCTTAAAGGAGGCCAATTTACATTATCAACTCAGTTCATAATACTAAAATTATCTTGTTAATCTTCATGTAAGTTGATCAGAAAGTTCTAGCATGACATCAATAAAGATGAACATGCCAGATCACAATAAATTTTAAGCAACTGAAATTTATAATGTTTTAGCACTTTGTGAAACAATGGTCAGCAATGATAGCAAAGTGCTGGCCATTTTGTATTCAGTGATAACTTCACCACTATCAGTACTCTTTACATTTTTGAATGAGGTTCTATATCCTGATCAGAATAGGATACAAACTGGATACCTTGCAAGTCAATAAGCATTGAATTTCATCATCATATTTTATCATTAAATTCTAAACTTTAAAGACATGAAATCTGATCATTTTCCACTTTTTAATTCTAACCTTGGAAAAGATGGATGATAAGAACTTATGTGGAAAATAAATTTTAAGTTAAGGTAACTTTGGGAAATGAGATTAACTGGTATTGCTGAAAGACTCAAGTGCAGTAACTGTAACATGACATGTTGAGGAGTATTCCCTGACTTCTTGATTGTGTGTTAAGATTTTTTAAGATTGCAGCATCCATGTTCATTCCCTCAGAATTTGCTGGTACCCAATTTTCTTCCTCTACCCAGTTTTTCTGACAGCATATCAGAACTCAATTGTCTCCTTCTGCCAAGGGCTTGAACCCAGTCTGCTAACAAAAGTCCATTTTACAGTTGTGTGCTTGGTTGCCAAGCCTTTGAAAAGGAATGAGGCTAAGGTTGACCTTGTTATGATACAAACCTTGCTTGCTTTTCAAATGCAAATTTCTTTGTTATCATCACAACAAGGTCATGTTCAGCTTCACTCCAAATCAAAGGCAAGGCAACTAAGTACATAACTGTGAAATGGCCATGGTAAGGTAGGACATGGTAACTAGCACAGGAACCCTACTTACATATTACATCAAGTCTGTTGACAACACGGCAATATTCCCAGACAGTCTGTAAGAATAAAATGATGGCAGCAAACATAAGCCCAGTTTTCTCAAGCACCTCCTCCTCTGTGCCTTCTTCCAAGCTATGCTTGGACATTTTTTTCAGTTTGTGATGTAGGTCTAAAATACTTGTCCAATGGTCATTGGTGCTTCTGGAAAGATATAACATGATGGACACCATTTTAGTCCCTGCAAGCTTAACATCAAATTTTGTGCAAAAGTCTTTGACTTCAATCACTTTGAAGGCTGGGGGGTTGAAACTTTGAAAAAGTCTTGAATCACCTGTAAGCCATAACAGACCCAAATCAAAGATAAAATAATAATCATCAAAAAATTGGAATGGCTTGATGCCCACTGCTTAATCCACAACCATAAGCTTCTTGATTCCAGGAAAGAGATTCTTCACCTGTATTTTTTTGAATCCAGTCTTTCATGAATCCTACAAATCTCCACCCATCCACATTTCTTTGCTGCCAAGTAAAACAGCTCATGAAGGGCTATCCATGGCCCTTGTCCATCAAGCACTTCAGCTACAATACTTGTGTCTACAATGCTCTGATGAACATCAAAGTTTTCGGACATGTAGTTATGGGCTGTGGTACAGGAGACATAAAATTGAATGGATAATTCCAGCCACTTGTAAACTTGAACCAGAGAGATACCAGAAACAATCCCCTAGATCAAGACAAAAAAAATAAACAAATAATAAATTAAGATTGTTGTGATGGTGTAGTTTGGGAAAGTTGAGCATACCATTTCACAAGACATCTAAATAAAAGAAGATCAGTTTTACATGAAAATTAAAATATTTTATAACTTCACACTGATTGTGATCATCTGATTTATGAGAAAGTTAACAGTATTAGCTATTTTGTACAGTAGTTTTGGTAGCAGCATTCTTTTTTCCTGACTTTTCCTCTAGTAACTGCTTAAACCACAGTTGAAACATTTTGCTGACCTTTATCTGCAGGTAAAAGATATAACTGCCTGTGATACGTTAAATTTGATTAAAGCTTAAAATTGAGAGAAGTAGACAATGTATCCTTAAATTACACTTAGGAGTACAAAAACACAAATGTGTGGTCATACAACCATGAAATGCTAAGAGCTCTGTCTTACACTAAGATGACAAACCTCCTTATCTTCACCACTTTGACTCTCAGCACTTGAAGTACTAACTGTCATCTTTTCACTGGCCAGTAAGTGAGGCAATACGTCACACACTGAAACAATATTTTGACAGCATCACAGTAACTAAGAAAAAAAAAGTCTTGACATGCTTTTTAACTTACTAGAAATCTGATTGGTATGGTTTTTTCAAACTAATATTCAGTTTGTTATAGATCAATTTAATTTGGTGCTATATTAAGGCAACACCCATCAGGTGATGAGTATCTCCCTTCTCTTTCCCTACATTACTGTGTAATATGTTGAAATTGTGAGGAGAAGTTACAATTTAATCAATTTTGGGAATAAAAGGGGCAAAAGCAACGCAAGAATTCCAGACTTGTAAAAGTAGAGCCAAACATGGGCTGGTAACTGATTAAATCCTCAGAATCTGTTGAACAATCAGGTCCATTATCTCACTTCCCTTATGAAGGCTTCTGGCAAAAATATAAAATACTGGTCAAGCTGAAATCAGAGAACATTTACTGACAACTGTGGTAACCCCTACTTAAAATTACAAGTGAAGAACTTCTTCATGAGCTGCAATTTAACAAGAAAACTTTATGCCTGATCAATCTCTTCAGCAATAATCAAAATACCAAACAGTTATAAAGAATTATAACTACAAATTGTCATATACTTGACGGAAGGGGATCACATTCATGTCAAGACCACCTTGAGAAATATGCTCTTTGAGTGAGTCAGGAGCTGCCAGCACAAACCTAATAACTTCCTGTAAGGATTAACAGGAGCTGCTGGATACTCTGAGTTTTCAGCCTCAATCAACATCTCTGTCAGAGCAACCTGTAGTAAAATATAACAATAATATCAATCTGACCACCAGCATATAAATAGAGAATACTTCTGTCAGTACAAACATGCTGGGTCAGCACAACCCTTAATGTAACAATAACATCAATCTTGCCACCATCATCTGAATAAAGAACACTTCAGTACAAACATGTTGGGTCACAATGAAACTTAGAAAAAAATGCAGTCTTATGATTTTATTACTAAATTTTGATTGGAAAAGTTTTCATCTTACTTGCAACATATAGAGAAAATTTCTTGGTCTGATGTTAGTACTATAATTAAACATGATAATGATGTAAATATAATTGATCACACAAATACCCCATTCTTTGGAATCACATCAGGAAATCTTCTCATTAACAGCAACATCATTCGACATCTCTCTATGTAATCTTTGCATCTCCCTAAAACATTCAAGCAGAGGGATCAAAAAAAGTTTCATACACTAGTGTTAATATAAAATGTATATACTGCTCACCTGCAGCCTTGAGAAGTATCTCTCGCTGTGCATGCTGTGGAAGACAGCCAAACATATCTAAAGAAAAAAAAAAATATATTAACACTACTCATGGCAAAAATTAAATTGATGATGATAATGGTGGTTTTCACACAATATTAACTTTAACATTTTAACAAAATGTAGATTTACCTATTAATTAATACACCTAATTAGGTACCTGTCAGAAACTTTCCATGTTGGTCCATGACATCACTTTCAAGAGCATCAGTGAAGCTAACAACTTCCTTCCAAAGAATGTCATTTTCTGGAAACTGTTCAAACCTAATAAATATATTTTTCTACATTGAAAAAACATTACAAAAAAGTAATTTCCAGCTTAATGTATGTTTAAGTTGAGAGTAAAGATCAGAAGCTGGAAAACACAAGTCAAGCAAAAGGTCTTGTTAGAGGTCATAAATTTAAATTTGGGTAGGTTCCTCTAAAGGTATCCATAAGAAATAGGATATTGGAGAACTATCCACTTCCAACACAGAATTCCCTGACCAAATATTGATGCTGTGAGCTATCTTAAGTTGATATGGGCAATCTTCCTTCATTACTTTACACTAATCCCCTGTGACTACATTTCTCAGTGAAGACAATGCCTTCTCTTCCTCTTTACCTATTCCACTCCCCAAGTTTCTGACAAGAGGGAATCTAAAATCAACAAACTCACATAATATAGAAAAGCTTGGCAGACTCCTGAACTCGCTCAGCATTTCTCTCAATACTGTAAGCCTCATACTGAAATGAAATGCTTCACATAAGTGAAATGGTACATACATCAAGATGCCAAGCACAAGTAATTGTTTCAAAATGATAAAAAGTCTCTCTGCATTATAATAATGGCTCCTGCAAAAACAAGCTTCAAGATACAAAGATAATGAAGTATATATGAGACTGAATGGCAAAACTTCCCAACTTATTTTGCCATAAGATACCAAGAGAGCTTCTAAACTTCTAAAACAGCAACCTTGAAGTAACATTTGATTGTGTGGTCTGATTGTCCACAGAATCTAGAGAAGGACTGTTGTCTGTTGTAGAGACTGACGTGTTAATGACCCTAGCAGAAGTCTCATCACTAATAAAGACTTCTACTGAGGTCATCAAAACATCAGTCACTCCTACAAACAACAGTCCTTCCCATGAGTCACTACTCTCACCTGGACAATCAGACTACACAATGTTATCTTTCTAACTGGGATGATGATCCCATCCAAGAATAGTAGTATCTATGTGACTTAATTAGAAACTTGAATTTTAACTTTACTCCCTAAATCACCCGCATTTAAGGTTAAATAAGACTTAAGTAACAATTTAATATATAAAAAAAAAATCCTAAGTGATCAAACACTGCAGTTTTTAGTGCGAGACACGATGATAACTCACTTAAATCTATGGATCGTTCTATAAGTATTGACCAAAGACGCCGCTAGACAATCATAGACGCAGACTGAAAAGAAAACATGACAACTGGTACAGAAACTTACAAATCAATGGACAAATAATTGCAAGCTCTGAGCCTACCTGAATCCCGAAATCTTTGGGATATAGTGTCTTAGCAGTTATTAGCCACGCTTTAGCTTCATAAGGATTATTCTCTCTCAAGCTTTGCCGAGCTCGTTCGACTAACCACTGTGATGGCGAATCGAGATCTTCCATGGTCGCATCTTTGCCCGCCATGTTGATTTCAAGAACTTTCACTTTGATTTACACAACATAGAAAGCTCAATTAATCGCGGGCGCTAAAACCCTTCAATTACTTTGTGGCCGCCCCACACATTTTTCCTTCTCTCTATCAAAGACACGAGGTAATAGGTCTCAAGACATTACTTTGTATTCAGAAAATATCGAAAAATACTCGGTTATTTTTCAACCTGATCCTGTCATAAGAGAGGAATAATAAATTTAGTTATCGTTGCATTCTTTTCAGATCGTCACTGGGTGAAGACCATGCAGATCTTTGTCAAAACCCTCACGGGTAAAACCATCACTCTTGAGGTTGAACCTAGTGATTCCATCGAGAATGTGAAAACTAAAATCCAAGACAAGGAAGGTAAAATAATAAACAATTCTAGTAGTTGCGTATTAAAGAACGATGGCAGTAAATCAAAAGCGCTTGGGTGACTTTCTCTGTTAAGTATCGGGCAAACTTGTAGTGCAAAGCTCGAAGAATATCACTATTATGAAATATATGCATTCCTGTAACGTTGAAGCATTCGAGTGGCATTTGGTTAAAACGGTAATAATTTTCATAGGAACTAACAGTCGCGACGATTAAACTTGTTCTGAACAGTAAAACATTGCACCAGTCATCCTTTACTCGAGATCTATCTCTGTGGTTGTCCAAAAGGACACCTAGATCATTGTAACAGATACACCTTTTTTTTGTCAGTGTCTGTGATGCAAAAAAACTTACATCACTTCCATCATCACTATTGTTCCTATAATGGATAAAGGGTCATCTTGAAATTCTCATTCTAGCACAACCACAATGCAGGACATTAGTTAGATGAACCTAGATTAAAGTGCTAGGTTACCTACTACTAGTTTTCTGTAGAGAAGAAGTAAAGATTTGAGCAGCTGTGGTTATTATTAGAATTGGCAAGATTGGTTCACTTTCCTGTGTTTGATGCTTTAATCAGTTGCTTAAAATGTTATCTGTCTGAGACTTATCTGTTTCACCAGCACAGCAGTGATTAGCTTATTGATTTAATTTAATTAAATCATAGAGCAAAGAGGTGACAGTGGTAGACAAATTTATTTATTAGCTAGATGGTGTTAATTTAGATATGACTTAAATCTTTCTTAACCCTTTGAGTACTGTAAAGTTATACCTGAATCATCATTTTCACTTCAAATGTCTAGAGCCAGTTAAAAAGACTTCAGTGTGCCTGAGTTAACATGAATCTCTCAAAATTCTAATTTACTCAGTGTGTTGTTATAAGGGCAACTCAGGGTGTGAAATTTTTTTTTTTTCTGATGGCCACTTGGCTCCTAAATTTTTTCAAAGTGGTAGCCGATTCAAAAAAAATTGGTTGCCATTTTTAAAGACAAACAAAACCTCTTTTGAATGCTGTCAGCATTCTAGGTAGACCCCTCTGAAATTAAGTCAGGAAAAAGATCTTTAACATGCTACAAATTGGATAGGTAAGATGATATACAACATTCAAGCTCACCTAAATACAAGATGGTGTCTAGTCATCGCTTTAGATGCCTGTGCTGCATTTTGGAAACAAACTTAATGAGGAAGTTTGCTGCGGCTTTACCTTTGCAAATCTTTTTAATTCACTATATCTCTAAGTAAGGTTATGATGAAGCATTCTAGTTGCCAATTTGGTGACTAATTTTCAGGATTTGGTCGGCAAAGTGAAAAACTTAGTCGCACTGGCGCCTGTATTAGGCGCAATTTCACGCCCTGCTACTGAAAAGAGAAAATCTTGACTCAGGGACTATGTCTTGAAAGCATTCAAGAGGTTAGTTCTGTTACAAGCAATGTATAGCAGCTACGAGGAAGAACTGCCAATCAAATGCCAGGAACAAAAGGAATTTAACAGACTGTTTTTGATTGTAGGTATTCCTCCTGATCAGCAACGGCTTATTTTTGCTGGCAAGCAATTAGAAGATGGAAGAACTCTTTCTGACTACAACATCCAGAAAGGTATAGTTAGCATGCTTGACCTGTATAACAGTAAAAGTAAATCCTGAATCACAGCCGTAATGATCCACCATTAGATCTTGCTGAGAACCTTTTTTGGCTTATTGCCATTTTGATTTTTTCCATCAACAGAATCCACTCTCCATCTTGTGTTGAGGCTGCGTGGTGGGGTTATTGAACCCAGTTTGCGCCTTTTGGCGCAGAAATATAACTGTGATAAAATGATCTGCAGGAAGTATGTTTTCTTTTTATTATTTAATAACCAACTTTGTGTTTCATCATTGCTTCAAGCAAAGTGCAACTTCCATGGTGTGGTATATTTCTCATTTTTCTCCGTTATTGATCAATGTGAGATCACAGACAACACAATTAAAAATTTAAATGTTGTTGTATGAACTGTATGGCTGTGTGCTTTCGTTTATCCACAAACATGAACAAAAATCTTGTGTGAGGGCTGTGTCTGGCCACTTAAAGTGCAAGATGGGAGCTAAGAGATGAAAGGATGAAGAAGAGTGACCATTATTTGATAAATTGCTTTTAGACTTATTGGATCGGATGGGAAAATTTCATGGGCTTATTTTGATCCTCATGGCCTCAAGCCAAATATTTCCATGTCTGGCCCACCCATTCAGTCAATAAATATTTTCTCTTTACGATTTGGATTGTGGATAAGGAACTCCTACTATTTGTTATTATATCTGGATACAAGTTTGAAGTTGAACATTCCTTTCTTTTCAGGTGCTATGCCCGTCTGCATCCTCGAGCAGTCAACTGCCGCAAGAAGAAATGTGGTCACAGCAACAACCTTAGACCAAAGAAGAAGCTTAAGGGCTAACTCATTGGCTTTATTATGTCAACTGCTGAACTTTGATTTCATCTGTGCTGTGGAAGTATTATTGGCAATAAATAACTTACAAACTATTGTCATTGTATTATTCAATCAGACCCAAAGCTCTACTCTCAGAGGAATCTCCTGGAGCCCAATAACTATTGTCTTAGAAATCTGGGGTTCCCAATCCTTGAATGCGTAACCACTTTACTCCCAAGATCTCAGCACAGTCTACTCTACATTCTGATATTTTAGCTCTGAGAATTTGGTGTAAAAGCAACAATATCATCATTTCCCTTTTCCTTTACTCTCATTACCTGTCTTGTTAATAGTGTATTGTAATTGTATGGATAAGTAAGTTCTTTGTCTCTTCCAGATGTGGATGGTCATTGTTTTGATGACATCTAGTGGTAATATTTCATTTGTAGTGGAATCTTAGTTTGATGGACACAGTGCACTTAAAAAAAGATTGTAATATTAATTCTGGCAGTATGCCTAAGGCTGGTCTAGTGATATGTTTGAGCAGAAAAAGGTAATCTTTGTGTACTTGCATGCTTCCATGAAGGAGTAGCTTTGCCTCAAGAAATGTTAAGGCAATAGTAATAGCTAATGTTCAGGAAACATTTGTCAAGGAGGAAGTGGTGTGATGGGTTGCATTCTTTAGATGGCTCAGTTTCCAAGCCTGTCACACATCCAGTCTTTGTTCCCCCTTTGAGGAGGCCCTTCAGCTGGAGTGCTCTTTCCTGAACAAAACAGTGCTTAAACACTGAGCCTGATTTGCCCATTTCCTTCCTGTTCTAGAATATTTACATATTCATTCTGAGTCTTTCATACACCCACTTATTCTTAAGACACAAAAAGATTTTCAAATTTACAAAGTCTTCCTAACACAACATTTTATTTTTAACTTAAAAGAGAGGCATAAACTTTGCAATACAACTACTCTTAAAATAGAGTGGGCTCCTGTGAAATATATTGGTATCTTTATAGCTTTTAAATAGTTCTCCTAATATAGGCATTTACATTATCATGTGGTATATCTGTTCTATAACTGATTTGAAGTTTTCATTTACACAGCAATATATGCTAAAATATTCTTTATATTTCTATCATTTTACCAAGTGAGGTTCATTGACAAGGGAATTTACGTACAGAGATGCATGCAATTTTCAAAACTGATGAGCTAACATTTACAAAAATCACGAGGAAATTTTTCTTTCCCTAGCTACTAGAAAAATGAACCAATACTTTCCTTCCAACTCATTTTTATTGTATTTGGCACTTGGAAATATTGATGTTTGAATAGGCTGGCTCAGAGACAAAATGGATCTTGGTAATGTGAAACATTTCATACCAAATCACTGATCAGAAATATTCCAGTAAAGCCCTCTGATATATAGAGGGGTTAGGAAGGTAGTTATGTGTATGTCAGTGAAAATTGAAGATAAAGATTATTGGCTGATTAAATTCACACAACTAAGCCCACCATTCAGTGGTCAATTCTGTCACTGAATTCAAGGCTTTCAACCATCACTGTAATTTTCTTCTGAGTGTCACCTTCCAAGTAAAAAATTGTCGCAGACCAAATTGGCTCTGGACAGATTAGCAATGATTATGTAATTCCCTACACTAATCATCTATTTTTACATTCAGAACAACTATATATTGTATGTAAATCTTTGTATCACATCTTTGAGTTTGTCTCTGCAGGTTTTCAATAATACACATTTCGTTATGATGAGTTTTGATCTCATCAAGGTGACTATTTTGAACCATGGTTTTTGGAATTATTTTTAATATCTTTTGCTTGGAGGTTTGATTCAGAAAGATCAAAGCTAACAAGATATAGTCATAATTGATTTATTTCAAAAAGAAAAAAACATTTTTCTATGGCAACAAAGTATTTGTCTTTAAGTGCTGCTTAACAAAATGAAAAATTTTCAGGAAGGAGAATAAATAAGAAATCAGTTTCTAAATTCATTTCTATGATAAAAAAAAAGAATTATTGACCCAAAAAAATTACTTCCCCCAGAAAATGTTTATTTAATTACCATATTCTAGACTAATACCCTTATGTTTGCTATTTTGCTCTTTTTTAAGTCCAGAAATTTGGATAATTCTAAAAATGTAATAATCTTTACAAGCTTGATTGTTTCCAAGCTTTTTTTTCTTGTGTTGCTTTATTTACAGGTCTGAATTCTGTTCACTTTTACAAATACTTTGGCGGTAAAAAACTGCCATTACCTGACCAGGCTTGTCTTTTTACATTCAATTTTGCAAAATCATTCAATGATTCATCCTTAAACCCTGAATTGTTGCACTGGTAATTATAAACTTGACAATTAACTTTTCCCATAGGGAATTGTAAATAGGACTTAAAATTATAGAGTATCACATTTATGTTACCACCCCAACAAAGCTTTAACAAAGACACAACAAGCCACAGGCTGACAACAAAGTTTCCCTTTATAGCTCTACAACCTGAATAGAAATAACAAAGAAGTGAGATGAAAAAAAAAAAAATTATTCCCCAATGTGGAAATAAAGGAATATTCATTTTTCCATTAATTGCTGATTACCACTCTCTTTTCTGAACACATAACATGTACCCAATAAGTTTTGAAAAAGGACCTTTAATCTTGTTAGGACCACCAGCAAAATTCTGACAGCAATTTTTCCTCCTGAACAAAAAGTTAGCGAGTAACTGAAAGCTTTATTTACCCTTCAACTCCCAAAGTTAATTGATATATAACTTCTCTTTACTACATCTATACATTATCCAGCAAATATGTGGTGAGAATTGAAAAACACATCAGCAAGGTGTTTGATTAAACAGTGAATTCTCTTCACTTATCCAGAAGGAAATATATGGCAGGATTCCAACTTAAGTTTTGGGAGTTTGAGGGTTGATGAGAGTTGATTGATAATGACTTGAGAAAACTGGGTAATTACTGCTTCATAAGCTAAACAGTTAATGTCATTCCCTACTATGATTAACCTACCACCAGGTCTGACTGATCAAGTCATTAATTAATCATGGAATTAATAAATTAAAAAAATCAACCTGTATTTGTAAATTGATGTTGTGTTGCCAACAATCTATAACCAGGTAATAGTTACAAGTTCAGATGCACCACGACCAAACATGAGTTCAAGAAGATTTGATTTTGGGAAATATTTTTAAAACCCTTTTACAGCTTAGCCAACTTGAGGAACAAGCTTGGCCAGTTTATAACCTGGCAAAAAGATTATACAAAATAATCTCTTTGAGAAAAAACATGTAAGCAATTCACAGAGGGGGAAAAAATGGACAATCCAGAGTGTGTAACACAAGCCAATCTCACCTGCTTCAAGAGCCAGTCAAAGCAAAAGACTAACATGACCTTGCCTTCTTTCTTAGTCAGCCAAGTAACAAGTCACCTTACATTTGTCCCTATTCGTGCTGTCTACTGTCTGATATATATTGCTGATTGCATTTTCTAACCTAACTTGTTGAGCTGTTGTATTATGGAAGAATATCATTGGAAAGCAACAGATCAAAATTAGAAGTCCAAAAAAAATAATGAAAAGGTTATCATGTTAAATGTCACAATTTTTTTCAATAGATAAACTGGGGTCAATTTAAATTGACTGATCAAGATTTTCACTGATTTGTCAGGCTGGGTTATTAAGAATTTCAAATTAGGGAAACTGCATAGATGTCAAAAAATTTCCTCTGTGGGAATTAATTCTTGTGGCGCACATTTTAAAGGTTTAGATTAATTACCTTAAAAACTTTAGTTACTTGAAAAACTAAACAACTAAAAACTTAAAATTAAAACCTGAAAAACTAAAAAATAAAAAACTACTTGATAGTTCATTATGTGGCTATGGTATCAAAATTCAACAAAACTCTCCTTTCATTAGCAACTCTACAAGGGGAAAAACTCAACCTTAATTCCAACTTTCTCAGCATATTACATTACTATTCAACTGTAACCATAAGTTCATAGCTTTCTTGTCCCTTGAGAGAACTCACGGAGAATCTTCCTCGCCAAAGCAAAGTTGTTATCAGCTACAATAAGGGCTCTAGTGATCTCCTCACGACTGTAGCCCTGTGCCTGCAGAATTGTAAAATCCTCTTCATAAAACTGCATAGCATCAAGGTTTGGATCTTCATCTGGCAATCTGGATCGTGTTGGTCTGTGTTCTCCCTTCCCTTCTAACTTATTTGGATCTAAACCCTGGGAACCATATGTTGGATTGCTGAAATTTTTTGCTTCTGCTCCAGCCCAGCTGTTTCGTGTAAGCAGGGCTGGGCGTAAAGTTCTATCATGGTGACTGTTTGAAGTGGGATTTCCATTGCTCTCAAAGTCATTGGTTTGACCAGGATGTCTGCCATGGTCTCGACGAACATTTGAATAAGTGGGATCCTCAAGCACATCATCAGTGGATCTTGCCTTGGTGAACACCCTTGAAGGTAGAGTATTTTTGTCGCTATGAGCATGGGTTTTGCGTGGCATCCCAGAATTATAGCTTTGTGAACGTGTTGGTGGCAATGCTACAACCAAAGGGCCTTTTACAAAATCATCATCAAACGGGGCATTTTTTGATTTACCATTCAACTCAAATGGGTCTTCAGCAAAAGGATCTGCAACTGATTGAAGGTCAGTGGTATTGTCCCTTAAACCATTCTCTTTGTTAGATTTCTCACCCCGTGAACGTTCTCTTTCAGCTATTATGGGCAGAGGAAAATCATATGAAGTTGCCTCTTCATTTGCACAAATTTCAGCCATCGTGGCTTCTCCTGGTCTGCTTCTTTCCCTGTCAGTAGACTCAGCTGCATCAGGATGAGGGTAAGTTAGCTGAGCATAATTTGTTTTATTCTGGTTTTGACCAAATGAGTCATGTGTGACATTTGCAGCAGCTATGTCTGCATATCCCACTGTATCCCTTCTGTTGCTTTCATGCTTAGATGTCTTAGTTCCTGGTTTATTCTCTTTATTTTCCACACTGGTCCCTCTGTGTTTATACCTCCTCTCTGGTACTGCAGGAGGACTGTCCTCATCTAAGGTTGATGGTGGCGGCGGTGGTGGTACCTTTCTTAACAGTGAAGGAGAGTTATGTGGTGAGCCACATGGAGAAACATGAGGAGAGTTGTGGGGTGAGACATTAGGAGATGCACGTGGTGAGTTCCTTGGAGAGTTCCATGGAGAACTTAAAGGTGATGACCTTGAAGATGTCCCAGGAGAAGCAAATGGTGACACATGGGTGACTACGAGGGTTGGAGAGGTAGGTGACTGTGGGTTGAACTGGAGGTTTCGCCGCTGGGGCAAGGGCGGAGGGGCATCTTCAGATGACCGAGACTGCTCAGTGTTCTCCTGCTGTAAATGGGGATATCTTCCTTGTTGAGTACCATGAGGTCTAGAATCAATTGTGGAAACCCACTGACTAGGATCCTGAGGAAAGAAAGATATTACCACTCAGGGTTAGCTTTTGAAATAGATTCAGTAGGTAAGTAGACAGACAAAAAGATAAATGAATAGAGGGGGTAAATTTCTAAAAAAACTGTGGTGCTGCATCAGTGGAAGAGTATAACAGGTAATTTAGTATTAACAACTGAGTTGAAAATGTAAATTAGCCACCATAAAGAGTTTAATGGCTGACATTTTGGGCATTAGCCCTTTGTCAGAGTGATAAAGAGTCACACAGAAAGGTAGTCAAGTAGGCAAAGAGAATCCCTCAAGTGTTAAGGGAGAACAGGAGGGTAAAAGTGACAATCTCTTTCGCAATAATTAAACTGTGTACATCCTAAGAGTTATTTGCATCTAATTTCTCCCAACTGTATCACCCCTTGAAACAAACATCAAGGTCATGAGAATAAAAAGAAATGATCACAAACTCAAGAAGCTCTCAATTTTTTAGGCAAATTTTCCTAGCACATACCATAGAAAATGTATTTAGCAATTTAGGGAAAACTTGTGTACTGATGTTAGGGTGCACAGGGTTAATTATGCATTTTATAAATCTCAAACCTCCATGATTTCATCGTCTTCCCCGTCCAAGTGATTCTCTTGGTTCTCTGCTGCTCTTACTGCCATTGTCTCCTCCTCAAGATGTGGTACAAATGGATCCACAACAATCGCCTGCATATCTTTGATTTCAGAACGGCAAAATGGACACCCTTCCCCCCCAGTTTCTTGCCACTGGTCTAAGCACATGTGACACATCAAATGACCACAGGGCTCCAAGCGCACATCTTTATTATTCTCTGCACAGATCTTGCAAAGCTGAAAGGTGGATCCCATCTCACAGTACAACTCATATTGCTCTTCAGTGACAGTGATGTGCTCATCAGGAGGGGTGATGAGATGATGGCTAACATCAGGGTTGTCTGAATTTCCATCGGGGTAAAGGTAGCTAAGGAAAATACAAAAAAAAGAAAAGTTAAGTTTGAAATGTTAACTCTTAAACTGTTACTTTAATTTCTACACAATCTTTGTGATCAAAATCTCAAAGAAATATATTGCTAATGGAAATAGATTTTAATAGAAAAGGGATTTCCTTGTGCTGATGATTAGACTTAAAAATTTGGAATTTCCAATATCATAAAGAACTTATGACTGCCAACAGATACTGAAGAGCTAGCAATTGTTTAGAATTGAAATGATCAAATCATACCCAAAATGCTAGGAAAAAATTTGTGGTCTGGATTTTGTTTTGAAAGGTTGAAGTTTAAACATCTTAAGTTCTTCTAGGTGAGAATTCAGGAGCACTTACTAGCCCTCTCTAGCTCCATCAATAAGTGCCTGACAGAGTGACTTGTTCTGAGGAATGGTTTGAAGAATTGTATGCTCAGGTGTAACATATCCTATGGCCCACTGACCCAGTCTTGTACAACTTAACCTGAAAATGTAACTGTAGAAAAAGAAATCACAAGTCAAATTACAGGCTGGAACAACAACAACAGAAAAAAGATGCAAGTGGTAAATGAATCAGTTGCACAATACAGCTCTACACCAACTTTTAAATTGTTTTCTTTGGTGGATATTTGCCCAAAGATACCATCCATTCCCTATAAAATGAAGACCCTTGAGTGTCCTCTTATCCAGCCTTATCAGTGTGCAAATTAATTTCTTATTCTGTAACAAAACTTTCCCTTTATTTATTGACTTTCTTCAGGTATAGAATGGTCTAGTTTTCAGTCAAATGACGTAATTAACCCATTCACTTACCAGTTTAAACATTGTAATACCCATTGGTATACTAAGACTGTTTTCTTTAAGTTTTCATCAATGATGCTTTTGGTGGCAAAAATTCAAAGTTTCAATAGACTGCTTTGATACAATATTAACCCTTGATTGGAATAAAACAAACCTTCCAGGTTTATCCATGTGTTTACACAATCTTGCCTTCACTTCATCATAAGTCATAAAAGCACAGTAACCAGGGTGTGTCACGGCAAGGAGATTCCAGTTCTGAAGCAGATGCGACCATGGCTGAAACAATCTTGTAAAGACATCGTATTCAAATATGGAGATGTGGTCATTACATGTCAGATCTATTGTTGACTTTAAGGCCATTGCTTCCAAACCTGAGCTGATATGGTGTACTGTTTGGAGAGTTTGACGAAATTGCTTCCATGAAACCGTTGTTTTCCTAAAGAGAATGAAGAGTAATAAAATCCATTACCTTTCACAAAAAATTCACTAAAAATCTTGGTCTGCTCTTGAAGTTGGAGATTGTAGCTGTCATACCCCTCATCAATACTTGGATGTTAAGGTTACTCTCAACAATATTCCATTATGTTTTTTGCACAAAAAAATTTGCCTCTCCTTAGGGAATATCTTAGTTAAAAGCCTCACACACTTAGTCTGTGTTGAGTGATATTTTGCAGTCTGTTTTGATGTTCCTGGTGGTGATAGCAAGTTATTCAGTTGAGTGCACTAGGTACATTTTGGTGTCAAAATATAAACGCTTGTCTAGTGAAGTAGAATAAAGAAAAAGGCATATTCCTTGCACAGATAGATTACCACTCAAGCTCAATTTCAAAATATCATCAATGATGCTTATTTGTTCACCTCATTGAACATGAATTCTATTGAATTATGCATCAAGACTAAACCATAAAGACAATGTGAGAACAGCTTGTTGGCCATGAAAAAACTCAACAAAATTCTATGTTTAGTTACACATTTCATTGTCACATTACTTCCCGGAAGAGTTATTTAAATTCTTACTATAGGAATGCATGTCTAGTAATTCTTGGAGGATAACACAACATTTAAGAATAACTAGCTGTGAAATAACCGGTAATCAAAAACATGTTTTCATTCCCATGTCAGGGCAGAACATAAACTCCAAAACACACACTTAGTGTTATCTACCTTTTAAAGCCTATATACATATGATCTACTCAAGATTTAAAAGCTATATTTCCCAAAAATCATATGCAGGTTATCTATTGATCCATTGACCTCAAAATCACTTTTAAGATCTGACAGTCACTTCTCAGAACCTAATTGTTACGTGCATATGTTCTAATTTCCTTTAAAAAGAAAATTGTTGTTTCTCTTTCTACATCATAGTAGAGGCTTTTCCTGTGAAACCACAGAATCATACAGGCTATATCTGGGTACATTACCTTTCAAATGCCATAATAACTATGAATTAACAAATTCTGAGCCACATCACGTATTGTAACTTAAGACTTATTGAAATTCATAAACAGTTGGTCCGGGTTTTTTCTTGCAACATACAGCTTTCCTTCAGCAAAGGAGAAAATAAAATTTTCTTGATCTCTTTTCAATTAGAGAAGGAAATAAAATATTAACACCACTTACAATTTCATTCGCCTCGCTACTTAAATGTTCAGCTATTTGTTCTCAATCAGAGCCGAGAGAAAATTTGAGTACGAGAACTAAAAACGCACCGGGTAGAGTACAGCAAATTAAGTTTGGGAATAATATTCTGAGGTCTATGATAGCAGTGATGCATAACCAAACAAATAGATTGGATATTTTTCAAGTAACATAGACAAGATGATACGATATTTAAAAGTTTCAGCTCGTCTGAAATGCATCTAACATCACAATTTAAGTCAGATCTTTACGTGTTTCACCATGAATATATGACGAAAATTATGATGGTTTTCTTTGTATTTGTAAACACAGTTTCCAATGGACAATTAAGTTCTAAATTTACTTGGAAAGGGAAAAAAATTTAGGATGTTTTGGGTTTCTTGTATAGCCTTCTTGGAAAGCTCAAAGGACGCCATCGAAAGGAAAACGCGGTCTTTTCGTGATTTTAGAGTGAGGAATTAAAGGTGATATAATGCAAGATCTTTAAATTAAAAGTCGGGGGAAGCACGCAATTAATTAATAAACGTCAAGAAGTTATTTTTTCCCTTGTGATATGTTATAAAATTTGACGACACATTTTGGAAACGAAGCAAATAGTGGTCTGGCCACCCGCCCGAAGGGAGATTAACAAAAGCGAAGAACAAGATTGTGAAAACGAGCTGTCATGGTTGTGTATGTAGCGACCATTGATCACTTTCGTTTATCAAAACAATACATGAAGCCCAAGAAAATTAACCTAACATCAGACTTACCCAATCCCAAAATTCTTTCTCCAGAATTCGGCTGCATCGTATTTTGTGATCCTGAAGCCGTCTCCTATATAAGTTCCTTGAGGAAATATTGCCTTCACCTCGGCCAGCATGTGACTGAAAACTAAACTCAGCTTGGTCAAGCTGCGTCGATACGTGGAGTTTTCGTCGTACATTTTTTCTTTTCCATCTTTGAAAAGCTTGATGGCCAGCTTCGATTGCTTGATGAGATTTTCTATGTAAATCCTAAAATACTCACAGTCGTTCAAAATGTGCATCCTATCCTCGTATTTCGAGATAATCAACTTCAAATGTTGGTAGGTATCGGGCAAAATATCTAAGATGTAAGGGGGGCTATTCTTCAACGACAGCCGTTGGTTTTGACAATGTTTCACCACTTTGTCCATCAGTTTCCACGTCTTCTCGATAGTTTTTCTGTCGATCTGCAAACGTGGAGTCACAGCATGAGTGAGGGCATCTTGTATTCGACTAAAAAACCGTGTTCCACGACTAGGAGGAGCAGCCATTTTGAGCCAGTTGCTTGACAATTTCCGTGTTCGACGATGTCTTTGGTCACGTGACGCCATCATACAGCCAATCATGACGGGTGATAGTTTTGTAAGTGCGATAATTTTCCTAATCTAACGTTTATTTCAAATATTTATCTTGCTACTGCTCTTCCAGATGCTCTTCACTAGGTCGTAAACATAAAACTAGTCATACGGTCAAGCTTCCACCCCTATCCACCGTTACTGATTTAAATAATCAATTCCTACGCAAATTGATGGAATAATCTATGAAAGCTGATCCTCTGTGACCGTGTCTGATTCCAGCCGGATACAGCAGACTTCTAAATATACGCCTTCTTTCTTTTCGTGATGACGTAGCCGTCTGTACAGCTGCGTGCTTCCTTTCAAAAGTGAAACAGTTCCAGGATACTGGATTCTGTTTCCTGATTACCTATCAAACGAAAAAATAATCACCTCTCGGTTAAAAATCCTGCAAAATGTTATCACCTATGTGTAATATCAATCAAGCGATATAAACACTTGAAGTTCCTGACCTGTGAGTTTCACTCTCTTCAGAAATAATTTTTTAGAAAAATTAGAGGAATAAATTTCCTGTCGGCGTGTCTTTCTATCAACAACTGAGGTCGTCCAAGCCTGCGACACCGGCCTGGACCTCCATCTTCAGGGCGGTAAAAAGTCCCCCGGGCGGGCGATCTGAATAATGTGATCGTCATGAAACAAATCAGTCTTACTTCGAAAGCGAAGATATACCCCATCACTTACCCTCTAATTCATAAACATATCGGCCCAACTTACCTGTACTGAATTCGGATTTCAAATGTCTGATCGGATAAATGGATCGTTTTAAAATTCTTTACAATCCTGAATACAGCGTTGTTTTACCGGTTTGCAGAATGATCAACTCTCTCTCACGGCTTCCTAGTCAACTCTAATACTTTAAGTGTGCTTAAGGCACCAACGAAAGAAAAACAGAGATTGCCGTACAATCTAAATTCTCAAGGTTATCGAGGGAGTGTCGGATGCAATTATTTTCACACGTACTTTCTCGAATATGGGTAATGCAGTCAACACCATAATGGGCGAGCGTGTTTGCCGGTAAGCTGATCGCTTCGGACACTCCTCGCGCGACCGATCGCGCAGCCCACGCAAAACGACACTTCACTCCCAAATGATTGATACCGCGAATCGGTAAAACTGCTTTAAAAAGCTGTTTGAGGATATTGACAGCGTAAATTGTTATTTAAGTACCTGTGGTTATCCTAAACGCCAAGAAGCACTCTCTCTAACTGGTTACCCCGTTTCATGGTCACCTTTCGGTCATGGAGGCTTGAAAAACTTTTTCGGCTTGCCTATGTTGTTTATCTTGAGACTTCCTAGTGCGTTTTACCGCTATCGTTCTCATATATATTCGAGATAAAGTTTATGCCTATTTTTGGAAATGCGGCGAGGAATTATCTATGGACAAATAAGCCTCAACATGATATTGCTAACACCACTTATTTATCTCGCAAAAGCAGGTCTAAATTCTTGGCAACGAATCTAAAGTCGGATCAAAAATGAAAGTAATCTTAGCGACTATAAAAATTTCCCTGCTTCATTGCCCCGTGTTCCCATGTCGCTGAAAGGTCACAACACTAATCACGTTCTAGAAAAATCACCGTAGCCGTTTTTAAGAGCCTTCAATGTAGATTATAGATTGTTATAAAAAAAAATGGTCAGTTGTTTTTCATCGTGGTTAAGTAGATAAATAAAAAATATAATAATTTGTCTCTAATGTAAAGCAAGGCTAGCTGATGTATTGATCGCTTTTCGTCACGGTTATACATTGCGAGACAAACGATTAAGCTATGGATTTCAAAACGTTCCACTGATGTTCAAAATACTTATCAAAAATATCCCAGAATAGAACATAAAAAGGAATGTCTTTTATATTTAAATGGCACCAAGCAATATTTTTATTCTGGACAAACACGTAAGTACAGAACAATAATTCACTATCACTTGCGCTTGTAACTATAATTTTTCCTGAGAATAGTTCAGACTACGAAAGAAAGACGTCATAAACTTACCCGTTTTAGGTATTTATTTCAGTGTTTTTACAATTACGTCAAATGTACAAATGGTCAGGTATAAAAAGGGTAATCAATTTAACGCTGTCCGCTTCAAGTAGCAAAAGCATGAATTTAATAATTTAACTTATCAAAAGTTAAGTCTAATCCAAGTAAACTTTTGAAACGGTTTCACACGCACAATGATAAATAAATTTCCTCTTTGAGAACAAGCGTGATTTTAAATAATTTAATTGAGGGTCGTGGGCACACTGCAGTTCCTTAATTCTTCAACAGACGCCTGGAAACCAACCGACCCGTAGAAGATAGAAGAAAACCGCAAGAATGTATCTTCGTCACTGTGGTAAAAAGTTAATTATCTACTCACAAAAGAACAGGAGACACTTTTCAAACTTTGCTCAAGTACAAGTCAAGAGCGTATAGGCATTTGAATGATCTAAAGTTGGAGACACCAGACTCACGTCAAACATAGCCAAAATCTGCCTCGTCACATAGGAATTGTACACACTAAAGGCAAAAAATAGGCTGAAGAAGAAGATGTTTGGATACAGAGAGAGAGCTGAGACATACAGCAAAGAGAACACGCATTCACGTTATGTGAATGAAACATCAACATGTTTTGCCTGTTTCTCTGTACGGAAAAAGTCGGTGGGCGAGCGGTTGTTTACTTTGGCGAGGAAACTAACGCCTTACTTCACAGCACGTAGCCATAAAAAAATTACATTTAGAGAAAAAACAAAAGGCAAAAGAAGTTCAGTTTCAGAGTTAACATCAAGGACTTCATGCAACGAATCCGCTCCACAATTAACCGGAAGTCTTTTACAAACCTCTTATATAAAGGAACAGTAATTCTAATTTGATCAACACCCGACTTCCACTGTTTCCAAATGGGCTTAATTTCAAAAGAAACACAAGGTAAAAGTGTAGATATCCGGAAAATATTTTTAGGCTACGTCTTCATCTATTATTCTCTAAAATACCGAAAAAATTGTCCGATTTAGCATCAATTTTCCCACCGAAGTCATCCGTTCGTAGTAATCTGTACAATTTCCCTTGACCCAGTCTGTAAAAAGCAGGAGATTAGGAAGCGTCCAGCTCTATCCGGGCTTTTCTGTTGGGAATCAGATGATCAAAGAAACATTCCACCAGGCGCTTAGCCTGTAAACATAAAAATACAAAGAACCATAGATTATGTCTTAGAGTTAATCATCCTACGAGAAACATAACCTGAGAGGTCTACGATAGCTAAGACTGATTTCCCTTCTAAAATAAGCGCCCAGTGGTTAGTGTCTTCGATGAAAGAATGACGTTTGTGAAACATAAGATTTGATTTAAATTGTTCAGTTCGTCATTTGAAATCGTCTCTAATCTTTTCCTTTCCAAGCCGTTCTTTTTCCTTCTTGGTTTATGTCAGCGTCTAATTGTTTTTTTTTTTATCCTACCAAAGTCTCTCTCAAGTTGAAGGTATTTTCGCACGTCGTAACTGAAATTAAAACGAAATATTGCAACGAAGCCCCCTAGTGGTTAAAGGAATTAAACAGATGGACAGATACACTATCATTTGTCACGCCATACCCAATACACATTTAGTTTTCATTTTATACATATATACATACATACATGGCTTAGATGATCCCACATGTGTGAGAGCACTTGGGGTGGATATATGGCCTTACCTCCATTCTAGCATCAGCACTGCACTGATGAGGCCCAGAAGGCCGAAACAGTACTGTCTGCAGTTAGTTATATATATATATACGTATAAATGTGGGGGTAGAGTCTACCTTGGCATAAAGTGCTCAATGCTGTGGTAGCAAAGCTGAGTATATATAAGTGAAAGAATCAAAGAGGACGCATCGATTCTCTGTTCTGAACAGAGAATCGATGCGTCCTCTTTGATTCTTTCACTTATATATATATATATATTTTTTTTTTTTTTTTCTTGCAAGAACTTTGCATTTTTATCGATCACGATCCTGATCTTTCCTGCGTTTCATGTCGTATCTTCGGGATAATTTTTCCATGCAATCTAGAGATAGAGTTTAAAATCACCCGGCCTTAACATACGTCAGAGAGGAAGACGAAACATCTATATTTCGATCGCAAACATGAATGACAGAAGTAATAACTCTCCCAGAAATACATGAAATGGCGTAATGTATCTAAAAGAGTTCAGTCAAACCCAAAGCTACTTCGTGGCATAAATCCATCTCTGTACACAAAATGGTAAAGTGATTATGAGGGAGTTGGTAAATTGTGGTACATTCTTGAAATTCTCTAAAAACAAACCTCTTTCAACGTCTTCCCTGCCAACATGAACTTTCCGGAATTTGCGTACAACGATTTCAGTTTCGGAGAGCTAGGAGTGACAACGGAAGAATGTTAGAGTTGAGAAAGTAAGATTGTCGTGATACCTGCATGTTAGTTCCACTAAACTGAAGAACGAAAAACGCGGAAAAAGATCATAAGATCGTAATGTTATGATCTTCCTATTTGTCTTTGTGTACGTAAAGTAGATCCGAACACTATAGTGACACTTAAACTAAATAATATCAAGGTGAAGTATTTGAAGAATTACTAAGCTAGCTTGGAAAATGAAATGTGACAAATTTTGCCGTTAATGTCTCTCTACAAGCGATCTCAGAGTCAATTTATTTACACCTGACCTGACTTTACAAACTACAAATACATCCCGACAAATTGACATGTAGGAACATTGTCGAGGAAAAACTTCGCCGAGGCTAAATTTGACACCGGAGAAGACGTCACAAGAGGACTTTCCAGTTTTTCCTGTTTTTTGCCTTTGACAGGTTTTCTTCGCTAATGAATACCACGAACACCATTTTCTTGACGGGTGCACTTAAATGAGAAGTGGGAAATGCACAAAACAGTTGACACCAAACAATATGATAGTCTGCCCTTGGGTACCTGGTGGGCAAGACGCCTCCACTGCTCAAGCCATCAAATTGATTTAAGAGAAAAATATTCTGTAAAGAACCGATTCAAATTTTTGTTTGAAAGTTTTGGGAATAAAGAAACCAAAAAAGTAATTTCGAATTCTCTCAAATTGCCCAAAGATTGTGTACGAGGAATAGACAAGAGGATTTGAGAGTTTTAATGAAAAAAAAATGTCCTGAAAATCGACTTGTTTGTTATTTTCTTACTTATCGACATCAAGAAGATATGCCTACCTGTCACACAAAGAGTCGTAACAGGTGACAGCACCGTCACGCAAGACAGCCATGACAAGACAGGGTGACTTGGAGAGTTGACCAGCCTGTAAAACGTAAGCTTCAGTATTGCCTAATCATTGAAACACAAAGTGAACACGTATCATAACTTAAAAGCACTCATCTCTATTTTTTCGTTTGAGCAAGCGAGGGCACAACAATTACCGACATTTTTAGGGGCATGGCAGCGAGCCATTTCCTATACACTCAATTCGGTATGCAAAAACTTCCTGTCACTTCAACATTGTAGACTGTACAACAAACCATCAGTCTTCAAGTCTACGTTTGATATACTCTTTAGATTTCGGAATTCTACTTATTTTAACCATCCTTTATATTAAATTTCTATCCGCCCAAACATCAATATCCAAATAAGGATTTGAGGAGATGGATGAAAATTCATGGAACTCTAATTCTTGAAAAACATTTACAGTGTTATACCGCTGTACATCAGAGCCAACAATTCAGACCAATCAATCGCTAAGATAGTCATACAGTTTGAAGTCCTAACTGAAAGAAATATTGAAAAACAAGGGATTTACAGCAAATTCAAATTTCAAAAGGCGAAAAGCAGGATGGCAAGTAAGGGTTAAGGTTAAAATGCCCTGGGATAAAAAGATAATATGATGAGCAAACATAAACCATGCACATGATCCAAACCGAGGGCACGGACAAAATTAAAAAAAGTTGACATAAAAAAGATAAGAATTATCAAGAATAACGAAAATTCCTACTAAATGATGAGGTTTCCAATCCTCGGGAAGGCAACCACTGTACAACTTAGCACAATCCGCTGCTTCAACCACTCCTAGGAGCACCATACGAAGCCCGATGAAGTGAAACCCTGCAGTCAACAAGGCCTCTATGACCTCAGCGTAACTGATGTTACCCCGCCGTCCTGTCTGAGCACGGCTAACCAACAGCTGTGGCAATAACAGCAAGCAGTTGATCTCCAGTAAAGAACTCGGCAGGAGGGTCATGCCCGGGCTGGTTTCCACCTTACTCTGCTCTTCTGTGGAGAGTTCCACGAGCGATCTATTGGCCGTCACGCTGAAAACTTCATCTAGAGCTAGACATGGAATCTAAAAGAAGAAGTCCAAGGGTAGTAAAATTGGCGCGTGCAACGTCGTGGTCTCATGGTTTGCACGTTGAACTCAATTTAGATTAAGAGTTAGTCTCGTTTAAAGACTACACCTTTTAACACATGAAGGGAAGCGTAAGAGAGTCAGGCATTTGTTCTAGCTAGATACAAAGAAACTTGGAGAAAGATTAAGAGTCCTAGGAATTGTTTCAATCAGCCCTGTTCACGTTAAGTTAAGGAAAACCTCAGGTATCAAAAACTACAATATCATGAAAAGTACCCTTCCTAAAATTTTAACTTTTTTGAAACAATACGGATCGAAGGGGTGAATTTACCCGTCATGCACTCGAGGTGTATTACTTCTGTTTCTACTCGAACAGGGGATATAGCAGAGTTTTGTAATCCCTAAAGGCCATGGTTTACTTTAGGAAAGAACATACCTCCTCAGCCTTAAGGTCAACGGAGGGGGAACAACAAACACCTTCAGGAAACAGAATCTTGATATCTCTGATCGCCTTCTCGTAAGTTTCAGACCCTGCGGCAAACGATTTATAAATTAGCGGGGCTAGTTCCTTTACTTCACCCTCACAAACAACAAACACTCACTTGAAAGGTTAAAATCTTGCAGATATCTCCGAAGTTGCTTCGAGTATAGGATGGTCTTCCGAAGCAAGAACGTTTCCGATATTACATTTCGCTATGTCTGGCCTAATTGAACCATGAATATCAACCTTTCACTGGCAGGGAGAGAAAACAAACCACGTTTTTCCACAAAGAGGCGGAAAGACAGCACAACTAATTACAACACAGCACAAAGTACAACAAGAGACCATGAGCTGATGATCTCTCGAGGAAAGTAAATTAATTGATGAACACAGTATACCAAAGACTTGCCCAGTTTTTTAAGACCTTACCGTAAAAGCCATTTTTAATCGAATCCTCACCAAACGAACCCCTCAAATAGAACTGAGACTGTTTCTTTGCAGCACGAGCATCACTGGGACCGAGTACGTCAAGAAGGCGCCCGACAGCGTTCTCACGGTGAAGACATAGCACCACCGAAGGACCGGAAGTCATGTGACTTATGTGACGTTCTAGTTCTCCCTGAAATCATGCGATAGATTTTAAAAGTGATACGATAAGTTTGCACTCAGTATAAACAGGAAGAAAGCAGTAAGACTACTAACAGTCAGTCTTTTCCTAGATATGGAGCGAGTGCTGTAGGCGAGAAGAGATTGAGACGAGAAAAATTGACGAGACAGGGTGTGTCGCGCCAATTTTTTTGGTAGTCCTAGCTCGACGCCGTCAATCATTCGCTTTCTTTCCCCTCACGTTCGTTCGAGCGTAGGAGAAAACAAAACAGATTATAACTAGTCTAGAACACATTTAAGTAAAGGGGACTATGGTCCGTTTGGTGCTGAAAACGAACCCCACGAGGAATCGAACCTCATGGGGACTAGAAATTTTTTCTTTGTTCCACGCTCGTGACAAGACGAGAAACATCTTTCTCTATTTCTTTACCGAGCTAAAAACTTACCATCTCTTATTCTATTTACACATGACACTACCGACATTTCTGATCCTAGCAGTATGCAGGACGCGTGTCATATGAACTTCGTAATAGACCTCGCTCACCGTAGAGTCTCTGTGGCTTAGTGGTAGAGCTTCGGAGCGCGGAGTCCGAAGATCTGAGGTTCGATTCCTCATGGGGACCAATAATTTTTTCTTTGTCCCACGTTCGTGAAAATCTTTCTCTATTTCTTTACCGAGCTCAGTCTTGTTGACCTTACCTTCTCAGTCATTAGTGTGGAAACGTCTTTAGACGAAAGAGATATCATTTTCAAGCCAATCACAGAGAACCTTTCTTGACCCAATCTCTTTAACACCTTACCAAGGTGTTTACTTGCAGTTCGAGGCTTCAACACACACACTGTAGGTATGACGCAGGGCTTTTCTAGCAAACTCTGAACGACAGACGTGTCGGCGTAGCACAAAGTCTCCACACTGCTAAGAGACGTTTTCCCAGGAGACTTGCCGAGACCCACTCGTCTGCTCCTTGCCTTCCTTTCGGCAGAAGAACCCCGCGTGTCCGCCTCGTTTAACGACTCACTACTTCCGCTGCAGAGACCATTGATTACCCGACGAGGAGGGGGGAGAAGGTGAAGATTTCGCCGCGCGGACTGATCAGAAAAGAGCTCCCTGTCAAAGAAGATCACTGATAGCTGTCTACAGGCAAGTTCGGGTGTGCATGACATGAGTACGTCCAGGGGGACGCTGTCGTTGGCAAGTTTTTGCTTTGACAAATCTGAATAAGAATCCAGAAAGCGCCTTAGCCGCACAAATGCGTTAACACCTCTGAGGGCTAGAACTAAAGCAGGACTGGATGTCAGAATCTTGAGACTTTTCTTCCACATTGTGTCTCCGATTTTACACGGCGTAAACTCCTTAGCGTGCTGCATGGACAACGAAGTGAGAAGCTTAAGCCCTAAGAGTTCAAAACCGCAGCTAGGATTTGATCCTTCCTGTGGTTCTTTAATGAGCAGAAGCTCGCTCAGAATCTTCCCTGCTGAGACAGTAGCTTTCTCTTTCCATAGAGTCACGACACAAACCTGCTCCAGTTCGGGATTGGAATGAAAAGCGTGCCTCAGCAGATCCACTGGATAAGCTGCAGGATCAGGGGTGAGAGAAAAAGGTCCGCCGAGCTGCTTAAGCAAAGAATCACTGTAAGGAACGGCTAAAAAACACGATTGAGACACGTCGGAATGCGATACAGAGACAACGATTGATTCAATCACAGACAGTGAGTGGTGTAATGCATTTTCCCTTCTGAGTAACAGCACTGTGGAAGCTACTGGTGTTAAGGACTGATTATCACGCTCACGACAGAACAAGGAGAGCTGTTCCGGAGAGAGTCCAAGCCCGCTGAGACGCATTGCATTCAAATGAATGCGTTTAATGCCTTGAGTACAAAAACCAGTCTCAAAGCAAGCGCTTAAGACGTTCCCGAGGTATTTTACAGGCAGTGCTGGTGACACGAATAGGAATATGCTGGTGTCGGTGGAGGCTGTAAGGAAATAAGGCGGCGGTCTGAAGGTTCCGTGAAGCGAGCTCGTCAACAACTGGCTGTTGTGATTTTGAGCTCTTCCGGAGGAGGAATCTTTAGGTTTCTCGTCACATGTGACAAAAGGTTCTCTACAACCAATGTTGATCACACCACTATCCGGGACACGGCCGCCAAACCAACGGGATAGTTCTGTAACAACACCTTGTGTACTTCGTGGGCACCAAAATAGATGGTCTTCCTTAGCCCCCCCATTGTACACGGCTCGTAATGAGTTGGGGTCTGTTCGTTGAGCTAATTTGGCATCTACAGGCCCCACCTCGTCTTGCCACCTTGAGATAGCATGGGGCCCACGTAATGCGAGAACCAGAACGAGCATTTGGGAACTGGTATAAACTCCATCCTGTAATAAGTCGTTTGGGAGGTGAAATCCATGCGCTGTGACAAAGAGTCCAAAGAAAAAACAAACAAACAAAAAAACCAAAACAAAACAAAACAAAAAAAGACGCGTAAGAATAAAAGAGAATGTCTTTCTAAGCAGGAAATCAATCGTTGTTGGTAGCAAAACGGATTTTGTTACACCGGTGAACTATGGTAACAATAGCGCCAATTTATAGTGTCACTGCTTACTTCGAATAAAGCCTATGGAAAAGATCCAAACCTTTAAACCACACCGAAACAAGCTTATCAAAAAATGATAACAATAAAAAACACACAAAGGTTTATGTTATGAGAGGGTTGCGAACTATAAAACTGGTTTGAGTGTATGGTGATGGGGTAAGGAATACGTGACTTTTGATCACGGTAAGACGTTCAAAATTGTGGAAAGTTGGGACAAAACGCTAATATGCTGCAGTAAAACACTATCACCTACCTGGTTTCTCCTCAAGCACTTCGTTCTGTGGGTACACCAATCTGATACCAGCAATGTCCAGAGCATTGCAGCGAGCGCGAATCAGCACATCAAGCAAGCAAAAGGGCTGGCGGAACACAGCAGAGTGCATAAGCATAAATGCATTGTGTATTTCTGGTCCTTGAAACAACCTCTCACCAGTTTTGTCGTCTACAGGTGCATCGTCCATCTCCATGGTCTGCCAAAAGAAGCCAGGTTTGGCTCCAAACACACGCCACATGGTCTCAGGATCAGGATTTACAGTCAACGATGTTGATAAATTCTTCTTGCTCATTTGCGTCTCTTTCAGATGTTGAGGCAAACAGGGCGTGTGCTCCAACAGGCGATTGTACACACTTTGAAGCGTATTTGTGGAGAGGAACTTACTTACTGCGTGCCTAAAAGAATTGTTCGCTTTCATTTTAAGTTTCCCGTTTGCGTGCTGCGCACTTAAAAAATCTCCATTCTCAGTTCGACTTATAATACCGACATCAACCTTCAGCTGTCCCTCGTGCCAACTTTGCTGCAAGCTAACAACATAGAATGGTGCTCCGCAGATCTCGGCATAGTCTGTAGTGTTCATAACGGGACTAACCAAACACGCAAGCCAAGCTATTAGGTGTGAGAAGCAGTGTGTATCCGAGCTGACAGCTCCTCTCACTCCCTGGCGAATAACACTCAGCTCACCACAGCTTGAAAGCTTGGCAGTCAGCAGGAGATATGATGCATCTGCATCAACGTTTGGTACACTCTGCAAATGGTTTTCGTAAGAGGCTTCCTGAAAGGAAAGAGTGCACATCTTAAAATAATGAAAAATACAGAATTTTCTAAAGCATGACTGAAAACACGGTTATGTGACTCCTTCAAGATGACAAGTTACCTCATGAAAGAGCACTGGTGTACAAGGAGCGACAGGGTGATGCTTGTGAGAAGACAGCTGTGGTTTCAAATTTTGTAAACTCTTATGAAGTCTTTGTCTTCTAGCTCTCTCTTCGTCAGTCAACACTTGCTTGTGTTTCACGTTGTTTTTCTTAATCTCGGTACCCACGGCAGAGCTTAAATCCTTTTTTACCTCGTTTTGGATACTCTGCAAAAGATCTCTCTTGATTGGAGAAGACATCTCACTCAAAATAGCACTGTCTCTCTCCTCAGGTGATGATAAATTATAGTCTTTTTCTGGTGTTGTGTCGTCTCCTATAAAGACGCCATCATTTACAAGTCTGTCTGTATCTACTTGAGACGCAGCTCCTAAAGCATGCTTGACTGTGTATGTTTTTTGATCTGTAGACATTTCAGCTTTGTTAATCAAATCTAGCTTTTCATCTTGCATGGTGATTAATGTACCACGCTTTATCGCTGTCTGTCCACTTCGGTTCTCACTACAATTCACTTGCTGTGAAATTGATTCCTCTGTGACTTTTTCGTTTGACATGTCATCCCTGTCGCTCTGCCCAGGTTTAATTTCGTCCAAAGCAATTTTCAGCCTCTCTGGTGGTTTCTTCTGAACAAAATTACCATTGTTTTGTCTTGAACACGACAGGGAGGCCTCTTTAGCTTTTCGTCTCTGATTCTGCCATGATTGATGGTCGTCATCTTCATCTGAGCTACTAGATGAACTTAAAGCACAAAGGTTAATGTTACACTACAGTTCTAGATTGAAGTGGAAAATTTCCTGGTCTAATGGCAGGCATGCTAGATAGAAAGGCGTGGACTTGAGCCCTGCCATGAGTCATCCCAATGTGTATTTAAGAAGGAAACTCTTTTATCCCTCTTCCTTTAAATTTAACATTTCACCTCTCTTTCCATTAAAACCATTTTCCAGAAAACAGGTGACGCAAAAAGCAAAAATTATCTGCCAACTTTGTCTCTCTAATTTACACGGAAACGTACAGTAACAGGAAGAGAGAATTATGAATGACATCTAGGGAAGATAAGAGGTTAAAATCAAGGAGAGGAACGATGATGCTCATCTCAGAAACAAATGCTGTTTTCCGGAGGAGACAGTTACTCAGTTTTCTTTTTCATTACAAAAGGAGGCTTTAAATTAAGTACCATCACAGAAAAAACAGATGAGGTCTTTAGAACTCTTTAATTCAACACACAAAAAAATAATAGATTAAAGTTTTGGGCATCCTCTTACTCTGACTGCCTGTCATTGCTGATTCCAAGTATTCTGCATATTGATGCAGGCAATGCTTGATTCCTCTGAAAAAAAATTATTTTATCACGAGTTTAATAATATTGGATGCAAAAGTGTTAAATGAAATTCCCTTTGATCATAAATTCTATAATTTCACTTGTGGTTGATATTTCTTCTTGTCTATTCCTGGAAGTCATAGCACAAGTATTAATACAAAGCTCCAGGTCTGTATTGGTAATAATTGGTTTAATGTCCAACTGGTGTTTGAAATTGCTATTGGGGTTCGTTGAAGGTGATGCCAATTGATTTCTCAAAAACCTAAGTTCTAAGAAATTGCAATAAGTTAAATTTTCTCATGGAACTAGCCAAAATCTCATACAATGATCCTAAGAATCAGCAACATCAGCATTGTATAACATGCACTGACCCAAAAATAAAATCTTAGTTTGCTTTCACAGGCCAGTGCAACAGAAGGAAAGTGTCACAAATTTATGACATAAGCAGACTGACCTGAGGTGGAGCTTTTTCCTCCTGTTTTCTTAAATCTAAGAACACTGTGGTTTTAGATCCATGTGAAACAGAAGAATCTAAAGAAGCAGTGACTCCTTTAGATGTCACAGGTGGGCTACTCATTACTCCAACACTATGCACTGTATTTTTCTCTCTCCCTGCTGGGCCTTTTGGATGATGATCAATGGGACTTAAAGGTGTTGGTGCAGCATCATTCTGCTGCTTTTTACTTAGTTTAATCAACTCGTCCATGAGGTCTGTGCTATTGTCGGCATTGTCACTGAAGTCACTGTCACTGAGAGTAGATGGAAACAGTGGAGGCACAGTAACTTCATTGGTGCGCTCAAGGTAATCACTAAGATTCAAGTGCTCTAGGAGGTCAAAACTTAGTTCAACTGTCTCCTGGTTATATTCATGGCTTGGATCAATTGGATCAGCTCCAGTGCTTCTGCTTCTAGATGATGTTAACAGCATTGATTTCTGCTCATTTGGATTTCCATCATCAGTGTCTGTTGTTGTTTGTGTAGAGATTGATGAGAATGACTTGTTTGGAAGAGTAGAAGGAAGAAGTGCTGAAGAACTGCTCAGAAATTCAATACTATCCTGAAAGAGACACCAAAGGTTAAGTTAGTTTAATACGGGCCAGCAATATCTAAAAGGGGGTAAGTTTCCAAAGAAACTGTGGTGCTGCATTACTTGGGGGGGGGGGTAAAGGGTATTGCAAAGTAATTTGGTTTTATCAACTGTGTTCAACTTGATAAATGTAAATTGACCCCAATGGAGAGTTTCTGAACTTAAGCTACATTTCAAGCATTAGCCCTTCATCAGAGCCCATGAGAAAGGGAAAACACTGGAAGCATCAGCTTTAGAAACTCTCCACAACTATCAACTTCCTGTAATATGTATAGCTACCACACATTCAATTACAACACCAAAAGGTCTGTCTGCCTCATGTAAGCAAAATGGAGGGAGAGAAAGAGAAAGAGAAATCTGATCTGAAGAAAGGAAACAACAACAACACCAAAAGTCAAACATTTGAAAGGCATTTATACTGACTCTCACAACCTCTGCCAGCGTTTCAGGCCAGGAATGATAGCCAAAATTGTAATCATTGTGATTTCTAAAATTTTTGTTTTATCATAAATCATTGTTATCAAACAACAAACCTGGTCACCATCTGAGGGTGATGAGGCATTTGACATTTGCCCTTCAGGGCTGACAAGGAACAGTCCACTGTCTGATGGACTAGCTGGATCAGTAGCATGATCAACCTTACCACTGGGGAAGTTTGTTTTGAAAGAAATATTTGGTGACAAAGGTCGTGCTTCTCTTGTGTACAAAAGGGGTTCTTCATCATCATCATCACTCTCCTTGAATAAAAATGCAACTTATGAATTAGGTTAAATAGCACTAACAAAGTGAATCATTCTATGTATGTGGCATGTACCTCTTACTGAGTAAGACAGACAGTTAGTTGCACAATACCTTTCCCCCCCCTGAAAAAAAAAAAACCTATGAGGTTCTGAAACTTATAAACAATGTTAGTATGATCTTTATTACATCTCTGGGTTCTAGAGGGGTAGATTTCAATGTAAACAAACTTTAAAATTTAAGGAGCCTTACTGTGGAATACTAAATTGACTAATAAAAGTGCACATACTATCTGAGAGACAAAATAATTATCTAAGTTTAGAGAAAGTATAAATCTACTGGTGATCTATCACAATGCTGCAATCTTATTGGCTAAGCTTCTCACCATCTATTCCTTGATATTTAGTGAGTTTAATGAGTAGCCAAACAATGTGTGGTTGTAAACAAAATAAAACAAAAACATGAATCTCTCTTATGCTAGGTTTTGAATTATTTGGTGATTTATACTAATTCAGTAAGATTATTCCCTCCGATTTCTATGAGTGATAATTGCTCACAATCTTCAAATTAACTCTTAGAGAGAAAGACGATTACAATTATCAAAGTCATTTCTTCATGGAGGAATCCCTCAAGAGATCAGTCCCTCGAGTTACATTTTAGAGTTCCTCCCACAACGCGTGAGAAATCTGGGCCCGCTTTGTCCAATGAAGTAATTATCAAGAAAACAAGAATATGACGCACATTGGGGAGGATTTACAGTTAGCGCATCATTGCACGACTTATTACCAACAAAAAATCCTGATAGACTATGGAATCATTGACATTTTTGATGCCCTAACCGTAAAAAAGTACCATTCTGTCTCTACTGTTTTGCCGCTAGTAAGCTTGTTTAATGTTGCCTAAGCAACGAACGATAATTTTTTTCAAAATTTTTTGTTTCACCTTACATATCAAGACCTGGAATTGTTTCTTTAATTTTCCAAGACCAAGAGCTATTGTATATACTGAATTTACTTCTAATTTACCTCCGAGGAATTTTCCAATTCTAAGGTGGGAATACTGGCTTGAATATCGGCGAAAATATTTTCAAACACCGACTTGAGTTTACATGCACTAGCGGCTGCCTCAAAGTTTCCTGAATTCCTCACGGAAACTTCTTCCTCAAAGCTTTCGTCGCTACTGGAAGTACACTCTTCTGGCTTCCACATGTTTTATCAAAGGCAGCACCCTAGCAGTCGGTCTATTTCCTAACAAAAGCACAATGACACAAGAAAGGTTTCACAGCTTGGAAGAAGTCTGACGCCATTTTAGGTTCAAACTGTCGCCAGGCCTTCACTCGTCATTCAAGATGGCGATCTTTAGTGTGTACATTCTAAATCGAGCAGGAGGACTTATTTATCATTACGATCATTTTACACCCAAAAGCGAGGTGGAAAAGACATTTAGCTACCCTTTAGATATTATGCTTCGCGAAGATGATAAGTTGGTCGTAATATTTGGTGAAAGAGATGGCATAAAAGGTAATGATTTTTTTCCTTCACCTTATCTCGCTTTTTTTAAACCAGTGCTAATGAAATACTCTTTTCTGTTAGTTGGCCATGCTTTGCTGGCAATAAACGGTGAACCTGTAACAGGGAAACGCTTGCCTGACGGAAGAGAAGCAATGGAAGTCATAAAAAACCAAGATAACTACCCAATATCCTTAAAGTTTGGTCGTCCAAAATTGACAACAAACGAACGGATCATGTTAGCAAGCATGTTTCATCCGTAAGTTATTCAGGTCCTAATAACACATGTGAAAAACTAACTAATTTCATGAGAACGAATATTGGATTACGTTCCCGCTGTTTTGAGACCGTAAGTGATCAGTGAGCAGATCTTGAGTAGGAAGGGGGGGAGGGGAAAGAGAGACTGCAGAAAGAGGGAGGGGTGGGAGGGCATCAGAGGGTAGAAGGAAGAATGGATGACCTATTTAGTGGCAGTATCTTTCACTTGTAAGGGTTCATTCTTGAACGAAATTCGCATGTAAACAGGGTGTTTAAGATGTTTACCTCTGATCACAAACAGGCTTTATGCAATCTCTGCAAAGCTGTCCCCAGAACAGAGATCTTCTGGAATTGAAGTCTTAGAAGCTGACTCATTTAAACTCCATTGTTATCAGACACACACAGGTGAGTTTGAAGGACAACTGACAACAAATAAGTTTATCTACCCTCAACACTAGTGTTAACAACTGTCTCCATGCCCCATGTAAACCAATGAAGGAAATGATGCAGTTTAGGGACTTGGCTTCGTTTGTTCAAAGAGTGGATAATGCTAATCACTGGATAAATCTATATCCATTGGATAGTGTATTATGTTTTTTTTGGCTTATCCTCTGAATAGCGATTTATTCAGCAGATAATCCACTATCCACCCATCAAAGAACCGGGGCCTGTTCTTTGAGGAAGTCTTCAATCTTGTTCACGGATCTCTCTTCTTCTTATTAGCCCCCCCTCCCTACAACTCCCTTATGTAAGAGAAACCTGCAAGAGGGCTGGGTTTGCCTCTTTTATCTTTTAATTGCAATTGAATACATCTTATTATTACTCATTCTCTGTGAACTCCCCACAGGCTTGAAGTTCATTGTATTAACAGACCCAAAACAACTTGGAATGGATATTTTCCTCAAAAAAATCTATGAGCTGTATTCAGACTTTGCCCTGAAGAACCCATTCTACTCACTGGACATGCCAATAAGGTACAATTGCCAGTAAAGAATGGACAGTGTTGCACCATAACTTAGCATAAGAGCCAAAAAATTATATTTTTTATTAGCCTTTTTCCAGGAAAAGTATCATCTTACTCTTGTCACACATTCTGAAGTTTTCTTTTCTTATTAACCAAGATCTCTTTGTAAGTATGAAGCATGTAAAATATTCAATTGCCTACCCTCAAGATTAAGTATCTACAAAACTCAATTAAAAAAAAAAAAACAAACTGTGATTAGGGTAACCTAGAGACTTACGTATTACTGTCTCTCTCCTTGCAGGTGTGAACTATTTGATACCAACCTACAGAAAGCCTTAGAACAGGCTGAGAAATCAAATCTTTATTCAAGTAATCCTTCCTTAGCTTAAACAACACCCCACCAAGATAACAGGTCATATTTTCAAGAAAGGGATGAAGTGTATGAAATTGTTAAACTACTGAGGCAACAAATGCTTCTTTCAAATTGAAAGAAATGGATTCAATACAATTACATGAACTAAAATGCCACATCACTTGATGAGTATTGAAGGAGAGAACATAAAGTATTTGTCAGAAATAATTGTTGTTTGAGTTAGTTTTTACATATTTACTTCAACTGATTATGACTGTGAGCTGGAAACTGGAGTTGATTTCTTCAGATTAAGTAATGTTACTGGAACATTCAAGGGATTTAGAGAAGACAGTGGTGTCTTTGGTTTGCCAGAACTACTGGCACCTGGATCAGAGGTGCTGCATGCTGCTTCAGCTTGACCTGAAGGAACTTGTGTCTGCTCTGAAGATGAGGCAGTATCTTGGCTCTGCATCACTTCTTTGTACTTGTTAGTGATAAAGTTTACTTGGCTACTAATGTCATGACCTACAAGACGACGATCAAGGTCTGCCATCAAGTCCAAGATAACTTGAGCACCTGCAGTGAAAAAAGAAGGAAAAGACTCATTATATTGATTAGAGTTTTACATTTGGGGTCAAGGATGTAAACATAAATGAGTCTTTGTTCAGAATCCTGTGGGTGATGGTGAATGAAAAAGTTGTTAATATGAGAATGTTATTGAGAGCTACAAGGTTATGTAGACAAATAAAAATAAAATCAACAATTTAAAGTAAATGAGTTGAACACAAAAGCTATGGATTTAGAAACATCCCAAGCACTTCTTAGTGTGCAGCGAATAATTCTTGTCAATTCTGGGAAAAACGTTGAGCTCAAAGTATTTAAGTGTAGTTGTTGCTCAAAAAATGAGGACAAAGTGCAAGATAGAAAAGTGCTAACTTCCTCTAAAAATGAAAACCCAGAGCAAGTCTTTAGTTCTAAGAGTGGGGTACTTAAAAATAAGCCTGAAACTCCGTGAAATTATTGGGGGTATTTACAGCACAATAGTCTGTCAGTCCATAACACATAATTCTTCAACAATTTGTCAGGAGTGTCCTTGGCATTTTCTCATTAACAGCCCTAGATGAAGTAGAAAACTGAATGAATAAAAAACCTTATTAAAGAACACAACCCGAGGAGCTAGCTCTATGTATAAGATTTCTCCATGATAGACTTTTCTAAGGTTGGGGATGTACTGGTATTCCTTAGGTATGGCCTAAAATTATATCTATTCAGAACATTACTTACTAAGAGGGGTGAGGTCAGGAGGTGGCTGACCTCGCATCACTCTACCTAGCAAGGTGTATATCTGACTGTAATCTGGTGATGAAGCCTCCCCTGTGCATCAAATCATGCAACATGTTTTTAATAATGAAATTGTGGCCACTCAAAGATCAGGTGGCACATCCTTGGCGCACACCCTGCCTTCCATAGCATATAGTGACAAGGAGTATGTCTATTGCCCCTGGATGGGGTGCTAGTTCATTACAGCCTATCCCCACCCCCTCCCCAGAATTTAATCCAGTTTCACAGATAGTCTTGGTAAATACATTTCATGCACACCAAAATGAAAAAATCAATGCCTGAGCTTAAGAGAAACATTTATTTACTTGTCACTCAACAAATGATTTACGATAGTTAGACTCTATTTGGTTAATTTGAAAATGAATTTAAAAGTGCTTTATCTCAAGGCTGAGCCAAAAACTTCTGGAGGAAGGTTTGAAAAAGAACTTGAGATTTCTCATTCACAATTTTCATTTCCTAGTTCAGGATGCAATGTCTTTGAAATCTCTTATGCATAATTTCTTTAACTCTGGCTAGATACATTAACCCTTTAACTCCCAGATAAAATTTTGTAATTCTCCTTACTGTCAACCATACAGTTCTTTCAATGTTAGTTCAGATAATTTAGTATGGGATCAACTAATTATCCCCCAATTGATATTTTTCTTTATTCCCATCACTTATCTAGTTGACATTGTGTTGATATTGTAAGAAGAAATTCTCTCTTGGTCACTCATGGGAGTTAAAGGGTTAAAGACATTTCAAAATGTTTCTTACCATCTCCAGGTTGCACTGGCTCCATGGCTGCAATTGTCATAATCTGTATGGATGTAAAAAAGGATATCAGGCATTTTAAGCATAACTCAATTTTCTTCAGAAGGTATGCAGCAACAGAGCAAGTTTCAATTGAGAGTCAAAAGGAATATGTATTCTATCTGTTAACCTTAAGAAAAATCTTGACCAATCTGAGGGGTAGCTGAAACCCATTACAACTTGCTTAGTCACCTATATTTTTACACACATCAGCATCTTGCTGATTCCTTGCAATGTCTTCTTTCATTCTGATCAGCCATGATAAGTACACTTTGTACCCAGTTTGATGACACTTAATTAAAACCTGCATCAACCCTTTTCTACTTATTTCCTTTAGTATGCAGTACTTCCTACAGTTAAGCCATAAAAATTGTTAAAAATTTAGTCCTTTTAAGCTGATCATATGGAAGGGGGGGGGGGCTCTTGTCTTGGGGTAGCTGAATTGTGTGTGATGTGCTTTATCAGGAAAATAATTTTTTTTCTAATTTTGTTCAAAATTTTTGGGGGATAGGGTTTAGGTCTCCAATTTTCCTTTGGAAACTACCTAGTTATTAAAAATCTTACTGGAAGAGTGGTGTGCCCCTGTGCTTCCCCCACACATTCTTTCCTTGGTTTTGGTAAGTTAAGTTAACTAATTATAAGGAAGTACATAATCAAAAACTTTTCAGCAGCATTCAGTGCATGAATTTCAGACAGCTATTACCAACTTCACAAATTAAACTGGTCTTTTTATTGCATCAGTGTGTGCAAAAACAAATGTTTCTTAAGACCTGTACATCTATTAAAAGTGCATTTAAGTAACATGTACTTTATTCAGAAGCTTTTTCCAGTTCTAGTTTTTATAGTTGCTGGAGATTATTCCGAGTTTCTATCATAAAAGGAACTGGAACAAGAAACTGGTCGTCACAGGGACTAAATGTTTCTCCCTTTATAATCAATTCAAACGAACACAAACTCAAAACTGTACTTGCCTTTCCAATGAAAAACAAACAAAAAAACCCCAATCCTTTTTTAAACAATGAAATTGAAAAAATGACACCTCACTTTCTCTCATTCTGTTGAATCCTCTCACCTTGTTATGTGAAAAATGAATTTGCATAGAGTAGGCTATAGCTATTCAATTAATACTGTCTTATAATTGCTTCAAAACAGGCAAAAATTATAACATTGAAAGCTGGCTTTGTTGTTATTACAAGATTTACTTCCTTATTTAAACAAAAAATTAACTTGTGCAGCAGTCATCTGAAATTATAATTCTTTGAAAGAGAGGCTTCAAATGATTTAAATGAGCCCTGGGGCCCCTGAAAGTCAAAAGTTAGAGCCACCTAAAATTATTCTGACTTGCCTTTCCAGTGAAAAAAGAGAAAAAAACCAAACACCTTCATTTGACATTAAAATTGACAAAATCATCCCTCACATTCTCTCATTCTGATGAATCCTCTCATCTCGTCATTTTGTAGTAAGCTAAAACTGTTCAAAAGATACTACCTTAATTTTAATTCAATACAGGAAAAAGAATGACACTGAAAGTCAGCTTTGTTTCAATTTAAGATTTACTTCCTTACTTATAAAGGAAATTTGACTTATGCCGCATTCATCTGAAATTATAATTATTTTGAAGTGGGTTAACAAATAACTTAGAATTAGCTTTAGGTCCCCTCCTATATTGGACACTGCTCAACTTAACACAGATTAATATATAATTTCTTAAGAGCTAAGCTATTCAAATTATTGTCCATAACAATGGAGACACCTTGGGTACAACTAAAGACTCAAAAAAAAAAAAATTCAATAAAGCCTCTTTTTAAGACTCTATGACTTTAAAATTGTGATATGAAATTATTTTCTCTTGAAAGTAAGCATCATGAACTTCTATGCCTCCATTTCATAATTTAAAAGTAAATAATTTTACTGTCTGCTGTATGATGCACATCTCATGCTTCAACCCTCTAAAAACATTCACAATACCAAGAAAATTAGTTTGCTTTCATTTTTTTTTAAATTAGCAAGTACACAGGCTCACCAACAACCTGCCATGCAAACCAGATATCATTCATTGCTCACATCTATGCTATTTCTGCTACCACACTGCCATTTTTGACGACACACTCAAACTTCCCCACCACTAAGCAGTTTGTCTTGTTTGACCAGCTAGGAAATTTTCCATGTACCTAAAAAATACTCACAGAATACCACCTAATTTATTTCAACCAAAAACTCAAATGAAATTAACGAAAGTGTAAGTTACTAACAAAGTGCTATTAGATATGAATAAATATCACTAAGTAATGATCATATTCAAAGTATAGTAGAATGAAATTTTCTTTGAATATTGAGAAACTGCATGTATTGGTAGCTTCTTAAGGGAAAACAGTTCTACAAGTTGCCATTCCTTTGTCTACTGTGGTTTGTCATCTGTAACATGGCTAGGATGAATTGTCCACTGATGTTCGCCTTGTGCCATCTGCACCTTGGATCTGTTGTACCGAAGGGTTTTACACCTTGTGGCTATACTTGTGACACACTTTCGCCAAACTACTGCTTGCTGTTCTTTGTTTAGGTCTTTTAAAAACCTGTCGATCACCTCAGCTAATGCATGAAAAATTAAAAACCATCAAAAAATAATTAGTATCTTTAAACACAGACTCATACCTGGTCTCAGGGACATCAAAACAGGAGTGATGAAGTAACAACTGGTGTAAGATTTAAATCCAATTGGTTGAGAGGGTGTCATAAACTTTCCAGCCTTATCACCGACATGTACAATTTTTGAGAGAATCAAGCAGCCCCATGCAATAATCTTTTGGGAACTTGTAAACTATTCAAGAATGCTCAATTAATATCCTGTTGTAGCATTAAGAAGTGAACATCATTAACCTACTTTGAATGGCATCAATGACTGCTGGATCTAACTGTAAAGTGCCAGGTTTGGCTCCTGTCACTGTTGATGCCCTAAGAACCTCGTCTCCAAAAGTCAACTCTGCCAGACGGACTGCAAAGTGTGTTGGCTGCCCTGATCTTGTGAGGGAATCAAGGTACTTCTGACGTGGCAGAGCCACATTTGGGTTTCCTCCAACCAGCACATAGGAGTCTATTTGACATGTAAATCAATAAACAAAAGACAAGTTAACCCATTAACCCATAAGAGTGATTAACATCTAATTTCTCCCAACAGAATCACCCTGAATCAAACATGAAGGTTATATAAATAATATAATAGAAGGAAATAATCAACAACTAAAGAAGCCCTTGATTATTATACAAATTCTCTTTGTCTGCACTTTAAGAAATGTATAAAGGACAGTATAGAGAATATGCATAGTGATGTTAGAGTGTGAAAGGTTAAGTATTGAAGACTCAGAAATGTTATCCATTATTATCAATACTACCACTGCAACTGCCACCCCTACGACAACCATAATCATCCTCATCACAGTTATTATCATCATCCTTTTAAATCACAATTACAATACCCAACACCATAGCAACAGTACTGACCATTCAAGATTTTTAAAATTAAGTTACCATAAAATTCAGTGTTTGTTAAAAATTACCACATGTGAAATATGTATGGGTCTCAGAACCAAGCTCAATTAAAATATTGATTCTTCCCACCAAGTGTCAACCTCCCCTATCTAGAAGTAACTCCTGAAATTTCTGTTACACACCTTATCCCTAAACTGCAGCATCAATTATACTGTAGAGCTAAATAATTGGTATTACAATTGCAGGTCATGGTAGGATTTTATCAACTAAAATCTTTGTTTCATGTGTTTTTATGCACATGGCATGCAATGTTGTTCATTCATCTGCTACACATATGACCTCCCTTGTCAATAAGCCACCCTTCAATCCAGGTAAGCAGTCTACTAAACAGAATCCCTAACAAGGACATTACAAAATCTCAAATGCTTTGTTATTGAGTTGCAATAGCTGTATGATAATTACTGTAGGAATATTAGTTTATTTCAGTAACAGCACTGCTCAGATGTTTGTTAATTGCAAATCATGTCACCCAAACAAACACAGTCAATACATAAGACTTTTCATTCCTTGGGGTGTGGTAAACTGGTTAACCAGAATGAACATTTTAACAAAATAATGCTGGTGACAGTTCATTGTGGTTATACTCATTAAGTAAAAAAGGAATTTGCCTGACCTTTTGCTGTTGATATTTTGACTTTTTAATAAGAGTAATATTGAGTAAGGGATGCCCTCATAAAAAATTCATCAATTTCTAAGTGACAAGTCCAAACAACAATGATGAAGTACCATAGTATGTCACCAACAGCAGGTGACATAAACAAACTACCCTTAACGACTCGATCAGTTGCTCTTTTCATAAGAAACAAACCAGAGTAGCAGGTGAATGCTAGCATCTAGTTTTAAAGAAAAAGGTTGATGCTACCATATGGCAATGAATTAAAGAAGTAACCATCTACCAGAAAGACAAAAAGATGCATAAATGAATTAAGGAAGAAAGTTTCTACAGAAACTTAGGTTCTGCGTCAGTGGGGGTAATACAAGAAAATTTGGCATTTCATCTGCATTGACAAAGTAAATTGGCCACTGTAAAGAAATTTGAAAGATGATGTTTCCAGCATTAGCCATTTGTCAGAGCAACAAACAGATAGAGAGTAAAAAAAGTTCAACCACAAGTTTGCCTCAGTTATGAGGCAAACTTGTATCAAATTTTACTAAGGAAATATGGCAAGAAAATAACCTCACAAAATGATGATAACTTTAATTTTTATTAAGATTTAGTGAAAATTACTTTTACAGACAAACAAACTGTATAAAATGCTTAGGAAGAATACTTTGACCTAACAAAATTCCTAGGCTCACTTCAAGATTGCATTGTGAACTAAATGATAATATAGCTTAAATTAAACAATCAAACTTAAAAAAATGCTCAAGAAGAAAGCTTTGACCCAACAGAAGTCCTGGGCTTTCTATTACGTAGATATGCGTCAATTGCTCTTCGACAATCACGCCACAACAGTTCTTGCTGTGCAAGAGAGGATGGAAAAAACCTAAATACAATTCCTTTGATTTTACTGATTTTTTCAGGATTTAAGGCAAGCTTTCCCCCAACTCCTCTAACATTTCGGCCATCAAGTTCATGTGGCTTAAAGAAATGACGCAGCAATTGCACTGCAAAGTTTTGCTCTGATGCTGACCGTGAGTGAAGTAGAAGGAGTGTAGCATCATCATCTTTTGCTAATTCCTGAGGTGCTGGTTGAGTAGATGGCTGTTGCAAATGCACACGGGGCTTTTCTGGTGCGGCATTTGCCTCGCCTGGTGTCTCTATGGCCTGGTCTTGCTGTATGAAAAGACGGGCATTTCCAGAATCCTCCAGGTAAATATACTTTACTTTTATTTGACTCAATTTAGAAGAATCATCTAGAGAAGAAATAAACATAAAAAAACAGTCTCAATTAGTCGATCCTTCTGAGAGGGAAGCCTGCAACCTCAAAAGGACGATGAAAATAACTTAAAAAAAAAAAAAACAAATACCCAATAATAGGTCTACGGTACATCTGCCATAAATGCAGATGTGCACAATGAAAATATAAAATAAAATAACGATTAAAGCAAGAGATTAGATACGTACCCTTTATTCGGAGAATCTCTGCATGTTGACCTTGACTTTTCAACTCTTCCTGAACAACTTTTGGGATATTTTTGTGGGGGATAATACTTGTAGTATGATCTACTGGGAAATAGAAAAGACTGTATTTTGGTACTTTCAGATTGGCCATTGGGACATGTCGTTGAACAAGTATGCTACCTTGTGAAAGTTTCAGCAAGAGCACGGCCTGTTACAAAAGATTTATTGACACCGTTTTGTAGTTGGATCAAAATCATGATGAAAGGGCCAGTCACAGTTGTTCAAGAAACATAAATTCTTGTTAATGGAATAACTCATCAGCCAATTGTTGAGGCTGCTAACTTACTTGTCTACTCAACTTATGCATTTTGGAAAAGATAACATCAATCCAGAACCAAACAGTTAACCATGACAGCTAAAAAGAAGGACAACCTTCAACACACAGTATTTGCACTCAAGCCATTCGTATTGCCAAATTTTAGGTCTCTTAAAGATTAATGAGCACAGAATAAAGGTGGATGGTTGAACTGAAAACATTGAACTGCAGCTCTAAGTGCTGCCTTTGCACAAAAATGTCTGAACCATGAAGCGAGAAACTTCACAGATAAAAGCACCACATAACATAGCTGCACAGCAAAATACATGTAGATCTTTAGGAAAGAGAAAGTCAGCTAAATCAAAGTCAAAGAGCAAACATTGTTCAAGTTTGCATTCATTTGGTGGATGTGCACAATACTCACACACATGTGCAGGGTTTGTACCCTTTTTCAGGAAGAAATTTCAAGGACCTTTCCTGGACTCAGATTAATTTTTCCAGGTCACCTTCAACCCTTTCATTCCCAAGAGTTCAAAATCAATCCTCCTTATGGTCTAAAATACATTTTGGACATGCAAAATTCTAAAAACTCTATCCCTTGAGTTAAGAAGATTTTCAGGACTTTCCAGTACCTGTGGTCTTTTTCCAGTCCTGGAGATGTCGAAATAAAATTCCAGGATTTTCCAGGTTTTCCAGGACCCATACCAACCCTGTTGAATCCGGTCAAATTATTTGGGTTTCGAATTCCTGAGCAGTACTGTTACTCTAAGTATTTTAAGTGGTTATAGTACATTCACTGTAAAATATAGGCCTATAATTTACATAAACTTACAGTCTGGAGTCATTTTAATGCCGGACACTATGATATTTTCAGCAGATGTCCCACCAGGCTTGTAAATATTTCCTTCTACAGGTGGACGGTCTCCAGAATATTTGCAAGCAACAGGTAAATTATGCCCAGGTGACACAGTGTCTCTTGTCTGCATATAGGGTTCCTGAATATGTGTGGGATGAGCATCAGAACTTTCACTTTCTTTCAATCTGATAAAGGTGTCTGCTCCATTGGCTCGAGAGAGAGCTATGCCCAGTTGTTTGTTTAATTCTTTAGGCTGTAATGCTGTTTCCAGAGTGGATGGCAAGTGAACAACTGTTATGTCTGGGTCGATGCCTGGAGGAACATGTACAGCTGCTCCCTCATCCCCAGATTCTTCCCTTGAATTAACAGCTGGCTTCATCTGCTTTCCAGAGTCTTCCAATTGTTTCACGTTGTGAATCTTAATGTTTCCACTCCTACAAGAAACATTGTGAATGCTGCCATGTGAATCCTCTTGTTCACTGTCAGATGACAATCTGACTAGAGTTGGAGTTTTATGTGAACTTGGATGATTCAAATTATCCATATCAAATTCCTCATCTTCATCATCTGACTCAGTTTGAGGATTTCCAGCCATGTTAAGATGCAATTCTTTTCCCACTGCCATAGAAGGCGGCCCTTCATTGTCATTACTGATTACTGTGACTATTGGTGACCTGTTCCTCCGTGGATTTCGGAGTCTTTTGCACCTCTGAGCAATACTGGTCATGCAGCCTTTCCACATCTCAGTCTGTTGTTCAGGAGACACTCCTGAACCAAACCTCTGAAGGACTTCAGCTAAAAAGAGATAAACAGAGAAACCAAGTTAACATTTTTCACAACTTCAAGAGTAATATACCAGTACCTACAGATATTTGCTTCTTTTTCAAACATGTGATCCAAACAAAGTTAGAAAATTGTGGGTTTTATTATAATTAGATGATTAGTTTTGATGCAATGATCTGTCAATCAGTCAATCAGTTAAAAAGTTTATCTTTCTGCCTGTCTGTCTTTAACCCTATGAGATAATTTAGTCTTATTAACCCTTTAACTACCAGAGGTGATTAACATGTAATTTCTCCCTAAAATATCCATACCTTGTTCAGCAAACAGGTAATGAGAATACTCAGAGTTATCAGGTAGAAGTTGTTATCTTGATCTGACACCAAATCTCCCCTTGTATTCATTTGTCTTTCACCCTGTCTATCAAAACTAAGTACCGGCAATAACCTAAGGCCTTCTTCTGAGGGTCCAATGAAGGTATTTACTCTTTTACTTAATAACTCTTTAACTCCCAGAAGTGATTAACATGTAACCTCTCCCTATAATATCTATACAATATCCAGTAAACAGGTACTGAGAATACCCAAAATTATCAGGTTGAAGTTGTTACCTTGATCTAACATCAAATTCTCATAACTTATTGACAAAAAAATTGTGTAGCAGCTAGAAGGGAGAATCAACAATCAGATCTTGTGATTTAAAGGGTTAATTAAAAACAGGATTTTTCAAGCTGGCCAGGCTGTAGTTTTAGCAGTGTGCTTCTGCAAATGTTTGTTGACACTTTACTTCACTTAACCCTTCAACTCCCAAGATCTGATTGTTAATTCTCTTAATTCTTCCCACTAGCTCCTACACATTTCCTTGAAAATTAGTTATGAGAACTTGGTGCTAGATCAAGATAGCAGCTTCTACCTGATAAGTTTGAATATTATCATCACCTGTTTGCTGAATAATGTATGGATATTATGGGGAGAAGTTTCATGTTTATCACTTTTGGGAGATAGAGGGTTAAGATATAAGTAATTACTTTTGATTGCATCCAAAATTGTTGGGTTTAGAGCTGCTTTTCCTCCAATCCCATTAGGCGTGGATTTCATCATTACATCAAGTCCAAATAGCCTCTCAGCCAAGCGCAGGGAAAAGAACTGTGGACGAGTTCTGCATTTCTTGTAGACATCTTCTAGTTCATGTTGAATCATCAGGACGTGTGGACTACCACCCACTGAAACTGGAATAAAATCTTTGGTTATGGGAACATGATCATACACCAACATGACATGCTCCAAAAAATGACACTCTTACCAAGCTGTGAAAGATCTTGTCTAGGCTGATCTTGGTTTTTTCCTTGATTATCTGCGATTATTGCATTGAGGCAGGACTGCCAGTGTAATTGATCCTGTTGATTAGGGTGTTCTGAGACATAGGTACTGAGTAACATGGCTGAAAGCGAGAACAATAACAGGAATCAGTTACTTTAATTTAAAAATCTTAAACAGAAAGTCTAAGGTTTGAGCTTCTCATTCAAAATCTTGCCTAAAAATATCAAAGGTAGACTGTTCCCATTTTCCTCACTGTTTCAAGTCACTGAATGCAAAACTTAGTCAATATAAATGTTAACCCTCTCACTTACAAGATATGATTGTGAATTCTCCCCTCTAGCTGCTAAACATTTCCTTATAAATTAGTAATGAGAATTTAGTTTTAAATCCAGATAACAACTTTTATCCGAAAATTTTCAATATTCTCATTACTTATTTGTTGGATAATGCATGGATATTAAAGGGAGAAGTTACATGTTAATCAATACAGGGAGTTTAAGGGATAAACTGATAATACATGTACCTGCACTGAGAACATCCCGTCTTGAGACTTTGTCTTGTCTACCGCTAACTTCATCTGGAGAGCAAAAAAAAATCCATTAGCACAAGAAATAAAAGTCAAAGAAAAGTCCTGTCCATTCATTTTTCTTTTCCTTTTTTTTTTTTTTCTTATAAAAATTGGCATCAATGCATAAGATTCATCTCTTTGCAAATTTTTCCTATGTCTTTAAAATGGGTTTAGAACCATTTTCAGTTGATGACTTATTTCTGCAATTTAGATGTCCTGTAAATTTGAATTAAGAACACCCATTTCTACCAAATCTTGCAAAATATAATATTTTGATAAACCAAAGGATAATCCACATTCTTTTTATTTTGACAAAGACTGAAACAAGATTAAAAATAATTTATATATAATTAATTTGGTGGTAACAACTGTATCTGCCCTCATAAAGAGATATGATAAGTATTATTAGTTTTCTTTCATTATTTAATTTGTCATTTAATTTGACTTCCTTTTTCTTTTTTGTATGATTCCACCAGAAATATTGGGCTTGAAAACGATTAGAGTCACATGTCTTAATGTGTACCTATTACCTGCATGCATGTCTAAATTCACTCACCAGGTGTTGAAAGAATGGCATGTGAGGCTGGGGAACTGTGGAACTCTGTTCTTTGATGCATGGCATGACTAGACCCTGTTGACATCACTGTTTGAGGCTGCCATGCAGTTGTGTTGTTTGGTGTGCTTGGAGATGGGGGAACAGTTGGAGTGTGTGAGAGGGCTATATAACCTGGCGGAATGTTCTTTTGCACTGGAGGTGAAGGTTCTTGAAGCACTTGAACACCTGAAGAGGGTTTATCACATGTATTACGTGATGGTGTACTGCTGGTAGAGCCATTAGCCACCAAGATGGCGTGTTGTGGAGTAAAATGGCTCGGTCCAGATGACAGGCTGGAGACAGTACATGAAGTGTCTGGAAAAACTGTTGCCGTGGATTTATAATCAAGCTGCATTTCTGTTGCATGTGATGATGGATTTTTTCCAACAGCATGGCTGTTAGATAACACAATCTCACCACCACTGAAAGATGGCTCAGACAAGGGTGTAATTCGCACTTGTGACCTGCTTACAGAAGGAACATGTGTGGATGCTGTTATAAAATGTTGAGTACATGAAGGAGAAGACACATTTCTGCACTCAGTTTGAGAGGATGAAATTCGCTGTTGTCTTGAAAAATTTGAAACTTCTTTTGCTGATGGAGGAGAGTTGTTTATCGCACTGATTGAAGGTTGACTAACAACTACAGTTTTACATTGGGATCCCTTTGGCATGGAGCTACTTTCTTTACTGAGAAAAATATAAGCATCTGTCTTTGAAGAATGTTTAGTGGCTGGTGAAGTTTGTTCACTTGACATACTTGGTGAAATGTCCTCACTTTCTGATACACAAGACACCTTTTTCAGAACACTACCTTTATTGTTTTTTGGTGGTTCAGAGAGATCTTCAGGAGGTGCACCATGAACACTTGAGGTAACTCTTGGAGAAGATGTGTGATGGCTGGTAACCATAATTTGTGGTTCAGGGTAAGAATCATTCTGCTTGTCGGAGACAAAATCCACACAATGTTGTTGCCCAGAAACACACTTGGAAGAATCATTCCCTGTACTATTTACATTTGAAGTTTTTGTTGATTCAGAATTTGTGTTTAAAGGACATGAGATGCTTGAGATATTATCTTCTGAAGGAGCTACTGGTAAAATTTCAGTTCTGTCGTTTCTTATCATGTCTCTACAAGATAGACAGGGATCAAGGACAGGTTGATGTACAACATTGGCATGACGAGTTGTTTGAAGAATGATAGGTCCACCACAACAAGCATGGGATGCATTCTTGCTGAGCTGATCGAGTCTTTCATTGATCTTAGCCAACAATTCCATTACAGTTGACGGTGAGGATTGGTTATTAGACTGCAGCTTTTCAAGTTTGGAGTCTAAAACATCAATTTTCTCCATCATTTGTCTCTGATTAGTCAAAATGTCCTTCTGCAAAAAACAAAAACAAAAAATTAAAGAATGACAAGAAGAACCTTTGTGTCACTCAGGGTTTGCAATCTTTAGAAATTGTTCAATTCCATTACCTTTTCCAAGACCTTATCTGTAACTTGGGATTATAAAGTTAATTTAGTTCTAAAATAACCTGAAAGAAATCATGTAAGATGGGCATTTTGTATTTGATGTTCCTGCAAATATTCAAGATGACAGTGTGGTAGGTCTAATACAGGGATAGGGCACAAACACTGAATTGGTGAAAGAGAGTATTCCCTTCCCAACACAGAAGAGGTAAAAAAAAAGAACCAACAGACCCCATAGTTTTAAAATCACTTTACTCATTTTGCCTATTTTAACTGCAGCTTTAAACCATGAAGTACTGGTATGTAGTTTTTCTACATTCTAATAACATCACATAGACCATGTATGAAGTGAACCCCGATCAGCATTAAATTCTAAATGGAAAAATTTTGGTGCTGACAAGTATTTTGCTTGGTGCAGTTAGGTTTGATATCCTCACAGTCTTACCATAATATAGCCTGTCTCACGGTTGTTTTTGTCATGGTTGATTTTGGATCCTGGACCAGTTTGATTTTCATCTGTGCTTCCACCTGCTGGATCCTGTGATTCCTCTTTATTTTCGTCACTTTTCTCCATACCAGGGTCAACATGGTTGTTGCAGCTGTTAATTTCCTTTTCCAACAATTCTTCAGATGGTGTTGTTTCTGCAGTTTGATTCTGTTGTAAAAGGCATTGGGAGGATGCCTTTCCATTCTCAGTGGCTTCTCATATAAATTTAGTCTACCTTATATCTATAGCTGTTTAACCTTAAATTAGCAGCAGGAGCACACAGTTTAAACCAAATCAGTCACCAATTGGTCTTAGAATTTCCAAAAATATTCATCAGGGAAATGTATACAGTCTTGTAATAAAGTAACTAAAGAATTATAGTAAAGTAAGAATTTAAGGTAAACTTCATTGGCACACCACTATGCTATAAGTCCTCTCACTTACTCTTTAAGGGTAAGAAAGTAGTGATAGTATGTCATGCAACATTGCATAATACTCTTTTTCCTTTTGGAAATGGAACTTTTCTTTTTGCAACCATATCAACATTTTAAGGTTGATCAGAGACACCTTCAAAAAAGATTATGCTTGCAGTTGCATATATGTCTTGTTGGCAATGTTGCTCAGATTTTTTTCAAATAAAGTACTTAATAGGGAAAAACAAACAAAATGATGTAAAATTAAAAATGACTACACCCATTTGAGACTATACTTAATCTGAATCTACAGCATCATGTACCACTGTGTTTGACTTAATGGAAATATACAACAACATGTACAATTTTGTTGGACATATAGGTCAAATAGATTTAAATCATTGTGAGCTAAATTTTAAATCTCTACATTATTTCACACTCTCATAAAAAATGCCATACAAAGGAGCTATGCATGAGATTAATTAAGAATACTACCTCCCACCCATAGGAAAGATCTTAGTCATTCCTAGTGGCTACGCTTAAAAATCCAAAAAGTTCACCGAATTTGCAGTTAACAATCCTTTAATCAGCTTGATAATTCAAGATCAATAAAGAGATCTACAAAAACCATCATTAAGGAGCTTGATGCAGGAATATGAAAGAATAACTTAAATCTTCACATGTACTAAGCTTATTTGTACTGTAAATGTTTAACAAGCCAAATGGAGAATTCATACCTGAGGAATACAAGTCCCATCTACATCACTGTCACCTCTCAGTCTCTTTGTCACATTAATCCATGCCTTGACACACAACATAATAATAAAAAAATAACATTCAAATTCAGCAGCACAGAAAGTTACACAAAGTCATGTCATTTTCCATGAAATAAGTTTTTTAATACCTCAAGTGGACTGTCATCTTTTGGTGCAATTGGTCTCTTGTTGGATGCTGAACAAAAAAACACAGAAGACCGACAAATGAGGAAATTTTAAGGCATGATTTTCAAAATTTGATTTCAATATAACTTCTTCACTTGATAAGTTGACAAACCTTGCTTTTCTGTCCTGAGTTTTGAAGCAAAGTCTTTCACCTGCAGAAAAATATTTCATAAGCTTCTCTTGCCTGTTACTCAGACACAAAACATGTATGTAGAAATAATGATGGTTAGATAACATTTTTAACTTGATTGACAGAATGTCAATCAGCAGCTCAATTCATCAGCCAAGAAAATTAAACAACAAAATTCAAAATGCTATGCATTCTAATTAACCTGTGCTGTTGTTCTTGTTTTCACTTGTCTTGCAATCCAACGCCAGTTGTTTTTTCCCTCATCTCTGTGTCAAATTGAATGAAAGTAATATTTCACACACATTACCCTGAAGTATGTTAACAACATAACTGTCAGCCTCCAGCTGATTAAATAAAAAGCATTATTGAGACAGAAATAAATTTCAAAACCATTAATATGGCTTATTATTTTTGCTCTTTAAATCTGATAAATGACAGAAAGGTTAAAACAAGAAAAATAAAAACAATATTAAGTTACTCATGGCTTAATTACTAGAAAAAGGAGGGAATACACAGCTGCTTGGAGACAGCAAATGATAGTTATGCTAGAACAAGCAAAGGCACTGGCAGAACTTCAGTAACTTACAATGAGTGATCTTTCCAAAATGACCAAAAAAATTAAGGGGGCCCTTATGAAATACGCATTTGTTTTCAATGGTTGCATCTAAACCCTTAAACTCCTAGAAGTGATTAACATGTACTATCTCACTAACTTATCCAGACATTATCCAGCAAACATGTAATGAAAATATTCCAACCCCTCAGGCAGAGGTTGTTCTCTTGATTTAAAAAAACCAAATTCTTTTAGCTAATTTATAAGGTTAGGAGATGTATAGCAGTTTATGGGGAGAATTGACAATCAGATCTTTGGAGTCAAAGGGTTAGGCCCACTTACACTCTAACATCAGTATGCATATTCTCCATACTTTCTCTATACATTTTCTTAAGGTTCTGAAAAGGAGAATTTGTTTAACAATCACAAGCTTCTTTAGTTGTTGATCATTTCCCTTATTCTCATGACCTTAATGTTTTATTCAGGGGTGATATTGTGAGGAGAAATTAGATGCCAGTCACTCTTAGGGGTTAGAGGGTTAACATACTTTTTTAAAGCATCTAAAAGACGTCTCTTCTCCTGATCACTCCATTCCACCTTGGAATCATTCATTGTTAATTTATCGTCATCATTATCAGCTTTCTGATCCTTGGATGTCGTTTCAATTGCTCCACTCTGCTCCAAAAAGAGGATGAAAATAAATGTGTGCAGAGCTAAATTTATCACTGCCAAATTCAGCTCTTAACTTGATGATAAATAATGGTAATTTCCTGGCACTAAACTGTCTGGTATTAGGACCTTTTTCACTTTCATTTGAAAGACTTAGAAAACATGAATTGCCATGAATATATATGTTCCATTTCTGAAATGACAATAAATGTTTACAACCCCAAGGAGGAAAACTTGATTATACCCCGGAAAAAAGGATGAGGATCTCAAGAATCCAAACCACTTAAAAAAAGCATGGAGCAAAACTGGAATTTCAAAAATAGGAAGGAATGAGAACAAGAGACTCGCTGCTAGGAGGTTATACATATTTTTCTAAAAGAACACAAAAAACATGTCAAGAGAAACTCAGAAGATAAAAGGTAAAAATAAGTCACAAGCCAATCACAAGATAAGAAAACTGGAACTGGTGAGAGAGTAGATTTGGGGTGTGCACCTTTGTCCTAATCTACAATAAAATCGCTAGATTAGATTCAGTCAAAACAAACATGGAAAAAAAAAAATCAGCGAATAATGTTTAGACCAGAGAAGTGGTCACGTCAAGTCAGATCTTGCTGTCCTAAAAGGATTTTAAGCAAAACCATAATTGAGAGCTGGAATCGCTTTGCAGTAAAAAATCTACTAAATTGTGCAATTTACAAGTTCATTAATTCTGTAGATATAATTAATTCTTGTACAGTATTTTTCGATTGATTCGTCGATTTAGATGCTTTTCGTGAAATGCACATAAATTAACTGATGATCATGTGGTATTAAAAGAACTTAGGTTTTGATCTGGTTCTGTATTAGCTTGTGATAAAAAATGTACCACAGAAGCTCATAATTCGGAAGAGCTGATCTCTAAAAAAATAAAACGTTTCATTTTCAATGAGGCTGAACTGGCATTAATTATGTCGATCAAATTATCAGCGTAAGGACCCTTTCATAATTTCTTTACCGTAACTTCAGGCCCCGAAAACGAATCTATTTATTAATTGAAGTATGTCTTTTTAAGGAGATCGCGAAATCTACTGGGAATTTTACACTGCAGATTCCAGGCTACGTTGTCAAATCTTCGATCTGTTAATTCCCACTTGGCTTATTGCCGAAGTTTCAAGTCAGCTACTTTTTCCCTTTGACATTTCTGCGAACGACCGCCCACACAAAACGGTTTATCGTGTTTACAAATTAATAACAGTCTTACCTTTCGTCGACGTGACATCTCAAATCAGTGATTTTAATGAAACATAGATGAAAACGGCACTTAAGTAAAAGCCAAAGCAAAGCGTTTTTCACACGTCTCCCCGTCGAGCGTCGAGCGGCGTCCTAACGGGAGCGTGCGCACCTTTAAGATGGAAAACCGCTGGCGCTGACAACAAAAGATAAATTAATCGCTTTAATCGACACGCGAGGCGGCAAAGTCGTACTTAGTATTGGAAACTTTTTGAAAGGAATATATGGATCCTCGAGCATCACGTAAATAGCGTCGTGTTCATGTGATCATTTATGCGGTAAAAGGAATACAAACAGAAATCTGCCATGAATCTTGAACTTCTTCGTGAGTATGACACCAGTTTCTGTCAAAACTGCGCAGGTCTTAGTCGTTTATTTGCAAGTTTTCTAGGCCTGTGCTAATTCTATTTGTTATCATGTAATCTATGGCCTTCAGTATATGTTGTTTTGGTTGATTGCTTGCTAATTGATAACCTCTTAAAGCTCTCTGTGACGGCAGTGTAAAGCTCATCTCGTAGAGATTAATCAATGATAAACGCCCAACTACATATCCTTCTATTTGGAGAAAAAAATGTTTTCATATACTTGTCCATGGACTTTATCTGTTCCTCAGAGAACTGATTTTTCCCAAACCTGGCTCTCTGATAACTGTTCATCACTCCAAACTTATGTCAGATATGGTCCACTGAAGTTTGTGATGTTCGTGTTGCTATGAAGATACAGACGTCATTTAACCACACGATGAAGAGTGTACCCTATGGAAAATAATTCTGATTTCTTTTACCTCTCAGTTAGTACAGGCCCTATGATTGGTTAATTAAGCAGACTGTATTTAACTTTATGGCCCGCTCTATTTGAACCTAGTGGTATGATAAATATCTTACTGACCTTGTTTCCTCAGTCTGTCCTACTAGTATGGGAACACCATTTTTCCACTTAGAGTTAAGGCCTGCTTGCTTCATGCCTAGGCCATAAATCTGAGTGGAGAAAACCTGGTCTATAACTTATAGTAGAGATCTCAAACTCAGTTAATAAAAGGTATTGACTTGTGTGAGTATGTTACAGTTTACTAGTCAGTGATAAATAAATTGAAGTGGTTTTATCAAATTTCAGAGTCTTTCGGGCAAAGCTATCCTGAGGTAAGAATGAGTTCCTCTACTGAAGACAATTGTAAGTTGAAAGAAATTGTTTCTCAACTGGGTGACTGCAATTAATTGATATGTTAAGCATGCGTTATTCACAGGAGATGGCCTGTTTTGAGAGCTTAGACCTTTGAATGTCATGATTTTCAGTCATGGCCTTAGTGTGGTTGCATCAGGGTCATCATAAATGCAAAAAATCCATTCAGACACCAGAAATGCTTTAACCTTTAACCTCTAAGAGTGACCAGAATCTAATTTCTCCTTACAATATCACCCCTGAATCACACACTAGGGTCATGAGAACAATGAAAATAATCAACAATTACAGAAGCTCTGGATTGTTAAGCTAATTCTCCTAATCAGCACCTGAGGAAATGTACAGAGAACAGTAAGGAGAATATGCATACTGATGTTAGGTTGTAAAGGGTTAACTAAGTAGGGTTATGTTTACAAACCAATGGACATGATCATAAAGCTAACTTCAATCACATAATAAGGGCTTTTACAGAATATTGATAAACAGTTGATTTCCCTGAGTAAAACCATAAATATTGCAAGAAGATGTATGGAAAGTATAAAAAGCAAGAAAATTTAAGCCAAAGATGATAATCACAAATGTTTGCATTCACTTGTAAGAGATGGCTCCTTGCAACAGAGTCCAGTGATTATGACTTGTGCCGTCAGTAGGAACCAAAAATGATTGACAAGAGGGGTGGTGTGAGGAGCTTTGACTATGTTACTCTTTTTAACCTTTACACTTTGATCACAGGAATATGATGGTAGCTTGGACTCTGTTAGTGTTGCTGGAACAGCATCATTCAATAGAAGAGGTTCTCTCCTAGCTGTCGGCTGCAATGATGGACGCATTGTCATCTGGGATTTTTTGACAAGAGGAATTGCAAAAATTATAAGTGCTCATGTCCATCCTGTCACATCTGTCAGGTAAGGACAATATGGCATGGCAAGTATTGTCCAATGACCAGTACTAGTAATTCAGTACAAAGTTTGTAGAATAAATTGCATTCTTTAGGTTTTGATTCTATAATGAGGCATTACATTAATTATGTGTATATGACATACTATGATTTTTACTGCAATTCAATTGGAAAATTTACTTCTGTTCTTTCTTTCTGTTCATCAAACACTTGAAAAGTTTAAACAGGGAAGTATTAGATTTTAACAACAAAGTTAATGCAAAACATTTTTATCCCTTTACTGCACAAAGGGCAGCCAAGCAAGCTTAAAATGTTGCTATTTTTTCTATGAGTAAATATAACTTTTAAATATAGAACTGATAAGTTTAGACAATTTTTCATGAGTCTTCCTGATTTCATGTACAAAAATGTAAGATACAACATAACCTTATCAGAAGTCAAATTGCATTGCAAAAAATATGTTTATTGGCTATAATTCTTTTGATTGAGTGTGGTCTTAATTGATTTAATTGAAAATAGTCTCTTAATTGTTACATGTTTTCATTATTTGTGTCATTCAGCTGGAGTCGAAATGGACGCAAACTACTGAGTGGTTCAAATGACTGGAATGTGTCTGTGTGGGATGTTCTGTCTGGCGAGTGTGATCAGAAGTACCGTTTTCAATCTCCAGTCACCAAAGTCCAGTTCCATCCTCGCAACAAGTTTGTGCCTCAGATTTTGATCTTGCATGTACTAACTGTTCCATTGCACACCTCACTAAGTCCCCACATATGCCTGCTTCATATACCTGAATCAGTCAAACCTTAGAATCCCCTTAATCCTTTTACTCCTGTGAGTGACCAAGACAGAACTTCACTTTATCAATTAAGGGATTACTTATTGATTCAATACCAAATTCACTGTCAACTATACAATTTTTATAATGTTCAGAGAATTTAGTATTGGATCAACTAATTATCCTCAAATTGGTAGTTTTCTTTATTCTCATCACTTGTCTGGTTGATATTGTATTGATATTGTAAGGAGAAATTCTGTCTTGGTCACTCATGGGAGTTTAAGAGCTAGGCAGTCTGAATTTGACTGTGGATCATTTGATAGTGTGATGATTGCAATTCATAACAGCAATCTAAAAAAAATTGATCACATTTCTAACAAATTCTTCACATTGATTTCTCTGAATGGGTTTTTTTTAGAGTTTCTTGATAGCTATTTTCCATGGGAAAAGTATATTGAACTCAGCCAAGCAAGTGTTTGTGGCGAGGAAAGAAATGACTCCTTTGAGAACAATTCATCAAGACTGATTCCAAACACATTTTGTTCTTGTTGCAGTAACATCATACTTGTGTGTCCTATGAAACATTCACCAGTACTTGTCAAGCTGGATGGACAGCACTTTTCTCTGCCAAATGGTGGAGAGGTAATTCAATATTTTAATGTATTCATAAAGGTTGTATTTTAAATTAGTAAAATATTAATTATTAATTAAAAATACTTGCTCTATTAGGTACTTTCTTAGTATTTTAAGTAATTTGAAATTGTAAGGTAACTATTTGATACAGAATATTTCTCAGCTGCATACAATGTCAGTGAAAAGAGAAACAAAAAAAAAGACCTCCTTTTTGATAAAGTGCTCCTAAGTACCTTTGCCATGCACAAACTAGCCTGCAAACAGGCACCCAATCAGGGTGATGACTAAAGGGAACATAGAAAATGCAATTTAAAGGGAACAGGGAGTAAAACAAAGGTAATCCTTACCTCAGTTGCTTTCCTCCTTTTCTTACTTAAAAATATTAGCTTCTTGGCAAGGTTTTCCTGAGTGATCAACCATACGTTCAGTGAAACTGTATCACACTTTGCTTAGCTACTACATACATCTTTGTATTAACATCAGTGAAAATAAACAATAACCCACTTATCTAACAACCTAGCCTGGGAATGTCATACCTCTGATGACCTCTTCATTTGAAAACAAGAGATTTTCCTGTAAGTGCATTCTCTTTTATTTAACCTTTTACTTCCAAGATCTGATTTTCAGTTCTTCCCTCTAGCATCCACACATTTCCTTGTACCTGTATCCATGGTTCTATGGTACCCCACTTGAGTTTCAAATGGCCTGTAAGGCCAGGCTCTTTAGCCACGAGTTGGTAGGGAGGAAAAGGGACTAACTGAGATGAGCATGATTTAGATGATTGAATTTAGATAGTGTGTAAAGATGTTATGAGGTAACCTTTAACTCCAGATCAAATTCCTAATTCTCCTTACTGTCAACCATACAATTCTTATAATGTTAGTTCAGAAAATTTAGTATTGGATCAACTAATTATCCCCAAATTGATATTTTTCTTTATTCTCAACACTTATCTGATTGATATTGTATTGACATTGTAAGGAGAAATTCTGTCTTAGTCACTTGTGGGAGTAAAAGAATTAATGAACTAGAAAAAAAAGATAAATGAATTTGGAATAAGAAAACAAAGGATTGGTAACAACATTCACTGGATCAGAGGGGACTGTTAGGTAAAGGCAAATTTCAACATTTCCAGCTGCTACTTGGTTTGACACTAGAGTGTATCATAACTAGCATCAGGCAGGTGACTTCCCTATGCTTCTTTGAGTTAGCTTGTGTATGAGCTCTCCTTTTGCAAGCTCCTTTATACTCCTCTCTGAATTTCAGCCTGAACCTTGTGTGAGAGCTTGCTTGTAGGAAATATTGGAATAGTGCCATTTTTTTAAGCGTGCTGTTCACTCCTCTACCTCCGTAAGTGGTTATTCCATATATTTAAAAAAAAAACGACTTGGCTACCAAAATTCCAACATCATTAATCTATGGTTACATTGCAGTTTATTTTAATTTTTATTATTTATTTACTATTTTTTGCGGGACCGAGACGGAAATCCTGAGCGAGAAACCCGTCATAATACTGTCTTTTTATCACTCTCCTTTGCTGTGATGTCACGCAACGCCACCTCTTTATCTCTCCCACATTCCAAACAGCAAAACAAAATGGCGGAAGCTCAAGAGGAGAGTTGCGAAGCTTCGACTTCTCTTGACGAATCGACTAATTGTCTGCCATTGTCATCTCCTGCACTGAATGACACGATAAATTTTATATTATCAGGATTTTTAATTGGCTGTCAACCGGTGAGATGTGGTTGTGATTTAAGCGAATACTTGTACAACTTTAAGTCCATGGATGACTCGCAAACGCTAGTTACATTTCACTACACCGGCAGCAAAGCTGAAGGAATAGAGCAGGCAGCCGACGATGATTTCATGTTTGTTAACCACAATTTTCGAGTCGTTAATCAGCCTACAAGTATCACTGAAGAAGAGAAAGAAGTTTCTTATTTAATCGCTACTGATCTCCACCCAGGCTATGTACATTTACGTCGAGATAACGTCAAAAGCGGACGTAATGATTTTAAGCTAACTGAAAATGATGGATTTCTCAGAAGTGATGTCGTGAAGGCTTTCATGTTGGAATCGGACGCAGAAGAGACCGAAAATGATGACGATTTTTTTGGTGATCTTACAGAACATGGTCCTGCGCTAACAGATGATGCCCACAATCAAGACTTTGTTTGTGCGTTACCGTGTTGCGAATGGCCTGACATCGCCTCTGAATTTGCTTCTCGCCCGAGAGAATTTAACCAACCTAGTCCGGAAATTATAGAGAAAATCGTTTCTAAAGGGTGCTTGTACGTCGGTGTCGGTCATCCATGCAGTGAAGATCGAGGCAAAGAATGGCGATTGTCTTTCTCTCTGGCAGAAAAAACACTAATCCGATGTTGGAGTGACGTGAAGATCAAATGTTACATCGCAGTGAAATCTCTGTGCAAAGAAAACTTAAGCGCAGAGCCAAAAGTGATTTGCTCTTATTTCATTAAGACAGCTATTTTTTGGCTCTCTGAAAGAATGCCTGAGAGTTCTTGGGATGAGGAGAGAATTCTGGAGTGCATTTTAGTCATAATTGAAGAACTGCTGTCCTACACAACAAGTGGGACATGCCCAAATTATTTTGTAGCATCAAATAACATGATGGATCACTTGGATTTTGAGCAACGAAAGGATGCAATATCCATTCTTGAATCTATGATGAGCGATCTTCCCTTGCCATCTTACAGTCGCAACTTGCTGCAGACACGTTCAGGTCAAGTGGTGACTTTGTTACTCTGTACCTGGTCTTGAAGAATTCTGATTCCCCCAGCAATGCGGAATCTCAGTTAGCACAAGTTAATTCACACAACAGCCTAAATCATTTCCAAAACAATGAAAACTACTTTGAATCAATGCATCTAACTGAAACCTTGCAGGAGTTCAAACACTTTTTCTTCCGCAGATTAGAGAGCGGTAAAGTTGATCATTTTGCAAAAGTGATTTTAGATGATTTGCCAAGGGTTATCACTGACCCAAGTTTCCAAAGTGCATATGAGAAGCTGCTGTTTCTTTCCCTTGGTGACAGCTATCATCTAATGGCATTATCAACATGTGGCTCAAGTGCTGAACAGCAGCAGGGGTTGTTAGTTCAAGCTGAAAGTTGGATTTCAAAGGCAGGAGTATTGAAGCACCCATCTGGATTTGAAGATGGTGGAATTCATAGCAGCGCTGTAAAGTGTCTGTTTTATTACACTAATGGAGACAAAAAAAGAGCAACTGATTTGTGCAACGAAGAATGTGACAAGTTGTATTCTGACCTCAGCAATCTTCGTAATCTGTGTCATTGGTCATGTGCTGTGGTCATAACAAGAAAAGAAGCTGAACACTTCTCCAGCATCGATTCCAGCTTCATTGCCATTCTTGCTGAAGGAGATCTGCTTTTTAGTCCAGTCAGCATTATTTTGTACATTGCAATAAAATGCAGCAGAAATGAAGAACGGTGTTGTAAATTTAGTAAATGCTTTGAAGATTTACAGCAGTGGTTTCCTCCTCAGATCACTTATTATGAGAAAGAGCTGCACAAGAATCATGTTTCATTGCGTAACATCCTCACACAGGATGGGATTTTGCAACTTCAAAATTTAGAATTACAGTAATATCAAGAAAGGCTGCACATTCATTTGATTCATTGCATGGCTATCAACCTGTTTTAAACTGTAAGTTTTCTGGAGCAAGCAAAAAATCTGGGTGAGCAAAAAAGAAAAAATGAAAGGGAAGGAACCTCACCACTTGGCCTGCTCTTCATTACTTCTTTTCAGGCCATCACCAATTTTGCTAGTTTCCACCAACAGAGAGTCTGCCTTAGGCTACATAGCTATAACATCATAACTTGTGATACTTATTGAGCTGCATTTCCATTAAGAAATGTCAGAACAGGAGATTGTGGTATAGTGATGTGAGTTCTTCCATCAAGGCCTTCAAAATTTAGGTCAAGAATTGCGCACTCTGAGTCTCTTTTGTTCATCTAGCTAAAGATGGTGATCCATTTTTTTATTTGGCTGTTTGTGAATGTATTTTTAACATTACTATTACATGAATGCTGGAGACTTAATTTCAAGTTATTTTTCTGCAAGTAATATTTTAAAAACTGGGACTTAGCATCATGCCCTCAAACTCATAATTCAAAATCATTTAATTTCCAAGATGACGTCCTTTGTTCCCAAAGCCTAGTGGCCTAATGGTGATACTAAAGATCTTTGTTAAAGTTAATTTAACCAAGCAAAGTGACAATTATGCAAGAAATGAGAAATAAAAACACTTTTACAAAGTGTGAAATGCTGGAAGTTGTTTGTTGGCAAGAGGACTAATTTCTTAATAAGTTCTGGGAAAGAACCCCTCTTCAGATCCTTCCTTGTTTTCACATTAATTCCTTAAGCACCTTTTTACCTTGCCCAAGAGTTGCTTCAACTAAGGAGTGTTCAAGGACAAGAAAAATGACATCAAAAGGAACAAGAAATGTCATAAAGAGAGGGAGAAAACTTTCCCATGGTAAAAGACCACTGATTAACCATAAAGAGACTGAGAACAACATGATGAAGGAATATCCAATCGTCAGCTCCTTTTTTCTCCCCTCATCACTGCTACTCTTGTTTTATTGACCCCATCACTCCCAAGATCTTTTAAGTAATTCTCCTTACTGTATGCCATACAATTATTATGATGTTAGTGAAAAGAATTTGGTTTTAGATTAACTAATAATCCCTTTTCTTCTTGTCACTCAGTGGCTTGGTATTGTATTGAGGTACTGTATTGATATTGTAAGGAGAAATTCTATTTTCGTCACTCATGGGAGTTAATTGGTTTATACATTGCTGCTAAGTGTCACACCAAAGAGTCCTGTGACTTGTTTGTAAACATTTGGAAAACTTACAATTCAGCAAATAACCATGAATGTGGTGACTGAATATCTGAACTAAAATACCAAATGTGTGTTTGCTTAGTCTGAACAGAACATTGTGGCATCTTTTGATAGAAAAGGAGAATACATTTACACAGGGAATTCAAAGGGAAAGGTTAGTATGACTTCTTTCATTATACACGTTTTTTTTTTTTTAATCATGAGAACGTTATGTTGTAGTCATAAGGGAGAAGGAAAGTTTAGGGAAAAGGAAACAAAGGGCGATTTATAGAATGATAGAATAACTTTTGTTAACCCTTTACACTCTAACATCAGAATTCATATTCTCCATACTGTTCATCATACATTTCTTAGGGTGCTGACAAGGAGAATTTGTTTAACAATCAAATGCTTCTTTAAAAAGTTGGTGATCATTTCCTTTATTCTTATGAGCCTAATGTGTGATTCAGGTGTGATATTGTAAGGAGAAATTAGATGTTAGTCACTCTTAGGGGTGCAAGGGTTAAAGAAGGACTGAAATATGACTAAAAACTAAACTGGAGAAAAAAATGGCTGTTTCAATTTTTTCTGACTGACTAACCTCTGTAGGTATGGAGGATTGTTTAACTACTTTGACCCAAACATAGCACTTAGTGAAATCTTGTTGTGAGTTACCCATACCTCAAAAACTTCATTACTATAGTTGGGATAACCAACATAAGTGTAAACTATCTATGGCTTTATACTTAAAAATATTTTTGTATCTATCCTGCAGGTACTGGTAATTGAAGCAGAGACTCTTCAGGTAAAAGTCAGTAGTACTAGAAAACATAATTTACTGTCAAATCAGGAAGTTTTTTAATCCTGGGACTATAATTTAATTCAGAACAGAATTTCATCCTCAAATTGTGTGGAAGAAAATTATTGTCATCATTGTTATTTTTTGTTCAAGATTTTTCATTTCATTCTCTCTTTACTGCATGTGAAAGTGACTTTTGTGAGGAATTCAGTCTTATTTCCCTAATATTATTGTTAAGGTAGATTTTGCAACATTGTACAAACTGCAGGTGGTGACCTCCTTCAGAATACAAACAGGAACAAGTGCTAATACAGCTATCAAGGGGATAGAATTTGCCCGCAGAGGCAGGTGTGTTGCAGATAAGGATAGGCAGCTCATACACTTGTTTAAGATGCTAACTGCCAATTAAACGTTTCTTTGTCAATGAAACTGAAAGAGCATTAGATGGTTCCATCATCCAATTATCCCAAAACCATCCAAGATTTTCGAATGGTCCCAAGTCAATCTGTATGACTCTGTTAGATTTGTGGGGCACTTGACAGCTTCTACAGTTATTTCTTTAATCTTTGATCAACATGCAACTTCTCCTTGCAACTTCAAGACATTATCCAATAAGCAGGTGACGAGAAAAGACAAGTACATGAGTTGGTGGGTGTTTTCTAGATGCTCTTGAATTTTTTTCAATAAAATGCAGGCCTTCTAGAAGGGAGATTTTTTAATCCACTGGATTCTCATGGTTAAAGGGTTAACAGTAATGGAATTGTGCTTTTTTTCCTTCAGTGCCTTCCTGATAAACTCTCAAGACAGGATAATAAGAGTATTTGACAGTCAAATTGTGCTGTCCTGCCAAGGAACAGAAGGAGCTGAGCCTGAGCCAATACAGAAACTCCAAGATCTTGTTAATAGGTGATTAATGGTGTTTTTTTTTATGTAATTTTGTCACTTTTATACATATGAATTATACATATGAAGATAGAACAATGTGAAAAGTTTCAACATTAATCCTTTCATCCTGTTGTCAATAAGAGGTGCCTGTTGTTGAAAGTTAGGGGGGGTTGTCAATTGCCTGTTGTTGAGTTAGGGGAGGGGTAGGTGGACAGTTGCCCAGATACTGATATTGATCTGAGAAAGTCATATAGGGGAATGAGAGTAGTTTTTTCATTAATGTAGCTTCATTTGATTGGCAGAACACTCTGGAAAAAGTGTTGCTTCTCAGGCGATGGAGAATATATCTGTGCAGGTAAAAAAAAATATTTCTTCCTGCTAATTTTATATGTGTTCAATTTGGATGAACTTTCTAGAATCTGATTAATGTTGCACATAACCCTATGATGCCGCAGCATTTACTTGCTTGGTATAATGCTTTTTGCTTGCTTCAGAAATTGTTGCAAGGTACTGAATTCTGCAAGGTTTTCTCTCTGAGGCTACAACTTGGAGCCTGGTGAGATCTAACACCTTAATGGTAGCAGATTGCTTCTTTATGCAAAGATCATCAACAATAATTGCTTCACCCTCTCCCCCTCCCCCTCCCCCTCTCCCCATCTCTCCCCCTCTCCCAATCTGTTCCCCTCTCCCCATCTCTTCCCTCCACCCCTCCTCCCTCTTACCTTCCACTCCTCCCTTATTTTTTCCCTAGTTGTTGTGATAGCAGTGCTTGCATTTAGGGTGCGAAAAAGTTAGACACTACCTAGGTCTTTGTCAAGAAAGGGTTGAAGAGAAAAGGGGAAACCCATTGGGAAATTGAAGTTGTTCCTGAATGTAAATTATGTATACTTAAATGTAATGTGACTGATTGAATTGCTAACTTGTGGTAACAATTGAAGTTTGAACAATCCACTGTTCTTTCACTCCTGTAGCAAAATATCTAACACAAGATGCAATGTTACATTGGTGGTGTTCTTGCTGGTTTGTCATACTAACTGTGTTGTGTTATGACAGGATCATCTCGCACTCATGCATTGTACATTTGGGAAAAAGGAGTTGGAAATCTTGTTAAAATTCTTCATGGAACCAAGGGCGAACTGTTGTTGGAAGTCGTGGTAAGATTGGAATATTATTTTGTTGCTCAAACGGACTGTTAGAAACTATAACAAAGACTGTTTAAAGGCTGACATATGACTGCAAGTTTCTTCAACATCCCCTTCTTGTTGTGGTACATGTCTTCAAAGAGGAAAATTTTTTAAATTGGCTGACTGTGTTCCCCTTGTGGAATGATGAACATAACCTCTCTATTCTTTTATTTTTTTTTCCATGATCAGTGGCACCCTATCAGACCCATAATAGCTTCGATTTCAAGTGGAGTTGTCTCGATTTGGGCTCAAAATCACGTGGTAAGTTTGTTAGAATATTAAAATTGTGTTGATAGTTGTTGTATTAGACTGGAGAATCACTAATTAATAATTAATTTGTAGCTATTTAAAGTGATATCAATTCATTATTGGTGGCACATAGACCTAGACTGATTAAATTAATTTAATCCGAATTTGAATTCAGATGATTGTTTAAGGTCTCTTTACTCGTTCAGATTGGTCATACAACATTTGTAATTTCCTTCCTTCTGGTCGCAGTGAAATAAGTTTATTTTAAACTTATCATCGGATTTTGTCTCTCTTGCGTAGGAAAACTGGAGTGCATTTGCACCCGATTTTAAAGAGTTGGATGAAAATGTCGAATATGAAGAGAAGGAGAATGAGTTTGATATAGTAAGTATATGTTTTGCTGCGAGTCTGATTGCCAAGCATGAGCTATTGTTACTCTTTTTTCCATTGAAAGTTGATTAGTGGGAATTATCTTCTGTCTACAGAGTACCTTTTTTATACAATGAAAATTCTGTAAGAAAAATGATTTTGGTGTGAAGAGAGGGAAGTACAATGGGTACAAAGGGCGGAAAGTGCTTATTGAGCCAAGCGGAGATACTAGGGGTTGGGCTGAGTGTTGGTTCTAACTTGTAGGAGGATGAAGACGAAGAAGCTGAAGTTCCATCCGAAACTGAAGCAGGAGAGGAAGATGAAGTTGATGTATGTGCAGTGGAGAGAATTCCAGCTTTGTGCAGCAGGTACAGCCTTTTTTATTTATTTATTTTCATGTAGATTCTTAATTTGGGTTACACTGGGAAGATTGTTCTCCTTTAATTCTTTGACCCTAAGAGTGACTAGCATCTAATTTCTCCTTACAATATCACTCCTGAATCAAACATTAAGGTCATGAGAATGAGGTAAACAATCATCGACTAAAGAAGTTCTGGATATTTAAACAAATTCTTCCTGTCTTTACTTTTGGAAATGTATTTAGAACAATATGGAGAATATGCCTACTGATGTTAGGGTGTGAATGATTGAACAATTTGACATGAATGTTGCTGCTAAATTATTTCAGTGACGAGGAGAACGATGAAGATTTGGACTCCGTGTACTACCTTCCTGTGGCACCTGAAGTTGACGACCCAGAAGAGACCGGTTGGACTCAAGAAGTATGTTAAAATACTTTCTCTTATGCTGTAAATTTGGTTGAGTAATGGAAAAACCATGACGAGATTTATCACAATCAGCCAATCAGAACAAAAGAAAAGATTGCATGGAACCAATCAGAAATTAAAGGGGAAACAAACAAACTATTAAAAGCGCGGGAAAACGCGAGTGGTCAATTTGCGATTGGCTCAAGTTTTGCATCTGATTGGGGGCAAGTCATTGTTATCTCGTAAGACTTTCGACGCTCAAGAAACTTCTGTGTGAAGCTTTTCCGAAAAGTACAGTAGGTTTTTCCACTTAAGGCCCATGCATTTACCAGAACTCGCCCTTCTTTCCTCTAACGTTATATGGCGTTTAGTTGGGACTAATTCTTCGCAAGCTAAAGAATTGAGACGAATTTCCAAACAAAAATTTATATGTCTTGCTTTCAGACTGAAATTCGTCCCCACGATTCTGAGAACAAGAGGCGCGCTTCTCAAGAGACTGGAGCTGAATCATCGAAGAAGAAGGTGAAAGTGATTGACATTCGACACAGTTCAAGTGAAGTCCACCAGGAGAGTAAGAGCTTCGGTAAGTTAGATTGGAATTATCTCAACCTCACCCCACCCTCAGCGCCCTTGGGGAAGAGATTCCCTACCTCCCCCCCCCCCTCCCTTCCCCTCCCCACACTTAAGGCGCTCACAGGGTTTTCCAAATTCTTTGCGTCATACGTGAGGTGCTTAACTATCGGACGGTAGTACTCAGACTAGCATGTGACACGCTCTGTGTATATTATATGCAAGAATGAATAACGTTGAAAAAAAAAGGGCCTTTGTTTCTTCCTAAGGGAGTCGTTGTGATCTTACGAATAAAGCACGGTCTACAATTTTGAACAACTTGTGTTGGAAAATTCGTAGGAACATACTATTTTGACCCAAAACCCACAAAAATAAGTTTCAGCACCCTCATATAGTGTTGAATGTTATTTGAATGTAGGCCACTGTAACAAAAAAATCTTGAAAAAGTTTTTCAATCTTTGCTGCGAGGGACTGGGAACGCTGGGACGATTCATTCTCAGTTTCTCACTTCAGCCTAAAGTTTTGGCGACTAGTGACATTTTAGCGAAACTTCTTAAATGACTAGAGATCACCTGTCATATACCAGCATCCCTTGTTGTGAAAATACCCACTTCCTCAGCTGCTCAATATAGAAAAACCAAGGTAAGATTAGGTGGATGTTAGCCGCTAGCTCTCATGACTCTTCCCTCGAATGCACTGCGGCCTTTGTTATGATAACACTCATGCTCTTTATCCATTACAGGTCAGCCCAAGGAACCCTCCATCCAGAAAGATCCTCCTTCTGTTGATACCCCACCCACAGTGCCGGAAACTGTCGCCACAGAATTAAGCGCGATCCCGCCGGACTTGTCCACGGATTTAGACACAGATTCTGCATTTGAATAACTCCGCTCACACTAAAGTGTGGAGAACTTGAAACCATATTTGAACAGGCCGAAGAACATTTGCAGAGTGGGACATCAACTGATGAAAAGTCTAGAGGCAAAATTGATCGAAAAGAAATTGGAAACGCTTCTCGTGTTCAGTTCTGAACTGAACATTTTTTCCGTATTTTTTATTCTTTAAGAACTAAAGGCTTTCTTCTTTGAAAAGCTTAGTTCAGGAAATTTCGATCACTTCGCCTATTTCCCCAAAATAGACTTGTCAAAATGTCGCGTGTGTAAATGGAATGGTTCAGAGGTATTCAGTTTGCACACTATCAGTGGACTAATCGCGAAATGCGTGGGGTTTTGTGCGCCGTATATTTGCACAAGTACAAGTACACGCGTGTGTTCGCGAGGAATGAGTTCTTTCCGTTCAACCAGAAAAGTGCCCAGTAACTAACTTTCTAATTTATTTCAGGGACACATACCCAGACGACTTTTGTCTGAGATATGTTGAAAAACGACTTGTACTGACAATTAGGTAACGAACGTGCTCCAACTCATTCTCGGAAATGGCGCACATAAAAATAACATTAAATTCGAAAGAAAAGAACATTGATCATGATCGTTTTGCTGTCGTCACTTGTGCGAATGATATGCCTCGCTTTCTTTCTAGGCCGTTTGCTTCACTGTCCCCTTCACTAATCTCGTACCCAGATCCCAACCTGTAACTGAAATGTATCAACCGCTTGGCCTTGAAAGGTCTGGGTGCGAGACTTCCTTCTGCCTCCTACCCCTTCATTTCACCTTGTAAATTTTTCAGTCCTATTCATACCTCCATGGTAGGGGAAGAACTATGAGTAAATAGGTGAACGTTGTTTGATGCGCGATTTATAGAGGTTTGCACGGTGGATTCATGACTGTGAATCGTTCTATTAATCTGTTCGGACGATTTATGACCCTAGGGGGGGCAATATCGCATGCACCCGGCTGTTTTGCGTCTCAGCAATCTGTAATTGAGCTTGCGTCAGCTGCATGCGGTCCGATATAGGTAGGAGATGTGATAGTTTCTATGGCTGCTTTCAGCTATTGTGGAATATCACGAAAATAAGCATTCGTTGGTCTATCGTTTGAAAATATTCTAAATGTTAAAGTCAACTACATTTCCAATCATTTGCATTTTATCGTTTAATTTAACGTTAATCAGGTACATCAGTGAGATAAACCTAAAAAAGCGTACCGATCAGAAAACAAGCCAAAAAAACACAGAATAACCCCTGATTAGCTTTCTATTAACTCATCTTTTGAAAATTCGTTAAATAGCGAATTTACAAGGACCAATTTTCATTCTTGGCCCTTGTTTAATTTTATAAATACTCCTTTGGAAAAACTCGTGTTTATTCCTTAATCACAACAGTGATAGAAGCATCAGATGTTGATTCAAAAAGTAAACTTCTGTTCTTACCGATAAAACTAGTTTTCCCAGAACCCGAAGGGCTGATCAAGGCAATGCGAATCGCATCAATGTCGTCCACAGGCAGACCTGTGAAAGATTCTTTCTTGATCCATAGGCAAGTCTGAAAATGGTAGTCCATCAGTTTCTTTTGGAGTTCAAGAACGCTTCTTCCTCTCTCAATCTTTCTCTTCCAATCTTCTTCGTTATTTTTAATATTCTAACAGTACCTTTATTCACCCCCAGACCCCTGTCATTGTAAATGAAATACCTCGTTTAAAATGACGACATCCACAGAAAGGTAGTTCATCTCTTTTTAATGGCGTTTAATCAAGCGTACAACTGTTTTTTATTTTCTGCTGAACAAAGCTGTCAGGGCCGGTTATCTCCACGGGGTCTGACCCAAACCGTGGTTTCACGCCAGCACTGGGCCTCGGAGATTTCCTTTAATAGGGTTGATTCATTGAATTAAATTGCTTCCACTATAAGCTTTCTGCCCCTTTGACACTGTTCTCAAAAAAACAAAAGTTCAGATAAAAGGTTTGGCTAAATTCAAGATGTTTTAGAGCGCAGTTTTGTTAAACTACAGCTAAACTTTGTTTAAATAACAGGCCGTTGCAGTTTATCGCAGTTGATATGTTGAAAACAAAGATTTCTTTGTTTTCATCTGGCGGCATACGTTTTGTGGCCATCTTTCACATCGAATGGCTTTTGAAGAACACAATACATAAACAACACCAATATATGAAATACAGTTCATAGAAAACAAGGAAAAAAACAAACTATGTTCTGATAGCAGGCCCTTTTCATTAGGACTGTGGCACAAACGTTTTTTCTTCTGCGAAGCGAGCTGGACCTCAATGAAAATAGCTCAATTTAGCTCAGTTACACCCTGCTGGGAAACTTTCTCTGATACTAAGGGCCAGTTAATGTAAAATCTCTAACAGACCTCTCCCAGCTCACTTTGCTTAAGACCTAAGACTTTTTCGTGGGCAAAGAAACCCTTGTGCCGCAGATTTTTCGAAAAAAAAAATTGGAGAGAACAGCAATCAGAAATCTACCCAATCTGATAACATATTTTTATACACAAGCATTTTTCAACTGACCTAAACTAAATCAATCAATCCCTTATTTCTTAATAAAATCATTTTTTGTATGTGCATAGTGCCTCTCACAAGCTCTGCATCTCCTCTTCCAAGACTATCTTCATTCCAATGGACAATGGCAGACTCGACTTGATGTCTTCCCACATTTCCTTCAGCACCTTTACGGTGTTGATCTCTTCTTTCTTCAAGTGTTCCTTCAGAGTTTTCATCTTACCCTGGTCAGACCAGTGGTGTTTATGCTGCAGACGAGCCAAGAACTGCTCAGTGGTTTCCCCACTAAGGGATGGTCCTGACGACGGAAAAAATAAGGGGGCACTGAGGAGCAGTTAAGGAGGACAATAACAACAAAGGCACACTTTCCGTCTGTGTTTAGCTGTTTTTACACTAAAATTAAAATCTTTGAATCTGTATTAGAAGACAACGGTTTTTTTGTGCACTTCTGGATTGGAGTGAGTGAGCAAATTTAGATTTCATTTTTGCCGTTCAATATTGATGTAAAACGTTGTGCTTAACTTGCCAACTAGTAATCTCTCTTGAAGAAGAGTTACATTATGCATTTTTATGGGATATTATCATAATAGTATATAGATTTAGCCAAGCCTAAAAGCGGAGCTCGCATTTTTTTTTTCCCGCACGTCTCAAGGGCATAACGCCTTGCCCCGGCCAAGACTAGAACTCGGGTAATCCGACTCGGAGTCCAGTGCACTGACCACAGGACTACTGAGAATTCTAAAAATATTATCTTTCTCTTTGTATCCTGATTTGCTTTCATCTCCCAAGCCCACCACGTCATCAATACTATTCGTGAATATTTTCGGTGCCATGAAGGCAGATGTTGAACATAATGGTCGAGTGTACAAGTAAAAAATGTCTTCAACGAGTATTGGAACCTTCGATTACTCCCTGCGGAATACTCTATCGCTTAGCTACAGAAAACCCGTAGGTAGCTTGGGCCATATAAGAGACTTATCGTTGAAAATTGTTCTGCATATACCGAAGTAGCATACATTATGCACCATTTTCATTTTCTCACATTTACCGAAAACTAAGGTAAAATCTGTTACCTCCTGCCACGATTTCTCTCTCCATCTTATTTTTCTCTCGCTGTTTACGGATTCTGATAAACCTCTCGGCAGACAACAAAACAGAATCCAAGATGTCAAGGGCGGCTCGATCCACAGCATCAGACTGCTCAGCTTTAGCGTGCGTGTAATTTGCAATGAAGTAGGTCTTCTCACTGGAGCTACCGGTCGCCCAGGAGGCCTGGTCAAAAGCTTCATCCTTGTCCTCCTTATCTTTAAGCTTGTCCAGGTAGGTGATTACAGTCACAGGAGCATAACCTGAAAGGTTACGGTAAATATAATTACATTTAGTACCACAGCACTATCTCGATTGATGGAGTTGAATGAGAGAAAAGGCGGACGCGTAGAAAAAGGCCAAGGGGAGAAGGTGTGGAGTGGGGTGGGGACATCCGCCACATCGCTCAGCCGCTCCTTTCGGGGGTCCTCACAAAATGGAAGTCTGCAACACACTAGAGCAGTCTGTAAAGTAAGCTGAGAGTTATCAGACTTATCAGCGTTACAGGAGATCAATCCATAACACGTGTAATTTCAAAAGTATGTTCAACCACATCTTTAGTTTGGGCGCCAACGACACCTCCCCCCCCCGCTAAATCTCCACCCCAAAGCCCTAATGCTGCGCTCTCACCTCGCTTCACTGCAAGTCTGTCGTGACTCACTCGCCTGATTTTCTATCGCTACACTAAAATGTACGGCAATGACTCTTGCAAAGAAGATTAAGGGCCTGTTTACATGGAGGTGAAAGACCCCAGGAAGGTGAGGTAGCCCGCCAAACTGTGGTTGAAAAATAAAACGCGTTTACATACAATCTTACAACCCCGGGGTGCTGGGGTGAAGTTATTTTTGCGCTTGTAATTAGGGAGTTTGAGCAGAGGCGTTCCAAACTCACATCTCGAGAAAGACGAAAGATTAATTCTCGGACACATAAGTATTTATTCATGAAAGCGTCATGCGTTGTGTTACGCGGTGTTAGGTTACGCGAGGAACCGTTGACTTAATACGTTATACGGAATTATTTTGGAAACGAAATATGGTTGATTTACAACGCAAAACATTCCGAAATGTGAACATTTTACACTCCTTGTGTGGAATGTACAAAGTTTTAAAACATACATGTTTCGCTTTTGAGCTTTTTGCCATGAACGCGACGCTCGCTAGGCGGGTTACCCCACCTTGAAAAGTTTAACTAGTGGCAAATTGTCACCCCGGCTGACAGAGTTACCCTACCTGGAATTGTTTTGGAAACGAAATATGGTCGATTTACAACGCAAAACATTCCAAAATGTGAACATTTTACACTCCTTATGTGGAATGTACAAAGTTTTAAAACATACATGTTTCGCTTTTGAGCTTTTTGCCATGAACGCGACGCTCGCTAGGCGGGTTACCCCACCTTGAAACGTTTAAATCGTGGCAAATTGTCACCCCGGCTGACAGAGTTACCCTACCTGGCAGACCGGGCAACCCGCCTAGGCGGGTCACCCCACCTATCATGTAAACGTGATCAAGATAAAATAAGAAATTATATGGACAGGCGGGTTACCCCACTTAGGCGGGTTACCTCACCTACCTGGGGTCCCCCACCTCCATGTAAACAGGCTCTTAGGCAGAGTAAAAACGGTATCACCTGTCTCTGATTTCACTTAGGAATTTGCGTCCATGGGAATAATCTTCAAAGTTTTATCTCTACTTACCATCTTTTCTGAAATGCTCTCTGATTTTCTTCAGAGTTTCCTTGTACTTGCCGTCTTTCAAACGCGGGTCGTTCGCCTTAACAACAAAAACAACAGCATGTGCGCATCTTGAAAGAGGTAGTACACCTCTCACTGGACCGGTGGGCTCTTGATTGGCTGCTGCGTCAGTTCCGTCACAATTTCGCTTAACTTCTTCTCCTGGACGGATTCTAGATAAAGATAAAAAGGGAACAAGCGACTGAGCATTCGTTGTTACTTGGGTTGAAAAGCGTAAGAGGCGGCGAATGAGGGCCATTTCAGGGGAACAGGGGGAAAGGGGAATCCCTACCCACGGGCTCCCCCTCCTTCGTTTTACGCTAGATAAGATAGAAAGCGCGGGATAGGGCTAGTTAACACAATTTTGCAAAGGTATGTTCCGCCAGAAGTCGTATTCATTGGCCTTTCATATACCCATCTTGAATATAAAGGTGCCTGCTCTCAGTCCATTAACCTCAAACAAAACACTGGTGCTTAAGCAAGGGAGGATGCTCCATGCTCATTTCCCCCCATGGCTATGCGCGGCTATGCGCGGCTTTGCCCGCTATTTTGAAATAGAAATAAAAGTCGAAGTTGAAGTTGAAAAACTGCATCCTGTTTTTCTACCCTGAAGGATGTTGAAATATGAAAAGAAAGACTTATTATTATTATTATCGTTAAGGTTATTATCCTTATTGAATTCTCACCTTCCCGACATTATATTGAGACATTCATCCAGGAGTCTTTCGTCACTCTCAAAAAACCCTCTGGTGTCAATCATCCGAATCTTCTTGTGCACATAGTATTCCTCGAGCAAAATAGTTCCTTCACTTCCGGTACCTTGTTCAAAGGCGCTCTGTTCGGCCTCTCCGAGAGCTCGCTGTAAAGTACCTTAGAAATAATAAAAAAAAATTTCAGGATATGCGCAAAACTCTAACAAAATGCGCACTAATACAATTTATCTATTTCTAAAACTTCTGTATGTGCACTCGCTTGCCTTCACTCGATTCGCCGCGCCAATATATTTTCTATGTAAGACGATTGTCGTGTCTCTTTAAGATTGCGAAATACAGTCGAATGTCGCCCTGCGGACACCTCGCTATTACGGAAACCCCGCCATAGCGAACAAAAGCCAGCCCCCCGACGAAACGCATAAAGAAATGACTGAAATAAACTCCTGTCATTACGGACACTTTCATGCCCCCCAGCGCAACATTTCACTTTTTTTCTTTCTCTCGCTATAGCGGACACTTCGTCTAAAATCTTGACTCACATAATATAAAGCGACATTACGATAAAGGAAAATTAAAAAAAATCATTCTCCAACTGGGTGCGAACATGAAAATTTCCTGGTTGCGGCTGGTTCGTGAGGCCACTTTAGAAACTTTACGTTTGCGTAGTTACATACTATTTCTGATGTTGAGAGACAAAACAATTTTTTTTCTCTCATACCCCGCCGAACTTTTGCCATTACGGACACTAAATTTCCCTCCGGGGGTGTCCCCGAGGGAGTCGACTGTATTAGAGTTGTTAAAATCTTGGTCTTTGTATCCAAACCTCAATGATCGCAAAAGCCAACTAGAGGTTAAACACACCCAATGATATTAGCCATCCTTGATAATAGCATTTGGAAGCAGTTGATGGTTGATTCAAAGAGGTAAAATTTGTTCTTACCAACAAAACTAGTTTTCCCAGAACCCGTAGGGCCGATCAAGGCAATGCGAATCAGATCAACGTCGTCCACCTGCAGACCTGTGAAAGATTCTTTCCTGATCCTTGGGCAAATCTGAAAATCGTACAACAACAGATCCTGTTTGAGTTGAAGGAACGCTTCCTCCTCTTTCAATCTTCTTTCATTTTCTTCTCTTTCACGTCGTTGTTTATCTAACCGCATCCTCTGTGCCTCGTCTTCGTACAGGGCACGTTCCTTCGCTTCGCGTAACGCCAGCTCGCGGTCTTTTTCCATCTTGTCACGCAATTCTCTCATTCTCTCCTCATTTTCCTCTCGAGCCCTCCTCTCGCCTTGCGCACGCGCGCTGGGATCTGTTCTGTCCACTGTCTCATAGTTCTTTATCGAAAAAGAAATAAGAAAAAGCCAGCTTATTTAGCACTAAACACAAATTCTCTGACAAAAGTAATCAATATTTCATGCCGAAGGTTATTAGCCATCAACTTTAGTACAATGCGTTTTACGCACCGAACTGACTTAACTTGGCTTTGGGGGGAAAGGCAATCTGCTACTTAGAAAAAGTCAATTTAAGTGTTGCAAAAACAAATACAATTTTATTAACTAAATTCTTCTTCCAACATCTTCAAACTCTAAAAATGAAACTTTGCCACGTATTTTAGATCTTGTGAATAATAGAAACAACACGGGACGATATGCATTATCACGATCGTATCAATTTACAAAAGTACACGTATTACTGACCAATGATAAGCTTGTTCAACCAAAATCTTTGCGAATGTATGTTCTAAAATTATCCCTTTGAGCCACAGAATTGTCACTTTTCCTTGCCATGGGAAGCGAGGCAAACAAACAGGCATTGCGTGACTTTCTTTAACAAATTGCGTAACTGGAGAATTGTAAAAATCTTCTGAGGATAACGCACAAACAAGGGCAAGGTTAGGCAGATTTAAGAACTTTCGAAAGAAAATGTGCAAATTTATATTCTCAGTATCAAAATCTACCAGCTATTTTATCGAAATATTAAATAATCCAAATATATTGATACGCAATTTTACTGGTTCCAAGAATTTGCCATACCGGAACATGAGTTACCCAGAAGTCAGAGAAAGCCGACAAATTTACTTTCGCTTTAGACCATCAATAATTTCTTCATTTCACTTGCCTGTTTTTGTTTTTTTTCCCGTTTTCTTACTAAAAGGTGGGGCCTGAATAATATTCAATGGCTCTATTTTCTTCTTACCAGAATGATAACACAAGCAATTCTTGATCGATTATCTTACGAAATCGAAATATCCACGTCTTTCGCTTTCGCTGCGTTACCTTCTGTAATGCAAACTGCTAAGTTTTCCATGTGTAAGTGTTTAGTTGATCTCCAATAGAAATGATTCTACAGAACTAATAGTATTTTAGTCTCTGTGTTGCTTTTTTCAAACTTTTGACTAAGCCTGATCGCTTTGATTGTATTTCTTACGAATAGTGTAACCAGTTATTCCTGAACTTTGACGTGCAAGAGAACCATTTTATTTGCAAACGAAGGGAAGAGCAAAACACGCTTACAATGTTTGTCAAAGTTGATTTGGTGAACGTAAAAGTTACAAAGTGCGTCTATACTTACAATTTTAGATTCACTTCCTCCCATTGTAAAATAATTTCCCTTTGTAGTCTCCCACCTCAAAAGAATCGCCGCTTCTTCAACGCTATCTCCTTCAACAAAAGCGGAAGTGTGATTTCCCTGAAATTACGTGACCGTTTTTGTTTCGAGAACAAACCTTCGGCACCAGTCTCTTACAGTTGAATCAAATTTGCGATCGTCTGTTTCCTGATGATAAACGGCCCTGCTGGCTACCTTTGAATGCAACGTTGGACATTTTCCCCCTACAGCATATCAAACTATTATTTTGATAATGAATGACCCCTTCAGAGGTAAGAGGAGGGGCTTATTACATCCAGGATTTCAAGGAGCTCAAAGGTGGGCGAGAAGTGACTGCCTTGGTCCACGTGTCAGTTGTGCGTTACCAATTATCCAGAGATCACCTGATCAGGAATAATGCTTTCTATCGTTGTAAACTGTATGCTGAATTAACTACGGCGGAATTTATGGTTGTATATTCCTGTCTGTTACAAACTAGAAAAGCCATTTGCCTCTAAACGTTAGTCTGTCGCGAAGAAGACTTGCCGATCATAACCATCGACACGGGGGTGAGTTGTCCGACATCAAATTTATCACAATCGTATAAAGGGGTAAGTTTCTAAAGAAACTGTGGTGCTGCGTCGGTGGGAGAGTATAGCAGGTAATTTAGTGTTAACAACTGGGTTGAAAACGTAAATTAGCCACCGTAAAGGGTAAAGAAGCTGACGTTTCGAGCGTTAGCCCTTCGTCAGAGCGATCAGAGGAATTGTGCGTTGTGTGTGGGTTTATATGCAGAAAGCCTGACCTCCACTTTCTGGATATAAACCCACACACAACCCACAATTCCTCTAATCCTCTAATCATGCTCAGGCATGTCTGTGTCCGTTCGGCGAAAGCGAGTGTGGTTGAGCCACAATCTGCTGTTTACTATATTATTAGTTTCACTCCTGTTAGAGTTAAAGGTCAATTCGTTTAGGCCATGTTTTGTCGATTACTCCCTGCAAAATTCGCCGAATTCAATTCTCCGGGTAAACACGTCAGCGATATTATCGTTGAATAAGGTTACTCTGGGGACCAGGTATTTGAAAAGAATTACTGAGGCTAAGACGCCGAGAACTCCTCGAGAAGAACATTAGGTATCGTTCAGTTTGAATTCTTTGAGACTTCGATGCGAATGATTTTCGAAAACAATACAATATTTGTGGTAACTTATGTTCAATGGCCCCTGCCGAACACGATAGGACGCCATCTTGAATCGTCACGTCAAGGATACTTCCCACCTTCAGAGGCCGAAAAAAAATAGATTTTCTCTTATTTGACTAAGCTGTATTCAAACTTTCAACCTAACGTTTCCATAAAAGATTTGCTGAAATATTTAAAGGCATCTGAGTCATTTAGAAAAATGTATTTTCAAATAAAAGTTAATAAATCAGGAAGGTGTCATAATCTCGGACCTGGGCGAATCCCCTGGAGGAATTTTCTCGGCAACTGCTCATGTTGAGGCTCGATTTTCATGTTATTTCCATATTTTGTTTACATCGCGCACTTAACAAAATTCACACGTGGAAGCTCTTTGCTTATGGAAAAATCTTTGCTGATAGAAAAAATCAAAAGCGGAAGAAAGTCCTTGGTGAAAAAGGGAAAAGAAAAAAGGCCCAAAGAAGAAAGAAAAAGTATCATTCTGTCAAGAAAAAAAAATTCCTTTGTGAAAGTGACTGGTACTAGCGGAGCTCCACGCTGGCGTCCATATTTCGAACAAGTAGTCATCGTGAAACCAAAATTTTCCATACATAATGTTAAAAGCGAGGTTTCCCATCTTTATGCAAGCCTTGATACAAAAACATTAGGTGCAGTTAGACGGGGCACTTTTACCGTGATAATTTGTGACTTTCCACGGGTTTCAGGGAATAAGGTGGACGCACGCACACGGCACGTTATAACACGCTCGCACGCTAATGACATGACACGCTTACCGCGCAGATATGCAAATAAAACAATTGATTTTGGAAAGCGTGTTGTAGCCATTGTTCATTTCTGGCTAACACGGTAGAGCTTTGTTTCTATAACACGCTAGATTTTGTTTGTTTGTTTGTTTGTTTTTTTAACACGCTAAGTTCCTTTGTAGCCATTTGCTTTGCATCATGCAGGTTCGCTCTTATTATTTTAAAAGCTAGCCCTTGCTACCTTCAAAAGTTCATGCACGATTTCAAGAGTAGAGGACTTTGCTCGTTCGGCCGGTGTTTTGCAAGCTGTTTTAAGAAAATGAGGAATTCGGAAATGATGGAAAAAAACTCAAACACTGTTTTAAATGATGCACAACCAGTCGAGATAGTCCTCTATGTTTGGCGAATTAGTTGCATCGGATACTGAGTATCGTATATCGGCCGGGCGAATCTTTGAGCTAAAAAGCCATAAAGCTTAGGACGTACTTCTTGAACAAATCGAAAGCAACTTTAACTTTAAGAAGCGTGTTATAAAAATGGTGCGGTCACCGTGTTATATCGTGCAAAGTTGCGAGCAAGATCTTAACACGTTCCTTTGTTTCTACCGTGCGAAGCAAGACAATAGCAGCCAACGTGTTAAAAGCTTGTTCTTTTGTTTTAGCCTGCTAGTGTACCGTGAGCGTGCTTTCACCTTATTCCCTGAAATCCCGTGGAGGGTCACAATTGCCCTTTTACCACGGGCAACTGTATTTAGTAGTGTGACCGGCGTTTCCCGAGGTAAATTTTCCGTGTCAAATATCCATAGATACGTCAAAAAGATCACACGGAGCACCCATGACATTAAGCGCGGTAAACTGCAATGGTGTTTTGACACCCAAGATACAAGAGCCAATCACGATGCTCCACTTGACAGCAACATGTAACAGCAAAGTTTCTTCGCAGCTTTCAGTCGTGCCAACAACAGCCTGCATCACGTAGCTGTAGAAGTACTTTCGGTTAAAATAGTCCTCATGAATATTTTGCGGCGTCTTGTTTGGAATATGATTTCCGTCAATTGCTGCCATTACATTCGGAATCTTGCTGATCTGCGAAATTCTCTCAATTTTTCCCATAACCTCTTGTCGCGTGAAACTTTATGAAATCACCCTGGAGAGAATACTTCTTAAACTTAGGCCATTTTTTCCTTACTCACGCTCGTTGAACCGTTTTTCGTTGGCTGAGGACTTTTCAAAGAATTTTTAACGAATTTGAATTACAATTTGTAAGTACTGAAAGCATAGAAACAGAGCTATGAGGAATTTGCATGAAGGCACTCAAGGGACACTAACTGAACGACGTGATGAAAAAAGCCTAGTGGACTGGCCACACGGTTCATAAGATAGAGAAATATACCCTGCAAACTTTAATTTACAAACGAACTGTGTCCAGTAGCATCACGGTTAAAAAACATGGAAAGTTCTTTATTGGAAATATTTAGCCTAACGAGTTTTGAGAGTTGTACGCGTTTGCATTCATTCGCTCTTATTTGGTTGTGAAAATTTGCATAAAACAAAATATAACTCATTGAAAAGTTATCAACACATCTTATCGAAAATTGACTGTTCGTTAATTCTTGATTGCCACATTCGTATAATTTTCTGAACTCGTAGACTTAATATCAATGCACGAAAATGTGAGTACATTAAGAACGTTCCTTACTCTCGAAACGAAGCTGGTTATCAGCTCCATCGATTTATTTACTTCATCTCCATTTCGCTTTCGAATATAATGTTCTGATGAGTATGTACGTTACTGCAAAAAAACTCTCTCTGTAATTTCTGCCTGCTCTTTCAGTTATTAGGTCAATCAGACACTTTCAACCAATAAAAGCTGACTTCAGAAGACTACAAGGCTTCTATTTGATGGGTCTGAAGGTTTGTGTTGCCAATATAACTGAACACTGTAAAGGCATTTCTGATCTAGCCTTTCTATCATTGTAGACTTTTTTGATTGTAAAGCTTTTTTCTTGATTTTTGCGTTCTTCAGGCGAGCGAAGACAGGCATGATGGGTATTCGAAGGCTTACCCGCAATCGAGGGGTGGCGTAATGCATTGCAAAGAAGCGTTCGCCTTTTCTGTAGGGTAAATCCTAAACGTATTCTGTGAGAGTTGGATTCGAAAATTTTAGAGGGAGTCACTTACAAGTTGCTGAGCTCTTGCTTTCCACCAAAAAACAATAATAACAAAGCAAAAACAATTTATGGGAAAGCCAGCGACCTTTGAAACAATAAGTGAGATACAACAGGGAGGAAGACCAAAATTGTTGACCAATTCCCGGGAATACTTGATGGCTGCAAAAATTGGCCGTGGTCTGGCAGTGCCGATCAAAGTACTTCTCAGCAAGCGCAAAGTTCGGAAATACGTCAAAAGCATGTGCAATCATTTGGGGATAAGACCGAATTTTATAAATCTTGCTGTAAGCGTATTAATTCTGCTCGGAGGATAGGTTTTATATATAGGCGCGAGGTCTTGCTCACCAGGCAGGAGAATTATTACACGACCGTATACAGCCTTTAAACCATTGAGTCCCAACGTGGAGCATTTCATTACTTTTTATTTCTTTCGGGTTTTACAAATCCACGATCCACGAGGAGAAAAAAAAATCCCATCAAATAAATCGTTGCAAAAATTTATTTTTTTCCTTTCAGCTTTACACAAAGGTCACTCGGCGAGCTCTCAGCCAACGAAAAGACCGGTCGAATAATAAACGCTCTAGTTGGCTTAGAATTTCTTGAAATTCGCGATATTGCACTCACGAATTTTTTCTTCAGTCTCAAATATTACCCCTAAGTAGAAAGAAGGGCGAGATTTTTCGGAGGCCAAGCATAGTCCATTTTGGCGTCGTGTTGGTTCTTCCGACTTTCAAATTTGTCCCATAAAAAGAGATTTTCAATTGCTTTTCATGTCAGCATTTCAGCCAAGATTTCCTCGGTAAGTAAAAGAAATATTTCATTTATTTATGAATTTTATCCACCAGGAGGTGGACGGCTTGAATTCATGATTTTCAAGAAGCAATCCAAAGCATTTGTAAGTTGCAAATGGCTTCAAAGTTTCTCGGTCTGTTCCGGCGAGCAAAGAAAACCAAGGAATCGAATCCGTCAAATAACCAAAAACAGGTTTGTCATTCATTTATTTACTAATGTTGGATAAAATTTGTTTGCCATCATCTCATGCAGGCGTTTTGTCAGTTGTGACAAAGATTTCTTCTTTAAAATTAACCTGAATTAGCTTTAATCTAAAGAAGGTGAAGTTCTATTTTTCGGCGCTCCAGATAATTCACTTGTTTCAGCGAAGTATTCTCATTGGCTCCTTGTAATAATTTGGTATGTACTGATTGGCTTTTGTAATTAATCTGGGTTTGTTTTCATGAAAATCAATCGAAAAGCAATTAATGACGAGGGCAACAGTGTGTGTTTTTGTTTTATGCAGTGGAAGAAGGAAAAAGTGAGCCTGCTAATAAATAAAAATCTAGAGTGATCACTCTAATTAATATGGTGAACTGTTCCGTGTACTCGTATTTGAATTGTTTACCCATCTGACATTGGCTAAGTTGTCTTCACAGCCACCTCTATATGAAGAGAAGGATCTTTATGATGAGGTATGTAACCTTCTGTTCACATTGCGCGCGTTTTACAGCTGTGTAACTAGTTTATAACTTTCAGGTGGGGAACTGAGGCAAAAGTATGGAGTTTTCTTTGGTGAAGTAGAACAAGTTAAGAGTCAGCTTGATAACAACTCAAAATTTAGAGCGAATAGCCCATTTTATTATTGCATATACCAAACCGCATTTCATACACCCACATGCTTCGCTATTTTTTGGACTGTAAGCTTGTTATTAATATTAGTTGGGAAGCATATCAGTCCAAAATATGTTTTAATCCCATCGTTACTTTAAAATAAGAACCCTTAGGAGCGTGGAAGGTAATACACGCATGTTGCTTCGTTTGTGTAATTGTTTCAGGGGGCAGCAAATATCTTATTTTTGGATGTGAGGTATCTGAGAGAGTCTGCTAGAGTCTTGAATTGGCAATAACAAATTTTCAGAAGACAGCACTAAATATTTTAGTGGCAGACGGAATTTAATTTCTTTCTTCAGCTGTTTGCACCAGAAATAAATGCTGCACCAGAAAAAAATGCTGCACCAGAAAAAAATGCTGCTGTGGTAAATTAGAGGTTATCTTACCTGTCTTTTTGAAAAATGGTGATCAATCAGGAACGCCATAAAATGCCAGAAAAATGTTTACCTACTCAGATAAGTGAGCTATTCTATCATAACCAATTTTTTTATGCAACGGCAGATGCAGCTTGGTAATCACAGAAATAAGATTTATCCCCATTCCCATAACACTTACAGAGGAGGCTTTTTATTTCATCAATTTTCTACTAGTCAAGATGATAAACATTTGTTCATACAATAAAGGCAATTTTGTAGCAATTCGATCGCACCGTTCATTGTTTATACTTGTTATAAGAGAACACGTTTTCAATTAGGTGTATAATTTTTATGTTTTATTCATCTACACAGAGGTTAGTGTGGCCACCTGGAACTAGAGTGGTTGGCAAATATTTTTTCAGGGGGAGATCAAGTGAGGTAAGCTTTTTAATGATTTTATCAAAAATTGACCTGTGTTTGAGGGAGTGGTGACCTTACAATGCTGACTGATTAGGCAACATTTACTTATTTTTCCTTTACAAACTAGAACACACAAAAGCAATCCGTTATTACACAAAGGAGAACCTCTTTGAGACTGTACTTCATCAGTTCATTATGATTTTTAACAAAGAAAATATTGAGAAGCCTTTTTTCATTGAATTCCTTCAGTTTCTGTTGTGCAATTTACGGTACAAACGTTCAAATTGAATCGACATGGAAAGACTCACCGAGAGCGTATATTTGTTGTAGAACTGAAATTAAAGCTTCGCTGCCCCTTTCACTACGAACAAATTGTTTGAGAAAATTCAGTTATTAAATGAATGAAAGTTCCATCGATTAGTTCAACTGCAACCAAATACCTCACGTTTTAACTTTCTAGTTACTTTTGGTAACGATTAAAATTAATTGCAAACAGTTTTTAGGCCGCATGTCACGTAATGACACTATTGCTTATACAAATTCATTCTGAAACCAATATTTTTCTGTCAACCAAAGTGAATTGAGAGAGAGATGAATAGAGGATTAAGAAGTTATTTATCGGCTTGAGGTAGTGACCAACGTCTCTATTTAAAAATACAGCCCAGCCGGAAAAACGAGATATATTCAAAGTAGGGATGTACTCGGTGACTCACGAAAGCGTTACCGTGGCCCGTGGGCAGAGATAGGAAAATACTGACCGGGTAAAGAACCAATCAGATTGCAGGATTCGTTATCGTGCCCTCTGAAAAAAAAAATTATCTTTCATCAGGTCTGCCTGTATTGTCCTTTTTCAGGATATGAGGTAACGATGAAAACAAACCACTGCTGGGATAAAAGGGCTGACAGATCTATTTTTTGATTTAGGACTTGCGGTTTAGAGTGGGGGAAGTTCTCGTCATTGACAGCGCTACTAGGGTGAGTGCAAATAAAAACCTCGAAAAATTTTTTGGCATTGCTTTGGCTGTTTTGTGTGATGCGCTGGTTTATGAAACTCACAAGGAAAAGAGTGTATTTTCGTGCTACCTCTTATTTGTGAGTTACATTATTTAAAGTACTTATTTCCGGTAAGACTCACCTTACTCGGGTTAAAAATTTCTCGGAAGGTTGGGGAATCGTATGGCTGCCGAGTGAATGACATAAAGAAAACGAGGTTTCGGTTTGTTTATTTAGTCATTTGACATCAAGTTAAATCTATGAGTGTGAAGGACCTGCGTTTTACTGGGCTTACGGATTAGTCTATCTAACAGGCGTCTACACAAGGATAGAGCATAAATGATGTTCATACTTACCCTCCGAGACCCGAACCTTGACCTTCTTCACTGTTACTCGGCGCTTTATTAGATGAGCACACCAGTGGGCAGATTTAGTTGATAACTGAGGTCTCGGATCAGTAAATGTCAGTCTTATAATCAATAACATCTAAATATCTCGGAAGAGGTCTTAAGGATGCGAGGTAATTTCAATTTGGGTTTATCTGACGGATATTGTTAATTCTGTCTCTTGTCTGTTTTCTTTAGGATCCCAACTGGTATAGAGCTATTAATTGTAATGGACAAATGGGGATGATTCCTTACAACTATGTTAAGAAACAAAACCCTGTGGAACTCAAGCCCATGTCGTAAGTTAATTTTTTGAATGCCCTCGGTGGAGTTAAACGTAAATGTTTGCACTGAAATCGCCAAGTTTGCTAAAATGCTGTAGAGTTTCAAAATTTTTTTTAAATTATAGTTCACCTTGATAATCAAATAATTCTCTTAACCAAGCAAAGGCTTGGCGTAAACCAAAATATAGGGACTGGCAATAGTGGCAGGCGCCCAGGCACGAGCTTTCAATTTGAGTGAAAATGGCCACGCTAGAGGGGTTACGCGTATTATGAAGGTCAGAGGTGATAACAAAGAAGATGGTGATGCTAACGAAGACGATGATAAACTCTTTCGCAGTACGGGGTAAACAGATGAAACTGTATCTATGTTAACAGTTCCTTTACCTTCCGGATTGCGATTTCTTCTAACTAAATTGTTCTTGATGAGTTGCGTAATCTTTTCAAATCTTTCAGTCTTTGAATCCACCTGCTTATGCATTTTTGGTGGATGTATTAAATCGTAGACGTCACTCGTCTACGATTAGATTGTCAAATCGTAACTGTAAGCTATCGTTGATTTTTGATCAAAATCACAGATGGTTTCATGGAAATATAAGCAGAATAGAGGCTAAGAGGCTCCTCGACCCTTGCGAAGACGGACTGTTTCTGATAAGGAACAGTGGCATGTTTAAGGGGGACTATGCTGTTTCGGTCTGGTATGTCTGTAGTTTTTCGTAATTATCGGACTACAAAGTTAACTGTTTGTATCTTCGAGGAATTCTGAAGAGACAAAAAAACGCTTCGCTTATCGCAAGGTGTCACTGGCGAATTCTTTACTTAATGTTCTTAGAAATTTGGTCCAAATAGCCTTAGGTGGTACGTAGTCATTACTTAGCTCCTATGGTGATTCCTCAGAAGAAAAAGTTATCGAACGATTTTTTTTAAACTTTCGTTCAGTGTCTGTTTCGAAAACTACAATAGAAAAGATAGGTCACCGTGTTTGCTTAAGAGGTGTAATAGGCTGGTCTTACCCCATTTTTGCCTGTGCTGTAATGGCTAGTTTTTCCCCTCATTAAACATTTGGCAGCCTACATCTAAATACCTTTACTAATGATCCCTTATTGTGTGCATTCTGTAGCTCCAACACATCAATCCACCGTTTCGACATCTTAGCCCACCGCTCACAAGTTTACATATCCTGCATTTCTCTTCACAGCTATGCTAACAAGATCGAACACTATAGAATCAGGAAGACGGATGATGGAAAACTTACAGTAGACGATGAAGTTTTTTTTGGAAGTCTTTTTGAATTTGTGGAGGTAAGGGTATTTACATTAAGGTGTATAGTAATCAGTGCTCCAGTTCACTGTTATAGGACTTATACTTTCGTAACTGGGTCAAGACTCTTGCAAATGTTAACCACCAGGCACAGTTACCGTGACGTCATGACATCATAAAATTTTTTCAATAGCTTCCATTTCAATTTCGGTGAGACTTCGGGTATTAGGAGGATTCGCCCCATCGCGAGTTCGCCACCTACCACCTTGGGGAAATCGCCTCCTGAGGTAAAAAAAAAAAAAATTCGCCCCCTCTTTTACAAATTCGCTCTCACTGAAATCTTTCGTCTCGTTTCTTTACAAAGGAAAGTATTCTTTTGTATATTTTGTTAAGTCACTGTACCTCGAATAGCAGAGTAGAACTGACACCGAGAACAGAGCAAAAAAACACATGCTCACACTTCATTTTGTTCATTTGACCTGTACTCAAAGTTCGCTCCTTTGCATCACGGTGTGGCTTTTCTTAGCATTATTCAAGGTCAGCGGATGGACTTTGCACGAGGCTCGCAAAACCTGCGCGTGGAGAAACAACATTTTATACCGGCATTTTTCGAAGTTCCTTTGATGAAGGTAAGCAGCCATGCAAGATCAGTTTATTGGCAATAAACTTCTGAGTGACCTCTCCTTAACTGCTGAAAAGTAACTGTAACGCCTTCGAGTTAAATGCGTGAGGTGACATAACTTTTTGGAATCTCTGGTGATAGGAAAATATTTTACTTTCAACAGGAGATTTTCCTGATTATTTTTTGTTAAGTTTTCATGACAAAATTAGGTTTGAGTAATATGGGTAATCTCCACTTTATTTATCTTGTACCAAAGTAAAGTGGTTGAGGAATTTTTGTCGTCGAATCTCTCCGTTATTCCAATTTCAAACCTTCGCCTTACTCACGAAGGAAAGTTCAGTCATAAGACCCCCCCGTTACAAATTCATTCCTCGCTGCTGAAAGAGCAGCGTAAAAATATTTCCATGTTTCATCACGTATGTAATTGCTGCTTACGTGTCGAGATAGTATTTAAAGAGATTAGATCAATCAGAGAGGAGAAAAGATTTAACTCAGATAACTCGAACCTCCTAGGGTTCGAGCTTTAAGGATATATATGTTTATTATCCAACTGCACAAAGTAGAGTACAAATAACGTGCAAATAGAGTACAAATGTCCTGTGATATTGCACAGTTATTTGGACAATTGGTCATTTTGTACTGTAAAAAAACACTTGCTTAACCAGTCGGCTGTGCGCACTACGCTTCTCCAGCCGCTCAGCTTTTCCTGCCTCATGAGAAATGAACTGAAAGACTTGGCAGAGAAAAAAAGCAGTTGGATAATAAATAACTTATTAGACGTTTGGTGTGTGGTATCGCTGAGTATTTTTACTCACGGAGCAGCTCATAAAAATGCATGTACTCAACGATGCTACACAACAAAACGTCCAATAAGATATATGTATTTTCGCGGCTGTGCCGTATTTTGACGAGCCTGCCGGGCGATTCAAAATACAAAAAACGAGTAAAAGTACTCAACATTTCAAAACGTTTTATAAGTTATTTATTATCCAACTGCTTTATACAATGCACATCTCTAACAAGGCGGGAAAAGCGAAGTAGATAGAGAAACGTAGCACGCATAGCCGACCGGTGAAACAGGCACTTTTTACAGTACGAAATAACAAACTGTTGCGTGATATTTGTACTCTATTCGCGGATTATTTGTACTCTACGCAGTTGGGCAATAAGTTGAAGTATACACTAACGCTAATAAGTGGGATGTAACCTTAAATTGTAGCGAGTGGGCAGTTTGAGATAATTGGATGCGATTTATAATGCCATAGATTAACCAAGGTATAGAATCTGTACCAAATTTGTTTTGTTTTCAGGTGGGTGGGAAATAAGCCGTAGTTGCATTTATTTCAGGGATCGCATAAGAAGAGGAGACTTTGGGGGTTAGTATAAATAATTACTCGATTTGATTTACATTTGCCTTTAAGGTACATAATGTTGCTTAAGCTTCAAGCTTAGAAACGCGTCCCTTCTGGGCTTTGTAAGGACTACTTCTGCGAGTAAAAAGTCGTTAGCTTGCTCGCATCCACACGAGCACCTGACGAAGAAAGCCACTGTTCGTTTCCGAAACCGGTTTTGCTTTCTATATCAGTTATTTAAAGAAACATTGGCCACCATGGACGACAGTGAAAGTAATGCATACCCGCTGAAATGAGTCCGTGGTAAGAAGGGTTTTGTAAAAGGAGAGGTGCTACGTTTATTGAGAACAGACTCAGTTAGAGAATCCTTTGAGTTAGGAAAGAGAAAATTTTTAACTTGCCCTATAGAACGAGGCTATCCTCAGGATCTCGTCGAAAAGATCTTAGCCGAAGTACAATTCTCATCACGCAACACGGCTTTAAAAAAGAGAACCGAAAACATCTTAAAAGATTTTGCCGTTCTTCACGACTTTCAACCCTGTTAACCTGAATCTTAAAAAGATTCTTATGTTGTTGCTCACCAGAAGGTCAGGTCTCTAAAAGATTCTCTTGTTAGAGCACAACTTCCTTCACTTAAATTACATAACAGCATTTTAGGAGTTATATACGGAAAGGGTCTAATAACTATACTACAACACTTACATAGGATATTACCAAATATGTAGATGGATAGATAGGCCAACAGACAGAAAGATAGGTAAGAATATGAATGAATCGATTCATTGAAAGACTGCCGTTTTTTTCAATAAACGAAACTTGCGAAACCAAATGAAGAAAAAATAACTAGCAGATTGAACTCATTGGATTCTGGGGATTATAGATAATCACCAAGTGACATACCCTAAACGGTCCTAAACGGACTTTTATCCCTTCACCCGTGATACCCTAGCACAGTACCCAGCCCTTGTTACATTTCTTGCCCACGTGATATTCATTTCACCCTTTGTCACAAGCTCATATGCGGGAAATAGTATTTGTTAAATAGACATGTAATTTTATAAGTAGTGAGGAGAAAATTAGAGCGGTTAGCTGTAAGTACATGAAAAGGAAATTTATCTTAATGTGGAAACTAGGATTGATCGATTATTCATTAACCCCTCAGATATTTTTCGAGCTGTATACCGTGGTCAGAAGGTGGCTGTGAAAAAATATTCAGCAGAGAAGTATCAAGATGTTCAGGCGTTTTTTATAGAGGCTGCCATCATGACGTATGTAAAGTTTGACATTGTACTGTTGTAGCGCTGGGGCTTTGCTTCTTTTGCAAGTTTGTTACCTTAGACGTGCATTATTTCAAGCACTGCAAGTAACTACAAGAGAATATAATTATATTGTCTTAGTAACTAGCGCGAGCAAGTGCATCAAAGGAAAGTTCTTGTATATTCATTGGCTGTGTTTATGGGGGCGATATATTTCAAACATTGTCATAGTTCGCAAAGTCTTTTCAAAGAAAGATTTGAGTGAGTAGTTCCTTATGGTGCTTTTTCTTGATAAACTCCTTAACAACTAGGCTTTTATCAAACTAATTCTTAACTTTTTTTGTTTAGAAATAGAAATAGAAATAGTTTGAAAACCTGCACTGAGCCGACAGGTAGCTGTGCTTGCCTTTTTTGTTTTACAGGAATTTACGGCATAATAATATCGTGACATTACTTGGAGTGTCTTTGACCGGAATCCCTTTTTACCTTGTGACAGAGTTTTGTGCAAAGGTAAGCGTTTCAGTACCATGGGAAAAGTTGCTTTTGATCAAAAAGTTGCAGGTCACCTCGATTGAACTTTCGGCGACATGTCCACAACAGCCAAAAATATACAGACTTCGAGAATTTAACGTCTTTTAAGTGTATTGATCCATGTTCCCTCGAGTCAGTTCTAAACTTGAATAATATTGTTCATATTGTAACGAGACTTAAACTGAAAAAGTGTCAATGCATGGAGATAAAGTTCTGTCAATGATTAATCTGCGTGTTTGAATTGGAGAGTGGGAAGTTTAATGGTATCTGTCTGTATAATGATAAAGAGAGGTATCCAATATAACGTATGTGAAGGATGAAATGTGCTATTGGGCCAAAACCCATACAGAGTCGGCTTTCCAGTCACTTAATTGAGGTCTATTTAATCTGATTATGTTACTTATCGTTTTTGGATTAGCGTTCCCTTTCAAATTATGGTAAATATTTTCCATCTTTTTTTCTAGGGAAATTTGTTGGAATTCTTGTCGAGAACAGGCTCAGATACAATCCAAGAAGATGATCTTTTGAGACTTGCTAAGTAAGGAAATTGACTTCACAAAACATTTATTGAGAGGCTAGATTATCTTTTTTTCATATCTACTATCCATGGTTATTCCAAATGTCACGAGCAAATGATTTGATTTAAAGGTGTCTTTTCCTGTGTGGAGGATCAAATCAAGGGCTGGTGTGTCTGCAGCTTTTCTAATAGCGTTTTGTTTGTTTGTCTCTTGTTTCGTTTTTCTTCCTTTTTTCGATAAATGTCTCTTGTCGCGGAGAACAAAAGATTCTTTGCGGTGAGCAATTGAACATACGTTTGGGAAATCAAACGAACCGAGTGCATTTCAGGATTTATGAGCACAAGTGATGTTTTGAAAACCTATCAAAACATCACAAGTGGCCTTCAACACCAAATTTTATTGATTTATTACACCCTCAACAAAACTCTCCTAGCGAAAACTGAGCTGTCTTTGAATTCATCATTTATGAAACTTAAAGTAAACGGTAAAAAAGTTACACGTGCATGTGGCCTACTAAGAAGTTACAATTTAAATGATTTTTTACTTGGTTTTTTTCATTAGAATTAAATTGCAAAAACATTCTGTTCCACAGGGATGTAGCTGATGGTATGAAGTATTTACAATCCAAAGATGTGGTTCACAGGTAAAATTTATCGCAACAAATGTTTGGAACACTGAGGCATTAAAATATGACACATGATGACAAATTCTAGGAACTTAAAGTTTTCGTTGAAAGGGAACCAAGATACACAATTGTTTACGTATTTTGATTGGTTCTCAATTGTAATCTGTTGGAGGATAGACGTATAAATGACGTCACCATCAACAGCATTTTCTCCTGGTATCATGTAAAACCAAAAGATTCTATGAGGACGTGGGTATAAATAGATCACAGAAGACGTCAAAATGTAGTAAGAACATTAGCGACACACTCAGCTGCGCCTGTGTGTCACTTTTTCGTTCTTTCCACATTTTGACCTCATCTGTGATCTATAACTGGACAGACGTAGGGCAACATGGAATCTGTTTGTTGCATTGAATATAAGTTTGGGAAATCAAACGAACCAAGTGCTTTTCAGGATTTATGAGCATAATTGATGTTTTGAAAACCTATCAAAACATCACAAGTGGCCTTCAACACCAAATTTTATTGATTTATTACACCCTTAACAAAACTCTCCTAACGAAAACTGAGCTGTCTTTGAATTGATCATTTAGGAAACTTGAAGTTGAAATGGTGCAATACGCAAACGATATCCTCGAGAAGAGAAAGTGCTTAGAAACATTACGAATCGCCTCACCAGTAATATGACCCACAGCCCTAATGACAAAAATTCTGAGCTATAGAGTAAATTTTTTTTCTCAAAGTCAAATAAACTTGGATATGCTATCAATATTTGCAGTTTTTCTTATCCTAACTATCACCTCTTTTTCATATTTATATATTTTTACTCCAGGGGGTTAATGGCGAGGAATATTCTGATCCATGAAGATGGAACAGCAAAAGTAGGGTTATTAACGAGTTATAACACTTCCACGTATAAAAACATGAGCATCTCGGGAGTAGTTGGTTTCAGCTTTTTCAGTCATCCTTTATTTTGCAGGCTTGTGAATTGTCAGTTATTTTTCAGCTAACGTGTAGCTATACTGTTATATAAGATGAGAAAATAGCTTGACTTCCACATCAGCCATCTATTCCGTGATAAGGTTAAGAGAATGAAACATTATTCAGACTCCACAACTTACATTTAAACGTCAGATCACGGAAGTTGTCTTCTGCCCAGGGAGGCTTTGAGAGCTATGGTTTATTCGCTTTCTGCAATCTAACAGCTTCAAACTGATTACCTCAGACGTAGCCTTAAAATCGCGAAGCAGTGTGGGTCTCTTTTCAAGAATCCCCGCATGTGTTTTGTCGTCTTTCTTTCTCTTTAGGTGTCAGAGTTTGGACTCGCACAGGTACCATCTTTAAGCTCTGGGCGGAAAAATACTTCTGACGAGTGGACAGCTCCAGAAACAATCAGGCAGGGGGTACGGCGTACTTTACGATTAATTGCTCAAGTAGTACAATTTAAAGAATATCCAAAGATACATATGCTCTCAATCAATAATTTTGTTTTGTTTTTTGTTGTTATTTTCTTTTTCATATTACATTTTTTTTTTGCATTAATTTATATTCTTTGATATGGGTGGATATTTTTCGTTTTTCAGATTTGTTGGTTTGGTTTTATCTGCAGATATTTTCCTCTCAGTCCGATGTATGGAGTTATGGCGTCTTATTATGGGTGCTTTTTTCGTTTGGTGAAAATCCTTATTCCGGCCTGGTAAGCGTAGAGTTTGATTAATGGATACGATCACATTCAAAGGTCATTACGTAGCTGGTAACGTTCAAACTTTTGATTTCGAATCGTGTAGTTTATTTTCATTTGCATTTCAATTGACTTTACAAAACCCCAATTTGACGAAACAGGAAAGAAAAGCTAAGCCATTCCTGTAAGTTCAAAGCTCAAAGCTCAAAGTCCAAACAGTTCAAAGAAATAGACAAATGAAAAGTTTATTGTTTTTTTTTAATATGGATTTATTTGGAAAGTAAAAATTTGAATGAAAGTATTTCACCATGGTTGCTTCTAATTGGGGTCTGGTTTAAGCCCGCAGATCATTTAGTCGACAAGATCGAAAGAGGATATCGAATGGAATGTCCTAAAGGATGTAATACTGTCATCTACGGTATGATGAGCAACTGCTGGGATATTGATCCAAAGGAACGTCCAAATTTCAAAGAGATTTGTAAATTATTGGCTGATTTTTATTACGGTTTGTATTCTCATGTATTATAACTATGCCATAAATTTTTCCACTGAAATCTCTTTTGCAATGAAAAAACTTTTCGAAAAAGCTTTTAAGATTATTTTTTTTTTCATTTTTGTTTAGCAGTTGGTCTGTAATAAGTCACTTTTTTTAGATTTATTGAGCGTATTTATCATTTCATCATCGCTTTCTTCAGATGTCGTGTCAAGTTTGATGTTTTGTTCCCCACTCGCTGCTTTGTGGTTCACGAAGTTCTTTGTAACTTTGTTGCTAATACATTTGATCGATTGATTTTTGTTATTGTAAGAGTTTACGGGTATTTGCCAGTGTTTTACCGAATCAAGGTAACATTGTAACTGGAATAAGGTGGGGCTATCGTCTTATTCATGAAAATAGACGAGGTGCCTCAAGAGATTCGTGCACGAGGACGTTTGGCTTTAAGGGCATACAAAAAGGCCTTATCAGAGGGGAGGACATGTATCAAACGCGTGCCAATCATGTTAATTGGACAGGACCGCTCCGGAAAAACCAGCTTGGCGAAATCTCTCAAAGGAGAGCGATTCAACCCAGAGGAGGATAGCACCGTAGGCATAGACGTTGATCCTTCTCATTTCAAAGTGTCAACTGAGATTTGGAAACCAGGAGAGAAAGACGAACAACGAAATGTTAAGAGGGCATGTTCTTATGAGCATCATGCAGCGCGGTTGATCGTCCAAAACTTGAGTGAGGAAAAAAGTACTCCCAAAGAAGAGAGTCTAGAATCTGATCAGATTGAACACCTTGTGCCGGTGGAATCAGTTGAGATAAGCGTGAGCGAGGATATCGTTTCAGCATCATGTGCACGAGATGAGAGTATGGTAGATAGCTGTTTACAATCTGAAGAGGACTTATATCCCATACCCGCAGCTTCAGTAGCACCTAATACATTCAGCCATGACTCTGTTTCCAACTCTGAGTCTGGGGATTTACTTGTGGGTTCGGATTTCATCTCTATGTCACAAGATCAAACAATCAGCGATCAAAGCCCTGCTGACGATATCCAAACTGTGCCAGATGATGTTGCAAGTTTAGTTGAGGTTTTCTTGCGCGAAGATAAGGACTTAGAACGCGAAGAGGATATATACTCCGTTTTGTGGGATTTTGGCGGACAGTCAGTTTACTATACCACCCACCCACTCTTCCTTACGCCGAAAGCAATATACCTTTTGGTGAATGATCTCAGCCGGCACCTGCACGATAAAGCCAAATCAGTTATGAAACAAGGAATGTTCACGAAATTACAGGACAGCTTTCGTTTGAAAACGAATGCCGATTATCTTGATTTTTGGATGTCATCTGTTGCATCTCTCGCCATTCAGGACGAAAGTCATTCTAAAAAGACGAAATCTGACTTGTTGCCTGAACTTCCACCGGTGTTTTTAGTGTGCACTCACGCTGACAAACCTTGTGATGAAGGAGATCCTCGTGAGCTGGACAGGATGGTATTTGGCCACCTGCAGACCAAACCCTACAAGACGCACCTACATGATGTCTTTATTGTGGATAATACCAAGTCTGGCCATGAACTGGAATGTCCAGAAGTCTTGCGCTTGCGCCAGGAAATACGTACCGTCGCCAAGGAGCTACCCCACATGAAAGAAGCAGTGCCAATCAAGTGGCTCAAGTTTGAAAAAGAAATGCAAGCCAAGAAAGATGAGGGTAACAAGTGGATTTCCCTTGAAGAGACAAAAGAAGTTGCTTGGGAGGTGTGTAACGTTTCTGACGAAGAAGAATTTAGAACTTTACTAAATTTTTTGCATGATCAAAGAGTTTTAATACACTTTGATGACACTCCAGAGCTGAGTAAAATGGTGGTCTTGGACACTCAGTGGTTGATCAATGTTTTCAAGGAGGTTATTACCATTCGGCCATTTGACAGCAAGGAGAAAAAATTTGAAGAGCTCTGGTTTAGGCTTGAAAAAGAAGGAGTCTTGGAGGAACCTCTTTTAGAACATGTTTGGGGTCCTTTATATCGCAAAGAGGATACTTGCCAAAGTCTCATTGCTATCATGGAGAAGTTCAGCTTACTTTGCTCTTGGCCTTCTTCGTGTGGCTCATGTGATAAGCAGTACCTAGTGCCTTCCATGTTAATGTCACACCCACCAGAGGAAATAATGGAGCTGATTGCATCTGCAGAAATTCCTTCTCTTTTTCTTAAATTTGATACTGGACAAGTTCCACCTGGCTTGTTTCCCCGATTAGTGCTGCAGTTTTTACAGTGGTGCAAACAAGAATGTGCCAGCCCAGAGCACCCTCAGCTATACCACAATTTTGTCAGAATTTACCGCTCTGAAGAAGTAAATTGCTCCGTAATCCTTCTGTGCCATATGTCATCAATTGAAATCGTTGTCCATAAAGGCAATGACGGTCACGAAGTGGCACAATGTTCTAAGTCTGCGATTAGTTCGCCTGTAAATAGTAACCACGACCCCTTTGCTTGTGCAGTACTGAGGCAACTTGAATTGATGCTTGAGTCCATGCGAAGGGAATTCTGTTGGCTACAGAATATGAAATACGAAGTGAGTTTTTTGTGCCCTGTTTGTTGTCACGGAGGTGCCGTCAGCTACTGCCGCACACATCTTACAAAAGGCTGCAAGCAAGAAGAATGCTTGCACTTCTGGCTCGAGTCAGAGTTGTGCAGCGAAAAGAAGATCATAGCTTGCACCAGATCTGCAGTTGCTAAGATGAACAGAGTGTTGGTGAAAGACTTCGAGCCTTGGTTTTCTCCTATGAGAAATCAGGTAAATAATTGTAGATAACATGTGACCGTTTTCGGAGGTGACTTCCTCTTTGTAAAGATTAACAGAAAACTTTGAAACGTATTTGGCATCAAAAGATGAGATGAGACCACGAACGCTTAACTGAAAGGGGCAGAAGTCGGGTCCATAGAGGTGATAAAATAAAAATAAATATTCATTGTTTCCTTAAAATAAGCCAAGTAATCATCCTATCGCACTTGCCTTAGGTAACTCTTGAATATCAAGCAAAATGTTCCTCATTAAACGTACAACAGTTCAGAAATGTTGCATTTACATGATGATGTTTAATTCTCCTTCTTTCTTTATAACAGCTGACTGTTGATAATTGTGATGGCGGAAACTTAGCGTCAGCTGAAGGTAACATTACTGTATAAGTTTTTTGATGGTTCTCTATAGATAACGGAAAGGGAAAAAAATTCATTTCGTTTGAAAAATACATTTCATTTGACAGACCTGAAGAAGCAAATAGTGCATGGCTGATAAATTGTCACCTTTTATTTGTGTTAAGACGATGAGGAAACCTTTTCTGCTGACGAGGTTCTGCGAATCCGTTTAACACAGCAGCGAGACGACCAAACTATTTCGCCGCAACTAAAGGGGAGTCTGCTGCTGGAGGGAGCCTGTTCTGATACGCCAGACTTTGATTCCAAAAGTGGTAAAATATTGCCTAATCTGGGGAAAACTACTGGTGAGTGCATCTCATACTTCCCCCTTTAGGATTTTTTTTATATTAATATAACAGCTAAAAATATTCGCTATTTTTATCCAAAAATAATAAGAATAAATGATATGGAAAGGTTCCAGGTTATATTCGTGTAACTTTGTTGGTATCGTGTTGGGATATTGTGTAATTACTAATGTGCTGAAAATCTCCGCAGCAGTCGTCAATAATTTCCGAAGAACTTATGCTGTGAAAACATTTGTTTGAAATATCATTGATTTATGACTGGTCTTTTCCTTTTGTTTTTTCTAAGCAACCACCGAAATTTGCCTACCTGATGATGTTGAACAATCCCTCCTGTCAACGTCGTGCGACGCCAAAGAGATTGTTCATCAACTGAAGGAGAACCTGCCACTAAACAAAGACGTTCTTGAGAGGCCAGACAATGACACCAAGAAAATAATCCGTGGTCTGGCTCAGAAAGCAAAAGATTTAAAGAGGCTTGATGTCTTCGAACATTTAAGAGAGATTACACCGGCTGGAACTACTGGTTAGTTACCTATATTGCGGGACCTATCTTGCCCTGAAGCTACGGGATACGTGAGAGTACTGCAGAAATCAAATCAAAATCACGAAGAAAACATAAACTCCTAGAAGTTTTTGATTTGACAACCACCTACGAAGCAGATATTTGACCCAACGAACTACATTTTCTAACTCTCTTCATTAAGCATCAGCAGACTTACTAGCCGTGCCCCGAAGAAAGACTGACCAGTAGTGGGTTCAACGTGTTTGTTTACACTGAAAACAATTTTTCATGTGTGTTTCTGATGATTTTTTAGCTATTCATCTTCATAAATTAACTAAAGGTTTCTTTTTCCATTATTAGGTCCTTTATTGCCAGAAAACCTTCCTGTTCAACACATGCCAATCACTAAAGCAAGGGATCTTTCAATCCGCTTAGCTGGTAAGCTTTGCTATTTATCTCACAAATAGTTTTGGATGAAAATTTCCTGCAAGTACAACTATATTTTAATTCATGTCTATTCATAGTTTGGAACGTCAGTTCTAAAATTCAAGTCCAAGTTAACAATACTTTTTGTAATAGACTAAACTGAAAATTTTTAGCAGGTTTCCACCCATCTTCAAAGGCCTTTTACCATAGCTATTCATAGGCGGACATAGTTGGTGTGTCATTTTGCTCACTTTAACTGCGTGCCATTTCACTCGCTGTCGTACTTTTTCGCTAACTTAAGGTACGCATTGTTCTCGTTGACAGGCACCTTTATTTTTGTCGTGCTCTTTCTACAAAGGAAAAACCTTTGATAAGTTGTGCCATCGGACACCCCGCTCTGAAGCCGCCGTGTCTTTTCACTCATTGCCTATTGTTTAGGGAGCCATTTTACCATGCCCGTGGGTTCACCTGAATCCATCGCCCAGAATTCAGCGACATATCCGGCATTTTCATTGAGACGCTGGCGCTAAATTTAAAAGCTAATTAGAAAATGATTGTCAAACAATAAAGGAAAAGGGCTGAAAATGTCGAGGAAGGCTTACGCTCTCTTCGTTTACGGATAAACTACTTTTCAAATGCTACTTTTACCATATGGCTTTTAAAGAAGAAAGTTCAATTGAACAGTGTATCATTCTCACTTTGTTCTTCTTGCGCTTTCAGAAGAGGTCGCAAATTTGCCTTGAAAATTGACTATGTTAGCATCCTGCTTGTATGAGAAAAGTCGATCTCAATAGAAAAGCACTTTCAGGCGTAATTTATCTTCACTAACGATTGCTAGATTTCTCTTTTACCATATGGTTATTTTTATCTGACATTCTAGAAAGCGTGTTAGAAATTTTCAGGGGATTCCAAACTTTGGAAGTAGTAATAAAAAAAGAATCAAACAAACAAACAAATAAAAAAAAACCCTTTGATTTAGGTGGCGATGAGTGGATGGAGCTTGCTGAAGGACTGGGACTGACTCCAGAAGAAATTCGTTTTCTTGACAAGCGTACTCTGAACCCAATGGAAGCAGCTTTATCTTTTATTGCCAAACAGCGATTCTTAAGCGTGGGTGAGCTGTACGAATTGTTGAATGAACGTGACTTCCCTTTGTTGGCTGATCTTTTGTAAGAAGATTGTCTGACCTCGGCATATTGTTGATCTCAGGTAACAGTCAATCTGAGATTTTCTTGGACCCGATATGCCTGGATATTTGGGCTTATATCTTATATCTAACCCTAAGAAATGGTAAGCCATTACCATGGTTATTCGAATCAATTCAGTAATTGATGGATTCATTTGAGTATACCAATTTGATCGATCGCATTGTCCAAGTATAGCCTTACAGACTTATTAGTGAAAAATAGAGGAGTTCATCCACCAATCACATTCGAAGAAATTGTAATGGTTATAATTTATGATATAAGAAAACTTGTTTTAAGCGCTTTATAGAGTAATCGATATAGCATGATTTGGGTAACGTTTGGTAAAGAACTGATATATCCATTTAGTAGAATGACATAGTGGAGATGTAAGATCACTGCTCTAAGAATTTCTGATTCATTTTAGTTGGCTATAAATTTAATGAATTGAAATTCCTCGAATATTATACCCATGAAAGGACCTAGAAGTTTCAAAGCGAAATATACTTCTTTGAAAAGTTATTGCGTCGATGAAATTTAGATTCTTACCTCATAGTATAGTACAGCAAATATCTGATGATTTTGATGTTTTAAATGCAAAGGTAAACTAATATTTCGTATATTAGTTACGTAAGTACCAAAAGCTACATGAAGCGTGAAATTCGAAAAGAGTTATGTTGTTCTCTGAGGCAATGAATGAAGCTATTCACAGATTTTTAATTAAGTAACGTTTGCATTTCAATGGTTGCACTTAGTTCTTAAAATCATGATTAAATAAGCGCTTGCTATCGGTCAGAGCGGTGTACGTTTGAAAGCAAACTAAGTCTTGGTTGAACTTCCAGAGAAAGAAATAATTCATTTCTTGCCTCTTTGAAGAAAGCTTTTAAGATATTATGCATATTTTAAATGAAGAAGACTTTTCGATCTAGTTTGCCAGAAATAAAATTTTTGGAGTGTTTATTATTTGTGCTGTTGATTTGTCTTGGTGTGATCGCCATTATTTTTCCCCCAAAGAATCCTTTCAAACTATATCTGAACGCTAGAGGCTGTCTGACTCACCAACACTAAAGGGTTGAACAACGCTGTCATCTTGGAAAATCTTAAGTCAAATACATGTAAGGATTCATCAGGGATATAAGCTTATGACAGAAATCATATACGCCAATATTTAGTGTGGGAGCAACGTTTGGAGTGAAGTTTTGTACGCATGAAGCTCAACACATTGTCAGCGAAACGAAACGGATGGAGCAGTAACATGGCCAGTAACTTACGCATACGCAAAACATGTGCAAAGCTACCACTATGGGTAGAAATAGGCTGGAAATAATAATAGACAACCAGTAACGTATTTTCATGTGACACATTAGGTAATGAAATGCTTATGACTCTCAAATACAAAACTTACCATTGAAAGCAGTGTGAGCCTATTAAAACTCTTTGCAAAACCGAACAATGATAGGAGAGAGCAAGAGAAAGTAAAGGTTGTTGTTTTAGTCGCTGTTGTGTTTTCACTTCAACTCTTACTGTAATGCGTGATTGTTTAATAGTTGATCCTATCCCTTGGACGTATAACAACCCACAACATGTCTCTTTCAACGGGAAACAGATAGCTTTGTTTCACCTTGGTGTAATTGAATGCTCACTGTCTTGAGTAAAGTTTTTCTCGATACAGACTTCCCGGCTTGTGAATAAAATATGTGTGCTGTAGGCATTATTTTGGTACCCGCGGCCATTCTTTCCTTTTATATCTGATTTTTTTCTTTCTGCTTCTGTACTCGCACGGAGCTTTCAGCAGAAATTGAAGCAGACTCCAAAATGTCAAGAGCTGTTCGTTCTCCTGCATGACTCCTGCAGTTATTCTCTTCTATAAAGTTAGAAATGAGGTGAATTCTTCCTCCTGGACCGCCGGTTGCCATAGCTGCCATGTAACATGAATTTCTTTGGTCCTCTTCAGTTCTCGGCTTGTCCAGACATGTGATTACAGTTACAGGAGTGTGGCCTGAACATGGTATGGATTAAATGAGGTGTGATGCATCTATGTCTCTTGCAAAATAGAAAATTAATCAAGATTCCTACCCTGTTTGTCTCAGAAGTACTTATTTTCGTCTTTAATGTCGACTTAATGTCTTGAAAAGAATCCGCATTTCGCATTAATTGCCGACGAAACGACGTCTCAGGGACGTGAAGTGTTGTCTGTGTGTCTCCTACTGCTTTATTTCATTGCTGACCCGTCCAATCCAATAAAGCGTGAGGTTCTGATAGACATGTGTGATTTGCCAGGAACCACTGGTGCAGCTATTGCTACTGCAATCCAAAACAGTTTACAAAAGTATGCAATTGATATTACAAATTTCCGTGGATGAGCATATGACACTAATGCGTCAATGAGCTCAGATAAAAAGGGAGTTCAAACTGAAATAGCGAGGTGTGCAACGGATGCAGAGTATCAAGGTTGTTGCTTTCATTCGATCAACCTCGTTATCTGCCACGCTTGTAAAATAAAGTCGATTTAGAACATGATGAATTCTTTCCATGAATTATTCAGTTTCTTTGATAACTCACAGAAATTCTTATCGATCGTAATTGACGCACTTTCCCAGGAGAATAAGATTAAGGCTGAAAGATTTGTGCAAGACGAGATGGATCGAGAGGCACTCCAGGCCACGTCTGAAACAATTTTCGAATTGTATGAATACATTGCCATTACGCTGAATGAGATATGTGTACCCACAAATGATGACGAGCGGTTTTATCCAAACAACGAAGAATGGAGCTAGGATGCCAAAACTAAGACAATGGCAAATGGACTGATACATAGTATGACATGCTTCGGACATATTGTCAGCTTTATTTGAGCTAAGGAGATGCTAGAACCAATGCGGTCACTCGTCACGGCTCTGCAAGGCAGGCATGTAGAAGAATTTTTTGGTCTTTTGATCAGCTCCTATACCGGCAGAAATACGCAAAGTGATCTACTTGTGTGTACGTGAAAGCTAATCTCGAGCACAACTGATGGGATCGACTGGAGGACGTCCGCGTGTTTACAGCAAACAAAGACATCGTGAAAACCAACCAGCAGAGTCAGATGTACAATACTGGAAGCGAACAGTAGCAATATCCTTCCTTGACGTCATTTTCTCGGGGCTCAAAAGTCGCTTCAGCAACGAAAAGAGGACACATTACAAGCTATGCACTCTAATTCCTCAGGTCATCGTTGCAAGGTCTGAATAAGCCATGATGGAACGTGGTCAAATACTTAATAAGAAGTGGGGCCATCTGATACCATTGCCATCATCTTTTAAAAGTGAACTGTTTCGCTAGATGAAGTACTAGAAGTGTCAGGCAGCGTCGGATTATGAATCCATCTCGGTGTCTACACTGCTAGCGAAACACGCAGACAACATCTTCTTCCCAAACGTGAGTGAACCTCTCAAAATTCTGGCTGTTTTGTCAATGGGGAGCACGGAGGCGGAGAGGTCGTTTTCGTCTATTCGAAGGATCCATACTTGACTACGCAACACAATGACCACTGAACAACTCACAGATTTGGCTGTTATCGCCATGAATGCAAATACAGTTACCATCGATAAAAGGCTGGTTTATGACAAATTATTTTTGGCCCAGCACCCTGAACAGATGACTACGCATTCACTTTTGGCCGAGTAACAAGTTTTTACAAGAGTTTAATTTGTACTTTAATTTTATGTTTTGCTTAGTGGTGTCATGTACTGCCATTTAGGCTACGCGAATGCAGGGCAGTAATGTAATTATTTCTTCTACTTGGTGGCGTTATAAGAGTTTACGGTTTTACAGGTCTATTCGTCCTTCCTCAATAGCCCTTATGCATGTTTACATCACAAGAGCAAGTTTCACCACCAAGCCTTGTTTGTGAACAAAATCCTTTTCATCTGCTCGTGGGGCGCCGGGAGTTGCTCGATTGTCAAAATTGGGTAAGTTTGAACTGGTAGGCAAATACTCCAATATTTTAGCGTTGTTTTTCGATTCCCGGGGAAACAAGGCTCAACAATTTCATGAAAGCTTCGGCTTCTGGACTGACTGTAATCATCTTTCATCGTATCCATTCTGCTGGTAATTTTCAGTTTGGAAAAACGTGGCCAAGGCGAAAGTGTCTGAGTGGCATGTGGGGGAATAGTGTACGATAGATTGATCGCGAGAATATTGCAAAGTTTATCACGGATAGCGGAAATTATCGACCAACCTTGGCATACGAACAAGGAAAATATTAGGGTAATCGAACGCAATAGAACGTATTATTTTCAAAGCTTCAACTAGACTCGTTTGTTTATATCTCTTAAACTAAGACCTTTGTTTCCTTTCTCTCGCTCGTTAAACCGTTTTTCGTTGACTAAAGAGTTTTCAAAACCTACTCAAAGAATTTGAATTACAATTGGGCCCTGATTTGTAAGTACTGAAAGCAATGAAGAATTTGCATGAAACACTCAAGCGACACTAAATGAACGATGAGATACAAAAGGAAAATGGACTAGCCACGTTTCATAAAATAGAGAAGTATACCCTACAAACTTTAGTTTGTATAGGTAATCACATGATTTCGAGTGCAGTTTGGAAGAAATGAGCACGAGTAAATTTTTTTAAAGACTAACAAAATTGTATGAGCCCGTAGGGCGAGTGCAATTTGTGGTCTTTGAAAAAAATTAACAAGTGCTTATTTATTCCAAATTGCACGAGAAAAATCATGTGATTACGTGTTAATAATAAACATGAAAAAATACGAGATAGCTTATCATAATTAAGCAGAAGCAAAGCGCGCGCATCAAGTGCAAAAATAATTTATTCAAACCGTGCGTTCGGTCAAAACAACGGCGTACGATCAAAACAATAATATGCAATGATATTTTCACATCTTTAAGGCACAAAAAAGCTCAAAGTCCGGCTAAACAGTTCAAGGAATTGTTCAGTCTTCGTCCGAATCACTTTGGATGGAATGGAATCGTCCCAGGTTTAACCATGTTTGTTTTTAATTTCGGCGTTGGATCGCTCGAGCAAAGTGTGAAGCTGGGTCGGTTCGTAATTTTCGATTTCCTTGGCAATTTCCTTCTCTAAACACCACTTTTTCCAAACCGACAACCAAAAAAGCAGTGCTTTTTATGGTGTTTTCGTTGTTTGAGCTGTTTTTCAGCCGCGGTGGCGAAAGAAAACCTACTTAAAACGCCGGCCATTGTTTCGCTCGCAAATTTTCAAATTTTCAAATTTTTTTGCGTCAGCCAAGGCTCGCATTTGATTGGCTGTCTCTGAGTTTCTTTGATTATTGGCCAATCAGAATGTCTGCTTTGTTACTTTCTTTGCACTGAATTAACCCTATTCTGCACTGAATTAACTCTCTCCTGCACTGAATTACCTGAAAACTGTATTTATCTTAACCAATCAGAACTGAGTAATTTAATTATTAACCAAAGAACTGTATGTCCAGTGGCATTATGCTTAAAAAACACGGAAAGTTCTTAACTGGAAATATATTAGCCCAATGAGCTTTGAAATTTGATTTACCAGAAAACCTCGAAATAGATAACTCTTGTTAATTCTTGATTGCTACATTAGTATAATTTTCTGAACAAGTAGACTTAATATCAGTGCGCGAAAATGTGAGTACACTTAGAACGTTCCTTACTCTTGAAACGAGGCTGGTCATCAGCTCCATCGATTTAATCATTTCATCTCCACTCCACTTTCGAATTTAATGTTCTGAGTATGTACGTTACCGCAATTCAGTTCAGGTCATCTAGAATGTTCACTGTTACCAATATCATATACTAACATTTACATCAGATCTATTTGAGATTTTATAAAACTCGCCCTGTAATTTTTGACAGTTTTAACCAATAAATGCGGACTACTGAAGACTATAAGGTTTTTAGTTGATGGGTGTGAAAGTTTGCGATGTCAGTGTAACTGAACAGTGAAAAAGCATTTCTGATCCAGCCTTTCTATCAGTGTAGACTTTTTCATTGAAAAGCTCTTTTCTTAATTTCCGCGTTCCTCAGGCGAGCGAAGACAGGCATGATGGGTGCTCGAAGGCTTACCCGCAGTCGAGGGCTAGCATAACGCATTGCCAAAAAGTGTTCGCCTTTCATGCAGAGTAAATCCCAAATATATTCTGCAAGAGTTGGATTCGAAAAATTTGAGAGCGAGTCACTTACAAGTTGCTGAGCTCTTCTTTTCCAACAAAAACAATAATAGAAAAGCAAAAACAAGTTATGGGAAAGTCAGCGACCTCTGAAGCAATAAGGAGCAATAAGGAATAGGACCAAAATTGTCGACCATTTCCTTGGAAGGCATGATGGCTGCAAAAATTAATTAGCGGAGGTCTCGCAGTGTCGATCAAAGTATTTCTCAACAAGCAAAAAGTTCTGAAATGTGCTTAAAGTATGTGCAATCATTTGGGGGTGAGACCGAATTATACAAATTTTGCTGTAAGCTCATTAATTCTTCTGGGAGGATAGCTTGTATATATCGGCGCGTGGTCTTGCTTACCAGGAAAGAGAATTATTACACGACCGTATGCAGCCTTAAAACCATTGAGCCCCAACGTGAAGCATTTCATTAAATATTATTTCTTTCGGATTTTACACATCCACGATCCACGAGGTGGAAAAAAATCCAACTGAAGAAAAAAATTCATTTTCATCCTTTCAGCTTTACACAAAGGTCACTTGGCGAGCTCTCAGCCGACGAAAAAACCGGTCAAATAATAAACGCTCTCGTTAGCCTAGAATTTCTTGAAATAGTCCTTTTTACAGTTCCCGGCGCCATATTAGATTAGTAGCCGCGCAAACACGATAGCGAGGCTGCCGGTGACCCGCGTATTACAAAAACAGTAAATACAGCTGATCGGAGAAGTCTTTCGTGGTTCAATCGCTTCTAAAATGGTGCTAGTTTGCAAGGATATGCAGATTACAACGCTAGAAGATATCCAGAAGTTAAAAGTGAAGGATTTATGGGAAATTTTGCGTTCTAATTCGGAAGCGACGGGCGGAATAAAAGCAGATTTGGTTTTAAAAGTCTACGCGATACTCATGCGACACGTGCTACGACCGGGTGAGTATCAGCAGCAAAGTAGCGATAATACTGCTCAGGATCACCAGAATACAACGGAAAATAGTGGTGACTTCAAGTACGATGAAACTTTAAGACGAATCTCTGCTCTCGGATGGTCCACTGATTTACGTCAGCTTCCCGAACTAAATTTTATTCAGCTTTACGATTACCTGGTTGTGTCAACGCGCAAGTACCGCCACATTGTGCTCAAGGGAACAAATTACTAGCATGCACTGTGTAAAAATACATGTACAATTTCATTTTTAAATGAAATAAAGTGGGAATTTTTTGGTTCCATGATAACTTACTATATGGAATCCCAATAGTTATTAATATGCATTGACATGCAAGTGGTATTATTTGGAATACAAAATTAATGGAACCCAAGGGGCTGATTACGGGAAGCAGGCTTAGACTGATAGCTGGGCTTCTGCCACAATTTTAAAATGCAAAAAAAGTAAACATTTCTACCTAATAATAAATAGACAGCAAAAACTAGAATCAAAGATTGGCCGGTGGTAGTAAAGGGGGTAAAAAGTTTGTCAGAAGGCCACAGACAGTTGAAATTTGTGTTGTATAGGGGCTCAATGTATTAGGTAAGGTACCATCTAAAATGTGGTAGGTCTTAATGCGGCCAATTGCACGTTCCACGTGAATGCGCACTGAAGCAATGCTCATAGTCTCTTCAGTTTCAGCTGCTGTCATTTGATCACGGCCAGCCAAAAATGGTGGCATGTTTACTGTAACGCCAGCAGGTACAATTGCAGAAATGTCAAATCCGTGATCAACCATGACATTATCACCCACTTGCAACAAATCTAATACACCACTCTCTCTTGTTATTTGCTTGTCAGACACACGCCCACCCCAGAGATCTGACAAAAAAGTGACCTGTCTATTTGGGGTTACCCTAACTAGCAACTTCCAAGTATTATGGTGTTTATAATCTGACCATGTCTCTGACTGAGCCAGCATAGCAGATGGTCGCTGAATGAATAGTTCAGTACAGTCTAAAATTATCCTGGTTGTGGCATACTGGGCAAACTCCTTAGGCATGTTTTTGCGAACAAGCTCCTGTGTGGGAAATGGAAACAGGTCCTTGAGCTCATGATAGAGCAAATTTATCCAGGTGATGCAGATCCTGGAAACCAGGCTGGCACTGATGCCAAATCTGTCAGCAAGGTCCTGTACAAATAGACCAGCTTTCAGTCTCATGAGCACCAGTAGGAACTCATCCAGAAAAGTAAGCTTCCTTGATGGTCCAGGTTTACCCTTGTTATCATCAAGTTGATAAGGCTGGCTTTCCTTTACTAGATTTTCACCCTTCCAGTACTGCATTTTGGAAGGCTTTGGCTCAATGTATTTGTAGAAGCTTATTAATGCCTCATAACTTGGGAATCCGGTGTAAAATAAAACAGCAGCATTGTCATCTTTAATTTTGTCAATGGAAAATTGACATTCCAATAACACAGCATTTTCCTTTTCTGCTTCACTGAGTTTTTCCTGGCAGTCAGCTAGCTGAGTTTCAAGTAATTCAATTCTCCTTTGCAGTTCAAGGACACAATCAGGCTCTGTTTGAGGGGACTCACACTCCACTTCAGCAGCATTTTCATCACACTCTGAAAATGAATGAGCAGCATCAGTTGACGCATCGATAGAAGGAAATAGTGAGCAGGATCCAAACTGCAATGCTGATGCTGCTACTCCAACAGTTGACTCATCCATCTTTCTTTCCTTTGGTGCTTTTCTTTGGTTTGATTGCTTTGTCCAGCTAAATATACATACATACATACATACATACATAACTTTATTTGATAACGCAGGTTAAAATTTGCGCAACTTTACAGCTGATGTGGACCTGCCTAAACTAATTAGTCTATAATTATATAAAATACAGATATGATAAAATTTATAAGTTGAATAAATCAAGTAAACCATAAAGTTTTAGTAATAGTGAAAATTTGGTTTCATGTTTTGTATAACATTACCTCCCTTTTCAAAATTAATATTCATAACAGTTTGCTTGGATTGTTTTAAGTTATATTTAAAAATAGATAAATTTGGAGAATCTTTAACATTATCGGGAAGTGCATTCCATGCTACTGCAGATCTATGAGCAAAGGACCTACGACCCAATTCGGTTTTGGGCCTATTAAGTACAACATTCAGGGATTTCCTTAGGTTATAACTGTTAGAGTTCTTGGTCACCAAACAATTAATTTCCCGCAACCCTAAATTATAATAAGCATTATATGTAATAGTTAAGATACGTAGCTTATAAAAAATACTCTAAAGGCATCCAGCCAACCTTAGAAAGTACATCATTATCCCCAAAACTATTTGGTATCTTATGAATTAGCCTGGCAGCCCTGATGTGAATCATTTCTAGATCTTTAAGCTTGGATCCAGACCCCCAAATTGCAATTCCATATAGAACACTTGGTATAACTATCCTATAGTAAAAAGTCTCCAAGATAGATGTACATAGGAAATTTATACGTCTCAACATTTTAACTTTGGCATTAAATGCAGATCTAGCCAAAGCAACATGCTGAGACCAAGAGAGTTTATCATCAATTGTAACCCCAAGGCAATTGGTGGAGGACACATACCGAATGGTGTCCATACCCCACTTCAGCTGTTTCAAAGGACCTATGAAGGGGGTAGTACTTAAGACCATTGCCTCGGATTTACCTTCATGTAGAATCAATCTGTTACTAAGACACCAGGAATTAACCTGGTCCAAAACAGCCTGTAACCCATGGCTCTGCACCTTGTAAATAAATAAATAAATAAAACTTATTAAATGTGACAGTAATCATTTCAGATTTATTTATTATGAGTTAATCTGCAATTAAATTGATTGCTTTTGTGAAGTCCAGCAATATTAATAAGCATACATTAAATATTCTATCATTCAGTGACAAAAATCACAAGACATGAAACACTTTAAATCATAAAGTTTAAAATAAAACAACAATCGTCGAATAAAATAACCAAAATCTTTGATTTGGGAAAAATTAAACGAATCCTTGTTTCTAAAGACCAAAATATCTTTGAATTTTGAGTTTTTCATAGCTCAAATCACGAACGTACACAACAAAAGCTCGACAATATCACAAACCTGTCTTCAAATTCCAGCGACCAGAAAGTTTTTTCGAGATATCTTCTGCCCGAAAATGCTCATGACAGAGGACAGTGGCGGTGGAAACAACAAAGCCGTCCTGTCCGTGTCGTCGCTTGATAAGTGAACACCACCGATTCCTTCGCTGAGCGTCCTTGGGAAACTCGAAGAAATGATAACTTGTACGAGTACCGTTTACATTATAGGCGCTATTATTGCAGTCAAAGGCTGCACAATACTTTCCTCTTCTCTTTCGAGGGGCGGAGGATGTTTCCCCGACGCTTAAGTTTTCATTCATCCCACCAAAGACTCGACAAACCAACGAAACGCTTGAAACACCAACAAACTCTTATGCGACGCCCGAATCGGGTCACCGGCAGCCTCGCTATCGTGTTTGCGCGGTTACTAATCCAATATGGCGCCAGGAACTGTAAAAATGACTATTCGCGATATTGTACTCAGCTACAACTCATGTGGTGCTTACCGTACGAATTTTTTCACTTCAGTCTCTAATATAACTCCTAAGTGGAAGGAAGAGCGAGATTTTTCGGAGGCCAAGCATAGTAAATTTTTGACGTCGCGTTGGTTCTTCCGACTTTCTGATGTGCTCAATGAAAAGAGATTTTTAACTGCTTTTCATTGCAGTATTTCAGCCAAGATTTTCCCGGTAAGCAAAAGAGATATTTCTTTTATGTATGTATTTTACCCACCGAACTATCAAACGTGACCTCGGGAGCCCGATCCAAAAATTATTTGCGTTCGTATCAGTCTACGATTATGGCGTCCGATGCGAAACGCTAGCGATACAGCGTAACTAAGGCTTTAGAGGTGATTTTTGACGATGGAAGTGAGCATGATGGTATCTCTAGGTGAGGAATCCGAATTAGATAGAAAACTGGAAAGTCCTAGCGAAGAATCGAGGTAAGTGATTTGTAAACATTCTTGCGATATTTAAATGCGTGACGCATGTGGTGTTGAAACATTTACTTTTACTTTTTGCGCACGAAGCCTTGTTTTTTGCCTTGAGACAAACCTGTAAATGTATATTTGTGAATGAAAAGCAACATATATTATGATCAAACATGATTTTTGAGCGACAGAGAAAATAATCTTCAATGGAATGTTAGAACGCAACGACCTAAATTATCAGCCGATGACAGATACGACGCAGTGTGCGTCCGAACTAAATCAAATAAAATCTTTTATTTTTAAAACGATAGTTGAATATATATCGACCAGTACATTATCTTATATGTTTTGTATGTTTTTTACATAACGCTATTTCCGGTGTGGGTGATTAACTCCTTTGTTTGCGAAACAGATAATTCGATATTTGCGCTTTCCCATCTTTCCCATATTACATGTAAAGCAGTGCTTTTGCACGATACGAGAATATGGATTCCTCTTCGAAATCGTTTGCTGATTATTTTATGTCCCAGTGTTTACGTGGCAGTTTCGCTTTCGCATGACGACAAAAATGAAGAAAATTCAAAAAGTCAGTCGAAAAACCGATGGAGATAATTTGTACGATCGAGTAAAAGCTCCATTAACAAGTAGTGTTCACTATTAAATCCACCTCCCACCTCTTCCTGCCTAGCAATAGTCCTTCTCTGACCCCTCCCTGAGTAATAACCTCTGCCTTCCTCCCCTCCCTCAGTACTAGTAGACTGCATCCTACCCCTCCCTGATTACTAATGGTGTGCTTCCCCTCTATAAAATGGTCCAAAAAATGGTCCAAAAAATAGTCCAAAAAATGGTCCAAAAAATAGTCCAAAAAATGGTCCAAAAAATGATCCAAAAAAGGGTCCAAAAAAAGGTCTGGTCCATATTTTACCCTATGCCTCCAATGATTGCACTGTAGACTTCAAGAGGGATTAGTAAATTTGGGCTTGGGGTGATGATGAGGTCAGACTAATTAGTCAGTGTGTCAATCAGTGTTCACTAGATATGTGTAACACATCTCAGATTTGTTATTTTCCAGCCAATTTTTATGGAGATGTTGCCCATATAACAAGGAACCTCTTAAGTTAATTTTGCCTCATTACTTTGTATTATTTGGGTATCACTTAATTCACAGTTCAAATTTTGATGATATTTTATGCTAATTAATGTTAGTTTGAAAGCATTCAATGAGGTTGTTTCCATTTTCCTTGGAGAGGAAACATGCATTTCAGGAAAGCTTATTTACTGCTGTTTCAAGTGAGGTATAGCTTACTTCCCTTGTGTAAATACTTGGTGAGGAATAAATTTTTCAATAATCTGGGTCAATTTTTATGGTTTTGGGGTACAGTTTGGAAAAAAATTCTAATTAATTCTGTATTTGTTCTTTTTCAGCCAGAGTATCTGAGTGTCTTGCCCATAAGATAAGGAATATTTTATCTAAGAACTGTTTCCTTTTAACTCCAATCCATCCAGGCTCAGGCTGTTTCAAAGTCAAAAGTTGTACAATAATTTATGCAAATTGTATGCCATTTTCTTAGCATGATTTAAAATCCATGGATTTTTGGAGGCAAAATATATTTTTTCTGAAAAGCTAATTTTGTCCTCTTTCAAATGAGATATAGCACTAATCACTGGTGTAAATACTGTTGACAAAAAAAATAAAAGAAAAAAGCTTACCATCATTTGTCATTTTTTTAAGCCTACCAGCACTTGTCAGTTACAAATGGCTTCAAGGCCTCAAGATCTGTTCAAGTTCCCCAAGCGAGCAGAGAAAACTGAGGAATCAAATCCGTCAAATAACGAGAAACAGGTTTGTCATTCATTTATTTACTAATGTCGGATAAAATTTTTTTGCCACCATCTCATGCAGGCTTGTCAGTTGTGACAAATTTTAGTGAGGCCAACGGAATTTTTAGCCGTTTGCAACAGAAAAAAAATGCTTGACCAGAAAAAAAGTGCTGCTGTGGTAAGTTAGAGGTTATCTTACCTGTTTTTGTGAAAAATGATGACCAAAGGGAGGTATCCTGGTATACTTTGGGGTTGAAGAGTAATATATTTGTTCATATCTACTTGCTAGAGTTCATCTGACGGTGTTAATATGTCTAAGCACTGGATGCTTTTCAGTAATGACCTGAATTTCAGTTTTTACCTGGTACTAGGAACGCCATAAAATGCCAGAAAAATTCCGGTCCGCCTACTTAGATAAGTCAGCTATTCTAACACAACCGATTTTTTTGTGCAACGGTAGATGCAGCTCGGTAATCACAGAAATAAGATTTATTCCCCCTCCCATAACAAGTACAGAGGAGGCTTTTTATTTCATCAATTTTGTACTTATCTAGATGATAAACATTTGTTCATACAATACAGGCAACTTTGTATCAATTCGATCGCATCATTCATTGTTCAGTTTATACTTGTTGTAGGAGAACGCGTTTTCAACTAGGTCTATACTTTTTATGTTGCATTCATCTATTCAGAGGTTAGAGTGGTCACCTGGAACTAGATTGGTAGGAATATATGATTTCAAGGGGGAAACAGCAGATGTAAGTTAGTTACGATTTTATAAAAATTGACTTGTATTGGAGGGAGTGATGATGCTATAATGCTGACTGATTACTCAACATTCACTCACTTTTCCTTTGCAAGCTAGAAGACACAAAAGTAATCCGTTATTCACACAAAGGAGAACCTTCTTGAGACTGCGTTTCATCAGTTCATTATGATTTTTGACAAGGAAGCTATCGACAAGCAGAAAACTAAGCCCACCATTTTCAATTGGTACTGTAGCTACTTTTCGTTTGTAAACAAAAAGGGAAAAAGCTGATTAGTTAGTTCTTCAAAGAACATAATTTCATTCAAGTGTTTGGAAGAAAACTTTACTAAATGTATCATGACACGAGGACACAATGTCGACATCAGGCAAGAGAATAATATAGTATGTTATCTTGCATCTGGTCTGTCTGTGTTATTTTATTTCAGGATATGAGCTCGAGGTAACTATGAAAACAAACCACTGCTAGGATAAAAGAGCTGACAGATCTATTTTTTGATTTAGGACTTGCCGTTTAGAAAGGGAGAAATTCTCGTCATTGAAGGAGTTACGGTGAGTGCATATAAAAACCTTTCAAAATTGTTTGGTATTGCCCTGGCTGCTTTGTGTGTTGCGCTAGTTTATGGAACTCACGGGGAGGTATATTTTCGTGCATCCTCTTGTTTGTGAGTTAGGTTTAGAATAAATAAATTTTAAGTTAAATAAGTTATTTAAAGTATCAATTTCCGGTGAGACTCATCTTGCTCGGGTTAAAAAAAATTATCGGAAGGTTGGGGACGAGCGTGGCTGTCGAGTGGATGACATAATGAAAATGGGGTTTCAGTTTGTTTATAGATTCGTCTGTCATCAAGTTAAATCTAGGAGTGTAAAGGACCTGCGTTTACTGGGCTTACGGACTAGTCTGTCTAACAGGCGTCTTCCCAAAGATAGAGCATTAATGATGTTCATACGTACCCTCCGAGACTCGAACCTTGACCTCCTTCACCGTTACTCGGCGCTTTATTAGCTGAGCACACCAGTCGGCAGATTTAGGTGGTTACTGAGGTCTCGAATCAATGAATGTCAATCTTGTGATCAATAACATATAGATATCTCAGAAAAGATCTTAATGATGTAAGGTAATTTAAATTTGGTAATTCAGTGTTAACAACTGAGTTCAAAACGTAAATTGGTCACCGTAAAAGGTAAAAAAGCTGACGTTTCGAGCGCTGGCCCTTCGTCAGAGCGATAGCTATCGCTTTACTCTCCCACCGACGCAGCATCACAGTTTCTTTAGAAAATTACCCCCTTTCCTAATTTCAATTTGGGTTTATCTGACGGATATTGTTAATTCTGTCTCTTGTCTGTTTTCTTAAGGGTCCCAACTGGTTTGAAGCAGTTAATTGTGAGGGACGAAAAGGGTGGATTCCTCGCAACTTTGTTATGGAACGTTACCCTGTGGAACTCAAGCCCATGTCGTAAGTTGATTGTTTTAATCCCCTCAGAAGAGTTAGATCTTAATGTTTGCAAATTGTCATGATTGCTAAAATGCTGTAGAGTTTCAAATTTTTTTAAATTATAGTTTACCTTGATAACCAAATAATTATCTTGACCACGCAAGGGCTTAGCGTAAACCAAAATGTAGTGGCTAGCAATATTGGCAGGCGCCAAGCAAGAGCTTTCAATTTGATTGAAAATGGCCACGCTAGAGGGGTTACGCGTATCATGAAGGTCAGAAGTGATAACAAATAAGATGGTGATGCCAACGAAGACGATGATAAACTCTTTCGCAGTGCGAGGTAAACAGATGAAACTGTATCTAT